AGCTCCCAGTCCTCTAATCTAAGAGAGCTGGACTTGAGTAACAACAACCTGCAGGACTCAGGAGTGAAGCTGCTGTCTGTTGGACTGGAGAGTCCACACTGTAAACTGGAAACCCTTGGGTCAGGTTTTTTTTATTTTCTACCTCAAAGTTATTTGAATGAAAATGGTTGGTACACTTTTGCTGATTGTGTAACTTTTTTCTTCTAACTCCAGGCTGTCAGGCTGTCTCATTACAGAGACAGGCTGTGCTTATCTGGCCTCAGCTCTGAGCTCCAACCCCTCCCATCTGAGAAAGCTGGACCTGAGCTACAATCATCCAGGACACTCAGGAGTGAAGGAGCTTTCTATCAGGATGGAGGATGCACACTGTACACTTGATACACTAAGGTAACCAGACAGAAAGAGTTGGCACACAATTAAGATGCAGTGGAAAGAAATTTGTCAACATGTGGTCAATGATGGTCCATATGTCTCATTCAGACACTGGGGAATGCACTGGATGGATGAAAAAAACACATGAAATCAAACGTGTTCTGAGGAAAACAATAGTTTCTAAGTCAGTGTACTAACATATACAACAGAGTATTAGGGCCAGATTAAAATAAAAAAATGAAGACTTCGAGATTAAAGTTATTGACTTATGAGAGTAAAGTAATTACTAACGATGAGAATAAAGTCATAAAAAAGTAATTACTTACAAGAATAAAGTCGGAGTAAAATCATTATTATACTTTTAATAATGTGGTGCTGATGTGCCAAAAGATTAAGTATGTCCTTGTTTGAGAAATCTATATTGAAGTACATTTTCACAAAATGCCCCATGGCCCTCATTTCAACAACTGTCATCTTAAACAACAGGTTAGAATGTAAGGACTTTATTCTGACTTTACTCTCGTAAGTAATTACTTTATGACAACTTCGTTCTCGTAAGTTAGGATTTATTTACAACTTTATCCTCGTAAATAATGATTTTATTACGACTTTAAGTAATTACTTAATCATGACTTTAATCTTGTTAGTAATGACTTTATTCTCGTAAATTAATGACTTTAATCTTGAAGTCTTCATTTTTTTTCCTAATACTCCGTCATAAACTTGGGTTTTTTACAGTGCCATTTTTTTTTTTTTTTTTTTGGAAAGTATAAAAATAAAGTTCATGTGATGCAGGACAGACAAACAGGGAGCCTTCGCTTTTTTTAACATTCTTGGTGTTGTTTTCTCTGAGTATCGCAACACTGTCAGGAAAAAATTGAAAGCGTGACAGATGAGCCTCCTTCTGACGAATGATGAAAATGCAGTTAACCCTGGTGTTAAACAGGAAATCATTTTGACTGTGTTTCTCCCTCCAGAGTGGATCATAATGAAGAGCGGTGGTTAAAACATGGCCTCAAGAAGTGTAAGTGTGGAGTCAAAACAGCAGACTGTCAGGTAACTCAGTCTTCAGGTGTGTGTGTGATAATAAACTGCTGCTGTGTTGTACTTTTTTTCTTCTCCATCAGATTTCTCTGTGCTCACACTGGACGCAAACTCAGTGAACAGTTTCCTCCAACTTTCTGAAAACAACAAGATGGTGACATATGTGGGGTATCAGCTGTATCCTAATCATCCTGACAGATTTGAGCTCTGTCCTCAGGTGCTGTGTAGAGATGGTCTGACTGGTCGTTGTTACTGGGAGGTTGAGTGGAGAGGACAGGTTTACCTATCAATGAGTTACAGAGGAATCAGAAGGAAAGGGAAGGGGAATGACTGTGAGTTTGGATTAAACAATCAGTCCTGGAGTCTGACGTGCTCAGATAACGGGTACTCTGTCTGGCACAATAACAGAGAGACAGTCCTCCCTCTCTCCACGTCCTCTGTCTCTCACAGAGTGGCAGTATATTTCGATGGTCCCACCACTCTGTCCTTCTACAGAGTCTACTCTGACACACTGATCCACCTCCATACCTTCAGCACCACCTTCACTGAGCCTCTCTATCCAGGGTTTGGATTGTGGGGTAGTTCCTCTCTGTCTCTGTGTTCTCCCTAACAGAGAGGGTCTCTTCCTCTCTCAACAAACACCAACAGCTGGAGTAAACATTTACTCATCTTTACCGAATCATCCTGGAAAACCACCCAGCCATCATTCCACATCACTACACATACACACACACACACCAATACAACTTGTCCACATTCACCAGTATGTGGTGATAATTTGCTGTTGTGTTTGTTTTTGTGTTTGTTTGTTATTCAAGTTAAAGATCCCACCTTGGAAATGAATCCATATGGGTATCAGATCTCAAGCAGCTACTATTGCATCACTTTCAACAAGCCTTAGTGCACCTGAGAGCCCAATGAGCGTTTCCTATTGCAGTTTAGTTTTGCTAGGTTACGGAAGTTGTCTTGCAGCACTTTTGATTCATTTAGTGGTGACGGTTTCTAAAAGCACTGTATGCTTGATTCTTGCTTTCATCCAATGTCAAAAGTCATATCATAGTGTCAATAGCAGCTCCAGACCTGGAAGTTGTACCTCCAACAAAAACAAGTGTAGTCAGCTTCCCTTCTGTACTAACCTCCATCATCACTAACAGGGTTTTTTTTTTGGCTTAGGTTTGCTCCTGAAAATGCGGAACTGCATTTAGCTTGAACAGCAAAAAGCCATTGCCAGAGCAAGAAACAGTGTCAGTTGACACGGTGTGTATACACAATTATTGATTCCTTATGATAGATGGTAATATGAGTCTGCCGTGCAGGGTAGCTGATCATGTAATCAGATTAGTTGTTCAAGGTCATGGAAAGTTGGGAATACATCGGGTCCAGGAGCACACGGTTCTTACCTTAACCATCCTGTATCTATTGTTACAGGTTATCTCTGCAGCAAACAATCAGGCTTTGTATCATCACTATCACCATTTCAATAAACAGGTATTGTGACCCATGTGTATTATATTTTATTAATATGTTTTTCTTGGTCACATGTTGAGATCAGTCCACTTTATGCAAATAATTGAAAGGCTTAGTGTTTGATGGTCACTAGACCTCTGTAACTAAATGATGCACAATGAGGTCTTTGTAAATTCTACAACAATGTGCGGAGGCTTGACCTAATGTTAACTGTCAAATATTTTGATAGAGAAGTTGTTGTGAATTTGTACTTTTCCAATAAAGATTTTTTTTACCAATCCCTTAATTGACTGATTGTTAAATCAATTTTATATTAAAGAGATATGAAATAAAAATTTCAAAAGCAAAAGGAGAGAAAACAAAACTTTGATTAGATTTTTTAACCACAATTACTTAAAAAAAACTTAAGACATCCCTGCCAAAGTATTAAATACTGCTTTCAAATTAAAGTTATCTTGAATCTATAATAGCGCACTGAATCTAATACAAACAGTTATGTATAACTGCAGTATGTCATTTATATGTTTATTTATTTATTTTTGTATGTGTGTTTGTGTGTGTGTCTTGTTCAACAATTTGTGTCTAGTCACTTCTATTTTGCACAAAAAAAGAGAAAAATCTAAAATGAGTAAATTTTGGTCATCGGCCAACAAAGGAAGTCAAACTGTCAGAAGGTATGTAAAAGTGAATATGAATTAAAAGTTATCCAAACAGTGTGTAATGAGGCTATCCCAAAAAATGTCCTCTTAGGCTAATTACCAAATATGTATTTAACCTAATGCATACATAATAACGGTTACATTACATGTTTAAATGATAGAAATAATGATAACAATGATCATATTTTATCTTTAGTTACCCTCAGTCTTTTATTAATATTTCTACTGTTAAAATGTGTGTTTTGTTTTTTATTTTCCCATCTTTCTCTTTGAGCCCTGAGGTGACGTCATCCCAGCCGGAGCGTCTCTCACCAGGCAACAGACCAGGTCAGATCACGTGACAACACCGGAAAAATACTAATTATGAAATGATCAGTGTAGGACAGAATATCGATCATAATGATAACATGTCATTTATGGTGTGTGTGTGTGTGTGCGTGTTTGTGTGCAGGTTTGTGTGCAGGTTGATCAGCCAAGGAGCCGTTACAAACGCTCGTCCCGGAAATCATGTGTCCTTCACAATAAGAGCACCAGTCCAATGAATCGTTAAACCTGAAACTGCATGTGGCTATGTCGATCGCATTTCAATCTCACGCACATACACATTTCGTAAATGATACGAAATGTAACACTTCGCCTATTCAAAAATTTGATCAAACATCTCTACCATATTTGTCTTATTGTCGATATTTAATTTAGATTTTAGAATCAAATATAAAACATAGTTGAGGATTTTTTGCAGGTAAAAGGGATATTCCGGCATAAAATTAATTTAGGGTCAAACACACCGTAACACCGAGTTCGACACCCCCTTGAGAGATGAATGTTGCTGACTGCTTGCTTTTCTAGTCGTACCAGCTTTAGTAACGACCGCACAATAGCAATACACAGCAGTCTGAGGAGCCATAAACAAACCTCAACCAAAACGTCACTCTATAGCCACAAATAATGCTCAGAACAGCACCTAACTTCATCAACAGTACATATAGGATCCCAGCCACAGCACTAGCCACCAAACATCTTTTTAGTTAATTTCTTTAGCAAAGAGACTAAACACAATTTACCCTCTCTCTTCCAGCAGCTGCTTGTTTGTACAGACACCTCGGGCCAGTCCATTACGGACTACAGAGGGGTGAATTAGCTCAAGGAAGAACATTCATGATCATTTCTTAATGGAAATACAATCAGATCGAGATGCTATGGCAAAGAACTACCGCTTCTGCAGAGCAAAATGATTAATATGGTCATTATTACTTTAAGGAAATGATAGAGAAATTATCATAAATGTTCTGCACTAAGCTGCGTCAACTCGCAGCAGTCTGTAATGGACTGGCCTGAGTTCTAGCCACAAACAAGTGGCTGCTGGAAGAGAGTAGGTGATTTATGTTTAGTCTCTTTGTTAAAGAAATCAGGCAAAGTTAAAAAGATGTTTGGTGGCTAGTGCTGTGACTACGACCCTACATGTACTGTTGATGAAGTTAGGTGCTGTTCTGAGTATTATTTGTGGCTATAGAGCAGCATTTTGGTTGAGATTTGTTTGGCTCCTTAGACTGCTGTGTATTGCTATAGTGCAGTCGTTAGCAAAGTTGGTATAACTAGAGAAGCAAGTGGTCGACAACATTCGTCTCTCGAGGGGGTGTGCAACTTGGTATTACGGTGTGTTTGACCCTAAATTAATTTTACACCGGAATATCCCTTTAAATAGTTCTACGCGTAAGTGAGTTAGAAATTCAGGATTTAACATGTTGATGAATTTTGATGAAATTTGGATTTGGATAACAATTTGATGCTTTTATTTTGAAGGCTTTTCTGTGTGTTTTCCTGTGCGACAGTGTGTATTGACGCAGCGGGTGGCAGCTGGTGCGTCAGGAGGAGACGGAGATGCCATAACAGCAGCATCAGCGCGGCGCTCCGGGTCCTGTTCGCTCCGCACTGATCCGAACCGGCTCTGCTCCGGGACTCCTCTCATGCTCTGTCCACTTCACAGCGCGACAGCCCCGGCTTCAAGCTCTGCGGAGGAGCGGCGGCAGCATCTGGAGCGGAGGTAAGAGGAGGAGGAAGAAGAGGAGGAGGAGGAGGAGAAGGCAGGGCGTGGAGGAGGGGGAGAGACCTGTCTGTCTGTCTGTCCTCCTGTCTATCTTTTCCGTTATCTGTCTGTCTGTACATGTCTGTCTGTCCTCCTCTCTGCATGTCCTCTCTGTCTCTCTATGTCGCCTCTGCTCACGGCTCATTGTCCGGCCTGCAGCCGCGGATGGAGCGCTGAGGCCCGGCAGGATGTTTGTGTCGAGCCGCTCCGGTTCGTCCAACATCCAGGGTGTGTGCGCGTGTGTGCGCGGGCGCGAGTGTATGTGTTTGTGCTGTGTCAATGGACAGGTTTGTGTCTTGGGTGGGGTTCAACTCAGGTGGTCTGAATAACGGTGATGATGAGGGTGATGAAGGTGATGATGATGTCACAGAGGTGAACAGGTTGAGCTGCTCGAGGACACTTCCTGTCAGCTGATCCGTGTAATATAGTACAGGTGGAAATTCAAATCGTCCTTACATGTGTCTATCTATCTATCTATCTATCTATCTATCTATCTATCTATCTATCTATCTACATCAGCTGATAGTTTTATACAGCAGAATATGTCAACAAAATGAAAGTATTTAATCACTTAAATCATATCTGTTTTAATGTGGGTGTCCAGTTATTAGTATTTTAAATATAAAACCCAATTCCATTGAATTTGGGAAGATGTGTAAATCGTACATAAAAACAGAATACAAAGATTTGCAAATCCTTTTCAACCTATATCCAATTGAATTCACTACAAAGACAAGATATTTAATGTTCGAACTCAGTAACTTTTTTTTTTTTTTTTTTTTTGCAAATAATCTTTAACTTTAAAATTTTATGGCTGCAACACGTGACAAAGAAGTTGGGAAAGGTGGCAAAAAATACTGAAAAATTCGAGGAATGCTCATCAAACACCTATTTGGAACATCCCACAGGTGAGCAGGTTAATTGGGACCAGGTGCGTGCCATGATAGGGTATAAAAGCGGCTTCCCCAAAAGTTCTCAGTCATTCACAAGCAAGGATAGGGCGAGGTTCACCACTTTGTGAACAACTGCGTGAGCAAATAGTCAAACAGTTTAAGAACAACGTTTCTCAAAGTACAATTGCAAGGAATTTCAGGATTTCAACATCTACAGCCCATAATATCATCAAAAGGTTCAGAGAATCCAGAGAATTCACTGCATGTAAGCGGCGCAGCCGGAAACCAACACTGAATACCCGTGACCTTTGATTCCTCAGGCGGCACTGTATCAAAAACCGACATCAATGTGTAAAGGATATCACCACATGGGCTCAGGACCACTTCAGAAAACCATTGTCAGTAAATACAGGTTGTCGCTACATCTGTAAGTGCAAGTTAAAACTGTACTATGCAAAGCAAAAGCCATTTATCAACAACATCCAGAAACACTGCCGGCTTCTCTGGGCCCGAGCTCATCTAAGATGGACTGATGCAAAGTGGAAAAAGTGTTCTGTGGTCTGATGAGTCCACATTTCAAATTGTTTTTGGAAATAGTGGACGTCGTGTCCTCCGGGCCAAAGAGGAAAAGAACCATCCAGACTGTTGTCGACGCAAAGTTCAAAAGTATCTGTGATGGTATGGGGGTGCATTAGTGCCCAGGACATGGGTAACTTACACATCTGTGAAGGCAACATTAATGCTGAAAGGTACATAGAGGTTTTGGAGCAACATATGCTGCCATTCAAACAGCGTCTTTTTAATGGACGCCCCTGCTTATTTCAGCAAGACAATGCCAAGCCACATTCTGCACGTGTTACAACAGCGTGGCTTCGTAGTAAAAGAGTGTGGGTACTCGATTGGCCTGCCTGCAGTCCAGATCTGTCTCCCATTGAAAATGTGAAGCGCATTAAGAAGCATAAAATACGACAACAGAGACCCCGGACATCAAGCAAGAATGGGAAAGAATTCCACCTTCAAAGCTTCAACAATTAGTCTCCTCAGTTCCCAAACGTTTTCTGAGTGTTGTTAAAAGGAAAGGTGATGTAACACAGTGGTAAACATGCCCCTGTTCCAACTTCTTTGGCACATGTTGCAGCCATGAAATTCTGAGTTAATGATTATTTGCAAAAAAATTAAAGTTTATGAGTTTGAACATTAAATATCTTGTCTTTGTAGTGTATTCAATTGAATATAGGTTGAAAAGGATTTGCAAATCATTGTATTCTGTTTTTATTTACGTTTATCACAATTTCCCAACTTCAATGGAATTGGGTTTTGTAGTTATTAAGTCCATATTAATAACGTAAAGCTATTCTTATCAATGCCTTGATTTGGGAGTCAAATTCATACAATCATGTGCACTTTGATATCTTAACTTTTGGATTTATTATTCAAATAAACACTTCACTGCTGCACCACTGTGGTCTGAAACCATGACTTGGAGGTAGCAGACAGCTTCAGGGTGTTCATATTCAGCTTCAGAGTATTAAATGTAAGTTAACACAGGGCAACAAATCAACACAAGTTGAAATTTGCCTTTTCCTCTAACAGCTTTATATTGATTTTACAGTGTGTGGTTGTACTGTAGAAGTTTAAGAGGTAAAGAAACAGAAAGTGCTTCACATACACACTGACATGCACTTGTGACCTTCCTCTATATGACTGTTGCAGCTATTCCACATATTTAGCAGGTCATATGGACTGAGACAAACAACCACAGTTCTCCAGAATGAATGAAAAACCAGTCAGGCATCTGTTCTCACTCAAACTGGGAAAGGAGATTCAATACGAATAACTGCTGCACACTGTTGTGATCATATTGGCCAATATTGCAATTTACAATATAGTAAATGCTGCTATGAGTCTATTTGCTTGGTTGTTAACATGCAACTGTATTGGTAGTTTTGATACATGTATTTCACGTTTCTGGACCAAAATGATGACCACAAATGTTTATTTGTCAGGTGGGCAGTGTGCTGGAGTTTCCTTACAGTTCCAAGAATTGTTCGATAAAATGTGTCTGACTCCTACCTCCTCCTGTCCTTTGTTGTCCAGGATGCACTGGGGTTTCCCAGTAAGCCTGTAAAGATGAGTGTAACCTCATGGTTCTTGGTGAGCAGCTCCGGGACTCGACACCGCCTCCCCAAAGAGATGATCTTCGTGGGTCGAGAGGACTGCGAGCTCATGCTGCAGGTGAGACCAGTCAGTCAGAGCAACCAATACAGCAGTTCAGCCCAAGTTCAATCAGAACAGTCATTAAAACTATTTATTTAATCAGACTGTTTAAACCAGACTTTCCAGTTAGAGTGTTTGATCAAACTGTTCAGTTTAACAGTTCAATATGACTATTAAACTATACTCCACATTGAGACTGAAATAGCACTGTTTATTCAGATTGTTCAATCAGACCGTTCAGACTGTTGAATCAGTTTCTTGATTCAGATTGTCTGGTTACGTTGTTCAATTTGACTGTTCCATCACACTCTTTATTTAGACTGTTGGATCAGGCTGTTAAGGTTGTTCAATCAGACTCTTGGTTCAAACTGTTCATTTCTGAGTTGCAACAGTCTCTTTTTCCACACTGTTTGATCAGACTGTTCAGCTGTGTTATCAGGTCGACATGACATCAGCGTATTTCTCAGTAACACTTTTTGAGACTGATCAATTAGTCTGTTTCACTGGACTGTTCAGACTGATCATACTTCAATTTTAGGGATGCACCCATCTGATATTTAGATCAGATATCGGCTCCGATATTGACGAATTTACTAGATCTGATATTTGATGAATGACGCCGATCCAGTGTTCCGATCCAGTCTTTTTTTTTTTTTTAATTAATATCATACACAGCAACACAACGATTCTGTTCAGTCTATATTCTATGTCTGTCTATCCTTTTGCACAAAATGTTTACATGGAAGTCTTACTTCTTTTTGCTGTGCGCTAATGTGCTAATTTGTTATTTGTTAATAAATAATATTAAGTCAATTTATATCTGAGTTAATTTGTTACCTTTATTTTTTTTAACAAGGCTAATGTCAAGCCTAATGCCTTCACTCACAGGGCAAGGTATACAGTTCGCTCATTCATTCAACAGTAGTATTGGATCGGTATCAGATATCGGCCGATATGCTCAGCCCAGGTATCGGTATCAGACTGGATCAGAAAAATTGATCGGTGAACTCAATTTTAATTTCCTTTCAAACCTTGATGGTTTAATCAAAACCTATCAATTTAATTATTTGTTTGGGCCTCTCAGTTAAACTGTTCAATCGGACTGTTTATTCCGCCTTCATATCTAGTGTTCTTCATCCAGGCTTTTCAATGATACTCTTAAACCAGTCTTATCAAACAGAGCAATCCGAACACTCTATCTTACTGTTGGACAGCTCTTCAGAAGCTAATGCAGGATGACTGCAAAACTGTAGCGCGTGGATCACTCACCTGTTTGTGTCTCATAGTCCCGCAGCGTGGACAAACAGCATGCTGTCATCAACTACAACCCGACTACAGACCAACACCTGGTCAAAGACCTGGGCAGCCTCAATGGGGTGAGGCCAACTACACACACTACTACATACAATACTGCACAAACTACTACTACACACTTCTGAAATTTTGTTAAAAAAATGACACTAAATAACAAATAATGAAAAATAAATTCCACAGTAGCAGAATAACTGAGTGTGACGTGTTTGGTTTGTTTCAGACGTTTGTGAATGACCTGAGGATTCCTGATCAGACCTACATCACCCTCAAACTGTCCGACATCATCCGCTTCGGATATGATATCCTCCCATGTGTGTGTGTATGTGTGTGTGAGAGAGATAATATTTGGATGTTGAAATCTCAGAGTTGTTTACAAGTGAGTAAGGTACAGTTTTGTTACTTAGTGTGAGAACAGTTTTTTTTCTTAACTCTTGTTTTCACATTCTCATGTCTACGTCTTGGAGAAAAGTCAACACAAAGTGCCCGAGGAGGCTTTGAAGGTCAGTGAGTGAGTGTGTGAGCGTGTGTGTACGTTTTTGTGTGTGATACTAAAGAGTGTTTGACATCGCCTCCTGTTGTTGCAGCATGAGAAGTACAGTAGTCAGCTGCAGATGAGTCTGAAGGCATCAGAGGGACACAAGACCGAGCCTGAGGAGAAAGCAAGAGCAGAAAAAACCTCGATTACAAAGAGTCTCACTCAAGGTACTTCAAAAATAGTGTGTATTATGGTACATTATACTAGGAATAATGATTTGAATGAAAACAATACAAATAAGTAAAAACAAATACATTACTCCCCTCACAGTGGGTGTCATGAGAACCCTGAACTATTTGGCCCAAAACAGTTCTTGGAATTAGGCTGGTTAGGTGTGATTATTATTCCTCTTAAAACAGGCTTCTTTGGCTGAGTGTGTATGTGGTTTTAGGTATTGTTGCATTAAGCCCCCAGGTGGACACTCAGAGAACTGCAGTGTTAAGTGTTTCCGTATCAGCTTCCTTTCTTAGGACCAGAGGTTTTGTGTGTTTCTGTGTTGTAGAGGCTCCAGTGTGTCGGCCCACTCCACTGTATGGTCAGCCGTCCTGGTGGGGAGAGGAGGATTATGGGAGTAAAGTTCAGAGCAGCGATGAGCCCCATGCAGGTAAAAACAAACCTCTGAATACCACAAGGTAGGAAAACAACCTCAGTCCCTGTGGATATTTGTGTGTTTGTTACATGATATTTTCATTTTGATAAAAGTTGATGAAACAAATTAATAGTTGCTGTAATGATTTTCTTTATCATTTATCAAATTACACAGTGAAAATAGTCAATTTCAACAGTAAAATCATGTGGAGAGTGTAGAAAATTGGTATTAGTGCTTATTCAATCTGTGTTATTTATTACCGGCTATCATCAGTCACTTTGAGGTTTAAAATGCACTCTTATATATAAAGAATTATATAATTTTGTGCCTTAGTTTTATTTCTCTCAGCAAAATGTCTTTTTCAGAAGTTCACAAAGAGCCATCATCGATGGACCAAGATTTTTCTGGACCCCTGACTGACGCCCAGCAGAAAAGCGTTTTCCCTTCATACCATCGTGAACCCAGCTACTTCGAAATCCCAACGAAGGACTTCCAACACCCCAAAACCTTGGGGGCAGAGCTTCACGAGATCCCCACTAAGGATACAGACACACCCCCAGCCCCGTCTTCCCCTCCCACCCCAACCCCACCAGTGGTTCAGAGCCACGCCTCCTTCACCATCGAGTTTGACGACTGCTCTCCTGGCAAGATCAAAATCAAAGATCATGTCACTAAATTCTCCACCCGCCAGAGGAAACAGCAGGCTCCACCCACCAAGACCGGCATGGCAACTGCCACTCCTGCTGAGGTGATGTCGGCAGAGAGCAAGGTGGCTGATTGGCTGGTCCACAGTGATGTCAGCATGATGAAAAGGCGTCCCACCTGTGAGGACGTTTACAGCACAAAGAGTGACCTTGCAATGAACATCAAGACGCTAAAAGGTCAGAGGTTACCATGTGTCAGTCTTTAAAGGGCCAGTACAAAAGTTTAATTTTTTCATTTGTAATATTTCTGATCACAGTCCCACATCTTCCTGTCTAAAGGTTCAAACATCCTTAGTCTGTTGGGGGTATATTCAAAGTTCAGTTTGTTTAAAGACTTGCAGCCTGAGTCCACTTGGACTTTTAAAAACATGTTGATGAATTAAAGTGTGTGTGATATTTTTTTGTTGTCAGGTCATCATCATGAGGATGGAACCCAGAGTGACTCAGAAGACCCGGTTCTCAAAGGGAGGAGGAGTAAATCCCACCACTCTGTCCAGTCAGAGCAGTCTGAGGTGTCTCAGCAGACAGTTCAGTCAGGTCAGTCTGTCCACCATCACCTTCCCCCAACACAGAAACTCCACCAGCCCCTGCAGTATTCTCCACCTGGACCAGCCCCAAGCTCTCCTGTGGCCCCTGAGAGACCCTTGTCCCAGAGTCCTCCTCAGACCCAGTCCCCAAAAGCAGAAACCCCAAAGCAGGGCCCCCCAGAGCACCTTACGCAGCAGGCCTTCATCATCGAGTTCTTTGATGACAACCCGCGCAAAAAGCGCTCGCAGTCCTTCACGCACAACCCTGCCCACGCTGACTCGTACTCCTCCTTGAAGGCAAAACTGGAGCGGCGGAAAGGGGGTGAGAGGCCAGCATCTGTACATGGCCACATCCCTCCCACCCAGCAGGTGACTGTTCCTCTGAAAAGTCAGGGCCACAGTGGCCCCCAGAGGTCAAGCTCTCTGAAGAGGGAGAAGACAGAGGGGGAGGCAGCTTCCTCTGGTTCCTCTTCTCGCTCCTCCTCTGGGATCATCATAAGACCCTTTGGGAGCGTAGGGAAGAAATCCAAGCTGGCTCAGGAGTTTGCCGCTGAATTTCTCAAAGACTCTGGTCAACATGAGTCCTCCCTAACAAGGGACAAGATGTCCCCACCCCCAATGTCTGCACCACCAGTGATGATGTCTCCTGCTCATGCAAGAATTCCCTCCCCCCAAGAACCTCCAGCGACAACCTCAATATCCTACCCAAGCTCCCCCTTACAGCCTCCACCAGCCTCAAAGTCTTCTGCTGGCCAGACCTCCTCTCCAGTCCACCTTTCTGGGCCCCCAATGTCCCCCATGCTGCCTTTGGGTGTACGTGCGGCAGACCCTAAAGGTGCTCAGAGGATGATGAGGAACGAGGAGGACGACAGCCTGAGCGATGCTGGGACCTACACCATCGAGACAGAAACACAGGACAAGGAGGTGGAGGAGGCTCGTAACATGATTGATCAGGTGAACTCCACGTTAGACCACTTAAGAGTGTTTCAGTCAGTGACCAAACTCAGGCAGATTCATAGTTCAGACTGATGATTAAAGGCATACTTCATTCACAGTTAAATTTGTAAATATTACTCAGACCAGTAAAGCGAAATCAGATTTGTCATAATATTCATAAAGAATGGGCAGGCTCTTTCCTCCCTCCCTCAATTGACTAGTTCAAAACACAAAAACTAACAACCTTAGGTAGACTCACTTCAGAAGTCTCTCCAGGGCTGCATGTGACCTCTTGTCCTTGTTGCTCCTTCATGTCCCTGAGAAGCCACCCCCTCCTCATGCATGCCCTGTGCTCTGACAGGTGTTTGGTGTCCTCGACTCTCCAGAGTACAGTGGTGTGAGCACAGGGGTGTATAGACCTCCTGTAATAAATGATGGCAAGGATGAGCAAGCTAACCTGCCTAGCGATGGTAGCACTGTGGACCTGTTGCATGGCTTTAACCCAGCCGCTATCAGCGGTGCCCCGTCAGGCCCCATACAGGTAAAACCACAAAAAACTGAACCTGGAACTAGCATGATGTGATCCCAGTGCATGCAGACTTGTGTTGTTGCTCCCTCAGTTTCTCCGTAGACATACTTAACTCTGTTAAGTCTCATTGGACTTTTTGGCCTCATAATTCCATCGTTTGATAATTTCTTTCATTGTGTTGTTTATTGTTCAGGTTCCACCTGCTAGTGTCACAGGTCTGGAAGGACCCAAATGGGTTTCCCGCTGGGCCAGTCTGGCAGATAGCTATGCTGAACCTGGTTCCACTCCACCTCAAGGGGAAAGTCTGGAAGGTAATGTTGAGTTTTTAAATGAAGTTTAACTAAAAACAAAACTATAGAACTGAGAATCAGACCCAGTCTTTGTCCCCACTGTATTGCTGCGTTGGAGTAACCTCGGAAGTCAGTTGTCGGAGCTGAAAATGACGTTACACCCGAGTTCCCAGTGTTTCAGTTACCAAGTTGGAAAAAGCAAAATCCAAGGCCTTATATTCGGACAAGGCAAGTGCTAAAATAACTTTGGTAGATGCAGCCATCTTGTTTCAGGCCTCCAATCTTACTTTTTTTCCAACTTGGTAACTGAAACGCTGGTAACTCAGGTGTGATGTCATTCTCAGCTCGGACTTCTGACTTCTAAGGTAACTCAAACACAGCATATGAACCTCAGATTCCTACCTGCACACATTACCTATAGCTGTTCACTTTCAGGCCATGTAAAGCAGTCTAGCAGGTTAAACTCAAAAGGATAGTTCAGACCAAAGATTTACCCTGAAAAAGAAATTGAAACAACTCTCCATGCCAGTCATCTAACTCTGTTTTTCAGCTATTTGGCTGATAAAACTCAACCATCCTAATTTCTCTGGCAGTTAGTGAGTAGAGTCAAAGATAATGCAATCATCTGACCTAATCCACCTGAGGAGTACAACTCCACACAGATTATTCTTTTTCTTCACTAATTTCATCCCAGTGCAAATATCTGATCTGAAATGGTTCAAAAAGCAACTCCCATTTACTCTGAAGCACTCTTTACATCTGGTATGGGTTTTGATAACATTCAGATCATGTGGACCTCTATGATCAGCCAATCATTGAGTCTAAAAAATTGTGTTTTAAAATATGATAAATGAATATGATGCTTGCAACTGAGTAAACAGGAACTGTTTTTTGTAGATATGCACCTCATGAGCCGGTCGATGGGAAATTACAGCTATGATAACTCGGAGTCGGAGTCCAGCCACAGCTCAAGGACTAGAAGACTGCTGCCTCAGGTGCCTCCAGAGAAGCTGGATAGCGTTCCTCCAAGTATCCTGATACGGCATGAGCCTTACCATGGACAGGCAGCTCTGGACCGATTCTCTGGTACTACTCGCCACCAGGACTCCACCCAGTGTTTGTCGGTTCAAGATGATGTTGACCCAGACAGCCTAAGTGATGCCAGCCGGTCAGATGATGGACCTGTTCTGGAAAAAACTAAGAGGAATCAAGCTAGGACTGGATCTGTGTCCCCAGGGGGCACTGGTCCTCAGGTCAGGGGTGCAGAGAAAGTGTCCCCCTCTACAAAGTCCACCTCATTCTACATTGGATCTGAAGATAGCCCAAGCAAACCTGACCAAGCCAAAAGCCCAGTGCAGTCTGAGAGAATACAGAAGCCCTCAGCCAAAACCCCTCCAACAACCATCCTGATCCGACATCTGAGTGGGCATGAACCACGAAGGACAGGTGTCAAACCCAACAGCTCTGCCCCTAACCTCCAAATACAAGACAAGGATTCTGTTCCCACTAAAGACAGCTGTATGTCATCTATTGTACGCCAGGAGAGCTTTACCAAAGACCAGCCCAGTGATAATGTCCAAATGAAGAAGCTCCCTCACATATCCAGTCATCCGTCCATCAGAGACATGGAGCAGAGGAGGGAGAACATTCAGGACACACAGTCCTTCCTTCAGGAGACAGAGGGAACTCTGTCCTCTCTGGACACCAAGTTCCCCTCATCAGGCTCAGGTCGTAGCTCAAAGAAAGGAGGCTCCTCCACCCACATGGACGACTCCCTGTCCGGTGAGTCAGATGTGGACACAGCTAGCACTGTGAGCCAGGTGAGCAGCAAAAATGCCCCCATCAGTTCTGCTCCTAAAAAGCGTCCTGCCATTAGTAGCCTTCAAAAGGAGAAGTCTTCTTCCAGCCCGTCCATCCAAGAGAAGGGACGGCAGCTCACAGCCCGAGAACGGCTCTCTGAAAAACGCCGCGGCCAGGTGACATCAGAGGCAGCAAGCAAGGCAGAGGCAACAAAGCGCTTTCAGATGCGCCGCAGTGCCGGAAACCGTGGATCTCTTGATCTGTCTGAGGGCCAGCAGGGTTCTGGTCAACAGTGGACAGAAACAACATCATCAGACCACGAGGTGTCTCGCCCATCTGGCCGTAGCAAGAAAGTAATAGCCCCACTTCAGAAAGAGGACAACGGTAAGACGACAAAGACACCATCTCAGCAGGTATTGACACGTTCCAATAGCCTGTCAGCACCACGACCGACTCGAGCATCCATGCTTCGCCGAGCCCGCCTGGGTGAGGCCTCAGATAATGAAGGTACAGAGACAGACCGGGCCTCCCAGAATTCAGATCACATCACAGCACCTGCCAAAGTATCTGCTGAGGGGAAGAAGCTGTCCAGGCTGGACATCTTGGCAATGCCTAGGAAGAGAACCGGCTCCTTCACAACCCCCAGCGACAATGAGGCCTCATCTACAGGCCGCTCTAGTCTCCCCAGTCGTAACGCTGAGTCTGCTGCCACCACCAGGAAGACCTCTGTGGGTGATGCCCGCCAAGCCACTGGAAAAGGGAGTGGAGTTTCAGGCAAGCAACCACTCGCCCGGACCAGGTCTAGCGGAGCCAAGTACCCCAGCACCAGTAAGTTCTGGTTAGATTTGTGTCTCAGAATGTAGACATAAGTACAATAATAACTGTAATACTGTTCATCCTGAGCATGTCATCAGTTTCTCTTCTTTAGTGACTGTCAAACCGATTTTAGTATCGCCGGGGTTGAGACTGTTACCATTATTGAAATGTTGTCCTTTATTGGATGTCGTGAAAAATAATATTGGTAGCTATTCTTTTCTGTCTTCTTTCTATCCATGATCTACAAAAAATCCTATTGCAACCATACACAAAACCCAACAGGAAGTCCACATTTTGATTATTGTCTATGTTAATCGATTTACTGGTGTCAGATTTTAATAAATTCATCATTGAGGCTTCTTCTCTGGATTTGGTACATGTAATGTAGACACACTGTCAGTCAAAAGTTGTGAGAGGATTTAATGTTGGTCAGATAATGTGTTCTTGGCTGGTGGCTCGTCAAACTTCCATGTCTTGCCATGAAACCGGGAGTTGCTCCTTCATACAATGTTTGATCATTTTGAGATTCTAAAGACATGACCAACATATAGTACATTCCTGAAAACATTCACTGTATGCGATAAACTATCAACCACCGTGATACTGCCACCCTCTTGGGATACAATGCATTACAGGGACATTCCAGCGTAAAATTAATTTAAGGTCAAACACACTGTAACACTGAGTAAGACACCCCCTTGAGAGATGAATGTTGCCGACTGCTTCATCAACAGTACATACAGGGTCCTAGCCACCAAACATCTTTTTAACTTTGCCTAACTTCTTTAGCAAAGAAACTAAACACAACTCACCGACTCTCTTCCAGCAGCCGCTTGTTTGTAGCGAGACCACCAGGCCAGTCCATTACGGATTACAGCGGGGTGACGCAGCTCAAGGAAGAACATTTATGATCATTACTATTATTGATCATTTTGCACTGCAGATGCGTTAGTTCTTCTGCCTTAGTGTCTCGCTACAAACAAGCGACTGCTGGAAGAGAGTAGGTGAGTTGTGCTTGGTCTCTTTGCTAAAGAAATCAGGCAAAGCTAAAAAGATGTTTGGTAGCTAGTGCTGTGGCTGAGATCCTATATGTACTTTTGATGAAGTTAGGTGCTGTTCTGAGCATTATTTGTGGCTATAGAGTGGCGTTTTGGTTGAGGTTTGTGTTTGGCTCCCCAGACCACTGTGTATTGCTATTGTGCGGTCATTACTAAAGTTGGTATAACTAGAGAAGCAAGCGGTTGGCAACATTCATCTCTCGAGGGGGTGTCTAACTCTGTGTTACAGTGTGTTTGACACTGAATTAATTTTACACTGGAATATCCCTTTAACTTTCGAATGCAGGGAATCCTCTTGTATGTTGGTCTTCTTTTATTGTAACATTGCTGAGCTAATAGATATTCCCAAATCTTAACACCATATGAGTGGTGCTCTTTGAGGATAATATTGATTTTAATCAGGAACTATCATATAAATGAAAAAAGATACTCAGTCCTTCAAGCATATTTTAAAATCATAATGTAACTTCACACCCAGCACTTAACCTTTCAAACTAATTTTCCTTCCCAAACACTGTGTTTTGTGTTCAGTAAACTGACTCTTCATCATGAGGGTACAACAGCCGATCCCAAACAGTTTTTACTGCTGCATCAGAGAGTCGTCTAAAGCAGCCTTTGTTTTAGATTCTGCCGGTGAAGTCTGCCATTTTACTACCACTGTGGATCAATTCAGATTTCTGTCTCTGGTGGGTTAGAGCAGTCTGCTGCTGTTACCATGGAAACACAGCTTCACAGCATCAGTCTCCATGGTTTTCTATCATGTTTGACTTAACATGTGTTGCAATGCATCAATCTCTCTCCTGACTGTACCAGAGGGAGACGTCATAGTCAGAAGCTGTGGATTTATTCCAAGGATTCCCTAATAGATCCTCAGAGCAAACTGCAGATTAAACTCTGATGTTAACTAACAGCAGTCACTTATTGGGTATCAAACCAACATCCCTCAGACTGACAACATCCACATTTTCCTCCAGAGTCTTGTGTAATAAAACCTGAATGAAATATTTACAGGTTCCCGTCGCAGACAGAAGGGTTCAGACTTCTCCTCATCTTCCGAGGAGGAATACCAGACAAGTGCTGGGACTCCCAAAGCCAAGCGCTCTTCCCACCCCTCCACATCTGCCCAGACGCCACGCAGTCATCGCACAGCTGCCACCAGGTCCAAATCAGTCTCCCTGGAAACAGAGGAGGATGAGGACCAGAATGAGGGAGACCCCTATCAGAACTGGTCCACACATAGCGCTGAGATTGCCAAGTACAAATTACGAAATATCCATCAACACCTTTAGCTCAAAGACAAAGTGACCCCACCTCTGTTCATGATGGCTTTTTTTCCGTGTGTCCCCTGTAGGCTCAGTCAGGACCTGGCTAAAGATCTGGCCATCCTGGCCAAGGAAATTCACGATGTTGCTGGGGATGGAGACTCACCCAGCTCTGGCATGGGCACTACCACCTCACCCAGCTCTCTACCCAACACACCAGCCTCCACCATCTCTGCCAGGGAGGAGGTGGGCAACACTGTGAACTACCCAACACCCGTCAAGTCACCGCAACCACAATACAAACTACAGATCCAAAAACTGGGAACACACCAGACACATAACTCTGATTTTAGACTTTTAGTAATATCTGTGGTTAAGATCAAATCTCTGCTCTGTTCTTGTGCCACTAAATCTAAAATGAATACTCTACAGATCTTGGAAATATGTGTTATTCTGCTGTTTAGACTGATGCACAATGGGAGTCTAAACAGAGGTAACTGTAGCCCACAGACACAATCATCACCAGTGTATTCCCAGTTTAACTGGGAACAATTAGTTTTTTCAAACGGGGTCTTCTTTGTGTAGTTTTGTCTCCATCTCTGTCAAGGATGTCATGCCATCAGAAGTATGTTGGATGGAAAGGTTCAGTTGTCTGCAGTTTGTTTCAAGTTCTAGGTTGAATGATAGAAGCTTCATCACGCTTTGGATTCTCATGACCCATTTCTTTGTTCTGCTGCACAGACGCCATCTTATCAGTACTTACGAGGGGTTCGACCATCTCAGGTGTCTAACTCTGATTCATCACTCCGCCTGCTCTGTATCTGGTTCCCATCTTCCACCGCCATGCCCCTACCGTCACTGATCCTAACACTCCCCTCTCACAAGTGTTGGATGCTCTAACTCATGTTTGATTTCCTTGTTCTGAGATTTGTCTGATTAAGTGTTACAGTATGAAAGATTGTTAATGACAAAACTACAGAGTTAGCCTAAACAGTGAGCTGGAACCACTAAGGATCAAGGATTTGAAGGAACAACAGGTCTACCAATTCAAGACTCCAACTCAGCCTTACGATCACAACATGAGCCAGGTTCTGCTGGAGGTTAAAAAGCAGTTTTATCCTTGCCACTGTAACTTAGATAAGACTAATCTACACATCTAATGGCGCAGCACAAAACAGATTCAAACAGGAAGCTGTCTCCTAAACTCACCCCCCTTATACTCAGCTCTGTATATGTTATACCAGACCTTACCCGGTTCAACTGTACTCCCAAGACTCTCACCCCTCACACCTGTGAATCCAGCTGTATGTTCTCCAAACTAACAATGTCCAGCTACAATTTTAGCTTCATACCCTACTCAACTGTGTCCCATCCAAGTCCACCCAACCCCAATACCCCTTATCCTGATCTTAAGCATTCATTATAATTCACTGAGAACTATGACTATACTCATATTTATGGTCTGGCTTCACCTGCCAGCCAATAGGAAAGAATGTTTGAATCAGCTGCTGCATGACATTATTAATTCCATCAGGTTAGCACTGAACTTAAATGGTTCATTGGTACTTTTCCCTGCTTATTCTCCTTTCTAGTAGTTATATTCTGACTGGTTCCCGCCCAGGTGTGTTTGGGCTTACTCAGCAGTTTTGTCATTAATGAACTTCAGCACCCTTAATAAACTGGTTTGGCTGTTTTTTTGACAGTTCATGCAGCTGTAACTGGTGACCGGTAGGATCTTCCCGCACTCCTACATCTCCCTGTCGTTGTTAACAGGCTGTATCCCAGCAGTACTAAAATTCACTGCATACACTGTTGCCCTCACCATCGCAGCTGCATGTTGACTTGGTGCATGCGTTCACGGAGCACCGCCATCACCGGCCGGCTGCTCGCTGGTTTGATATCAGATATTCAGTGGTTGGATCACCAGAGCTAGACTCCCTCTACTCTCTTTCCAGCTGGTCCAACATATCCCTGAGGCCAGTTTAAACTACCAGAAGGTTCCTCCAGGTTCTGCTGCCGTCTCGGGCCTGGACGCAAACATGAATGAGCCGGAGCCCGGTTCTAAGCAACGTCGTCCGTGGAACCGCGAAGAGGTCACTGTCCAAAGGCACTGAGGCTATGTTCATACTGCAGCTCAGTGTGTCCCCAAATATGTTTGTCACTGCGAAACAAGACAATTTTGGCCAAAGTGAATCATTTCTACTTTTGTTTAAATTTACCGATTATCAACACGTCAAACAGATATCTCGATATCAACGTCAGTAACTTTATATATACAGCCACAAAATTTAAAGCATACTTCATTAAAATATCAATTGACATCTCTGATGAATGATAAAATATGAACCTATTTAGCGACCTGTCTGGTTGGTCGAACACATCAGTACTTTAATAAACGCAGGGACTACTGTCACCGATCAACCGCACAAAAACACTTGGTCCCAGCGGCGATCTTTGATGAGGTTCCTTTTGGCTGGGATTAGTGGAGAATGTTTAGTCAGGGTTAGTCAACTAGTTGGATAGTTTATTGTATTAGGTACAGTAGTTGTAGGTTAGATGGCGTAATGGGTTTGTGTTTTACTAAGCCTAGAGCAGTATCCAAGAATAAGTCCCGGTGATGCCAGAAGTTAAAGAGAGTTTCCTGTAAAGAGAGAAAGGGTTTTAAAAACGAGTGTTAAACTACTATGTCTTTCTTGGAGGCTGGAGGTGGAAGCTGTCAGTTAGACTAGGTAAGGATGGTTACTGGCTGTACAAAAAAAGCTGTCAGATAGGCCGAGAAGATCTGGAGATTGGATTTTTGGTGAAAGTGATTCATGAGTGAGTGAACTGTCCAGCTGTCAGGTCTTTGAGCTTAACCACAACTAAAACACGCAAAAGATGGATGCAGACTGGGATCCAAAAAGGCTAGAAACAATCCTGTTTTGGGTGTTGTCTTTAGTTCTTGAACTCATTCGCTCCAGGTGACTCCTTTGCTGTTTTATGATGGTACTGGCTGCTTGACAGTTTATCCACTTCTGTCACCCCCAGAGGCTGCACTGGCCATTAGAGACAGGTTTCAGAGACATGACATTTGCTCTCAGAGTGTTTCAGAGTAAAGATGAGTGTGAGTCAGGCTGACAGAGAGCAGGGAAGATTTGCAACCTAACGGGCGGTTTTTCTAAGATGTTGGTGTCTGGACTAATGAGCTCCTGGAGGCTGGACCAGCGTCACCACACTCAGCAGGTGATGATCAATCACAGCCTGCAGTCAAAGACCTGAGCCTGGAGTGTGAACATATCCAACACTTTGATAAAGTAAACCACACTGACACTGCTGCAGTTAGTTTTGGTGTGCTGGGACATCAGGGTGTGGACATCTGTGTGTCAGCATCTCAGCCTCCTGCTTTTATTTCATCTCAGTCCATCTGTGTCTCTCAATAAACTCTTTCAGGTGATTCTGGACAACCTGATGTTGAACCCCGTGTCTCAGCTGTCTCAGGCCATCCGCGAGAACACGGAGCAGCTGGCTGAAAAAATGAAGTAAGGAAACTGTCGATGAAACCGTCAGATAAATTTATTCAAAGTTTGCATTTTCAGTCTGAATCTGACCCCCTTAGATTAAAACCTCACCCCCTGTCAGAACAGGTTGTGTTTCAATTTGTTTTCAGCTACCCAGGTTTTAGAAAGTCCATCCATGCTTTGTGTGTATAATTCAGAGGTTCTTCTTGTGTTGCTGCACTTATTATGATCCACAGAAACACCTGTGTTGGTTTTATTTCGCCCTGACCTCGTCCTGTGTTTGCTCTCAGGGTTCTGTTCCAGAATAAAGCTGAAGTCTGGGAGGAGATCGAGGCCAAGATCAATGCTGAGAACGAAGTCCCCATCCTGAAAACCTCCAACAAGGTTGATCTTTAAACACCTCACTTCAAACATATAATACTCAGGATTAGTGAGAGAGCAGCTGGAACTTTCTCTCTTGTTCTTTGTCTCACTTCCAGGAAATCACCTCTATTTTAAAAGAGCTGAGGAGAGTGCAAAGACAGCTGGAAGGTATGAACCTGTTTGATTTATTTTATGTGTTTTTAAAAACTTTATTAAAACAGGACAGGTTTCGAGTGATAACATAAAACTTTCTTTAGTTTAATATCGATTTTCTGCAAAATACGGGACATTAAGGATAGACAGTTCTACATTTACAGATTTAAAGGTTCCTGAACTCCAAGGCTAACCATGCTTGAGGAAGAATTTAGCTATCTGTAATGAATCTATTTAATTTAAATAAAACTGTCGAGTTTCAAGACATGTAGACTGTTTTGCACAACATTAAAAGCATACTGGTATTTGAAAGAATCTGCTAAAGACCTGATATGAGCTCCTTGGTTCTGGTTTGTTCATTCATGTCCTGTTTTTCTCGCTGTAGTTATAAACACCATTGTGGAGCCCGGTGGAAGTGTTCATACGGCCGCGATGGGGACGACGCCTGCTGGTCAAACTCGGCCTTCCTCAAGGGAGAAGAAGACTCCTTCTAAAACCCGTGGTGCCCCTTCATCCTCCAACGCCAACGAAAGCACCAAGAGACCGCCTCGTGGACCCGACGGGGGCCACCACATGGCCTGAACAGGCCACCGTAGCACCTCCGGATAGTTCCTGTGTCCACACCGCCTGCAGCCTAAAATGGAGTTTGAAGATGAGCTGGAGAAACTCAGAAAGGTTCTGCTCATGCACAAAAGTTGAAATTTCTTGTTACAGATGTGTGAAGGGACACGGCCTGACTCCAGGTTTATATAAAAGATAGACCACTGCTTTAAGACTACCCCGTCTACTGCTCTTAAAATACCCTGTTTACTGCTCTGAATCTGCCCCGTCTACTGCTCTGAATCTAACCCCTCTACTGCTATAATTCAGACCTGTTTACAGCTCTGCATCTTATCCATCCTCTACCCCATCTAATGCTTTGAATCTGCCTGGCTGATGCTCTCCAACTACCCTGCTTATGCTCTAAATCCACAAAATTTATGCTCTATATCTAACCCCTTTTATGTCACAAATATAAACTATCTGCTGCTCCCAATCCGACCCATCTGCTCCTCCAAAACAAGCCCATCTACTGCTCTGGATCTAGACGGTCTATGGCTCTTAGTCTGACCCATTTTCCACTTTGAATTTACCTTATCTGCTCATGTGTACCAACTCTTCTACAAATTTTAAACCACCTTATCCACTTCTCTGAAGTTGCCCCATTTGAGCTCTGACTTTGACCCGTTCATTGCTATAAATCTAACCTGTCCACTGCTTTGGAACTGCCTCATTTTCTATCCCATTTAAGCTCCAAGTCTGGCCTGTCTAATTCTATCAACCCGCTTCACCAATGATCTGAATCTAACCTGTCCACTGCTTTGAATCAACCCAATCTACTGCTCTGAATCTACACCGACCATTTATTTGAGTCCACCCTGTTTACTGCTTTGAATCTACCCCATTTAATGATCAGAATCTATCCAATCAGCTGTTTTAAATCCATCCAATATAATGCTGTTTCTGAATCTACAGCCATGATTCTGACCTGTTTACAGCTCTGAATCAGACCCACCTTCTGCTTGGAATTTGAACCATCGTCTGCCTTGGATCTACCTGACCAATGCTCTTAAACCACCTCTGAATCCACCATATTTATGCACTTGATCCAACATAATTTAGTGATGGGTTAGTAGATCTTATCCTGACCCATCTACCCCTCTGAATTTGACTCATCTGTTGCTCTAAATCTGCCCAGTCTACTTCTCCAAATCCACCTACCTACAGGTCAGGAATCTTACCTGTGCACTCTTCTATAAATCTGACTAATCGTCCGTCACAGCGGTGTGTTGTTTCCTTGTTGCTCTGCAGACTTTGAGAGCTGTGTTTTTGCAGATTATAAGTGAGTATAAATTCATTTCAGAGGTTTTAAATGTCAATTTAAAGCCCTAGAGAAATCCAGGAGTCTCTACTTGCGTCATCACACAGAACCAGAAACAAACTGAGCTCATCTACTGAAGCAGTCAGAGTTTTAGATGGTGGAGACGGTCAGATGAAGCAGGTGTGTGTGCAGAGAGCTGCTGGAGGTGTGGATGAAGTGAAACTCTGCAAACTGAACTGAGGTCAGTGATTCAGTCTATTAGAAACATGTACACTGTAGATCTGCTTCTACGCAGCACAAGCTGAACTAAATCTGCTCGCTCCGCCGCCGCCGTACAACGACCATGTATAAACTTTGTGCTCTGATAATCTGTTGTGTGTCTGAGGTGATGATAGGTTGTGTTTCTCTTTGTGTTTGTGCCGCTGACAGGAAGTCATAGCTGCTCAGACAGGAAGCAGCGTGTGTAGAAACGTCCTGTGAAATCTGACTGAATGTCTCCGAGCTCTGCTGGTGTTATTTTTCTGTGATTGTTGATGCTTTGAATGTGTGTGAGCTGAATGTCGCAGTTACCGTCTGAAAGTTAAAAAAAAACAAAAAAAAACATCCAATGAGACATCCTGCTGCTCCCTGAACACACTAATCATCAGCCAGTCCGACCAATCAGCTCTCAGATTGATGACTCACTGTTACCTGGTGAAATGGGTTCAGTTTGACCCCAAATCACGCAGAGCTCAGCCTCCTTTGAACACCTGTAGTCAAACCTTTAAGCACATGATGCCAGGAAGGAATGCAAAACCAAACCAGCTGAGATGCTGTAAAGTGTTGATGAAGACAAAATCAGATGGTGTGTGTATCATTTAAAGCCTGTATTTAATGTAAAATAGTGCATAGACGACATATCAAATGTTTAAAGAGGGAAAACCTGGTTCTATGAAATGCAGATCTGAACTGTCATACTGGATCATATCATGAAAACAGGCTGTTCAAAAGAGAAAAGAAGGATTAAATTAGCTAATCCAGCTTTTATCCTGATCAAACCTTTCATTTTTTTGTTCAAAGTGTTGAGTAGGATGGAGATAATCTTGATCCAAAAAGTCAGGATTACCCTGATCCCAGCAGAGGGCTGGATTCAGGCTGGATTACAGGAACTACGTGGAAGAAAACCTTTAAACTGGTCCGAGAAAACAACAGTTTTATTGTGATGCTGATAATTTAGATTATATTTAATATTTTGCTCTTTAATTGTTGAATTTACAGTGACAGAGTAGATAGGAAGAATATATGGTTATTAAATATGAAGGATTTTGCCGCTATGAAGTATTTCACTGAAAAGCATCAGTGTCATGATTTAAAATATGTGTAATTCAAAGCAGTTGTCTCCAGTTTGTGTGAATTTGCCCCCCGTTGTCTCATTTAGAGCTCCTAAAATCTGGATTTGGTAATTGAGCTGAAATATTTTCTCTTGTGTAAACTCTATTTACAGATTATGCAAAAAAATAAATAAATACAGGAACAGTCCAGACTTTAGTTTCAGCAGCATTCTGGTTTTGGTTTGTGAACATGGACTGTGCCCGGGCAAAAACAGCAAGAGGCTGAACCAAGTCCACCAAAATAGCATCCTGGATCCTAACAGCAGTCCTCTAACCTCAGTTCAACTTATATGTAAAGTATTGTTCCTCAAATGTGAGTGAAGGTTGATCAGGCAGAAAGGAGCCGGGATATTAGTTATCTCTGGAGTCTCAGTTTCACTGTGTAAAGTAAATCACTCAGAATCTCAGTTTTGCTATAAACAGTAAGTTACACAGAAAATTAACTCCAACAGACTTCAACATTATGAACCTGAAGAAAAAAAAAACTGAAACTCTTGATGCAGATTATTAATAAGTAAAAAGTCAAGCCTGGCAGGTCTGTCCTCACTAGGAATAAAAGGACTATTATTGGGTCAAGTCTGTTAATACTGATGCATTCAAATAAGTCAGGAAATTTTAATGCTGGTTGTCTAAAGTGTTACATTAACAGTATGATTTGTGAAGATATCTCTTTATAGAGAGAAATAAGTCAGTGTTCGATCACAGCTGATGGGAGCCGGGATGTTATTGTGATGGACTGTGTTCCGCCTGCTTTTGCTCTCCACACAGACTGTTTTTCCTGCTCACTGTAAACACAAACAGCTGCACTACAGTCTGTTAAAGCAAACTCCAAGCTCACTCTGTGAGTTCCTGGGCTCTAAAATAAGTCAGGATTTCTAACCTCCACGTCAGATTATTCAGATTTAACATCTGTTTTAGATCAATTCTGACCCAAGATATCATCCACACACCCATTCCCTCTTTTACTAATGCTATATGTGTATGTGTGTGCGTGTGTGTGTGTGTGTATGTGACTGTGTCTGCCTAGTTTAGCACAAACACTGGAAACAGATAGAAACTGTAAGCGGGCAGAAAACAGAAGCTTTTATGACTGTAAAGAATTTATCTGGAGTATCAGGATGTCTCAGACTTTTATTTTGAAAGGTGCATGTTTCCTGTAGCTGGGCCTGATGAGAGTGAGGTGTGTTCACCAAATGTGCTCTTTTCTTTCATGTTTAACAGCAGGTGTAGACAGGTGAGGCGTGTGTCTGTGCTCTGCAGCCAATGAGAATGTATCGCTCATTCCCTGCCTACTCTTAAATCTGATTGGCTGTTGCTGTGATGATGTAACTGCTGCTGCTACAGGTGATAGGTCATTCGTGTTTGTTTTTTTACAGTGCATGTGACAGAGCAGACCAGCTGTAGGAACTTTTTTATTCATGGATCAGAGAAGATCCTGATTTCAACATGGATGGATTTATTCATTGATTAATTTATTATTATTATTTATTAATTTATGGATCTCAGACATCTGGACTCATGTCTTCATCATCATCGGGATTTTTTTTATCACTGTCATTTGTAATAAACTGTTTCATGCACGCTGATGTTTAATGAGTGTTAATGCTGAGCAGCTTCACACACACACACACACACACACACACACACACACACACACACACACACACACACACACACACACACACACACAGATGGGTTTACAGAGTAGACAAAGCCACCAGTATTTTAAAAATATTTTATAGCTGTAAATTCAATCCATACATATTTAATGCAATGTTTATATCACATTGATATTATCATAGATTACTTATTAACAATAATTAAATAAGCAAAACTCGTTACTGATGTCTTAAACTGTCAATAGTAAGGCCCTTGTACATTTAGTTTAGTGTTGTCCTGTTGTTGCATCAACCTGTCAGCAGGTGGCAGGCTAGCTCTAAAACAGATGATCCTTTCACATCTTTATCTTCTTCCAGTATCATTTGGGGTTTCAAAACCTCTCAAACAGTGAACATCATTTTAGCATGAAACACCCCACCCCAAGAAAATGAGAATAAGAATAAGAATACAGGAGTGTGTTAAAAAAAAACTTGCTGATTATGTGATTATGTTTTAATATGTATATTTGAAGTACTTTTACCTTGTTTTTGCTTTTATTCTTAAGTCATTTGACAAATCATAATACAATATACTCTTTATGAGTTACAGTTTTTTATTATTGACACACAAAAAAACAGAAACAAACTGATTAAATTTCTTTCTTCAGCATCTCCACCAATGACAATCAGACTTATTCTCATGAGCTGACAGACCTGTAAATACCAATAATTATTTAATCATATATGTACATACCATAATTGATAGTCATGGAGCTGGTCTCTTTCCCAGAATCCTCTGGTACTCTCCAGATTTTAAATTTTATCTCTTGTTGGGAATTTCTTGTCCTTTTTCCTCTGACTCCGCCTCCATAGGCCTGAAGAAGGGGCTCTAAGAGATGGCCCCACCCCTCTTGTCACTGCTTATACCTCCACTCTGATTGGCTGAGAGCCTATCAGTTGTGTCAGTCAGTCGGAAAAGAAACCCCGCCCTCTTTTGGCTTCTGTGGCTCCACCTCCTCCACCAGCACACCTGGATCTAAAAAACAATCAGACACCTGATGACATCACAGCCCAGGTGGGCTCATCAATGATCGCTGCAGTGTCTAAAATCATTAGGCGCTAGGTCCTTCACCTGTATTATGGGTGGGGCTCTCTCCGACATCACTGCTAACATCATCAGGGGGCCAGCGGAGCTCGCCGCTCTCTACCTCTTCACCATCTGTTGGCTCCACGACAATGGATGGAACCCGCCTGGAAAGTTTTGGGAAACGCTCAACAGCGTCTGGAAACAGCTGGCATGGAGGGAACCACATGGTGACTTCAGGTCAGGTAGACTCACCTTTACAGTTCACTTTGATAGAAAGGTCACATTTCTTAAAGGGACGGTACACCTGAAAACATCAGTCAGTGCGTTTACATGCACAGCATTATTGGACTAAGTTCATAATTCATTTTTTTTCCCTGGATCAGATTTCTCTACTTGTTCACATATACATGCAGCTGAGAAAATTGAATAATTGACGTGAACGTGTCTTCACAGCTGCGCTGTTTCCGACCCCATATGACTGTTAACGACAACAGCAGGTCCGCCCCAGACAGAGTTGTTTTTGTCATACATGATGTACGGGCTACTTTTTTCAGCAGATGAGATGCACGCTACTCTTCTTCTCTGGTGTTTTTTCTTCTGGGGTTATAGGGGCGTGGCGCACGCGCACATGCATTGTCCAATCATACTCTGACTACGCTGGTTACATGGCAGAGAAAATCGAATTCCAATCGCATTTTCTGGGTGTCTAAATCGGAGTTCTCCAGCTCCAATCGGAGTTCTCAAACTCCAGTTATAGTCAGACTAAGGTGTTTATATGTACTTCACTTGTCTGGTCTCAATCAGACTAAGGCAGTAATTCGGTTTTCTCGAGTGTCATGTAAACGTACTGAGTAAATGTCTCACCTGGAAAGACACCCCCTCCTGTCCAGAAGCTCCGCCCACTGTCGGCTCACAGGTGTTAATCACTTCTGTCATCCCAGCCAATCAGAGTACAGTGACAGCAAGGGGCAGGAAGCTGAGACTAAAAGAAACAGAAAGTCAGAATATTAAGGAAAACAAGCACAAAAAGAAACAAACTGATGTATATGAACTTTGATAAAGTTTGAACATTTTTACAGCATTATATTATATGTTCTAATACTCTTTGTTCACAGGATACGTTGCATTTCATTAAAAACTCTCAACACCACATTTCCCATGAAGCACCTTTGCAGTGTTGGTATTTAACATCTGACCTCCAGACTTCAGACTGAAGGTGCTGTAAGGTCACATCTTATTAAATAACCCTGCAGTGGTTTGTTTTTGCTGCTCAGACTCTGCAGGCAAATCCATGGAAATGAGCTCAGCCTGCACAGGTGCATTCTGGGATATATGACAGAATTCAAAACACCTGTTACTCTGTGACTTTTTACAGTGTGTGAATAGTTTTAGTTCTTCTGAGAACTCAGGGTTCTGTCTAAAGCCAGAGATGTGGTTTCAGTTTTGGGGTGATGGATTGATGCAGATTTAGTCAAGGAGAAATCAGAGAGTTTGGACAAGTGAGATTGGATTAGTAAAACAGTAAGACAAACCTGTGGAAACTTCTGGATAATTAAACACTATTAATGAGCTCTTTTTCCACTGAACGCATCCCAGCTGACTGACACACAGGTGTGTTACCATGGAAACTGACATGTTATTAGACTAATAAAGAAAAATGTTGACTTAATTTTCTGATCACTTGTATTTCTCAGACATAAGAATTAAACATACTGAAGTCAAAGTTTGAAAAAACTGATCTGAGGTCTGAAAACACTCAACCACTTTATGGTAATAATCCTGTTTCCATAGTAACCATCATCTCTCAGATTAAAACAAACACATACTTATGAGAGTGTACACTGAGGTGATCATGTGACCAAACTGGCATGACATGCTTTTTTTTTTTCACAAACATCCAATTAGCCAATCAGAAACACAGACAAAAAAAGACCCACCTGGTGATGATGATGAAGATGAAGATGCAGGTGGTGATGAAGAAAACAATAATAATTATGATGAGACAGTCCCACTTAGAGATGAAGCTTGTTCCTGTTGAGACGTCTGCTCTCACTTTCAACTCAAGTGTCTCCTCCCCAGTGTGTGTGTGTGTGTGTGTGTGTGTGTGTGTGTGTGTGTGTGTGTGTGTGTGTGTGTGTGTGTGTGTGTGTGTGTGTGTGTGTGTGCGTATTTGCATATTGTCCTGATTTGACTCTGTCTGTTGTGGTTTGTATGATTGTTGTTTCCTCTGATAGTCAGTATTTTATTTTATTTTAATAACCTGGTGTTCTGTTTTTGTGTGTTTTTGTGTGTTTTTGTGTTTTTTGATGGTCAGAGAGTTTTTATGACATCACACAGACTCTGAGCCCAGCCCCTATGACCTCTGACCTCACCAGCCTCCTCCATGTATAATTGATCAGAGCTGCATCGATTATTAACAGCTGATGATTGATCTAGTTACAGAGCAGTGGACACAGGTAAACAGTGACATCACTGACAGAGTAGGAAAAGAGGATCAAGAAGAAAGAAGGGGGAAATGTAGGGGAAGCTGGAGGAGATGAGGATGGACAAAATGAGGAGGGTGGGGAGCAAAAGAGAGTTAACAGGGACAAGGGGAGAAGGGGGGTCAAAAGGAGGAAAACAGGGAAAAAGAGGAGAAGATGATGGACCTAAGGGGAAAGTTGAAAGTAATGGAGAGATGATGAAAAAAATAAAGAAGAAAGGATGATAGAAGAAAAAAAAGGAGGCAAAAGTTTGAGAAAGAGCAGGAAAGGACGATTTTAAGAGTAAAAACAGGGAGAAAGACAACAGAAAAATCAACAAAAAGAGAAAACACAGAGGAATATAGGGCAAAACGGGAAAGAAGGAGAGAGAGAGAAGAAAATGATAAGCAGAAAGAGGAGGGAGAAAAGGGAAGAAAGGATGATCAGAAGGGGGAAAATGTGGAGAAATAAGAGAAAGGAGGAAAACCAAGGCAGGGTGAAAGAAAGATGAAAATGGACAAATAAAGAGAGAAGGAGAAAAAAGAGTAAACAAAAGTGGAAAATATAAGAAAATGAGGAGAAAGGGTAGAAGATAAGGAAGATGGTCTCTTTTTTTATTGTGTTCTCTCTTGACTGCTCAGCTCTGTGAGCTGGACAGAAATGTTCTTATTCCTGTGTACGTTCAGCACACATGGAACTAATTGACAATAAAAAAAAACTCACAGGCGAATGGAAAGAAAGAGGAGGAAAGGAGTTACAGATGGAGAGAAAAAAGGAGGGAGGGTGTCAGGAAAGAGAGATTTCTGTAGAGAAGGAGGATAAGAAAGGGGAAAAAAGGTCATAAACGGTTAAAAAGAAGGAGAGGTTGAAGGAGGGGAAAATAATGGAGAAGGCTGAGGGAAAGAAAGGAAGAAAGACGCAGTAAAGAGTAAAAGGAGGAGAGGGGGAGGCTGATGCTGCAGTCTCAAACTGAAAGTGAAAGTATGAATCAGCTGATCGTCACCGAAGATGCTCTGACTCCCTGACTGCACAGACATCCAGACCAGGACTCTGTGGAGCATTTCCAGGATCCAGCCAAGGATTTCTCTAGATTTCAGGTTTTGGAGTAGCAGTCTGCAGTCTCTCGTGTCTCTGGGTTTGAAGTATTAGGTTGCTCTTGTTGACGTGGCTTGAGGTCCTGAAAATGTGGCATCCCCGGTCCAGCAGGAGGCAGCAGAGCAGCGCAGGTCAGTCGGCTGTTTGTTGTTTCTTCATACATGAGATTATACCAGCAACAGGCTGAGACAGACACTTTCAAATATCCTGTTTGTAATTTAAAAATATACTATCAATCATACTATCAATCATACTATCAATGCAGTCAGGGTCAGTCACACAGTTTTAACAAAAAAAGGTGTCAGAAAATCAGCTCACACACACACACACACACACACACACACACACACACACACACACACACACACACACACACACACACAGCCTCACCCTGCGTAGCCCCACCCCTCAGCTCTGAAGCCTCACAGATCAGATGTCGGAGAGATGAGAGGTAGGACTGAGCTGAACCGCTCTCTAAACGGTGAAACTTTCCTTTAATGTCTTTTATTCTGAAAGGGTGATTGATTTTCTTTGAATCTAATCAGGATGTGATCTGTGTTTTTACTGGTTTGTTACATGTTTGTTGGTCTGCTTGATTGATTGATCACCTGTGATGATCCCCTGTGCAGGAAACTGATCCAGCATCGAACCTGTTTATATAATCATGCAAATATGATGTCACCTGAGTGTACAGCATGAACATATGTTCTCAGGGTTAGTAAAAGAAAACATTTTCTCTGTGTTTTTGTATAAATTGATGGTCCAAAAAGTCCTAGATTCATCCCCCTGTTTTAAGTCATTTCAGGTTGTTAGATAGTTGTTGTGTTAAGATGATATTAAACGCTGAACTGAACTTTATTGTTGTGTTAAATGTTCAGCAGGAGGTGTGGAGGAGAAACAAAACGGGCAGAAAAAGAAGCTCCTGAAACTGAAGAACCCTGCAAAGATCTGGAAGAACTTCAAACAGCAGAACCAGAACCAAATTACAGGTCAGAGCCAACAAAACACCAGCAGCCCCAGCCCACTGGGGTCAAATATCAACATCAACTTAGAGTTAGAGTCAACGGAACCAACAAAACAACCTTAGCTCCAAAACCATTAAAACTGACTAAACAAACAAACAAAAAAAACACGATCAGGTCAGAACCTACCAACCTGAAAGAGACAATCAGGTGTTACCCAAAAGAACTGACAGAAGTCAAATCAGGTCCCTACCATCTGAATCTACAAAGACCCAACCCAGTCATAGTCAATAAAACTAACAACAGCACCATCAGGTCAGAACCAAGGAACACACAAAGACCACCAATCAGGTCAGAATCAACAAGTAAGTAGTATTAGATATCCCAAACAGGTCTGAACAAACAAAACCTACAAAAGTCCAATCAGGTCTCTAACACCAGAACCTACAATGGCCTAATTAGGTCAGTACCAACAGAACCAACATAAGCCCAATCAGGTTGCCAAATTAAGTCCCAACATACAGGATCAACAAAGTTACATTAGGCCAGAGAATGATAAAGGACCCCATTAGATCAAGAACAACACAGCACCACCAGTTCATGGCCCCAGGTCAGGCCAGATAATTCCAACTCAAATATTTTTAACCTGGACTACCAGAACCCGTTACAACAAGGAGAATTCCTCTGTATAAGAACCAACCAAGCCAGCTAAAATGATCATGTCAGAACCAACAGAAATTCAGGCAGAAGCCCGTAGTTTTACTTTGTTGTCTTTTCTGCAGTGCAGGAGATTAGGGCTTTGTAAGATCATGAGAACAGATGGCAGGTAAGGCAAAGGTTCTGTGTTTTGCAGAGGATGAGGTGGATGGCTGTGAGGAGGTTCTACCACAGGAGCAGAGAGAGGAGAAGCTGGAGGAGGTCAGCAGGAGGCTGATCATCAGGGAGGAGGAGCTGTTCGGTCAGGACTCACCCTGTGAGGAGGAGCAGGACCAGCTGCAGAGAGAGCTGGAGGCTCTGAGACTGAAAATATGGATGGCTGTCCACAACACCTTCAATTCCTCAGGTGAGATGGAGCTCCTGAAGAGTGCTGTGGTCTGCATCCAGCAGCAGGAAGAGCAAGACCGGCGCTGGACTGAATGTTCTGAGGACAAAGTCCCTGTGTGGCGTCCACAAAAGTGTCTTGGCACTCACGGTAGACTCCTGCAGAACATGGTAGAGTCCAGACTGTTGAAGGCTGCTGAGACAGACTCTGGCGAAGCTGATGGACTGTCATCACCTCTGAAACAGGAGGTGGGTTACACACAAGAACAGCAGAATCCCGTTAAGAAATACGATTGTATGATCGCACAAGGCTGTCTCTAATATCAGAGATCAGATCCTCTCATAAAGTAATAAAAATATTTTCATCTGTGCAGGTGTGTCATGTGGGCCGACAAGTGAAAGATGACCTGCTGCTGGTAGCAAGGACAGTGGTGGACTGTTACCCCCCCAAAATGGACATTCTTAACCTGTATGCAGGACTCTACCATCAGAGCTTCTCCGCTCGACTGAACAGACTGGCAGCTCCTGGGCTGGGAAATGATGACTGCAGATATCTGCTGTTTTGGATCAATCACTGCTATCCAATGTAAGTTACTGTTACCTGCAGTCAGCGCCTGCTACCCACAGTCAGTCTTTGCTGCCAACAGTTAATTTCTACAAATGAGAGTTATTCCTTGCCACAGAATTTAAGTCAATCCCTGCTATTTGGAATCAATCTTTGTTGCCATCGGTCAGTCCCTGACACCCTAAGTCAGAGCCTTCTGCCAACAGTCATTCCCTGCTATCCACGACCAGTCCCTGCTGCTTTAAGTCTATCTCTGCTATGATCAGCCAGTCTCTCCTGCCACCGATCAGTCTCTGATGCCCTCAACAAGTGTTCACTGCCAGCAGTGAGCCCCAGCTACCAACAGTCAGTCCCTGCTATGTATTGTTGGTCTCTGCTGCCAACAGTTTGCCTCTGTTGCCAACAGTCAGTTTCTACTACCATCAGTCAGTCTCTGCTACCCACAGTTAGTTTCTGCTAACAACAGTCAGTCTCTAATGTCCTCAATCAACATCTACCACCAACAGTCAGTCCCTGCTACTTACAGCAAGTCCATGCTACCTACACTTAGTCCCTGCTTTAAGCCATCAATTACTGCTACTAACATTTACCCTCTACTACTCACAGATAGTTTCTGATGCCAACAATCAGTTTTATTCATCAGTCAGTTTCTCTTCTAACAGGCAGATCCAACCTCTGGCAGTCATGTCCTGCCCTAGACAGTGAGTCTCACCTGCCAACAGTCAGTCCTTACTACCAAGAGTCATCCCTGTGTGAACATGAACAGAGGTTCGCAGGTGCATGGTCAGAGTTTGGTGTAACATCAGGTGTTTTTTTCTAGAGATATATTAAAACATGAGGATCTGGAGGGGAAGATAAAGACAGCCTGCCTGGGTTCTTTACTTCAACCAGACCACCTGGACCGGCTCGAGGATCAGTACCTGACCCAAAAAGAGGTAAAGACAAACAGACTGCCAGCTGGTCTACATTGGTATAAACTGGTCTTGTTTAAGGCTGGCTAGTTATGTTCTAAAGTTATGAGTTCATATAAGCAATAAATGTCATGAATGTAATTGTTTAGGAGAAAGTAAAGCAGTGGTTGAACTCAGCGCTAAGGAAAGAGGAAGAGGGTTGGCTGAGCGGAAAAACACCTGAACTCATCGACCAATACTGCTTCAGTCCTCTGGCTATAGATGTCATACAGGTGAGTCTGTACAGATTTGTCTGCACAGATGAGTTGTATTGCTCCCCTCTAAATGTTTGAAGGTCATACACAGATCCCTAACTGCTTGTAAATCCAGGTTATAAACAGCTCCCTAACTGTTTGTGTTTTCAGGTTAAAGACTATTTGTAGTTCCAGGTTATAAACAGCTCCTTAACTGTATGTAGTTCCAGGCTATACACAGATCCTTAGCTGTAGTAGTTTCAGGTTTTAAACAGGCCCCTAACTGCTTGTGTTATCAGGTTAAAGAGTGTTTCCTGAGTGTTTGTAGTTCCAGGTTATAAACAGGTCCCTAGTTTTTTATAGTTCCAGGTAATAGACAGATCCCTAACTGTTTTTAGTTTAAGGTTATAGACTGTTTCCTGGCTGTTTGTGTTTTCAGGTGATGAGTGGCTCCCTAACTGAGCTCAGCTCTGTGGTTCGAGATCAGATAAAAGCTCATAGGCTCACAGCTCAGCTGGAGAGCTTCCTCTACAGGTAGGCCACACCCACTGACTCTATAAATAAAGTATGTTGCAGCAGGTGTTAATACACAGGTGTATTAATAACACGGATTGTGTTTCAGCTATAAGAGATGTTTGGAGGAGTTCATGAAGGGGAACCACAGGAACATCCGCTCAGTGGTCAAAGCTCAGCTGGTCTGTGAGCAGCAGCTCAGGTGTGTTTACCTGCTCAATATTTAACACGCCTTTCTCACCTCTAAGTGTAAGCAGAGCTCTCAGTTTGCAGTTAGTCTATGTCTGTTTGTCTCCTCACAGCAGGAAACACCATGGCTGATAAAACTCAGCTGGAAGCCAGTTTGAGCTCTATTCCTAATTTATCCCGGAGCATTGTGGGAATTGTAGTTTTTTCTTGGATGCTGTGTTCACCTGCTCCGCCCCTGATTTTCTGCCTTTGTCCACAGGGGTTACATCACAGGTCAAACAGGAAGTCTGTCTGAGAAGCAGAGATGTTGCTGTCTGGACACTCTGACTGCACTGAAGGATTGTGGGTACCAGTGTCTCATCTGCCCCATTCTCGTCCAGCTGAAGGTATGAATACTTTAAATGAGGGAAATGACACAATCCTCATTAACATCAGCATGAGTCTGAGTCACTAACCTCAACCATCTAGAACCAATCAGTGATCAGTGAGAGGTGCTGTGTGTCCAGGTGGGTTTCAGTCAGCTGTGGACAGCGGCTTGGATAGATGGGTCACTTCCTGTTGTGGACCCATTGCTGGACTCTCTGAACCACGAGCTGAGTGACCTGTTTGACCTGAAACCAGCCTGCAGACAGGTGAGACTCTTTATTCTACCAGTCTGTCTGCCTGAGTGTCTACCTGTCCACCTGTATGTCTACCTGTCTACCTGTGTGTCTGCAGGCCCTGTTGTCCGTGCTCCATCAGGACTTAGTCCTTCGGTATGTAAAGAGGATGATGAAGACCAAGGCCAAGACCAGAGAGCAGCAGATTGGCGGAGCCAAGCGGATGATTGACGATGCAGGAAAGATTAATGACTTCTTCGCTGAGGGGGTGAGATGATGATAAAACACCTGCTTTAGGCTGAAGACAAAGATGAGGACTTTGGGTTTCGAGCAGGTCCAGTAGAGGACCTGATTATTCATTTGATTTTTATTCATCTGTAAAGACTGTTGACAGCAGATATGATCAAAACTTGCAGTTTGATTGGATAAACACACAATAAGTGCTCATTATGTGGAGGGGTGATAGGACAGCAGTAAAATAGGATAATAGGATAGCATTCCTGCAGAACGCTCAACAGTTCTCTCTCTCTCTCTCTCTCTGTGTGTGTGTGTGTGTGTGTGTGTGTGTGTGTGTGTGTGTGTGTGTGTGTGTGTGTGTGTGTGTGTGTGTGTGTGTGTGTGTGTGTGTGTGTGTGTGTGTGTGTGTGTGTGTTTGTGTGTGTCTTCAGGGCTGTAAGGAGTCGATGTGGCTCGGTGAGATGCTCTGCACCCTGGCTGAGATCCTTCGACTGCAGGATCCTGGAAGTCTTCAGCTGGAGATGGTCAGTCTGGCCCGAGCCTTCCCAGACCTCAGGTACAGATGGTGGAAAGTCCGTGACAGTTTGTGACGGTCCATGACTTTGATATGGATGTCTTATTTATTAATGAATCGATCTGCCCTCCTCCTTTGCTGCTGTGTTTTCTGTTTCACTCAGCTGTTTTCTGGTTCAATCCCACTGTTCGTTCAGTGAAGCCTTTCCATTGGACGTCCGCTTTAATAATCCCATTACAGTGTTTAAAGAAAGCAGTGAATGAATGTTCAACAGGGAGAATCTGTCTGTTTTTAAGGGGTACTCAGTGTCTTGGATACTTTTAACAGTTATTAATAATTTATGGAACATTTTAATTTAATTAATTCTGAGATTTAAGACTGAGAAATAAAATTCACAGACTAGAAAACATAAATTCAGAACAGCACTTAAGATTTCAGCAGACAGATCTAATCCTCTTCACTCTCTCTTTGTCTAACTGGTTAGTCATTTTATAATAAAACTGTTGGCTGGAGTTCACATGTATGTACCTGTGCTCACCTGTCCTCCTGTGGAGCAGACTCTACCTGTCTCTGTCCCTGACGGGGTTAACTCTGTCTCAGGTTATTCACCCATTGAGGTGTGACCTGATTCACTGCTGTGGGAAACAACTGGTTGCTGTGGGAGACGGTGGGTGCAGCTGGGTGGGGTTCAGGTGTCACAGGTGTGTGAATAGAGAAGACTCTTGCACACGGGATCGTGTCTGTGTGTGTGTGTGTGTCAGCTCTTTATTTCATACAGGTTCTTGGCTACTGTTTCCTTGTCCCTGATTGGCTGTTGAGTATGGTGTTAGTGATGACCTCAGTGCAGAATTAGTCCAGGTGCGCTCCCTGAGCTGATCCCAGCTGTTTTGTTTTTTCTCCAGTGACGCTCACGTGCTGGCATTGCTCTCTCTGAAAACCGGCCTATCGGCTGCTGATGCTCGCTCCATCAGGCGGAGCGTGGAGGAGAACCGCCTCAGCGATGTGTCCACCAATCAGAGCCCTCCATTCTTCTCCAAAGTCAAAGTGAAATGGATCAACAATAGGATCAGTCAGATGGGACTGAAGACCTGAACCCTGACTGTGTGATAGCATTTTGCACCTTAATTGACTGAGTCTGTTATTATTATCTTGTTAGCATATTGGCTTGTAGTTTGACTGAATCTTTATTTCCATTAATTAGTTAGTGTGTAACTGGCTGGATCTGTACTGCCTTCAGTAAGCATATTAGCATGTTAGAGAACTAAGTCTGCGGTAACGTTCAATCAGTATAACAGTATTTAATATGTACAGTCAGTTAAATTCATAACTAAGTCTATATCCAAACCACACAGCAGGTGGGTCTCCGGCTTTATCGATCTCCCAGCCCTCTAAGCATCACCCGGGTCCAGTTTCAGTATCCACACTCACTGACTCTAAGGCCTGTTTCTAAGAAGTCCACGAGGGCTGGTCTCACTGTCAAATTCTCAAGTGTGTCAAGGCTCTCCGGCAAAGTTCCTGAGTCGGTCACACTGTAGCAGGAAAGCCAACAATGCCTGTATTGTCAAGAAGTCTGCAGGAAAGCTGCAGAGACAAATCTGGAAATGTTCATGTTTCTTCTCAGAATTATTAATGCACATTAAAACCTTCAAATTCCCACTCTCAATGATATAACTTAAAAATAATGATATCAGACTTTCTGCCTCTTTTTAGAGATCTAGAAGATGAATTATTTATTATGCATGAGTTGTATTGTTATTTCATAATGACAAAGTAAAATATGACAAACAAAAATTCTTTCTGTCAGTTTTATTGTTTGTTTGTTTGAGGAGACGTCCCATGCAATTGATTTTAAACCCCATGCACCTTATCTCTCCCCAGATGACAGAAATTACTGTGGGTCTATCAGGGCTCAGGGTTGATGGTTTAGAGAGATGGTTTGCCCTCCTTTAGACTCCTGCACCAACAGACAGCCCCCGCTTAAACACTGGATCGTGATCCACCAAGACGAGAAAAAGAGAATGAGAAAAAAAATCAACCAAAAATATGAAGTCAGTTACAGCTGGATTTCTTTGATCCAGCTCCAGGATTTCAGCGCTTTTTAAACAGATCACTTCCAGGTGGATTTTAAACCCAATTAATGGCTCTGAAATGTCCTTATTTCTATTACAACTACTTTCTTAAGCACTTTCAAGCACCCTGGAATCTGCTCAAGGACCTCTGTGACGCTTACGGTCAGAGTGGATCCTGCAGCCTTAGAGACAAACAGAGTGAGGCTGAATTCAAACCACATGCCTCAGTGACACACAACAGATGTAACAAATATGCATGTGTAGACTCAGTCCATGTCTGTGTGAGTGTGAAGCTTTGCTGCCCCCTGTCTGTCTCTTGAGGATTAAAAAAAAAATATCCAGGTTTGGAATAAAACAGGTATTCATTTGTTTGTCAGGGTAAAGAATGACTTCATTTAAGGGCACTTTAAACTATAAGTGTTTGACATCTGACATTTGGATATGGAATTGAACAGTAACATTAAAAATAAACATTTAGATCTGAATTTAACTTTTTTGATGCAATAGGAACAGGATTGGCCCGAGGTCTCGCTACAAACAAGCAGCTGCTGGAAGAGAGTAGGTGAGTTGTGTTTAGTCTCTTTGCTAAAGAAATTAGACAAAGTTAAAAACATGTTTGATGGATAGCACTATGGCTGGGACAATATATGTACTGTTGATGAAGTTAGGTGTCGTTCTGAGCATTATTTGTGGCTATAGAGTGGCATTTTGTTTGAGATTTGTGTGTGTTTCCATAGACCACCGTGTATTGCTATCGTGCGGTTGTTACTACAGTTGGTATAACTAGAGAAGCTAGTGGTCATTCATTCATGACAACATTCATCTCTCGAGGGGATGTCTAACTCGGTGTTACGGTGTGTTTGACCCTAAATTCATTTTACGCCGGAATACTCCTTTAATCTGGATGAATTATATCATTATCTACAGATTAAGGATTATTACTGAGTGCCTGTTGTATGAACTGATCTGTAGATCCATCTGATGAACATAATGATCTCTGAGACTCGGTAGGTTCACAAAAATAAAGATAAAAAATATCAGCTTCAGTGGATTATCAGGAGACTTTAAACTGTCCATTGGATCAATTAAATCATTAAAAAAATCACAGCTGCTACACAAACATCTTCTGGAGAAAAAAAGAGGTGAAAAGCTGCTGAATACACTTTAAAGGTCATTTTCAATGTTGTAATGCTGCCTCCATTTTACCGAGTCAGCGCTGGGCTGAGCTCCCTCTGGTGGACTGTTAAAGAACTGCAGGCTGATTTGTATTTATCAGAGTCCACGTATAACTCACAATGTCAACCTTCATACCTGTATTAGTGTTCAAAAATGTGAACTTGCTGTTCATGCTTTTGAGTGAATAATTTTGGTGTAGTTTTTAATGTTTCAGAGAAGAAGAATCACAATCACCTCACTGTGAGTCTAACATCTTTATTAATAACTACACAAACTGTTTCCACGGCTGCAACAGACAGGTACAGAGGAATGATATCATTCAGGTGTCATAGAGGCTGATCTTACGCCTGATTTTTGATCTTCTGTTTTTATTTGATTTCAGATTTCTGGTCACCTCTAAGATATTTCAGCGTGTTTCCGTTTAACCTGTGTGTGTGTGTGTGTGTGTGTGTGTGTGTGTGTAGAATGAGGACAGGTGAGCAGCAGGTGTGTATGGGGCCACACAGACTTTATTAGGTATATCAGGTGTTAGATGAGTCCAACAGGAAATAGAAAACTCTTCACATGTTGGAAGACTGAAGTCTAACTGAGCGGCTCTAAACGTCCCGCAGCTTCAGGACGGCTCATTAATACAGTGAGGGGGGGGTGAGGGGTCAGAAAGGGGAGTGGAGGAGAAGGAGGAGGAAGGGGTTGAGTAGGTGGAGGAAGTGTCAGATCACGAGCACCGTGTTCACTTCTGCTCGGGCATCAGGTCGTCGATGCTCTCTCCGCCCTCCAGACGTTTCTCCATCTCCACCAGCAGGTTGACTCCATCTACCACCATCTGCACCAGCTCCACCTCTGAGAAGCCCAGACGGTCCGCATTTGAGATGTCAAAGACTCCGCCCACCGCCGCTGTGTCAACGCCACCTGAAAGTAATATCAGACCATATTTTATCAGTCACGTTTTATCATGTATATAGAGATCAGACATTACTAATCGCTCTTAGAGGTTTCTTTTCTGATGTCTATCCCTCTACAAATCTGAAAAACCTGACGATCATTGTAACCTGATAAAACAGATTAGTTTCTAAAGGACAGAGTTCAGTTTAATCCTTTAAAAGTGAATGCTTGTATCAATAAGGTCATAAAAAATACAAAGAATGACCCCACCTTACGTAAACCCCAAACAAAACAACTAAAAACTTTCTTTTTTAAATCAATCACAGTTAGATTAATTTATATCACATTAAAGAAATTTTAAACTTTATAGGAAATTAATCATTTATTTTTTAAAAAGTAGACAAAAAATCTTTTTAAAAAAAGGCTTTTAATTTGAAGTTTTTGTTATTCCATTTCAACTTTGTCTCCATGGAGACTGAGCGACACAGCATTCTGATTGGCCCACTCAGTGACTAGCTAATCTACTACTGCTCGCCCATCAGTCACTTTCCTGTCTTTCTGTTTTCCTGTCAGTGAGTTTACCTGTCTGTATGTTACTGTTTACGTGTCCGCAGGTTCACTTGGGTTCATACCATAGACTGTATATAGAAGTATATAGGAGTATATACAGTATATGTATCATTGTATATACAGTCTATGGTTAATACCTGTATTTTACCTGTCTCTCTTTGCCCATCTTCTTCATGCTACTGCAAAAACCTCTCTCTTTGTCTACCTGTATATCCACCAGTATTCACCCACTTACTCATGTATATATCTTTTTTTATGACTGTAAGTTTCTTTATCCTGTAATTTTCTTTTGCATTTGTATTTATGCTGCTGTAACCTTGGAATTTCCCCCCGTGGGACTAATAAAAGGTGTATCTTATCTTATCCTTTTCCTGCCTGTCTCTTAACTTGTTCTTATAATTATCTGTTTAATGTGTTTACCAGTCCGTGTTCACCTGTGTCTGTGTCTACCTGTGTCTAACTGTCTGTTTCCACCAGTGTCTGTGTTCACCTGTGTTGGTGTCTACCTGTCTGTGTTCACCTATTTCTGTGTCTACCCGTGTCTACCTGTCTGTGTTCACCTGTGTCTGTGTTTACCTGTGCCTCTCTTCTGCAGTCTCAGCCTCTTTAGGACCTCTCCAAACTTGTCGTGCTTGCTGACATTGGGCAGCTTGACGTGGACTCCGGCTCTGAGTCCGGTCCCCAGGTTGGACGGACAGGTGAGGACGTAGCCCAGGTGTTCGTTCCACATGAACTCATGACCTCGGTCCTTGAACAGACCCTCAATCTACAGAGAGAGAGAGAAAGACATACAGGCAGGTAAGGAAGTCCCTGTGATGTTACAGGGTCATGCAGGAAGTGAAACAGGTACTGTAGTGCAGGAGTTACCTTGGTGAGGCCGGTGCAGAAGCGGGTAAACACCTCCCTCATGTTCCCTCCTTTCTGCATGCTGATGACGCGCAGGTGATCCTCCTCGTTCACCCAAACCAGGAAGGTCTTGTTGTCGTTGTGCCTTTTGGCGAGAGGGAAGAATAAACAGGAAACAGGAAGTGACATCACACTTATATTCTATATACGCTTGTCGATAGTTTTAGCAACATCACCTATCGGTTCTGAGGAGGGGCCCTAAAGGCCTTACTGGTTATCTAGACGCAAGCAAAGAAGTGGAGCCTCGCCAATAGCTACAATGTACACACCTGTCATTCAAAGAGGCCACGCCCCTAATTATACATGACGTTGATCCTATGATGTAAACAGGCGAGATCCTTACAAATTCAGCCTGTACAGTTGTCACAAACACAAACCAAAACTGCTCTTTAACATAGGGCTCTATGGGGATTGACTCACTTTACAGGCAGCCTCTAGTGGACACTCAAGGAACTGCACTTTTTAAGACTCCAGTACTGGGTCCTTTCAAAAACTAGCGGTTACAACTCAGTCACACCGTATGACACGATCGCAGGTGTACTCACCAGATTCCACGGCCATCGGGCCAGTCACGGGCCATGCCGGATGCCAGCAGCAGCGGGGAGACGGGCTTATCAAACAGGAAGTGGTCATCGATCAGCTGCTGCTGTTCCTCCTCCGTCATGTTCTTCAGAGCATAGTACTTCCCGTTCAGGTCTCCTTCCAGGCTGTCCAGACCTGAAGACACACAGGGAGACACATTTTTTAAACTTCGCCCATTAAGACATAAATTTCTCAGGGTTCAAAAAGTGATTTAAGGTGATCCAGGAACTGAATCAAAGCTTAGAGTCAAAATGGGCGTTCTGTTTGAACGGCTTTAGCTTCCCTTTCCCTGCTACTTCCTCCAAAACCGTTTTGCAACCCACCTTCCCCCGAACACCTTTGTTTATGCTGTGTCTAATAAAGACATTTTTAAAATATAAATCATATTCAAGCAAAAAAAAATGGATTAATATTTAGATTTCATTTAATATCTAGATTTCATTTTACATTTAAAGCAGTAGTAGATATGAATTTAATATTCACTGCCAATCAACATTTTAGATTTTACATTTAGTTTTTATATTTAACATTTTAAGTAATATTCAGATGTTTATTCAACTTTAAAACTCAAGAAAAAATAAACTATTACATTTAACAGTTAAAATTAAATAATAGATTAATAACTTTCATTTAACAATTAAAATTAACGTGTAGTTTTACCACTTCATACCTTAAATATTAAGTGGTATTTTGCATCTTAAATCTGAAGTAAACATATAGATATAAGATTTGACATATAAAATGAATACACACACATTTAACATTTTGAATTATTATTCAGCATTTAGATTTCGTAAACTCAAAATCTGACACCACTCAGGGACAAAATTGTCACAGTCTGACAGGTACGTGCTTTCTTAAAGTCAAAACTCAGAGCTGAAACACACATATCACAGATCAGTGGAACTTAAAGACAGAAAACCTTTTATGTCTTCAGTTTCTTACGAATAGTTTTCTTTTTTCCTTTATCTCAGACATTAAATCTTTTTTACGTCCCTTGACATGTTTCAGCAGAAACTTCCGCCCCCCTCAGAAGTGATATGACCATAGATATGACGTGTCACACCTACCACCAAGTGACACTTCTGAGGAAGACGGAAGTTTCAGCTGAAACATGTCAAGGTATGTGAAAAAGATTCCATGTGTGAGATAAAGAAAAAAAGAAAATTACTCCTAAGGAAACCTTTTATATAAAAATATCATTAACATTCTATTTTTATAAAAAACAACAGAGACTTTCAAATGAAGCTGTATATGACTGCAAACAGACATGACTATTTGAACCTGGTGCTTTGTTTAAAAAAATACATTTATCATTTAATTTCACAGTAAAAAAAATCTGTATTTTTTTTAAGGTGGGCTGATCTTAAAGAAGTCTGGTCTTTGTTTAAAAGGAAACTGCTCCCCTCTCTAAAACATGAATTATTTAGTCCGCTAGAGCTGCAGCACGCACTCAAGTTTTTAAAAATCTTAAAATATCTGTGTGTTGTGCTGCTCTCAGACAGCAGGGGGCGCCAGAAACCCCATCTGCTGGTCCAGTTCAGTCTAGTTCAGTTGGACTCTCTTCAGTCTGATTTGAATATGAAAGAGGTTTTAGATTGAGCCTCATTAAGAGTCTCAGCAGGCCGGCTCACAGCTCACAATTACATAACAGAGTGCTGCGTTCACTGACACGCTCACTGAGGCATGATGGGAGAATATCTAAATAAAGCTGCAGTCTCAGTAAAAGCAGACTGTAGAAGACTGTGTTCCTCCTCTGCCTTGGTGAGTCAGCGGGAGGAGAAACACCTCCATCTACAGAGTGTCCCCGAATGCACCGTCAGTGTTTACACAGGAAGGTTTAATAAAGTGAAGCTCAGCCTGGAAATCAACAAAAAACACACTGACTGGTGCAGAGACCACCGCCTAGACTGACTTCATACAGTGATTTACTGTAAAATTTAATCTAGACTGTAATGAATACTGGGGTGATCATTCTAGGGTAAAGGTAATATAATAAAAACTACACAATCGTCTGTCATTTAGCCTCAGATAGTCTGTGAGGGGCAGAGGAACTGAATTTTGGCTCTCTACTGTCAGGGGGCAGACTGATTGAAAGTGATGGCGTACTTTCAATTGAGAGGTTCTCGATGGCACGGCGTTCTCCACGGCTGCAGTGGGGAGGCAGACAGAAGCCACGGATGCTCCTCCCGGTCCTAACCCTGGAGCTCAGGACGTAATTTGGATCCAGATCATCTCCACCCTAAAACCCAACAAAAAACATGCACATCATAACCCAAACTGAAGACACCCAAATGGGACCAGGACCTAAACCACAACCAAGGCTATCACTGGAGGCAGAAGCTGGTTTATGTTAAGTTTTACTTTGAGGACAAAGAATCTGGCATAGTTCAGAACCTTCCTCTGCTAGCTTATTAAACTTTCCAAAAAGGGAGAGTAACAAGACCAGTTTAGACCTGGCACAGCAGGTGATAAGCAAGACACACAACAAGATGTCAGCTCAGCTACTAGGAGCTTATAGGACAAAATGGCTGCTCCCTCAAGGACACGACTCTACAACCAAAGGTGAAAGAGACGGACTCATGATAATCCAGCTAAACACTTGGTTATTAGTGATTCCACGGCAGGTTGTTGGTGTCAAAAGGAGAGGCTTTTACGGTCTGGGTTGGGATCTCGTTGGTTAACCTGCAAGTTTTGGGGGCTGGGGGTCAGGTTTTTGTGATTTAACCCCCAGGCTTTTGAGTCAGGGGTCGAGTTTTTATTAATTTAACAGCAGATTTTTAGGCTTGGGGTCCAGTAGGCTACATATTGGATACCTGCAGGCTTTGGGGGTTGGGACAGGTTTTAGTCGAGTTACCCGAGTAAATTTGCTCTTAGATATTGCAGGTTCTGAAGGTGGGAGCCAGGTTTTTGTTGGTTTACATGCTGGTTTTGGGGTTTATGGTCAGGTTGTTGTTAGCTACCTGCAGGTATTTTAGGGTTGGGGTTGAGTTGTCATTGGTTACTTGTCAGTTACTTTGGTTTTCCTGCTTGTTTTTAGGGTAGGGGTGGACTCTTGCCTGGTTACCAGCAATTTTTTTTTATTTCTTTACTTGGACATTAGGACATCGTTTAAATTTAAAAAAATGGTTTGGTGGACCGATTGAAGCTCTTCATTCTAACCACTGAACTTGACTGATGCCCAAATTTTGTGTTTTAGGGAACATGGTCAGGTTGTTTCAGAGTGACCTGCAGGATTCAAAAATCAGCATAATTCTTGGTTGTTAACCTAAAGGTTGTTGCGGTTTGGTTATTGTTCATTTACCTGCACTTTTAAGGTTGGGTCAGATTAGGCGGCTTACCGGCAGGTTGTCAGGATTTAGGTATTTTTGGTTTTAAACTCAAAGTGTGTCAATTTTGATTGTTTTTTTACTTTTCAGAGTTTGGCTTAGTTTTGTACCAAATAGTTTTCTGGACTGGAATCAGTCTTGGTTGTTGTCAGAGTTTAGGTTGGTGGTTTACCTTCAGGTTGCAAGAGCTGGTCTAAATTGTTTTTTAGTAGTTCACCAGCAGGTTTTCAGAACAGGGGTCTCTTTTTGGTTGTTGACCTGCAGGCTGTTGAAGTCGGTTGTTTGTTAAACTGCAGTTGTCTTGGTTTGGTTTTTGTGGGTTTCCCTTCATGCATTAGGGGTTGGGTCTGTTTTTGGTAGAGCACCTCCAGGCTGTTGTGTACCTGCAAGTTGTCTGAGTTCAGGTCAGTCTTGTGTTTGTCTGATGGCTTGTACCCTCCGTGGCGGTCCTCAATCACGGGGTCCATCAGCTCTTTGAACACCTCATATGTTTCCTCGTCTCCAGCTACACAGCCCACCGTCATGATGAAAGGGTGACCTGCAGGGACACAACATGAATTTCACTTCAGATTAACTAGAATAGGAAAGATCATTTTGTCGAATTTTACTCCTCTGATGTCTTAAGGTGTGTTGTTTTGTATTTTGTGTACTGTGACTTGATATCTGAATAGCGTCGTGTGACAGAGGGTTTGTACAAATGCTGCTAAATCCATCAAGCTGGATTTGATGAGGAGGATCATGGGATCAGACGGCATGCACACGTCACATCCCTGTTGAGGAATTAACGAGTAAAATTAACCTGATCTAACGAGTCAATCCAATTAACAAGTTTATATCAAGCAGTGGCTGAAATCTAGAATAGACCATCTCTGAGTGAAGGTGAACAACAAAAACAACAGGACTCACCTGGACCAGGTGAGAGGTTGCTAGTGTGGTTAACACCCTTACCAAGATAAGAGGCAGAGTTGCTCAAGGGTTTACGGTTTATTTGTGGGGTAACCTGTCATACCTGATGGTCAGTAAGGTAAGATGCTTGGCTTCTGTGTCAAGGGTCTGGAAGAGGGGAAAGGTGTTACTGGTTTGGGGGAGTGTTACCCAGTTTGAAGGGAGGGTGTTACCGAGTTTGGAAGGTCGTTACTGGTTTGGGGGAGTTGACCATTTTGGAGAAGGTATGACTTGTTATGGGAGGGTTAGCTGGTTTTAATTGGTATTTCCTAAGTTGGAGGAGTGTAACCTGGTTTAAGGGGCTGGGGTCATCATCAGGTTTGGCAAGGTGATTGTTTCATGGTATTTCCTGGTTTGAGGTTTGGGGGTAGAGTTACCTGGTTTGGAGAGGGGGTTACCTGCTATAGGGGAGAGCTAAGTATTACCTGGTTTTAAGGTGAATTATTGGTTTGGGGCATGATACCTGGTTTCAAGCGGACTTACCATTTTTTTTTGTTTGTTTTTTGTTTTTTGTTTTTTGGGGGGGGTTACCTGTCTTGGCGGGATATAACCTGGCTTGAAGGGTGGAGGGTATTATCTGCTTTATAAAGGGGTGAGGGACTGTTGGCTGCTTTTTTCCTGGTTTGGGGAAGGTGTCACCTGTGATGGAAGGATGTAACCTGGTTCAGAGGGGCATATCCTGGTTTTATGTGGTATTACCTGATTTAAGAGGGGTGTTACCTGGTTAAGGGGTATGACCTTAGGGGGAAGGTTTTACCTAGTTTGAAAGGGAAATTGTTAACTGTTTTTGCTGATTTGGTGGGAGTGTTACCAGGTTAAGGGCCTGTCACCTTGTTCTAAGGGACACACCTAGTTAATTATAGTCAACTCTTCTTATCTGGTTTGAAAGTTCAGGTCTAAGTTTGTTTCCTCAGTTGTAGTAGTTAATCCTTCCTGGTTTACAGGGATTGTTTTCAGGCTTTTAGGGCTGAACCTGGTTACTACAGGTCTCACCTGCTCAGGTTGTTACCTGGTTCTGAGCCTCACAGTTACATTAGGTCAAACCTTTCCAGTACTGTTATCTGGTCCAACGTTTGTCACCCCAATCATATAGTCTTGCTACTTGTCTGGATTGAACCTGGTTACTGAAGTTTTCACTTATCAAGGTTTCTTACCAGGGTTGTCAACACCTGTCTGGATGACATCGTCCAGGGTGAACCCGCTGGGCGTCTCCTTGTCCCTCAGGTTGGCGTACATCTCAGGTGTAAGTATCTTGGCCATGTGGTTGTTGTGCTGGCTGAGGTCAGGGTACTCCTGCTCAGAGGAGTAGTTCATCTTCAACTTGTTGTGGGTGTTCCCGAAAGGCATGATGACGTCTGGGCTGACCTGAGTACAGAAACATGACACAAAGACACTTTAATGTGGTAAAACCTTTCATTCATTTTATTGGTGTCTGAAAATCAGGGTGTGGTTTGGCAGATTGTGTGCCCCATTTATAGAGACTGATAACATTGTTATTTGGTGCTTTTCATTTCCTCTCTCTGTCCTCATACATCCCATCTTTCTGAAATCTTATCTTTAAAAGAAAAAAGGTGTCTCAAGCTGAAGCCGGTGTAGAAGCAGCAGGACCACACTGAAACATTTTTACCAGGAAGACAGATCTTATTTTACAAGTTTGAATAAAGTAAAGAACAATGAAGTACTTTTTTGGACATTTTAATCAAATTCTACTATATTTGGGGGGTTTTAATGTCCATACACAATCCCATTATTCTGTATGGAGACGTCGTGTTTGTTACTGAATACAAATGAGGTCACCCGTATGTGACTGCTTGATTGCCAGAAGCCACTAGGGAAGGTGTGTCTGTCCAAAAAGTCTTTGCAGTAATAAAAGGATTAAATTATTGGAGTACGATTCTTTGAAGATTCAGCGGCCAATCATGACTGAAGCTGCATGCGCATCTCGATGTAAGCTTCCAGTTTACACAATTACAATAAATCTAAGGCTATAAATATAAAGAATCAGACTTAAAATATATGAAGTTTCTGTTTTTACTTTCTCCATTGCATATACTTTACCCTTGTTTTTAATTTTGATTTTAAATCAAAATACCAGAATATTTTTACACAGATACAACAAACATCACACTTTCTGGCTAAATTAAAATATTTCACAAAAATTTAAAGTCTAAATAATTAAAACCACAGGTTCTGATGAAGAGCTCAGATAATTCACATTCATTTTAGTCAAAAGTATTAAAAAACATGAGTTAGAAGTGCTTAAACTGTCCCAGGATTGAAATAAATTAAATATTATGTGATTTATTTTGAAAGGTTAAATTACATCACGTTATTTGAAAATGTTTTATTCATAAATCTGTAAGAAAGAATACAGTGACTCAACCGAGGTGGGACAAAAAGTAAAATCTGCAGCAGCATGTTTCACAATTTTAATCATCTTAGTATTGAGATTAACACAAAAAAAAACAATGATAATCAATTAATCGACCAGTTTATTAGACACCCTAACTCCCCCATCCCCCCTGCAGAGGTCTCGGTGTGTGACCCCACTCGGATGAGTTCGGCTCGGCTCGGGTCTTGGGGGATCAACGGGACTCAGGCTGATTAGGATCTGCGGGAGGCCGCGGTGACGCAGCAGCAGGCCGGGATTAACCCCTCAAAGCGCGGCCGCAGTACCGCGACGCCCCGGTCACCTTCAGGAGTCCATCAGAACCGGGTTTGACTCGTCCCGACCAGGACATGCCCGGGATTTTACCGAGAGCTCCACGGTTTATTTACTGATGCTGGAACGCTGCTCTGTCATCAAATAGGATTATGAACAAACAGCCGTGAGCATGCGCAGTTGGCTCCATTTACACACGGTGATAAAAAGCTGGAAGAGGCTGGAAGGAGACAGAAACTAAGAGATCAATCAATTATCAATAATCAGATCATGGCACGAAGGAGCAGAGTGCACACAGTCGCGCTGCTGCCGCACACTCTGTCCTCCTAATGCAGATTAACGGCTCCCTTTACGCCTGACTGGATTTAAGGTGGATTTATTTGAGGGCCCTTTGTTCCGACCTGCTCATTTAAGGCTTCAGACCTTCTTCACGCGTCGAGCGTGGTCTTTTTTAAAAAGGTCGCGTGCTCTTCATCAGACAGGATCCAGCAGAGGAGCCGCAGATCTGCGTCCGTGCGCTGCTGACTGCGCAACACCTGCAGACAGGACGGACTGAAGGTCGTTTGGATGCAGAGACACAGAGGGGCAGACGGACAGAGGGGCAGACGGGCTCTCTGCACCTCTGACAGACCATAAACAACTCATAAACAAGAGTAAACAAACAAATAAACAAACAGACGGCAGGAGAGCCTGCAGCCTGCCTCTTTGTTCCTTTAACCCACCGTCTCATTTACACCCTCAGGTTTGTCTCATCACCGCAGCGCGCACCTCTCTCTGCATCATTCAGTGATAACCTGTATCGATGAGCTGATCAAAGGGCTGTGTTTGGTCGGATTAGAGGTGAACCTACCTGTCGGTTCAGTGGGCTGAGATGTGGTCTGAAGGATCCGCTCTGCTGCTGCTGCGGATTAACGCGGCGCTCAGCTTTTTATACCCGCCCCCTGCTTCTCATTGGTTCCTATTTACAGTCCATTCATTCCATTGGACAGAGAGCCGGGGAGCGTCACGTGACTCTCTCACTCCAGCATCCTCCATCTCTCTCCGTCTCTCTCTCTCTGAAAGGTTCAACTCCTGCCACAGTGCCTCTGAGCATTATGCAGTTAAGTGTGTGTGATTAGTTCACTGTCCATCAATCAGTCAGTTTTTCACAGTTCCTACAAATCAAACACTGTTTTTACATCATACACACAGCAATCTGTCCTCTATCTGTCCCACAGAAGAGTCAGATACAGGAAATCTTTCCTGCCACAAGCAATAGCACTATTCAATAACTCACATCTGTCGGACAGAGACTCACATCTGTCTGCTGTACAGTCCATTTATAAAAAAAACTCCTGCCCCAACATATTACTGAGCACCTTAAAATGTTTGTTAATTTATTATCCCATCTGTATATTTCGCATTTCATATTGATTACTCATTTCATACTAGTACTACCAGCAGATAGCCCACTTTTTTCATATCTAACTTTTTTCTCATAGGATGTTTAGTATATTTAATCTGTATTTGAGCATCCAAAGAACAGGTAGTTGTGGGGCAAAACAATGTCGCAAAAAAGGACATATCCTTCAGGAGCACAGAAAAGAAAGAGAAAGAAGAGAAAAAAACGCCAAGATAAAGGTATCTTTGCATGTCATGGAATGTTAATCGAAGAGATTTGTGAAGCAGTGTGAATGATCAAAAATCAATATAATTGGCAGAAATAGAGGGCTCCAAAATCTAATTTTGCTCAGGGCCCTATTGAGGCTTGGGCCGGCTCTGGTTAGAAACCAAATAGTTATTTTCTTTTTCATTTTAAAACTAGAGATACAAAATCTGTTTTACTATCTGAATCAAATGAACCAAAATTTAAATGACTTGTAGCCTGTTTTTTCATCTTCTGGTGTTTCCTTTTCTCCCTTAACTGTTTAGAATTGAATATTGAAAAGGTCTCAAGGATTTGTTTTATGGTTTCGAACCAAAAACAAAGTCATATGGTCGCCTCCTTTAACCCTTTAGACAGAAATAAACTATTAAAGGGCTAAGTGACTTTTTTATTTTTTTATAATCACAGTCAGACAGTTGAAAGGTGGTAAGGTGTCAGGCGGAAGTGATAAGTTTCAAATTTCAAAATAAAAGTCAAAATGATCGTAAAATTCTGCTGGCACAGTCAGCTGCAAATATTGAACACTGAATCGAAGAATTAGAGTCAAGGATTAGAACTCACTATCTGCTCTGCAGTTCTGAGATTTAGTTAATTGCTTGGACCTGGACTGTCACCAGTTTGACTCATCATCAGAATCAGCACAGTGTCCACTTATAGTCACAGAACAGCAAACTGCGCTGCCGCAAACGCTGCACGTGTCTTTGACGATGAGGTGTTTGAACAGAAAGTACATCATAAACATCAGACGATAAAAGAGATACCATGGAATAAGACTGAGGACACCTCGGTGGGTTGTGAGTCAGCTAAATGGTTATTTATATAAACTGTTTATCATTTGTGTGACATGTTACCATGGTTACAGAAAGTTCCTGCTTCTGTGACTGTGACTGTGAGTGGGTCTGTCTCAAAGCTTACAGCTGTAATCTCGATTCCTCCACCTCAGTGAGGCTGTGGGGGTGACTTCAGATGGAAGTGTTTTATAGTGGGAGTCAGGAGGGAATCTGTTTGTGGTTTTTCCAGTTTCCAGTTTGGGGTCGTTGTGTGTAATCTGTGACACTTGTGCTATGACTGTGTTTAACTTCTATCAGCTGTGGTCACAATAACTCATTTATTTCTTAGAGACAATAACTCATTTATTTCTTTTATATACTGTTTTATACTCTAAAGCTGTATACTAAAGCTTTGTTTAGCTTTACTTCCCTAATGTCAGCTTGTGTTACCAAAACAATGAAAAACTTGTAACAGTCTAAACATGAATGCATCCTGTAGCGCCCCCCTTAGGGTCATAACTGAAGACAATAGAGAGGGGTGTTTCCTCTGCAGCTTTAAATTATTCATCTTCTGCAGCAGACAGACAGACCTCTGGCTCCGCCCCTAGAGTGAGTGTTGAAGTGAAGCGCTGAGGTTTTGGTTAATATGAGCCCACAGATCAGAGCTGCGTTCACCAACACCTGAATGTTACATATAGTTTATTAAGCAGCAGTTGTATCCATCTGTCTCTCTGGTTTTAACACTAACACACTCACACATTATTCTTTCACCCTGTTGTCTTTTTCAGAGTAACGTGCTACTCAGACTAAATCTGGAGAGAAACGCTGACCACACTCTAAGAGTGATGCTCCCTGGTGATGATGCTGCAGGATGAGGGCCTGACCCCACTGTGACACCTGTCTCCATAGTAACAGCTACCCAGTGGGACCATCAACTGACACAAGAAGCCACCACCAAGTCAACACTGAGCCATTTAAAACTACAGATCTTTAAGTGTCCACTAGGGGCTGTCTCCTGAGGTAAGTCAACCTCCAGAGCGCCACGTTACAACGTCAAACTTTAAGCGGAAAAAAACACATTTCCAACTAGGTATGAAAACACTCTGACTTGTTTTTATAAAAGTAAAGAACATAGCTATGGATAATCGGGGGCGCGCCAGCTAAAACCTTACTTCTGATCTGTGTCGGGGTGGTTTTGGAGGCTTTGAGAGGTTTGTCTATGAAAATAAAAGTTAGATAATCTGCTGCTCTGTGTAGAAATAGCAGACAATTCAAGAGGTCTAATTACATTACTTTGTTAGCCCCTCCCTCCAGCTTCAAATATGGTCACTTCCTACCAAAACAAACCAAATTAAGATGGAAAAATATGAACACTAGTCCTCGTGGAAACATTTAGCGGAATAACGAGTAAAGTTTCAAAGTTTGGGATCAGATGAAACTGAGTTTATTAAAACTCAGTGCATATTTAGATAAAACTGAGATGACTTAATATAATCTGGTCATTTTCTTTATGGTCAGATTAAATTCAGACTATGTTCAATTGATCCTAAATTATACTCGGGCTATACTCAGTTGGTGCTTAAAGTATGCTCATTCTACTCATGATGAAAATTACACGCAATTTAAAATCAGATTCAACCAATTATGACCTAAATCTTTATAGATTATACAAAATTATACTTAATCTATATTTAGATCATTTTAGTGTAAACTCGGTTTATAACAAATGTATGCTAAATTCATACTTTCAGTAATTCATACCAATATTAAATCAGATTAAACTCAAAATACCAGATTATATTAACCTTTACTCAGATAAATTCCCCTTTAAACTCAGTTAATAACAAGTTTGTACTCACATAATACCCAGATTATACCAGATTAAACCCAATCTATACGCAGACTATTTTCAGCATATACTGTGATTAAACAAGTTTAAACTTATATTGTACTTGGATGATACATTCAGTAAATTTTATGTAGATTACATACAGTAACAACCGAGATTACAATTAGTTTACCTAGATTATAATGAGATTAGTCTTCTTTTTTTTTCTCACAGATATTACTCATTTCATAGTTATATTTTATACTTAAATAACAGTAAATAAAAGTATATTGAGTTTATACTCAGATTATTCCACAATATATTCTCAAATTAACAGAGATTAGCCTGAGAGTACAATCCAATTATTCACAAATTACATATATATTTAGATTTTACTCAGATTATACTACATCGTAATATTGCGTTTTAGAAATGTACTTGTGTTTATGACATTTTTATGTTTTGTAAAATATTTTCAGGTTATGTAAATTATTTGTTGCCACGAATCAGCATCAATTTTGTGCTTTAAAAAATTTTGAGTATTTTTTTTTTGCCCTTCTGAAATATTTGTGCTGTCAACCTTCAGGGCCACTGTACATATTTTCAAATATGATATTAATGGATTGCATGTTAAGATTTATTACAAGCGTTAATTCATCATTCATTTCTGAATGAGCATGCCCCTTATGACTGAGGCCTGCTGTGACTCACCACTACTGTGACCGATTGGAGTAAGACAGAGAGACCCAGTGAACACAGAGGCTCAAAGGCAGGAGAAACAAACCAACAATTTAGGTGGAGGGATTTCCAGTTCAGGCAGTTCTCTTAATAGAAAAAAGATCTGGTCTTTCTGCAGGACTAGGTCTTAGAAAGATGGGGGGCGTCCTCTGATCAGGGTTGTATAATGGAGCGATCGTGGATGTTGTTGGTATATGATGCTGTGATCATGTGACCCTCAGTGTTGTTGTATGTTGTGTTTAGTTGTATGTTGTTGGCGTTGACAGCAGCAGAGTGGACGCAGACATGCAGGTGATGAGAGCTGAATACAAACCAGATACATCACCCCTCCCCCACCTGTCCCACCATCCCCCCCTCCTCTGTCCTCCCTCGTCCTCCATCAGCATGTAGAGAGGCTGCAGCCCTACTCAGCACTCCCCCCTCACCCCCCTGTCATTTATTCATGACCGAGCACAGAAACGACAAGGACGAGGTGGGGGGGGGGGGGTTGGTTATTCCTGCAGGAAACCCTGTATCTCCACACTTACAGGGTTCTAAACCGACAGCAGGGATGATGTCAGCTCACCCTACTCCTGCCTGCAGCCAATCACAGGCCCTCTCAGCCTCCTGCAGCTCCCATTGGCCGAGGATGTCAACAGAGCGGTATGGTTCACGTGCAGCAGCAGCAGGTCAGCGAACGCCTCATGGAGAGCGGAACCTGAACATATCACGCAGGCTGCAGAGAGATGCGGATGTCCTGCAGGTGATCACAGAGCAGAGTACAGCTGCTGAGGAGGGACACTCTTCATCAAACACTGTCTCAGACGCCAACAGTCAGACCTTCTTGTCTCCTATTTGACGGAAAATAAAGTCTGACTGATGAACACGTGAGGGGCCAAAGTTCAACATGTTAGATTATGATTACAGAGTGAGTTTTAACACTGATGGTCGTGATGACATTCCTGCAGAAGCTCTGTCCTCTGTGTGAATATTAATAAAGTTTAGTGTCTTTGAATAAAGCCTGTTAGCAGTCTGCAAGCGCAGCGTTCACTGACTCCTAGTTCATTCAGACGTCTGGCTGCTCTCCACCTCCTGGCAGCACCGCCACACTCCCAGGACTGGTAACCAGGCAACCAGCAGCCGACGGCCATGATTGTTTCATTCATTAGAAGAAAAGAAAGAAAGAGAGAGAGAGAGAGAGTAAAGTTACAAAGTGTGTTTGTGATCTGGTGACAGTTTGACCCTCAGCTCGTGTGTTCAGTTCAAGGTCCTCTGAGGACAAACTGTCAATGTCAGGAACATCCTGCAGCAGGCTTCTCCTTAAATAAGCTACTATGTCCTTGAAGATGCTCCAGGTGTTTTTTAAATGTTTGAAAAACTCTTTAAGATGTTCGAGGTGCTCAAAGTATTCTTACAGATGGCCCAGTATCCTTTGAATGTGTTCTAGCTGTCCTTGAAGATGTTCCAGGTGTCCTTGAAGATGTTCCAGATGGCCTGAAGGTGTTTCAGAAGATCTGTAACATGCTCCAGTGAAGTCATTTTCAGGTAAACTTATATCTGTTCCAGGTGAACTAAAACATGTTTTAGGGGTTCTGAAAATATTCCATAGGTTCTGATTGGTTTCAGGGGTTCTTGCAGACTCTCAAGATGTCCTCTAAGGTGTTCCAGAAGTCCTTAAGAATGCTTCAGATTTCCCTGAAGATGCTCCAGGTTAACCTTAATATGTTTCAGGGGTGTTTAATGGTGATCCAGTTATCCTTGAGGATGCTCCAGATGGCCTTGAAGATGTTTGAGGTGTCCCTCTAGTTGTTTTAGATATTCTTCAGATGTCTTGTAGCCTTCAAATTTATTTTAGGGGCCTTGAAAATGTTTCATGTGTCCTCGAAGATGTCTAGGTATTTTTACAGATGTCCCAGTATCCTTTGAATATGTCTTTGATGTCCTCGAAGGTGTTTCAGGGTCCTGGAGGAATTTCCAGGAATAGATGTCACTGTCAGGTGTTTGTGTAAAACGATAAGCTGATTTAGGCTCAAACAGGAAACAGCTCTGAGTTTGATTGACAGCAGGTGTGACGAATGACCTCAGTCTCAGGTGACATTGGGATTTGACCTCTGACCCCTGAGACAGGAAACTCATACAGACAGCATACTGGTGTTAAGAGTCTAAGGTTGTTTGAGACTGGCCTGTTCCTGCTAAGTCACATCTAGATCCACAAACAACTGCAGCCAGGTGGCACAGACTCACCTGAGTTTATACTGTCTGTGATGTTGTTTATGTCATTAGCATTGTTAGCTTATTAGCTCCATTAGCTTTGTTATCCTCCATGTTGGTTTAACAGACCATCCACTGAGGTAATGATCCTGACAGACCAAACTCTGGGCTGCTGGAATGTCTTCTCTTTACTTCCTGTTCTCTCTGATATCACAAGTTCTGATTGGCTACGCCACTGACACTCTCTATTATGTAACAGTAGTCTGCGTCTTCAGGTGCATTCTGGGAAATGAGGAGGTGAGAGCAGTGTTTAGAAACAAACATTAATCCCTACTGGTTTAATCTCTGTCACCATGGCAACCAACGAACCCACACTCATTGTGAGACACAACAAATTTATTCAGATTGGGCCCTGCCCATTGGTGTGATGTCACTGCATGGGAAAAACTATGATTGGGCAGTGATGAAGAGGATAAAGAGGAGGTGTTACATAAGAGGAGACATCTTTAAAATAAAGTGGGGAGGAGGGGGGAGGATAAAACAGCAGGAGGTAGAGAGGGCAGAAGAAAGGAAAAGGATAGGATGGAGAGGAAACTGAGGAAAGAATGGAGGAGAAAACAGAAAATAGGGATTAGGGATGAGCAGAAAACAAGAAAAACGCAGAAAGACTGAAGGAGAGGAAGGAAGGTACAATGCATTAGAATTAAGGAGGAAGGAAAGGAAACAATGGAGGGAGAGAAAGGGAGGAGAGGACAAAGGAATGAAGAGGAAACAAAAAAGAGGAGGAGAAAGAGAAGGGAGGAGGAGGGTCGGGAGCAGAGTAATCTGGGGCACTAAGGAGCACGTGGTCATCACCATGACAACCGTCTCTCTCTTACTGATTGGCTGCTGAATTTTGATTTAATGAATAAGCAGGCTTTGATGGGGTAAAAGTACCTTCTACTGAAAATTATGTTATACTCCTGTACTTCAATCTATGATGGAACCGCTTTTGATACTAACTGTACTATACAGTACAAATTACTAAAAGTGACGATAATGTCCTCCTGTACTTGTACTGCAGTAAACACTACAAACTTCTCTTCAGAGAAAAATATTTAATCAAGATAAGTACATCAGAGTTGTATTATAGTGTAGTATTTCAGTACATGCATTTGTTTACTTTTAGCTTAAGAGGTATCATTGGTATCAGTACTGTAACTGTAGTACCAGTGCTCCAGTATTTGGAATTAATTCTGTCTCATTGACAATTTATACTTCAGTTCTGGTAGTATTTGTACTATGACAGAGATTGTATTTCAGCTGTGGTATTGGAAGTATTTGCAAGGTTGCATTGGCTGTATGGATACTGTGGTAACTAAAGTATTACTACAAATTGGTGGTATTTATACTGCAGTATGGGCAGTATTGGCTGAAATACTTGTAGTATTCACCCTGTGTTTCGTTGTTATTTCTTACTGCAGTATTGCTTGTACATGTACTTAAGTATCAGGAGTATTTGTACAGTAGTACTCAGAGGATTTGTAACGTTACCAGCATATTTGTTATTGAATATTGGTAGTAGTTTATTGGTATATTAGTAGCAAAAATGGTGAAGTATTGAAAGTACTTATACTGTTCTATTGTTGGTGTTTACACAGTAATATGGATAGCATTTATACTGTAGTACAGGTAATATTTTATTGTTGTACTGACACTTTTGCTAAGGTTGTTTCATAAAATTCTGTTGTATGAATAAAATTTGTACTTAATTATAGGCATTATTTATATTACGGCTAATGGTAGTTTTGTTGGAATTTTATAAGTTTCTTATTAATACCGTGGTATTTTGAGAATAATACTCCGTAGAATTATTAGACCACAGTATAAGTGGCACTTTACGGCAGTGTGGTTATTGTTGGTGCTGTAGTTATAGTAGTAGTAGAAGTAGAAGTACTAGTAGTACTGCAGTGTTGGCAATATTTATACTTGTGTGGGTGATATTTGACTAAAATTGTAGTGTTTTGGTCAAACAATCTGGTATTTTGTATTTACACTTAAGTATGAGAATTAGCCCAATAACATCAAAGGTATTCATAATTTTGTATTGGTACTACCTATACAAAGTATCTGTAGTATTTATTCGTGATTTTTGGTGATATTTTTATTGTAGCTTTGGTAGTATTTACACCTTAGCACCGTGAGTATTTTCAGCACCACAGACAGCTCAGAGCTCAGTGAGTCTCTGTTTCCCTCTGCTGGTTGGAAGAGGAACAACAACAACAGCAATTACATGTATCACTGCTGCTCGTGCTGTTTATTTTTTCGAATCTGTTTAGGGCTCTCAAAGCTTTTCAAGCAAAAGTTCTAAAAATACTGTTTTAGTGAAATTTTCTTTTCTTGAAAATGTTTTGGCAGTTTTTATGTTGAAAACAGAAAACTTTTAATCATGAAAAATTACAATATCATGTTTAACAGTCAAACCTGCCTTAAAATTTGATTTTTACACAAAATACATGTTAACAATTGTAATAATCAAAACTGTGATTTTTTTAAAACAAAAAAAATCAAACACATTCTCACAGACAAACACACATTTGATAAAAACTAAGGGATGACTAAGTGTAATTTGTCTGAATGAATTATCTCTTATTTAAAAATTGTGTGATATTTTTGATAAGTAATACCTAACTGCTTTCAAATGCAAAAATTGAATTTTAAACAAGCAATTCAAACTTTTATTAATCTGAGTTATTATTAGTATGAAAACTCAGTGAATATATATATATATATATATATATATATATATATATATATATATATATATATATATATATATATATATATATATATATATATATATATATATATATATATTCTGATCTAAAACCAGTATTGTGTCAGAGTTACCAGTAATGTTTTATCCATCATCCGTCTGAAATTAATCAAACTTAATTTTAACGTATAATTAGCCCACAGGTGAATTTATACCTAAATCACTTTAGTATTATCTTCTATCACTCCTTTGGTGATCTTATAAAATATATATATAAATATATACAGTATATAATACCAGCAGTAGGTCTTCAGGTGGTTAAATATATTACAAAACAGGAAGTGGAGAGTCTGAGGAGGAAGTAACACAAACATAGAAACTCATTGAACATTTGAGGCTTTTATTTTGTTAAGTGTTAAATGTGAGCCAGTCATAGCAGTCTGAACATCTGTTCCTCAAACCAGGTATCAAACCAGACCATGTGTGTGGAACTTGAAACCGCCACTGTTTCTACATGAGTCTAACTTTTAGGTGCTGTATCACACCTGTACCTGTATCACCAAACACACAGTAAAGTTCAGATCCTTCAGAGCAGCAGAGTCTGTATGTCACTCCTCTGATCCCTCATCCAATCTTAGCTTAGGCAACTCTGGCTCAGTTTCAGATTCAGGTTTAAACCCAAAGGACTTTTAGGTCTCTGCTTGGTCTGAAATCAGAATCTGTTCCTGGAGAGTTAGAGCATCTTCACCAAAGGATGCATCAATGGAGCTCCCATCATCGTGAAGCCAGGGGTCATCAAGTTGCATTGACAGAGCCTGGTTCTGCTGGTCCTGGTCTTCAGGGGTCCACAACTTTTTCTAGGCCAGGCTCTAACTGGTCACAGGGATCTGGACCTGGCGGGATGGCACCTCCTGCTCGGTAGTGGCGGTTGGGACATTGATGTTGGGGTCGTCATCGTCGACCTGGTAACACTTGCCCAGGTTCTTAATGATGTTGAAGTTGGAGCGAGCTGTTTCTGCCAGGCTGTTCTCCAGGATCCAACCATCAGACTCTGAGTCTGGATCGCCAAGCCGGATCACATTCTCCATGGCCGTCTGCAGGTAACGGACCCCTGTCAGGACCAGCAGCTGTGAGAAAACAAACAGAGCAGAGGTCAGCATTGAGGAGAAAGACCAAACACAGTACGAGCACTGTTGTGATGATTCCAATTGTAGACTTGGTGGACTCCTTAGGTTCAGTTGTCTTTCTTAGAAACAGATTAAATTCTTAATGTTCCCTCAGCACAAACAAACACACAGACACCGTCTGGAGCTAAACACAGCCCCCACACAGAGGACAGGACAGAGTTGGTTAGGATTGTGCTTGGGGTTGATGGTTTTCTTCAGAACCTTTGAGGGGTTTGGGGTCAATACCTCAAACAGCCAGATGAGCAGCACAGTGAGGCCTATGGACTGCATGATGCCTGTGTAGTGGTCCATCAGGGCTTGTCTGCAGCCCCTCCTCCACAGGTTGAGCTGCTGGCTCTGCTGGTCATAGTTAAAGTGGGCTGATGTGTTGCTGATGTGATACTGGATGCACGGCCGTGGGGACAGGGTGCTGCAGCAACTGAAGGGGACGCCATCCATCAGGTACCGACCCTCAACGTTACTCCTGAGACGACTGCAGGGAGGAGCAGGTTTGTTGTTAGAAGAATACAACTACCACCAAAAACACCACCAAAACTACTGGCAGGACTACTCGTGAGACCACTACCAAAAACTACCTTTAAAGTAAGACTAAAGCACTACCTGGACTACCACTAAAAGCACGACCAGAACGCCACCAAAGCTGCTACCAAAACTACTGCAAAACACTACCCAAACTACTACCAGGACAACTACCAAAGCCACCACAAAAACATGATCAGGCTACTACCAAAACCACCACAATAGTACAACAAAGAACACTAACTCAAACAACCACAAAAACCACTACCAGGACAACTACCAAAACACTGCTGGAAGTACTACCAGGGCTACTATTGCAATTACTACTAGAACTAACAACCCTATGCTGTGATGACAACCATAGCCATCATATCTGGGGCCCTCATTACAGTTTCTGAGCCTTACACACAGTCTGAGGTTGGTGAATTAAAAAGAGGTAGTGGTGTGTGGGTATATATGTGTATATATATATATGTATATGTGTGTATGTATGTGTGCATGTATGTTTGCATGTGTATGTATATGTATACATATAATTATTATTATATAGATATTCCAATGTAATCCAATTAAGATTTTTTTTTTCTTTTCATTTTAAATTCTCTTTTACATATGATATAAATTCCTTCCCCCTCCCCTCCCTCACAAAAGTATTTTTGTAAATTTTTTATTTTTTTATCTTTTTGTTGTTGTTGTTTCTGTTGTTGTCGTCACTCTGTTTTGTTGTTAAATAAAAAAATTAAAAAATAAATTAAAAAAAAAAAAAAAAAAAGAGATAGTGGTTAGAAATTACCGTACTTTTTATACTCCCATTTCAGACGGAGTAAATCCTGCAGACAGGTTATATTAAGTATCTCCTACCTGAGTTGAACCTTGTACTTTAAGCCTAATTAAGCGCACAGCCTTTGACCCCAGAAGCCTCTCTTTGCGGTGGACCAGTGGCCTTAATCTAAGAGTTCTGTGTTTACAATCTTCTGTAACAGAGAAGGGGGCGCTCGGGGAAACTGTAGCAGTTTTTAACATGAATCAGATCCAAGGGCAGTGGAGCAGGTCTCCTGAGATGTTCTGAATCTAATACCCAAGCAGAACTTACTACTGAGGTCATCTCCTGGTTGACCTGTTATTTATCAAAACAATCAACAAGACATGTCGGCAAGAGGCTAACGGGATGAACATCGAAAGATAAACACTGTCACTTTTACTGTTCTGGGCAGTTTGTTCAATATGAAAGTATTGCACAAACTGTATTATTGCACAAAAGTGCACTATCTAGGCTTGGTAATATGTCTATGAATGTCAGTTCAGTGCGATTTCAGTTGGACTAATGTGTTTACATGTTTTTAAAAGTCAAGTTTCAGATGGAGTGACACAATAAACTAATTTCTTGAACAACAAGTAAATGTACAGACTGTGTCACATAAAAACACCAAAGGAGAGCATGGCGCTCATGCATGTTTTTCAGTTCCTCATAATCATTCATTGAAACCATAGACTGTATATAGAATGGACAGTGTCTGCCTCCTCGCTGGGTGAAGCCACTCCGAGAACAGCACCCTCTGGTGATGGGCTGCAGTATAGGTCATAAATCCCACCAACATACCCCCCCCCCCCCCAGCCTATGGGCATACGAAGATTGCGTAGCTCACCCGGGGGATACGCTGTTTAAGCCGAGCGTCATCACAGTGACTCTCGGTGACTCTCCCGCTGAATGCGCACAATGCTATTGCGCAAGTGGTGGGGTGCGTACAACACTATTGCGCAGAGAGAAAACGCTGAATTACTGAGAGCTTTTTGGCTTCAAATCCATATTCTGGCGGAAGGCGGAACCAAGTTGTCCATAGAATATACAGTCTATGGTTTAAACCCAACTGTATCAGGGAGACCTAACCAGTTATCTTGGGCATGTGCAATACATGTGAACAGTAATAACCATCTGCAATTATGTTAGTGTTTCCTCAAACTTTCATTTTTTCTGCATGTGGACAGGTTTATTCAGAAACTTTGGGATCCACCAGAATCCAGATCCTCTACTATTTGTGAGAGTATGTGCATTGAATTGTTGGATGTACACTACAGGCCAAAAGTTTGGAAGCAAGATCAGATTTGTACAAAAAAAGATCATAATTTCATATATACAATTTGCAACACAATTGTGTAAAGAGTAACTTATCAGAAGACATTTTGACTACAATTATTAGGTATTTGAGTTATTGTTGCTTAGAATTTGCTTTCTTTAAAGTAACCTCCTCTGGCTTTAACAACAGCTTGGCATATACCAGGCATTCGTTACACAAGTTTTTTAAAGTATGTTCCAGGGATTGCATTCCAAGCTTTCTTAAGTTCATTAAAAAGAGACTGCTGATTCGTGGGACGCATTTTTTCTGACCGATCGATCCAATTCATCCCGCACAAGCTCAATTGGAGAGAGGTCTGGAGGCTGAGGGGGTCAAACCATCTTTTGAAGAACACCTTCCTCTTCTTTTTTGTCTAGGTAACCCTGACAGAGCTTGGCAGTGTGCTTAGGGTCATTGTCTTGCTGCAAAACAAACTTGTGAGCCACAAGTCTGAGTCCAGATGGAACAGCATGGTGCTGGAGGATGGAGCGGTACTGTTCCTTCTTCATGATACCCTTTATTTCAAACAAATCTCCTACTCCATCACCTGCAAAACATCCCCATACCATGGAACTACCACCTCCATGCTGAATTGTGGGTGTAACACATGGTGCTTTCAGACGTTCACCAGTTTGTCAGCGGACATAGACTCTGCGTTTTGAACCAAACATTGCAAAGTTGTTTCTAGTCATCATAAGTCCAATTTTTGTGAGCTTTTGCCCACTCATATCAATTTTTCTTGTTCTGTGGACGAAGTAGTGTTTTTTGCAGATACACAACCCTTCAAACCAGCCATTTCCCCGTTGTCAGAGATATGGGTTTTGACCTTGTCATGTTGATTTCCTACCTTGTTTTTGGTGCTGTCTTTCGTCGATCTCTCTTACTGGTGACAATACTATGTTTATCCTCTGCTTTTGTAGTAACTCTCTTTCGTCCAGGTCTTTTTCTATCATCATAACTTCCAGGTTCCTCTAGTCTCTTCAGAGTGTAGTGGACTCCTTTGTTAAACACCTTTAGGCGTTTTGCAATTTCTCTTTCTGTGTATCCTTCCTTCCTCAATGTACAAATCTGTACTTTTGTTTCTTTACTCAGTTGCTTCTTTCTAGCCATTTTTGCAGTACTTTGAACGCAGTTAAGATTTATTAGGATTTTTGTATGCAGGCTCTCAAATGCCAGAAAGTTGAAGTGAATAATCCAACTGTGATTTGTTTTTTTGCTTTTGCACTGAAGTTGTGACTCTTGCAAATGTTTTCAACTCTAAAACAAAGTCCTTATTATCTTTTGCTGACATATATTTAGCAATGGTCTGTTAACATCAATGTATATCTAAGGTAAATGGAGTAAAATGGTGCATTTCCATGAAAGCAACATCTGATCATGGAGTAAATACATCCCAAAATACATAAAACTCATGCTGGATTTAAAAAAAGCATTGTGAACAAAAACTTGAAGTTACTTCCAACTGTTCAGCCTGTAATGGCCTTGCTTCCAAACTTTTGGCCTGTAGTGTACATACTTGTGTGAGTGTATTCTAGTTTAAGCTCTACCTACTCCACTACAAGGCTGCTGGTCATGTCCAGGTAGCGGTTGCTGATCCACTGGACCTGGAACCAGTCCCGGTACCCTGAGTTCCCACAGCACTGGAACTGGATTTGCAGCAGGTCTAAGGTCTTCTTCAGGTAGCAGCGACCCGGTGTGTCCGTGTCCTTGTAGTAGCGCATTGCGTTCCTCAGACCCAACAACAGAGATTCCTCCAGCTGGCTGCGGATGATGTAGCACATGAGTGCCCCCATCAGGACGCAGGAAGTGAAGAAGAAGGTGCAGATGACGTACGGCATCATCACCAGCTTCCAGCGCAGGAACTTGTTGGTGTCGGTACAGTCCAGGCAGATCTTCCCTCCCAGGAAGTTGATGCAGCAGGCGGCAAGGCCTGTGGTGATCAGAGTGTTTGGCACATAGTGGATCCCATGCTCTGACATCACTTCCTGCCATTTCTGGATCTCTACTTTGAGGAACACGCCAAGGCTTAAGAGAATCGCTCCCGTTACCACAGAGATCCAGTTGAGCATCCAGAGGACCTCAGCTAGCTTCTCTCTTTCTGCCTTTGTGAATGTCAGCTTACCCACAGCCATGTCAGTCCCGTGGTTCTGATTGGGATCACATCAGCTCTTTCTCATGTCCAAAATGTTGAAAACATGATGTATACTAGAGGGCCTTTCGCTGCAGAGCTACAATCCGCCGCCAGGGGCTGCATGTAAAACCTCTCTGGAACCAAAAAAACCACAATGTCTCCTCTTCTCTGCAGCTTTTACATAAGGAGATCTTAATTTACCATCAGCACTTTCTACACATGGTCCAAAACTCAGATGCTGTCTTCATTAAGTCTAAGGTCCTCCTTCAATTTGATCCCAGGCAGCACCACATTGCAGAAACACTCTGCTCTTGAGGTAGTGGATCATCAGACAGTTTCTAGAGTCTGTGAGCATGGTGTTTGTGGTTGTTTCTTCAGGGATGGTTTCATCCAATCAGGCCTCACAATGCCCCCCCAGTTCACCCATCCTGCTCCACTCATCCATGGGTCCTGATCAAATGTTACCAAGGATCAAGAAGAACCTCTACACAGTTCAGGTGTGTGAGGGTTCAGGGACCAGAGGTCAGGGTTCAGGGTGGCCCTCTCCTCAGTGCAGCGGGGGAGAAAACAGGAGGGAGAAAGCTGCTGGTTGACCTCTACGTAACGTCATAAGGAGATTAGTGAGGTATTTCAGTTTCTCTTGACTGAACTGGAAGGCATGAGCAGGATGGGAGCGCTGCAAGAAGAAGGTCAAAGTTTAAAAAAAAGTTCTGATTGTCAGAAACTGATCTAAACATTTGTCACACACATTTGGTCCTGCTAGAACAGTTTGATCAGTCGAAGTACAGTCAGAGATGTTCTCCTGTAAAGACGTCCCACTCCCTCACACTGGTCAGAGAGGAGCCCCTGTTTCAGCTGAAACACAAACTGATCAGCAGCTGCTGTTTAAACTAACCAGTCTTCAGGGTCATGGAGTCATTGAAGATTCATTCATCGCAAAACTATCTGTGACCTCAGAGCAAACGAAAGTTTGGATGAACGGAGCGTGTAAGCTGCCATCTTAGATTGGACTCACCCCCTCCCTCCTCCTTCACTTGATGCAGAAAATAACTCACTTTTACTTGGTTGAGTAGAAGTTGCCAGGTGTCCCGTAGTCCTGTTTGTCATCCCGCAGACCTCCCATCATGTTGAGGAACCTGGTCCTGCCACTCTTCAGGAGCGGTCGAGCAAATATTGGAGCTGAGAAAAAGAGTTTTCAGGCTCCTGTTAGCCTGCTTCACTAATCTCCTTACAGCTAATCTCTCCTGTAATAAGCTGAGAAATCTCCATCCCCCCCATTCACCAGCTGGACCATCAGCAACAAGGTACAGAGCGCCCATGTACTGGACACCCTGTTTATTTACCTGACATACACCTGATCATCAGTCTGACACCCATCTGATCTCCTTTACGCCCAGAGACACTATGGAGTAAATTTAGGTCACGGCAGAGCTGAGTGAATGTTAAGGAACGGGTTCGGAGCACTGCCTCATTTTACCTGCAAACTGAGGGGCGGGACATGTTCATGATTGACATGAGGAGGGACTTGTCAGTCTTAAACATTCCCTGGAGCTGAAAAACTCCAATGATGATCTAAAGTTTGTTACATGAAAAAATATATGACTTCAATATGCATAAAAATATACATAAAAAGAGATAAAAGGGAACTAGAAACTCAACGTGACAGTGCTCCCCATTGTCAGAGCCGCAAAAAGTGTAGACCATTACTGGTTTGAACCTATAACCGTTTAACCTATCCTTAACATTGCTGCACCTAGGGGCTCAGTGTTTAAGTTCTCTCAGTGTCTCTGCTTAGATGAACACATTGTTAGGGACAAAACAAGTGTGTCTACAACTGTGTAGAATAAGGATTGACCAGTAATCTGCATGGCCAATAATATCAGCCAATATTCAGCATTTTTAATTAAAAAAAAAAAACCTATCTGCCGTTTTTTCCACCGATAGCCAATAAAATAAGTTTATTCTAAACAAACTCGATAAGCTTTTACACATTTGCCTCTTTCTGCCTGAAGTCACCACTCTTGACTGTGTAACAGTGTCCTGCCTACAGTCCCCAATGATTAGCTACAGACAGCCAATCAACACTCAAGCTTCTAGATGCAGCTCCACAGCAAGGGAGAGAGAGAAGAGAGTGCATCTTAGTATACAACAGTTTAAGGTGTTTTTATCACAAATTTTCACAGTGTACAAAACAAACAAACAGTGTACTGTGTTCAGTCTACTCCCAGGTGTGTTATCTAAAATTTTGACACTAAAATATACGTTTACTGCAAATGAATATTGGTTCTAGATATCGGTTATCGTTTTCCTTGATTACTAATAATCAGTATCGGCCCTAGACAGAAACATATTGTTGTTGTTGCTCTTCTTCTTTTGTTCAGGTGCATACCGCCAACCACTGAACAAATATGTGTAGCTTCCATATACTGTATGTATGTAGAAGTATATACAGTCTATGGTAGCGTCATATCTTCACCTCTAAATTCAACCCATTAGTTGAGTCTCTTTTAAAAAGCTGAATGATACTTTCCTCACACCTTTGCTTTTTCCCCTATCCCCCTATTGTTGTCCGACTTTCTGAATGGGAATTTGGACATTTCCAAGTTCTCAGTACAACTGGAACACAAGCCTCTAACGCCTTTAGCTAGAGCAGTCCTAGGGTGACATAACTTAAAGCCAGCTGTAACCTTGACCTTTGTCAAAAAGGAAAACTTTCAGCTTTTTCTTGTAATTCAAGAGGATGTCTGCCTCTTGGACCCGACCCTATTTTAATACAACTGATACTACTTCTTTTTATTCCCTGAACCTTTCAGTTGATTTGATTTATGCTTGGTAATGGCATCAAACAGAGCAGTGTGTAGATAATAAAGATGAAAACACGTTTCTCAGGGATCGGCATGTATAATTAAGATCATTTAAAACATACACTGAAGACCCCACCCACCTACCCATCATCACCACCATCCTTTACATTCACAAATGTTGATGAGATGGTGCTCACAGTGTTTTCTTCCACAGTGTGCAGACCTCCACTCTGACCAGCAGAGGGTGCTCGTGTTGAACACATTATACCAATCAGTGTCACACTGTGAACTGTGTGAACAAAATAGAAACTTCTGGACCACAGGGATCTGTGTACATCAGATATAACTTATTAATTAATGATGTTAACCAGAGCTTATTAAATCATTGTCCCTCTGAGTTGCATCTTTACATTAATCAATTCAAATTTTTACACATTTAACATCACAGTGATGTTATAACTTAGTTAGTTTGGTCACCTTGACATGAGTTAAAATGTGATAAAAACAATTTTATATTGACAAGTTTAAACTGATTTGATTTGTACTTGCTTTTAAACTAGATTTAATTTGATTCAGTCTTATTTTACTAAAATTGAATTGAATTAAATTAATTTAATTTCCATTACGAACAAATCCATTTATTTTCTCTTGTTTGCAAATGGTTTTATTTCTTAATTTTTAAAAATTGTTTGTGGCAAACGAATGCAACAAAACTAAAATCCCCTTATAAAAGTCCCACTCTGATCCTTTTTCTTTTTTTTTTTTTTTTTACAAGTTTAAGTGCTATTAGTGATCTTTAAATTGTGATTGTTGTGTGATCTTTACCTGTGTCATTTTCAAGGGCTTTTGCTCTGCAGCTCATTAGCAATTTGCCTCTGAGTCGTGGGCAGAGACAACGCTGCTCTGCACACTCCTCTTCACGCCAGCTTGTAGCCTAACATTGCTGGTGTAGTAGACGTAGCAGACAAGCTTTTTAGCTCCTATGTTAACCTGCTACAGTGATTCTCCTTTCTATTTCTCCAAGTCTAGCCTACATAGCAGGGCGCCGGGGGCGGAGCTTGGAATTGTGACATAGGAAATCCCACTGTATCTGATCCTGCCGTTTGGGTCTGCCAGAGTTTCACAGCGATTTGAATGCAGAAATATTCAGAAATGCAATTTCACTCTAATTTTTCTATGATATGTCCTCTAGCATCAGAAAAATGCCGTATGAACATGTAGACAACAAGAAATATATGGTTTTCATCAGAGCTGGTCTTTAAATGATCATTTTGGTGAGTGAAGTTAAGTTTTGTAAACATATAAGATCAAATTTTACAAACAAAAATAAGTAACTATGGCATTTCTATACAAAAACTCTTTCTAGATTTACATGGTATTTTTAAGAACTCAAAGTCTGGATGAAAAAAACAAGGCACAACCTCTGCCACAGTTAAGGCCCTAAACAATATTATAAATACCTCAATGACTCTAAAAACATTGTGTTTCTCTTTTTTAGACGTATTTAAAGCCTTTGACACATTTATCGTTCAACTATTTTACAGAGGCAAACCTACTTTGTGTTTTAAAAAAGGTTCTGTGGTTAAAAAATGACAAGAACTGTAAACAGTTGTAAAAGTTGAGGATTTATGGGCCAGTTTAATCAAAATGGGTATTCCTCAGGGGTCTGTGGTATGTCCTCTTAAATTCAGTATTTATATCAGGATTTCATGTACTGATGTTACATTTTTAAAGTTCACTTTTTATGCTGATATCATGATTGTGTATGCTTTGTCATCTTCCCCAGAGTGCGATCAGTCAGCTGCTTTTCATGTTGTCCAGATAAATCTCTGTAAACGATTGGGTTGCAACAGCAAGCCCACACACCTCTCACACTCTAAGAGGACGGATAAAAATGATTATCAGACTTTTACTTTGGGCAAACAGAGACTGAATATATCTTAACATGTGAGTACCTGGAATTTCACCTGAAAAATGATGTCTTTAAATCATTGTTTAAAGAAACTTGCAGAAATTGGGGGTGGATTTTTCCCCCATTGAAATGAATGCTGGTTTGGTTTTGTTGATTTAAATAAACACTGTATAATGGTGACTAGTTGTTGTCTTCTGTTTTGTCCTGTTTATTTGGCAAAGTAAGCCAGAGTAACATTACATGTCACTGAGCTGTAATTTCTAGAACTAATTTTACAGTCCTCAGCCCCGTGTTTATCAGAGACAGACGAAAAACTGTGTAAATCACAGAACTCTGGGCAGAAAACAAAGACTTGTTTTCATATCCTGTCATGAAGTCACTGACGATGTCAGACTCCCTCCCTCTTCTCCTGGGGGGCGGTACCAGTCTCTCCCAGCTCCTGTCAATCACACCATGACGTCATGTGTCCAGAGCGTTTCCGGTGCAGGAAGGCGGGGCCTTGGTGTTCCCGAGGGAGCGTCGAACAGGTGAGTCATGTGGACGTAAAGCAGTGGCTACTGACTTCCCGAATTGGGATATTTTCTTTCAGAATAAAAGCATGAATATTGCTGCTCAAGATGACCTTGAGTAAGTTTTCTCTTTTTAATGATGGTTTAAATGTTGTTATTTTGCACAACCCTGCATCATTTTAGCGTTTTTTATTTTTACTAATCAAATTATTTAGTATTTTAAACAACAAAATTAACACACATTGTGAATCTTATGATTATTCAACAAAATACTTTTGTCCAAAAATAAAAATAAAAAATTAGTAATTTAATTAGGCAAAGAAGTATTAACAAATTAAAGCAAATACAGGGTCAAAAATGAAAAGAATTTAAGCATCAGGGGACAAAAACTAGAATGAAAACGGATAAGAGGATGTGAAGCAAATGGATCGAAGTAATTAAAAATTAAAGTTTGATTTGGTCAATAATAATGAAAAGGAACAAAATACTTTAACAAAAGCATAATATAGTTCTGAATAAAACTTGTTAAAATATACATTTGAATACTTGAAGTGTTTCAGCCTATAAACTTTTCAAAAGATAAGAATAAGTATCAGAATAATAAGAACTTTATTAATCCTCGAAGGGAAATTCAATGTCACTTAACTGTCTGTATTCATTTATGATGAATTTGAGTTTTTTTTTGTTATCATTTCTAATGATACATTTTACTGATTCCTTCAAAGTATGTTACTGTAGTTTCAGTGGTTATGATTGTAGCTTTTATTTTCTATGATTTTATGATTTAAAGATGAAATCCCTGTATTAGACATTTTTAACTGGCTTTTAGTATTTTAGATTAATCACATGAATATCATCTTTATTTTAATTGAAAAGATGAAAAACTTGTGTAATTAACATGGACTGAGGTCGTTTTCACTCATTTAATCATTTCTATCTTAACCAATGGCTTGCTTGAGTTATCTTTTTGATCATATTATTTTTCACAGTGTTTATGAAAATTATTCCAAACATTAAAAAAAATCCATTTAGTGTGGAAAAAATGTGGAGAATTGTTCCAAGTGAAATTTTTGAATGTTGAAAAGCACATTGACATTTTGGAGTATTCCGTTTGTTTTCTCATGGCATTGCAGCAAAATGAAGGGAATGTATAAAATCATGATTTATAGTTTTATTTGTTTTATTTATATATATATGTAGTTCGGTACAGTAGTTTTATTGATATAAATTAAAGTTTGATGTGGTTTGATGTTTCTTGGTGTTTTGGGGTTTTTATTGTGAACATCTTGGACACCGGAAGTGTGTCCGTGTCTCTGGAACTTGTCCTGGATGATCTGATCCGGATTCAGCCATATTCACATCGAGCAGCCACACCGGCAGACTCCTCAAACCCAACAAAACCGTCTGAATCCGTCTGCCGCTCACGCTCTCGGACCGAACGGATCTTATTATCAGACCCGAGTCCGCCCCGGTTCTCCCGGACATGTTACCAAGCTGAGGGGCCGGCGTGAGGACATGGATCCGCAGCGGACAGCCTGAGAGAGGCGACGGTCTGCCCGACATCCCAAACCTGAGAGCAGAGTCCAGATTGACCGGAATCACGGACCGGTCCGAGCCCGTAGACTGAACGGCTCCTGAAGCGGGGGACTTAAGGAAACCGACAGAGACTCACCGACATACCGACGCCCGGACCGCTCAAAATGTCGGGAATGTTCTCCCGAAGCTAACGAGCTAGGCGCAGCTAGCAGGCTGCGCTCGGCTGGGCTCGGCAGGACTCGGAAGGAGTCGGAGCCAGGTCGGCGGGGCGCTCACGGACTGCTCGGCGGGGCGCTTGTCGGACTGTACCCGGAGCGGAGAGGCTGGTCACGGGCAGGATGTCGGGTCAGGACCGGCTGAAGCGGCTGGAGGAGCTGCTGCTGAAGCAGAAGGAGGCGGGCTGCCTGAGCATGGAGGCATTGCTTGACCTGCTGCTCTGCTTCTGCGCAGAGCTGTCCCAGACCCCGCTCCGCAGGGACAAGCACGTCCATGACTTCCTGGAGTGGGGTAAGAACCTGAACCAGGTCCACACTTAGTAACAAAAACCTAGATAATGTACTATAGAGGAGCACTGGTCTCTCCTGGGATCAATATGAGGCCCAGGTGATCCCAAGAGAAAACACAGGTGGCCTTCAGGGAGTTTAAAGGATCCTGGAATGGTACCTGGAATACCAGGAGAGGTTCAAGGATCCTGGAAAGGTCTACAGAGTCCCATATAATCCTTGAAATAGGTTGAGTGAGAGTGTAAGATTTCTTTTAGAGCTCCAGGGAGGCTCGGTTTGGAGTGATCAGGGAAACCTTGGAAACTTTGAGTATTTCAAGGAGGTACCAAGGTGATCAAGGATAAGTTTTAGAAAAGGTGATGGGTCATTATTCAAGGAGGTTCTTATCTTTTGGTTTTCCAGACTATTTAGAGTGGGTGGGGGGTCAAGAGGGGGGGGGTCATTGAATCTGGGTTTAAGGACTGTCTTGTGTGGAAAAAAAAAGATAATAAAAGCGTCATTAATGGTTCTCAGTACTGAACCGACAGTGGAGGCGGGGCCCATTATCTTGATTGACATCTGTAAGAAGACCAATCAGAGCAGAGTTACATGTTTGGACTGACGTGATTAACATGTGTCAATATCAGCTCTGTGGTGAAGCTTGGTCGACATTATGACATCTATTTCACATTTGTGGTTATTTCCAATATTTATATAAAGCAGCATCAGATTCTGGATTACAGAGTCTAGACAAAGAAAGTCAGGGTCACAGAGACTGGAATAGGACTGGATTTCAGAGTGTGGACCACAGAGTTTGAATAAAGGCCTTAAATCTGGACCACAAAGTCAAAATTACAAAGTGTAAACCACATATCCTGGATCACAAATCCTGCAGTGTCTGAATTAACGAGTTCAGATTTGTTTCTGTTGGATCATAGACTGCATCAAAAAGTCTGGGTCACAAAGTCTAGATCATTGGGTCTAGACCAAAAAGTCTGGAATTCAGAGTTGGATCAAAAGTCTTGAATACAGAGTCTGAACCACAGAGTCTGGATCACAGTCTTGATGAAAAACTCAGGGTCACATTGTCTAGATATTGGAGACCAGGTCTTAGATTCTGGACGCAGAGTTTATCTAGATTTCTAAATCTGGACCAATATGTCTGGATCATCAAAGTCTAAATCAAAGAGTTGGGTTCAAGGTTCTTGATCTCAGACTTTGATTCACAGAATGTAGATCACGGAGTTTTGATGAAAAAGTCAGAGTTACACAGTCATTACCTCAGAGACTCCATCATAGATTGTGGAAACAATCTATGATGGAGTCTAGATCAGTCAGTACGTTTACATGACACTTGAGAAAACCGAACTATTGCCTTACTCCGATTAGGACCAGAAAACTTAAGTGCATGTAAACACCTTAGTCCGAATCTGAGAACTCCGATTAAGACACCCAGAAAATGCGATTGGATTTCGATTTTCTCTGCAAAGTAACCAGCGTAGTCGGAGTATGATTGGACAATACATGTGTGCGTGTGCCACGCCCCTGTAACCCCGGAACAAAAACACCAGCAAAGAGGAGTAGCGTGCACCTCAGATGCAGAAAAAGTAGTGCGTACATCATGTACAACAAAAACAATGCCTTACGATGCTCCATCTTCTTACTTTAAAAAGCCCAGCAGCAGTTGTAGACACTTAAGACGTCTGGAACGGACCTGCTGTTGTTGTTGGGTCAACCGGACACAGCGCCGCGGAAAGACCCATATCGCCCCCTAGTTTTAGAGAGAAGGACACGTTCACGTCAATAATTAGATTTTCTCAGAGAAGTCAAATTCAATGAAAAAAACCAATTATGACCTTAGCCTATTAAGCTGTGCATGTAAACGCACTGACTGAGTCTGGACCAGGGAGACCAGAGCTAAAAGTCTGGATCAAAAGTCTGGAGTTTAAGGACTTAACCCCAGAGTCTGGATCAATGAATTTGGACCTCAGAGTTTTGATTCAATGTTCTGGATTTTAGATTAAAGATTATAGCCTTGAATTCAGCATCCAGTTGTCAAAGTCTGGATTACTGTGCCTAGACTAGAGTTTGGAACTTAAGAGTTTGGATGCTCTGGATCACATAGCCTGGGTCTCAGGGTCTGGAACACAGAGTCGTATTATTGTTCTTATCAAGTGGATTATATAGTATAGTTTTTATTTACCAAATCATAGAATCTGCATCTCAAAAGTCTGAACTACAGAGTCTAGAACATAGAGTCTTGATCTAGTTGATGTCAGGGTCTTTAGGTGGGGGCTCATTTGTAAATGTTTAAACGGGGGAAGTTTTCAGTTACTTGAAGGTCCTCACCTGGATGATGGAGCTGAGCTGGTCTCCAGAGAGCAGCGTGGTCTGCATTTAGTCATTATGGTCAGCCTGTTGGCTTCAGCCTGCTGTAGACTTGTGTAGAGTCAGAGTTGGTCTGACAGACGTGCATTTCCCAATCGTTTCACTTAGGTGGGGTCACAGAGCTTCCTGAGGGGCTCAGACACACAGGTTTTGATGGATCATTTTAGGCTGTTATGAAGGTGTGAGGCGGCTGCATAATAATGAAGAAAACTGTGTGACATCACACTGTAAATGATCCCTCTGCAGGCTGAACATGTACCCTGAGAAAGGCATATCGCAGTTGTCTTTTCCAGTTTGGACAGAGCTCTCAGGAAGGACACCCTCGCCTTTGGGGCACAAACAAAAAGCTCTTCTACTGTCTTATTTTGGCGGGTTATGCTGCGCCTTATCTGCTACGCTGGATTGATTTTGGTTCAGCTCCACCATCACACCAGTATAATGATGAAATTGCCTTTTAACATGACAGAACTGTCACATGCTGTCCTTGGAACACGGAGTTCTTCATAAAAACCCTGTCAGACACTGATGAGGGCCGCTTCCTCCTAGCTTAATATGCAGGAAATGTGCAGTATCTGTGTGGTTGATCCAGGACAGACTGAAGCTCCGGATTATGATCATTTTGGCTCACTTTGTCCTGGTTCAGTGTTGCCTTTTTATTCCTGGCTGTCCTGGTTTGGTCTGCTCTGGTCCATACTGGTCTAGTTTGGTCTCATGGTGGTGGTTTCGAGGTCTGGCAGTCGTCATGTGATGAGAGATGCATGGATGGTGAGAACGAGGGCTGGTTTTTAGCCTGATGCTCAATGTCTGTTTTTAATGAGCTGAGAGATCTCCTCTCTAAGTATCTCTGCATGTCTAACAAACTGTACGTCTCTGGTCTTTCTCAGACATGATGTAATGACCCCCCCACTGCCTGCTTTTTCTTCCCCCATGAAAACAAATCAGAGTTTCTGCAACACAGGACTTTTTCTGACCTATAAACCCTCTCCTCAGGGTCAACAGTCAGGTCTACCAACCTCGCGGTGTTAAAGTGGTGTGACAAAGATAAAGATAAGGTGTGATAAGCTGCAGGTGAACATTAGTGCACAGCAGGTTATTAGCTGATGTCTGTTACAGATACTTCAACAAAAAAGGAGTAAATAATAATAATAATGCATCAGATTTTATAACTCTTTATCAAAGACCCTCAATTTAAATTGGATAAATCATTCATTCGCTCACACAGTCACACCCTGGTGGTGGTAAACTGGCTTAGTAGTCACAACTGACGGAAACATGGCTGCCACACAACACTCTCATTCATACACCAGTGGAGGACACACACTGGGACCAGGGTGGGTTAAGTGTTTTGCCCAAAGACACAACGGACGAACCAGGGATAGAGGGGAATCGAACCATCAACCTTCCAGTTATTGGACGACAGCTCTACCTCCTGAGCTAAATGTGACATCGCAACTGTTTAGAGACAGATGAGAGGAGAGTAGGGAGAGCAGCAAGAGGAGGGTGTGCGTGTCTTTGGGTGTGCATCAGAACAAGGACATAGAGGCTGTAGCAGTTATGAGCATCATTTGGTAAACTAAAAAAAGATTAAGTAACACTTTAACCCTGCCCCCTTCGTCTTCTTCACATTGTCACCTCAGACTCACTTGTTGTGACATTTCCTCATCTGTAGAAAAACCTTAAAGTCCCACCTTTTTTTTTTTAACTACTTTAAGTGTTCTCAGTAGTCTTTAAATTGTGATTATGAAAGTTTTTAGCCAAAATCGCATTACCTGTGTCATTTTCAAGGGCTTTTCTTCTGCAGAGCTCCAGTAGCTCATAAGCAATTTGCCTCTGAGTCGTGGGCAGAGACAGCACTGCTCGGCACCCTCCTCTTCACGCAAGCTTGCAGCCTAACATTGCTGGTGCAGCAGAACTGGCAGGTAATTTAGGAGCTATTCAGCTCTGAGACACTAATGTCTTTGGGGGCATGATGAAAGCTAATATCATAATTAGCTTTCTTACGAGCATTGCGATACGCTACCGCACACGCTTGTTCCGTGATCATCCTCTCTACTTCTCCAGGTCTGGCCTGCAGAGTGGGGCGCCGGTTTCAGAGCTTGGATTTGTGACATAGAAAATCTCACTGTAACTGAACCTGGCACTTGGGTCTGCCAGAGGTTTGCAATGATTTGAATGCAGAAATACTCTTTTGCACTTAATTTTCTCATGATATGTCCTCCTGCATAAAAAAATGCCACATGAACACGTAGGCAACAAGTAAAACATGGTTTTCATCGGAGTGAGTCTTTAATTTCAGCTCAGTCAGATGTTAAATCACAGCTGCTCACACACTGTCAGCAAACAGCCAATCACAGCTCTGCACTCAGAGAGGGTGTCAAACTCCTCCGCCAGAGTGTAACATCACAGACAGACAGAGAGCATCACAGGTGTAGACCCTGTCTGTGGTTCAGGTGGTGATCATGATTAATGCATGCTGGGAGAGAGACCTTGACAGGAGGAAAGGAGGGAGTGAGGAGGAAGTGAGCCTTCATCACTGACGATGATGATGGTGAAGAAGATCAGCGCAGCTTCTTCTCTTCTCATTGATCTGTGTGTGTGTGTGTGTGTGTGTGTGTGTGTGTGTGTGTGTGTGTGTGTGTGTGTGTGTGTGTGTGTGTGTGTGTGTGTGTGTGTGTGTGTGTGTGACCCAGATAAAAATGATGAATAAAATATGAGGAGCAGTCTGCAGGGTCGTAGTGCCCCACTCTCCCGCTTTGATAAATAATTTTAATATTGTCATGTAGTGTAGAAGTATGTCAGTGTAGACGCTCTCTGTTAGACATTCACAGTGTGTGATAGTTATCTCCAATTAAGGCCGAGTATCAGAATAGGTCGAGTTGATGGAGAAACAGTTCATCAATGGATAAAGAATAATCATCTGATTGCAGGAGTTTGTCCCGGCAATCATAAGAATATGATAATCAAGACTGTGAAAGATATTGTGCCGCCTGCTGCGATGCCCCTCTATACATCCTATGGGTTAAATGAAGCGCTCTCTCCATCTCTTATTTAATGGTAGAGCGTGGGCGCGGCCCCTCCCCTCAAACTTCATTTCTTCATAAGCAGCTCAGTTCAGTGAGGAACAAAGTTTGAGAACGTCAGGATGTTGAAGCTTCTGCTAGGATTAATGGTTGACTGCAGGAGGAGGCAAGTAGAAAAAGGAGAACAGGAGGAGGAGAGAGGAGAGCAGAGAGAGGAGCAGGAGGAGGCAGGGGTGTGTCTTTCTGTGTGTCTGAAAAGCCAAGGGACAGAATGAGCACACAGAGAGAGAAAGAGATACATAGATAAACATAGTTCTGAATCACAATCAAGTCAAAGCCCAGCTCCTGATAGCGTTGAGCGGTGTGATGGTATATACCGTGTGACGGTATGAAAGTGTCCACCGGTAGAAATTTTGCTATACCGTTTATACCAGAGAGAGAGAGCGGATGTCTGCTGCATCTCTCTGAGTCAGTGTTGTCTGTGCTCGCTAACAGGAAAGCCGGAGCGCATCCGTTTGAGTGCGTATCTGTATATTCACCAGCATGTTGTGCAGAGTTTGTTCGCTTCGTTTGATTGGTCAGGTTTGGGTGCACTCCCTATAATCCCCATCGTGTCCAGCAGACTGCTTGGCATAGTTACGATGAAGAAGAAACAGCTTCACTACTGGTGGTCATGGTGGACGCGGAGATTAGTGGCAGTACCGAGCAAACGGAGGCAGTCCGACCCACCCAACACGGGGAAGAGGAGAAGGAAGTCGCCAAAAAAGGGCTCGAGTAGCGATATCGGTTGTCTGGAGATTATTCGGATTTAAAAAAATATGACAATGATCAAAAAACAAAACAATATTATGAGTGTCGTGTGGCTCTTGTTGCACGAGGTGAAAACACCAGCAACCTCTTCCACCACTGAAAGATGAAACACGCCAAGCTCTGTTATGAGAGCCAAAAGAAGCATGGCGTACCTGCTGCACCAAAACCTAAAGTTGCAGCAGCTCCTCTCATACAGAAGAGCTTGGCAGAATCTTTCGCCAAAGGTACACCATATGATAAAAAATCGCCAGTATGGTTATTTTTAAGCCATCATTTGAATTTACAAGGGGAAAAACATACTGTGATATATATCGTTAACATGATATGAAATTACTCATACCGTGATATAAGATTTTATTCATACTGCCCAACATTATCTTAGATTATAAAAAAGTGATTTGTTAGATCTGCAACCTGTGATCAAATATCAGTGTTGAAAGAGCATGTCTGTGTCCCTGTCCGGCTGTATTATCACATAAATATATACCATTAAAATATCATGAGAATAATAAAACCATGTCTGTGTTATCAGTGAAACCATTCACCAGGACGGTGAAGGACCTGCGGCTCCACAGGGATGACTTCGAGATGCTGAAGGTGATTGGACGGGGAGCTTTTGGAGAGGTAAGATGTGTTCCTCATCCTCTTCATCCTCCTCCTATCTGTTATGATGCTGCAGTCACATTTAGAGATCTCTGATTTAGATAAAAGACCTGCTGCTCCTCTGACATGTCCTTCCTCATATCAGACATATAAAACGTTTTTCTCATTTATTTTCTGTCCGTTTGTTTTTTACTGATAAATTTTGTCTGATGTTCAAACTGTTGTTATCACTGAATGTCGGCCCTGTTGATGGGATAACTCAGGGTCTGAAGTAGTGATGTTTATCGAGTTACTGACTGTTGCTGCAGCGATTTGATCAGATCGTCTCAGTGTATCAGTGCGTCTGTCTGTCTGTCTGTGTGTATATCAGTGTGTGTCTGTGTCTGTGTGTACATTGTCCACATACCAGAGGAAAGGTGTGCCTCAGCCACACCTGCCTGTTGCCTGGGGATATAAACACACACACATATGGATAATTGTGTGTTTGTGAGGACAATCATCTCTCTGGTCCTCACAAGCACATAGATACACGTTAAACACACACAAACACACTCGGAGACAGCCAATCAGATCAGCTGTCCGTGTGTGTGTGATTTCAGGTGTGTCTCTGCACCACAACAGTCACAACAGGTTACTGGAGCCTACTCAGGTTCACTTCAGTCAGCCAATCAAATCAGAGCTCTGCACACACCTGGAGAACTGTACCTGAGGCAGAGTTGAGGAACAGAGTCAAAACCCGCCCTCCTATCTGTGTTGACGTCTTTCCCCTTGTCTTTGTCTGTCGGTGTTCATGTTTGTACGTCAGTTTGTTTACATGCAAAGGGATATTTCAGCGTAAAATTAAGTTAGGGTGAAACACACAGTAACACTGAGTTAGACACCCCGTCGAGAGATGAAAGTTGCTGACCGCTTGCTTCTCTAGTTATACCAACTTTAGTAACGACCGCAGGATAGCAAAACAGAGAGCCACGCGCTCAACCAAAAAGCCACTCTATAGCCACAAATAATACTCAGAACAGCACCTAACTTCATCAACAGTACATATAGGGTCCCAGCCAAAGTACTAGCCACCAAACATATTTTTAGCTTTGCCTGATTACTTTAGCTAAGAGACTAAACACAACTCCCCTACTCTCTCCCAGCAGCTGCTTGTTTGTACAGAGACCTCCGGGCGGGTCCATCGACTGCAGTGGAGTGACGCAGCTCAAGGAAGAACACCTGTGATCACTTTTATTAATCATTTTGCACTACAGACGCGGTAGTTCTTCTGCCTTAGCGTCTCGGTTTGATTGCATTTTCATGAAGAAATTATCATAAATGTTCTTCCTTGAGCTGCGTAACCCCGCTAACCTCGCTACAAACAAGCAGCAGCTAGAAGTGAGTTGGTGAGTTGTGTTAAGAAATTAGGCAAAGTTAAAAAGATGTTGGGTAGCTAGTGCTATGGCTAGGACCCTATATGTACTGTTGATGAAGTTAGGTGCTGTTCTGAGCATTATTTGTGACTATAGAGGGGCTTTTTGGTTGAGGGCGTGGCTCTCTGTATTACTATCCTGCGATCGTTACTAAAGTTGGTATAACTCGGAAAGCAAGCGGTCGGCAATGTTAATCTCTCAAGGGGGTGTTTAACTCAGTGTTACAGTGTGTTTGACCCTAACTTAATTTTATGCCGGAATTTCCCTTTAAGTCAAGCAACAGTTAAAGCTCCATTAGGCGATTTAACTGGATGACTGTCCTCGTACCAGTTTACATACACTGAGCAAGAATTAATTAATACTTGAGTATCTCTGCCTCTTCTAAAATAGGTAGCAAAATACCCCCTTTCAACTCCTGACCACTGGGTCTTTCATAAGTTGACCTATGACATACCAAAACAGTCCATAAACACATTAGCAAGATGCTAAGAGGATGTATGCTACAGTCCAACGAACACTATAAATCAATTATTTTGGACAACATGTAAACATACTGGTATTTCCACTGTATGACCTACTACCCATCAGCCTCTTGCGAACGTGTTTGTCGATTGTTTTGGTAAATGAAGTAACAGGTTAACCAGGAGACTGCCCAATGGTAACAAGCTAAAGGGCTAAAGGCTAATAAATCAAGTGTTGATATACCTTTGGTCCTGTTCTCCCTCTCTCAGTGTTAATGTCTCTCGCCCCTCTCTCGCCTTCAGGTCGCTGTCGTGAAGATGAAGCAGACAGAGAGAGTTTATGCGATGAAGATTCTCAACAAGTGGGAAATGCTGAAGAGAGCTGAGGTGAGTCTGAAGCTTGGTCTAGAGCCAGGTTAAGTCCATGTTGGGTCCACTTGTGGTACAGGTTTGTTCTGGGGAACATATCAGAGTGTTTATGTGTTGTTTTTAACGTGAGCGTGTGTTGTGCACAGACGGCGTGCTTCAGAGAGGAAAGGGACGTCCTGGTGAAGGGAGACAGTCAGTGGATCACAACTCTTCACTACGCTTTCCAGGACGACAATTACCTGGTCAGTGGTTGTCGTCTTCCGGGCACCAGATTTTAAATGAACATGTATTTTTCAGTGTTTCTCAGTAGTTTCAAGAGTTAATATGTTGTCCTCATGTTGTGTGTTCGTTACTGCAGTACCTGGTGATGGATTACTACGTGGGGGGCGACCTGCTGACTTTGCTCAGTAAGTTTGAGGATCGTCTCCCGGAGGACATGTCCAAGTTCTACGTGGCTGAGATGGTGCTCGCCATCCACTCCATCCACCAGCAGAACTACGTCCACAGGTACTGGTTGAAGTGGTTATAATACACTGGTTATACCTAGCATACTGGTTTAACTGGTGATACCCTCAAACTGGTTGAAGACAGGTCTTATTTCTTGTATTGGTTCGACCAACTTGGCAAATTCCAATGAAGGCAACACTGAAGTTCCAAAATCCGCAGTTCCACAAATGTCCTCTAGAGGCTGTCCCCAAAGTGAGTCAGCCCCCATAGTGCCCAATGTTAAAATGTCCACTGTTAAAGCAGAATAAAACTTGTTCACAGCCTGATACGATGAAACATTTTAAGCCTTTATAGTTCAGCCTTTTCTCTTTGGAGCCCCTCTTTCTTCTATCTGTTCAGGTTGAATTTCCATCAAACTCACCTGTTTCCATTAGAATAGGTTATAAGTCAGAAAAGATTAGGGGTGTGGCCTCTTTGATTGACAAGTGGGTGTGTTGTAGCTGTTTGCCAGGTGGTTCAGCGAAGGCCTCAGCTCCACCTCCTCACTGTAATTCAGCCTGCGCGGCATTTCCAACCGGGCGACCGCCATCATTGGGCTCCATAACTCACTGGGTGCTGACACTGAGATTAAAGACAGGTTTATACAGGAGAAGGTCCTACTGGTTATACTGGTCAGTCTGGTTACCATGATAATGCAGGACTATAACCCAGCTACGAACACAGAGTGCCACAGAGTCACAGGGCATTTGTGTGATGAATGTGTGTGTGAGTCAGAGGAAATGTTGTCTTCCTGGCACCGGTGTCCTCTGGGAAATGTAGTTATTTCCTGTCCAGCCAACTCAGCTTCCTGTGCTGATACTGACCGTGGGCCACACTTCATTCCACTCAGTCTGGCAAGCTCGTCCCAGTAAGACTCCCAGTATAAGACTGGTAATGTGAATATGAGGAGTGGTAACGACACAGACAAGGTCTCTTCCCCTCTTCATGTGATAACTGCGGTTAAAAAGACTGTCACTTCTTCTTCTCCTCCTCTTTGCTGTGTGATGTTGGACAGGATCAGAGCGGTAGAAGAAGAAACTGTGAGTCATGTTAGCTCATGTGGCTAACTCTCAGTAGCTCTGACCTGGTTTCTCCTCGTCTCCTCCAGGCTGACCTGTTTCCTGTTTTAGTCTGAGCGCTTTGTGGGGCGGCCATGTTGTCCTCCTGTGGCTCAGCAGCAGTCCTCACCAGTCTACCTGGGCTGGTTGCCATAGTTACAGATCTGTTACAGGTGATGTCGGTTTAAGTTTAAACAGAGTGTGCGTGTGTTTGTGTATCACAGAGACATCAAACCTGACAACGTGCTGCTGGACGTGAACGGACACATTCGCCTGGCTGACTTTGGGTCCTGTCTGCGGATGATGGATGACGGCACGGTAACTAGCTCTCTTACTGCGTTAAAGGGATATTCCATTGTAAAATTAATTTAGGGTCAAACACACCGTAACACCAAGTTAGACACCCCGTCGACAGATGAATATTGCCAACTGCTTGCTTCTCAAGATATACGAACTTTAGTAACAACCACAGGATAGCATCACAGAGAGTCACACGCTCAACCAAAACGCCACTCTATAGTCACAAATAATGTTTAGAACAGCACCTTACTACTACAACAGTACATGTAGGGTCCCAGCCACATGCCTGATTTCTTTAACAAAAAGACTTAACACAACTCTCCTACTCTCTTCCAGCAGCCGCTTGTTTGTAGCAAGACCTCGGGCCAGTCCATTATGGACTGCAGTGGGGTGACGCAGCTTAAGGGGGAACATGTATGATCATTTCTTCACCAAGATGCTAAGGCAGAAGAACTACCGCGTCTGCAGTGCAAAACAATTAATATGGTGATTATTACTTCAAGGCAATGATAAAGTAATGATCATAAATGTTCTTCCTTGAGCTGCGTAACCCCACTGCAGTCCGTAATGGACTGGCCCAAGGTCTCGCTGGAAACAAGCGGCTGCTGGAAGAGAGTAGGTGAGTTGTATTTAGTCTCTTTGCTGAAGAAATTAGGCAAAGCTAAAAAGATGTTTGGTGGCTAGTGCTATGGCTAGGACACTATATATACTGTTGATGAAGTTAGGTGTTGTTCTGAGCATTATTTGTGGCTATAGAGTGGCGTTTTGGTTGAGGTTTGTTTATGGCTCCTCAGACCGCTGTGTATTGCTATGGTGCGGTCGTTACTAAAGTTGGTATAACTAGAGAAGCAAGCGGTCAGCAACATTCATCTCTTGATGGGGTGTTTAATTTGGTGTTACGGTGTGTTTGACCTTAAATTAAGTTTACACTGGAAGATCCCTTTGAAGTTCAGAATTATTCTTTTGGGGTGATTCGGGTTCATGCCAAAAAAAACTACACTGACCAGTTTTCAGGTTTAGGCCTAGGCTCAAATTTTGTTTTTTTTTGGTGGTCTGAGTCCTCCTATCCTGATCATTAATCATGTGCTTTCTGTGTTGTCGTGGTGTCATCTTTTGGCGATGTCCTGTTGCAGGTTCAGTCCTCTGTGGCGGTGGGGACTCCGGACTACATCTCACCAGAGATCCTGCAAGCGATGGAGGACGGTATGGGTCGCTATGGGCCAGAGTGTGACTGGTGGTCTCTCGGGGTCTGCATGTACGAGATGCTGTACGGAGAAACCCCATTCTACGCAGAGTCCCTGGTGGAAACCTACGGAAAGATCATGAACCACGAGGTCAGAACTGATTCTAGGGTTGATCTGGTCCAAGCAGTTCTCTGTATTATACTGTGGACTGTTTATATCAGGGTGTTTTTCCTGTTTATGATCAGAATCGACTCAGTTTACTGTTCAAAAATAAAGCTGATGATAGACGACATCACCTGGTTCTGTCTCCAGACTCTAACTGTCCTACTTCACATCTAAATCTGTCCCAGTCCCTCAGAGACTCCCAGCCTCTGTCTGTCTTTATGTACCTGTCTCTCTCTTTTTCTCTCTCTCTCTCTCTCTCTCTCTCTTCTCCGATGGAGTCTTTCATTCCTGAGAGCTCACTGAACTCTTTCTTCTTCTGTGATTGTCTCCAGGAGCGTTTCCAGTTCCCGTCCCATGTGACCGACGTGTCCGAGGACGCCAAAGACCTGATCCAGCTTCTGCTCTGCTCCAGGGAAAACCGACTCGGTGTGAACGGGATCTCAGATTTCAAGAGTCACCCGTTCTTCACGGGGATTGACTGGGACAACATCCGGTCCACTGAGGCGCCGTACATCCCAGACGTGTCCTCGCCAACTGACACGTCCAATTTTGACGTGGATGACGACGTCCTCAAGAACCCGGTGAGGACATGAGCGAGTTTTCAAAAGAGTGCCTCAGAACCAGGGTTTCCTGTTAGAGATGAGACAGGTCCAAATGGGCCTACAGGTCCTTCCTATAACCCTCCAAGTTCCTACTCTAGTCTTACCAGTCTCTCCTCTAGTCTTTCATGCCCTTCCACTGGTGTCTCAGGTCCTTCTCTAGTCCCCTGGGCCCATCCTTAAGTCTTACAGTTTCCTCCTCTAGTCCTGTAGGTCCTTCCTCCTGTCTTTCAGAGTCTTCCTCAAGTGTTTATTTCCTAGTCTTTCAGGCCCTTCATCTAGACTCTCAGGTCCTTAGACTAGTTCCTCGTGTCCTTAGTCTCACAGGCACATTATCTAGTATCTGAGTTCCTTAGTCTCTCAGGTCCTTTCTCCAATTTCTCAGGTCAGTAATCTTTTAGCTTCCTCCCAAGTCTCTTAGGCCCCCTTTCTAGTCTCTCAGATCCCATTTAAAGTCTTTCAGGTCCCTTTTTGTCTGCCACCTTACTTCTTTTGTCTTTCAGTTTCAGACAGGATCTAGTCTCCCAGATCCATTCATTAGTCTTTCAAATCTGTCCTCTAGCCTATCAGGTCCCCCTTCTAGTCTCTTAGTTATCTCCTCTAGTCTCTCAGGTCTCAAAAAAGGAAAAGGAAGTCGGATCTGACGAGTTCTATCATCTCATGTCTCTCTTGCAGGACATCAGTCCCCCAGTGTCTCACACCGGTTTTACTGGTCAGCACCTCCCCTTCGTCGGCTTCACCTACACCACTGACAGCTGCTTCTCCGACCGTGGCTGCATCAGAGGGGCGGGGCTAAACCAGGAGGAGGTAGGGGGAGGAGGCGGGCAGGAGGTGGAGGTGTTTGAGAAGAGGATTCGCCGGCTGGAGCAGGAGAAACAGGAACTGAACCGCAAACTGCAGGGTGAGACTCCTCAAAGAATTGCAGTATGAAGTAGTTGATACATGCACTGTGCTAGGTGTAGCACTCCTAACCTCTGACCTGTGACCTTTGACCTCTGCGTGTAGAGTCGACTCAGGCGCTGCAGGCTCCAGCTCGAGGGGGGACTCTTAGCCGAGACAAAGAGATCAAGAAACTAAACGAGGAGATTGAGCGTCTGAAGAAGAAGCTGGCAGGTCAGAAAAAGAAGTTTTGGCATCTGTAGATGTAGTAGCAGTAGAAGTTTACTGCAGATGTACTGAGGCTTCAGTATAGATATTTGTAGTAAAGACCTGATTCCTGTAGGAATGTCAGGACTAAACAGGTAAGGACTCACTTGTCTGGGTTCTTCCCTTCTAGACTCTGATAGGCTGGAGCACCAGCTGGAGGAGGCGGTCACTCTCAGACAGGACTACGAGAGCTCCGCCTCCAAACTGAAGACCCTGGAGAAGCAGGTGAAGGCCCTGAGGCAGGAGAAGGACGAGGTCCACAAGGTATGCCACACACCCCACACCTTCCACAGGTCCACCTGGGGCAGTTCCAACTGTTCTCAGGTGCTCACTCGTTTATTTTAGTCAAGTTTATGGATTTACAGTAGCAGGAATAAAACAGTTTAACATCTAGAGGTGCAAATTAATTTACCTGGTCACTTCAATCTGAGGTTCGTACATAAAAAACTCCATCCTGGTGTCTTTAGATCAGGTCTAAGTATTTCCAGTGTCTCTGGACCAGGTGTGAGCTCACCTGTGTGTTGATCCTTGTCTCCTGAGCAGCAGCTGGCAGACTCTCTAGAGCGTCTGCGGTCTCAGACGAAGGAGCTGAAGGAGGCGCACTCTCAGAGGAAGCTGGCCCTGCAGGAGTTCTCGGAGCTCTCGGAGAGGATGGCAGACCTGAGGTCGTCCAAACAGCGCCTGTCCCGTCAGCTGAGGGACAAAGAGGAGGAGATGGACGCCCTGCTGCAGAAGATGGACGCCATGAGACAGGAGATCCGCAAGACCGAGAAGACGCGGAAGGAGGTGAGAGAGACCTGCAGGATGTCAGTCATGTAGAAATTTGAGGTTTAATCTGGTTAAAAAAAGTCTACGGCTTTTTAAGGTCGTGATCTTTCTTTGTCCAGAACATTTCCTTACCAGCCTCTCAGTAAAATCAGGATGAGTCAGTTACCCGGGCTGTGATGATCTTAAAGCTCCAGTGAGGAACTTTTGCTTTGTGTCAATTTTGCGCCCCCTTGTGGACAAAACAGCCCTTGCTTATCTGTTTTTACAGTGCGCTTTCAGCTCAGTATAAATAATTTCATTTTTATCCTCAGTTCAGTTCAGACGGCCTTGTAGTCAGGTTTAACAACACTTAAAAATAGTGATTCCCAAACTGGGTTATCCTTAGGCCGACAGTGAATCTGCACCAACTGCTGAAAACAAATACACGAAATCCTGAAAAGTCGAACCTCATCCTCAGCTGCACCTCCACCAACAGAGCTCTGCCCGCTCTGTAAACTTTGGAGGTTGCATGTCAGAGAGTCACTTTGAATTTACTCCTTTGTTAATAAATGGTCTGTTGGTTTCTCAGCTTGATAGCACACACTGAAATCACAGGTCTGTTTTTTTTTTTTTTGCCTTAATATTCCTGATTTTTCTAAAGACATGAATTTGTCAGCAAAGAGCTGATCTGATGGTGTGGTATAAGAAGAGGAGAGAGGGAGGGGGCTGCAGAGAAAATTTAGGAACTATTGATTTAACATTTAAACAATCCTCAGTGATTCAGAGGAGGAAGAAGAGAGGACGACTGTTCTCTGTCAGACTGACAGCAGGTCTGATATATTGTAACTCCCTCTCTTCACCTGCAGAGGGAGACAGAACCCTAAGAAGCTTTATATTCTTAGAGAGGAAAAGAAAATTTGAGCAGACCTGCAGCCTGAACGTTCCCTGCTCTCCTTAAACGGCGTATAAGTTCCTCATGTTCTTAAAGACAGAGGAATTAGAGCTGTTTGTGTTGAATTTGTTTCTGTGTGTGTCAGTTGGAGGCTCAGCTGGACGATGCAAAGGCCGAGGCGTCCAAGGAGAAGAAGCTGAGGGAGCACAGCGAGGGCTACTCCAAACAACTAGAGGTGGAGCTTGAGAGTCTGAAGGTCAGAGGTCACACACACAAACACACACACACACACACACACACACACACTCTGACTGTTTGTGTCAGGTCATGTTTTCTCTTTTAAAGGTTTGTAAGAGGTTCTTAATGGTTTCGGTTCTGGTCCCAGTCCCAGCAGGGTCGGGGAGCAGCAGCAGGGGGAGTGGAGTCTCAGCAGGAGCTGTCCCGTCTGAAGGCGGAGCTTGATAAGAAGACCCTGTTCTACGAGGAAGAGCTTCTGAGGAGAGACACTGCCCACTCCTCCGAGATCAAAAACCTGCGCAAAGACCTGCATGAGTCCGAGGGGGCCCAGCTGGCCGCCAACAAGGAGCTGCTGCAGCTCCGAGACCGGTTGGACAAGGACAAGAGGGACAGGTAAGTCCTGAACCAGGTCTATTTCCAGGGAATATGAGATGTTGGTGACTGATCCAGGATGTTATGACCCTTCAAACCAACAGGATCCCATCAGAGGGAGAGTCCCGTTAAAGTACAAATGTTAGATGTCAATATTAAACATGTGCAAAGTGTCAGAGTTTAAAGTAAACAAATGTTGGAGTAATCTCAGCAGGAGACCACAAGTTACAGAAGAGCCGAGCCAAACATCACTTGTTGGTGAATTTCCTTAAAAAGACAAAAAAAAAAAAAACTGCTCTTTGGACTAAACTTCTCTGCTCCCAGTCGGCCCCTAGAAGCCATTTTTAGAGCTGTGTCCTTCGCAACTTAAGGCTAAATCTTACAGGATGTGTATTTGGAGTGTGACAGCAGCATCATGTATCACACAGCAAATAGGTTGCCATTCTGATCAATGTAGCAAAGCATACAGGACGTGTATCAGCTCTGTCGCAGCATCGTATCGAGAGCAGCACTGCTAAAGATATGCAGCAAGTCTATTTTTGCTGCTCTATGCTTCCAAATGCGCCTCAAACCACACTGAGAAGATTGTTCCAGACAGGAAGTCAAGCACGAAAACTGTGCATGTCATCAGGGATTTCAAAATAAAACACCATATGCGAACTCCTGACTGTGTATCAGTTTGTGAAGATGAGAAAAACTTCCTGGTTATGGATTTATCAGTATTACTGAACAATCCAATGGTCAATCCCTGATCCATGTGGACCCCAACAGGACTTTAAACTGCTAACTCTGTCTGAAGGTAACAGCACAGCATAAAAGAACATAGTTTACTTTATTAAACATGAGTGGACCTGCAAAAACATGTTGATTTTTCACATATAGTAGAGGCTCAACAGTTAGTGAATTATATCCAAATTAGCAGGAAATCGACCACAGAAAGGCCAAACGACCTGTTGTGAGCATGTTGTTTCCTCTGTACTGAGCCCAGCTGACCGGGATTGCACTACGCTGCTGCCACGCTCCAAATACGCATCCTGTGTGTGAAAGACAGCCCTGCTCTACGGAGCAAATATGGCACACGCTCAATACGGATCCTGTATGTTTTCAGCTTCAGACACACACTCCCCACCTCAGTTTAGGTCTTGTCCTCGGTCCTCCTGCGCTCCTGCAGTGAAGTCAAGTGGGCTGACATGAAAACCAAAGTCCAGTAAATAAAAAGTAACCCCATCCTCATCTTAACAACCCCATCAGTGAGACCTGATCCAGTCCTATAAGTCCAGATCTTGTCTGTGAGTCGTGATCTGTTCTGGTGTGACGTTGCAGGCAGGTGGAGATGGATGAATCTGTGGCTGAGCTGAAGCAGAAGTACGAGCGAGAGAGAAACCTGCTGACAGAAGAAAACCGCAAACTGACAGCTGAAACTGACAAGGTGAGACACAGACAGAAAAGAGACATGTAGGACAGACACAGACACTTGTGTACCTGCTGCTTTTTGCACGTGCTCAGTAATAACCATCCCCTTGCCTCCTCAGCTGTGCTCCTTTGTGGACAGACTGACGGCCCAGAACCGTCAGCTGGAGGACGATCTTCAGGACGTCTCCTCTAAGAAGGAGAGCGTCGCTCACTGGGAGGCACAGATAGCTGAGATCATCCAGTGGTGAGTCGTCACTCGGACCATGTGACTCTTTGACCCGGTGCCAAAGAGGAGTCCCCTGTGTGGGGTCTAACCTTTCCATGTGTTCATGTGCAGGGTGAGTGACGAGAAAGATGCTCGTGGTTACCTTCAGGCTCTTGCCACCAAGATGACGGAGGAGCTAGAGACACTGAGGAGCTCCAGTCTGGGAACAAGACCTCTGGTAACACACACACACACACACACACACACACACATACCTGTCTACAGTACCTGTCCTTTTATACATGTGTAGTTCGAGTAGTTCAAGCCCTGGTGTGTATGAGCGTGGGTGTGTTTATCTGTGCGTGAGCATGTGTGCTGATGTGTCTCTCTGCCGTCTCAGCCTGAGTCGGGATTGGCCACACCCCCTAAGAAGCCGTGGCCTCCTATTGGTGGAGACAGGAGGGTGAGTGTGACACTCATTGCTTCCAGCCAAACAGAATTCACTCTCCTCATAAAGGAAGCTTGCATGGCTATTGGCTGGCATGTTTGTCACTCACAGTACACTGTAAGGTTTTCAAGGGAATTCAAGGGTCCTTCAGTGGTCAGCAGTTGGTTTTGGGTCCCACTGAACCTTTGAAACCTTTCCAGGTGTAGAAAGAACCAGAACTTTTGAGGGAAAGGATTTTGTTTATGCTCTAAAATTGAGTTTCCAGAGGGTTCTTGAGTTATTCCAGGTGGATTTAAAAAAATGTTAGGGTCATTTAGGAAGTTTTGGCGTACTTAAAGCAGTTTTTAAAGTCCTGTGAACTTTTCAGGAGTCCCTGAATGATTTCAGTGTTAAATTCAAAGAGTCAGTGTGGGTTTGAAGAGTTTTTGATGTCATTAAAGAAGTTCCTCGACTCATAGAGTAATCCAGGATTCCTAAAATGGGTTCCAGGGTTCTTTAAGGCCTTTATTCAACAGGGCATGTATGAGGGTCTTAGAAGGATGAAAGGGGTCCTTAAAAAACTGGAGTATAGTGTATTGTAACAGTCCAGGTAGATTCATGAAAGATACAGATGATCCAAGAGGGCCTGAAGACGAGGCTCATTGGGTTGTCCAGGATACCGTGCGTTCATGGGCTGCTCTGATTGGCTGACTGCTCACCTCATCGTAAGAGGTGCTTCCAGACAGCGAGTGTTAAGGCCCGAGCAGTACAGACAACCACACCAAAGACCTCGATAGATCACTAAAGGCCACCACAAACCAAAACCACAGATGACCACAGACCCCAACGGACCATTGCAAGTCACTACAGACCACCAAGGGAAAAAATAGACAACAACACACCCCCACTGACCTCTTATCCCCTATTTGAATCATCATAGCCTTAGAATTCAGCTTTGACAAATCGCTGTCTGAAAGTACCTGCAAATTTCTGTCTTGTTGCCATGGTAACCTGCTTCCTGAATTGGGCAGGGCTCCTAGGGACAGGTGCAAGTGTGAACTTGAGCAGCAGTCAAACAACATCCATGTACGTCCAGGTCTTGATTTTATTCTTTGGTCCTGGCCCCGCCCCTTTTCCCCCTCTCTGGCCCTGCCCCTTTCCCGATCTCTGGTCCCGCCCTCTCAGGATCCCTTGTGGAAGGTGCGGCGCAGTCAGAAGCTGGACATGTCGGCCCGTCTGGAGCTGCAGTCGGCTCTGGACGCAGAGATCAGAGCCAAACAGCTGCTGCACGAGGAGCTGAGGAAGATGAAGGCTGCTAACATCAGCCTAGAGAGGTCAGAGGTCACAAACACAAACTTACATGACACCTGTTGGCTTACCTGTCTGCCTGCTCACCTGTCCGTCTGTGTGTGCAGTAAGCTGAAGGAGTCAGAGGAAAGGAACAGGGAGGTGGCGGAGCAGATGGAGGGACTAAAGAAGGAGATGGAGGAGAACCGCTCCCGCTCTGACAGAGGTAAGGTATTACCTGGACCCCCTAAGCCCCAACCTGACATCACACCTTGACACACCTGAGCTCACTTACAGAGTTTTCTTCTTTAAAGTTTACTGTTTTTTGTGAGCTGACAAATCAGCTGTCCTCCACCATAAGGGGTGAAATCAGAGCACAGTCACATGACCCTCAGCTGATCCTCCTCTGTTTGTCTGCAGGTCTGAAGCTCCCGGACTTTCAGGACTCCATCTTTGAATACTTCAACACGTCTCCTTTGGCTCCTGACCTCACCTTCAGAGTGAGTTACCTGTCTCCTAGCTCTCTCTCTCTCTCTCTCTCCCTCGCTCACTCTCTTTCTCTCTGTGGTCAGACATTTTTAAAAGCTCACAAACAACAAACATTGACAGTGTGTAACAGTGTGTTCTAAAATAACCAATCAGCCGGTCACATTATGATGATGTCACTCAGGTGTATGTATATATGTTTGTTTTTCTCTTTAACCATGGAGGCTTCAGTTTGCTCCGCCTCCTCGCTGTTCGCTCTGTGGGAAGACGTAAGTTCATCTGCCGGGGTTATCCACAATTCCCTGCATACCACCATCCATACCCACAATCCTCTGGGGCAGCTAGCCAGCAGATCTAGCCTCAGTCGTAGCAGTAGCCATTTAGCATCCACGTGATGTAGAGCGCAGTGACCTTTGACCCTAGGCCTCTGTTCAGAAGGTACCCAAAATTGGCAAGCACTCCATCATAAGAGGCCCCACCCACACCAGAAGCCCCGCCCTTTACTGCACATATCTTACTGGGAGAAGCTGCACCCACTAGGTGGAGCCCCACTCACTCACAGGCTCCGCCCCCTTTCTACCTGTATAGCTCTTTGTAGACCTTATGGAAATCCTTCTCTCAGATTCTACTTAAACCTCTGCACATTTATACTGTAGCATTATGGCACTTCAGGAGCTCCGAGCAGCAGAGTTAGTACACTCAGCAGCTGATTATGTTCCTGTTCAGACTTTAAAATGAGCCTGATAGATTAATAAATGTGATTCAGATAATTTAATCCAGACTCAGGTAGACCTCAGGTGAGTATGAGACATCAGATCAGTAACTGTTTCATTGACTACTCTACATATATATGGTTATTTTCTGTACATGTTTACCTTTTAGTTGATATTTGTATGTTGATGAATGAATAAACGACGGACTGTACGTAAAAGAAGTCATATTTATGTAGAGTACTGACATATGTGGTGTGGTGGTTCTTGTTTATCCGTACTCTCTGGATAGAGATGTTTTTGTGACCTTCCCTCGTCTGATTCGCTGTCATCATGTGAATGCTCCACAGTCACAGTAATGTGTTCTCCTGACATCACCTGAACGCAGCATGGACCAGGAGTCCCTCCAGCCTGATGATCACATGAATTTGATGTGAATCAGTGTCCTGGTGTTGAAGGGGGAGGGGATGATAGTTTTACTGGGTCACGTTTAAACTCTTTGATGGAGGATTGATCCGAGTCTGGTCTTTATAACAGTGTGGATGTGTTGGAGACTCAAAGTGTGTCAGCTGTTATCAGACGTGTTAAGTTCTTTCACCTGTTTTTTCACCTGCAGACCGCTGACATTGACTCCACCCCCCAAAAGTCAGAGACGACGCCCCCCTCGCCTTCCATCACCCCTGAGCACGAGGTCAGTCACAACATGTGGACTCACTGTCTTCATACTGAGATCATACATACGTTCTTGAACCTAACATGAGCATTTTGGCATCAACAGGACGTGAAAGCAGCATCAGTCCCAGCAAGTCCCTCCCCTCCATACCAGAGCTCAGCCCTGACCACACCAAAGGTACACCTCTCTAGACTTCACCTGATCTTTTTTGATAAAGTTTGATCATAAAAACTAAACCTGAGGGGGTTTGTTTTCAGCCCAAAGCTCACCAGCTGAGCATCAAGACCTTCTCCAGCCCCACCCAGTGCACCCACTGCACCTCCCTGATGGTGGGCCTCATCAGACAAGGATATGCTTGTGAAGGTAAAATATGTCACTATATTCTTATCTGCAGCTTAATGCTAGTTAAAACAACTCAGAAAAGTCTGGTACGCCACCTGATCATCGATAAGACCTGGCTCTGTTATCTCAGGTAGGACTAACCCCAATTTCCACCGCATCCGGAACAACTACGAAAAGGCCATATCCGCCAATCGTTACTGATCGTAACCATTTGCGTTAATGTGTCAATTTCCACCGGCTTCTTTCCATTCGCTGCGGATCACCAGACTCTGCAGCTGATCGCAAGATTTCTATTTTTTTGGGCGCCGAAGCATGCCAGATAAACTCAGCACAGATTACCCTGTGCTGGAAAGGAAGTCGGGCACAGATACGAAATAAAACATCCAGCTTCTTTTTATAATAAAACACTGTTTCAGGCGGATCCTATTTTACACCATGCAAACGGGCGGGGACGAACAAGTGAAAGGTTTATAGACAGCATTTCATCCCGATGACACCATGGATGAGTAGATGCTGATTCGAAAAGTCTAGAAGTGGATTTCCTCCTCTGGAAGGACAGAATCTACTGCTTATATGGTTATGTGGCTATAGAGACAACTCGTTATTGCGCGATTGCATGTGAATCTGTGGGCTCTTGCGAGTTCTTGCGAGTTCTTGGGATTCCCACTGTCTGTAATCTGCCATGAAATTCACCTCACAAACGGATCCAGTAGGAATAGGCAGACAGCGAAAATTGCTGCCGTTCCTGATCAGAGCCATTCCGGATGTGGTGGAAATTTGGGGTTAGCCAGTGAAGGACTCTGATAGGTAAAGGTCAGAGGCCAGGTAGGACTCACTCAGGTGTATGTTAGAGGTTTACCTGACTCTGTCTGTCTCCCCTCAGTGTGTTCCTTCATCTGCCATGTTACCTGCAAAGACCACGCCCCTCTGGTCTGTCCAATCCCAGCAGAGCAAGCCAAGAGGCCGCAGGGCATCGATGTCCAGAGAGGGATCGGCACCGCCTACAAAGGCTACGTCAGGGTGAGTAAACTACACGCACAGCCACAGAAAGTACTGTGCTGATCCAGTGCTGATACAGCATTTGTACGGCCTTCCTTGAGCCCTTATATATCTTCCCCCACCAGATCCCAAAGCCAAGTGGCGTGAAGAAGGGCTGGCAGCGAGCGTTCGCCGTGGTCTCTGACTGTAAGCTGTTCCTCTACGATGTACCCGAGGGAAAATCCACCCAACCAGGCGTTGTGGCGAGTCTAGTCCTGGATCTCAGGTAATTGTCCACCTGTTTGTCACATTGAGCATTGTTGGACTTCTTTAAATCTCATAGTCTTTAACAGCCCTGATAGTCCAGGGGAGTGGTGAAGTGATGTGATGGATCAGAAGCTAGATTTGTGGGAGGGGCTGTGGTGAGAGCAGGGTCTGGAATCCATCAGGAGGTCATAGATGCACTAAAAGGTCAGCCACTCTCAAGGACTGTGAGAGGTTTGAGTCTAGATTATGATGAGTAGTGGTTGTTTTCAGAGATTTAGGTTGTCCTGAAGAGTTCCAGTGGTCTTGAAAGGTTTATCAGTCCTTTTGCAGTCTTGTGGTCTTTAGAGGTTTAGAAAGAGTTCTGGTAGCCTTTAGAAGTCTGGATGGTCCTAAAGTGTTCAAGTAGACTTAGAAGCTTCAGTAAGTCCATAAGAGTTCTTCTGGTTTTGGGCCATCTGAGTAGTCCTTGAAGTGTTTATAGGGTTCTGGTAGCCCTAAGGGTTAAGGTCATAGGGCTGTTAAGGTTTGTGCAGTCTTGAGAGGGCTTGTACTTTTGGGTTCTTGCTATGAGTTTTATGGCCCTTAGATGAGGATTAGGGTCATGGTTGTCAAGTTTGGGTTGTTTTGGGGTTTAGAGTAGACCTATTAAGTTCTAGTGGTCAAATCCCACAAGTGGTCTTCAGGGATTTGGGTAGTCCTGATGAATTTCGATGGTCTTACAAAGTTTAGGTTGTTCTAAAGTGTTTCAGATTTCTTAGGAGGTTTGTTAGTCCTGTTGAGTCTTAGTGGTCTTGGAACATCTGGGTAGTCCTTAAAGGGGAGGTTTTGAGGGTCTTGAGAAGGTCAGGTGTCTGTTTGAAAATGTGTTTTTTTCTTCTTTTTATCATTTATTGTCACGTCATACAAAAATCTTTTTTTGTGTGTGTTCCAGAGACGAGGAGTTCTCTGTCAGCTCTGTCTTGGCCTCTGATGTCATCCACGCCACCAGGAAGGACATTCCCTGCATCTTTAGGGTAGGAGACCCCAGCCCCTTCACCCCATCACTCCCTAACCTTTGACCCTCTTGTTTGCTAACCGGTATTGATCTGTGTGTCCAGGTGACGTCTGCTCAGCTGGTCTCGCAGCTCTCCTCAGTGTCTCTACTGGTGCTGGCGGAGAGTGAGGTGGAGAAGAGGAAGTGGGTCAGGATCCTGGAGGGTCTGCAGACCATCCTGGCTAAAAACCTGCTCCGGAACCGACAGGTCCACGTCCTGCATGAGGCTTATGACGCCTCGCTGCCTCTCATTAAGACCACGCTGTCCGCTGCTGTGCTCGGTTAGTCCCTCCTGCTTGATAACTACAGAGAGCTCAGAAATACTTCAACTTACAGACTGATGCTACACACCTTTAGATTTCTGCATTTTAACACTTGGATCGCTGGCAATCCCACGTGACACCAGTAATGTTGTTTACAGTTTCTCAGGAACTATAATGTGTATCTCTATGGGATAAAAAGTGTTCAAAAGTTTACCCTTTTGGTGATCTATCAAGGGTTTCCAGGCATTTCTACACCTCCCACAAGGTTTACAATCCTGCCACAAAAATAGGTCTTTGATCAAAGACGTTTGATGTCAAATCCACGGTTATGTACCGGTGAAAACGTGATTATTTATCAGATTGTTGTGATGAAAAAAGACCGCTAATTTCTTCCGTGTTTGACAAGCTGTTTTGATGAGGAGTGACATAAACAACTGTAAATAGTAAAAAACGCCTGGAAGAATTAGTGTAAATATGTAAATAGTTTCTGTTGTGTGTTTGTTCCGATCCCAATATTTCTTCTACTGGTAGCCAAGACTTAACAGAATGATGTGCAGGTGAAGAAAGGCTTGGTCACTGTAGATTTATGTGCTTTTTGTGCCAAGTACTGTTGGTACCAATTTCCGTTTTTGTTTTTTGGTTGACTTTGATGGTTCTGAATCTACTGTCACATTCATTTTACAGAATTTGTGCACCCATAAACTGACAGCTGAGGTTGTCCTGAAAAAAAAAGAAAGGATAGAGTTGCTTCAGAGATTTAAAAAAAACAAAACAAAACAGGCGGACCAAAAATAGCAATATTTAGCTGGGAGTTCTAAGGGTTAAGTCTGTATCATGTCTCTGCAGACCGAGAGAGGATCGTTCTGGGAACTGAGGATGGACTGTTTGTGGTGGAGGTTACCAGAGATGGTAAGACACACACAGTAGTACACAATTACACACACACATACAGACATACACAGTTAATGATTGTTGTCCTGTCTCTCTTTCTACCTCAGTGATCGTGCGAGCAGCAGACAGTAAGAAGGTTTATCAGATCGATTTGATCCCAAAGGAGAAGATCATCGCTCTGCTATGTGGCCGAAACCGTCATGTTCATCTCCACCCCTGGGGGGCGCTGGAGGGGGCTGAGTCCTCTTTTGACATCAAACTGGCAGAGACCAAAGGCTGCCAGGCTTTGACCACAGGGGTGCTCCGGCCTGGAGGTCCTGCATGCCTGCTGGCTGCTGTCAAACGACAGGTCAGGCACCTGAGGGCGTACCTCAAACTCCTCCCCCTCACTGATGTCGTGGTTTCGTTCGAGTTCTAAGAGGTTCTGCTTCTCCTTTCTACAGGTTCAGTGCTATGAGATCACTCGGGCCAAGCCCCACCATAAGAAGCTGTGGGAGGTGCAGGCTCCAGGGGTGGTGCAGTGGTTGGGGATGGTGAGGGAGCGGCTCTGTGTCGGGTATCCCTCAGGCTTCGCTCTACTCGCCCTGCAAGGGGAGTCGTCCCCCATCAGCCTGGTGAGTCCTGGAGACCCTTCCCTGGCCTTCCTGTCCCAGCAGCCCCTGGATGCTCTACACGCCCTGGAGGTGGGATCCACCGAGCTCCTGCTCTGCTTCAGCCAGCTCGGTATCTACGTTGATGGGCAGGGTCGCCGGTCAAGGACCCTGGAGCTGATGTGGCCCGCCACACCGCTCGCATGCAGTACGTACAGCAGTAGTTTGAGTAGTTTAGTAATGCTGTATCTAGTACTTGAAGAACTCTTCATTAGCTCATGGAGTACAACTAGAAGAGGACACGTAGTGATTTAATGTAGTTTGACATTACGGTAGGAAGGGTCTGTTTCAGTCCTTGTAGTAGGTGTAGCAGAATTCTCTCTTATGTTTCCTCTGAGTCAAAAGCATAAAAAGTCTACGGTCCCTCTTAAAGTCACAAAGGTGTGAATGAAGTCTGACAGGCAGCAAAAACATTCTCACTCCTCTCTCTCCAGGTTCAAACTCGTCCCACCTCACTGTCTACAGCGATTACGGAGTGGACGTCTTTGACATACACACAGCTGAGTGGGTTCAGACCATCTCCCTCCGCAAGGTAACCAATCACAGCTCTGAACCAGGAAATCACAGCTCATCAAACAGCCAATCACAGTTCAGGATGTGCTGATGGTGTGTGTCTATGTCCACAGATCAGACCTCTAAACATTGAGGGGACATTAAACCTGCTGAGCTCTGAACCTCCACGACTGATTTACTTCAGCAACAGCTCCTCAGGTAACAACCAACACCTTGACCAGACTAACCTGGACTTGATCCCAGACTTATTGAACCATGACTTGACAAGACCTGACTCACGCAGCCCTAGTTACCTACACTTACACTTGACTGAACCTGGCCTACCCTCCTGGACCTAGACTCGCTAGTGCCCAAACTCAGCTATACTGAACTTATCTGGACCTGCTCTCACCAGGACCCAAAGTGATCTGACATGGACTCATCTGCCCAATCAGACTACTAACTCTCCCAAACCTACCTACCTGTCTGTGTCTCCACCTGTCCTTGTCTTCACCTGTGTTCATTGTCCGTCCACAGAGGGGGTTCTCACCATCCCAGACACCTCAGATCACAGCAGGAAGTTGATGGTCAGAACACGCAGCAAGAGGAAGTTCTTGTTCAAGGTTCCGGAGGAAGAGCGAATCCAGCAGAGGAGGTGACCCTTCAAAATAAAACGCAGTTCCAGTGTTATTTTTTTAAATAAGAAATTGTTCTTGAAGTATTTAGTAATGTCTGTTTGGGGACTTGGAAGGATCCTGCCATGTTGATGATACGGAACTTTATCATCATTAGCATGTTATTACTAGAGAATTAACATGTTTATGTATTTATGAAGGGATGTGGTTAACACTTTGAAATAACCATATCTTATAAATGGTAAATAGACCATTTATAAATGGTAAGCAGATGGTTTATTAATGTTTAATCATCATTTATTAAGCACATAGATGATTAATAAATTGTAAATTTTAAAAACCTAAACCTAACCCTAACTTTACAATAACCATCTAAGTAATGTTTATAGATGGTTTAAAACCAAATATTTCCAAAGTGCTACTGACACACATTTTAATCTAGATGTTTTATAACAAATATTGAAACCCTATAAAAGCCTTTAATGAATAGTCCATTAATAATTAATGAAAACTATTAATCATAATTTCATTGCTTGCTTCTGGTAAAGTAACTACATTACTTACATTAATAAACCATCTATTTGCCATTTATAATTGGTCTATATGCTGTTATTAAATTATGATTAAACCTTAATAAACTATCTATTTACCATTTATAAATCATGGTTATTGTAAAGTGTTACTGTTAAAAGTGTAACTAACATGCGATCCATGTGTAATGATTTTGTTTCCACTTCCAGAGAGATGCTGAGGGACCCTGAGCTTCGTTCCAAGATGATCTCAAACCCCACAAACTTTAACCACGTGGCCCACATGGGACCAGGAGACGGCATGCAGGTCCTCATGGACCTCCCTCTGGTAACCTCTCCTTCTCACTGCCCTTCCAGCCGGCATGTTCTCCCTCACCTCCTCCCCCATCCTCACCCCCTACAGCTCGGTTCATCTCACTGACTCCTCCTCTCTTCTCTCCTCTTCCTCCCCTGTCTCACCCCTCCTCCTCCTCCTCCTCCCCGATTGTCCAGGTTGGTGATATGACCCCCTTCACTCCCTCCCCGTCTCCCTCCCCTTCCTCTTCCTCCTCCCGTCACACCCTCATCTCTCCCCCTTTAAACTTTGAGCACGTCTATCACATGACCTCGGCATCGGCCGGCGCCTTCTTGCAGAAAGACGCCTCCTCTTCCTCCTCCCAGCAGAGCCTCCTGCAGCCCTCCTCCTCCTCCTCCTCTCCCTCCACCTCCTCTCTTGGAAGGGTAGGCCAGCTTCTCTATCTACCCCGCCTGCTGCCCCAACACCCCATCCCCCAGTTTCCCCCCTGTCTGTCTGCTGTGATCCCCTTGATCCTCAAGTTATATATCACACCTGTAAACTCCTGACTCACCTGTGGATACCTGAGACACCTGTAAATTGCAATAATAATAATAATAATCATAGTAAACTTTATTTCAATCAGCCTTTTCAAAGAAGAGTTACATGGTACTTTACAGACTTACCTGTAAACTCCTGATACAGCCTTGCTCAACCAGTTGACTCCTGAATCACCTGTCAACCCCTTAAATACTCATTCTCAAATTTTTGTTAACAATAATTTGACCGACTGATTCTGGTGAAGTCTCATTGATGAGGTACCTGCGCTTTAATCCCCCCACTATTAGATCTGAACTGACCTACAGGGGAAAAATAAAAACCACAGCTCCATCCAGCCTTCACCTCCTGTCCTTTCCCTTTGCTCTCTTTCCAATCAGGTGAACCTCACCTGTTTCCTGCACCTTTTCCTTGTGGTCTTAAGTCCCACCTTCTGTGTTTCTCAGCCTGAGTACAACTCCCATAACGCCTTGCTTTAGGGGCACTGTAAAGCTTCTTGGGAAACATGGTGCAAATATGGTGGTGGTCCTTTATTCTGTGCTGAGCTTTTACACTTATACTAACAGCAGGGGGCGCCAGTGTAGCTCAGCTGGTGGTTGTAAGATTGATTCCTAGTCCTGATATGATTTGGTGCAGCTTTCTCCAAATTCTTTGTCCTGTCAAAATAAAGGCCCCAAAAGAAAAAAAAAATAGAAACACAGAGAGTAGGACTCGAACACCACCACAGGGGGGCGCTGAACACAATTAACTATTCAACATGTGGGTTAATTATCCATTCTGTGTGTGCATGTGTGTGTGTGTGTGTGTGTGTATGTACAGAGTGTGATGCCCTCTTCTCAGGAGGACTCCATTAAAGACAAGCCCCGCCCACTGTCCAGTATTTCCCGGCAACGGGGAAGCAAGTCACACATTACACGTACAGCTTCAGGTAAAAACACTTGTATTGTGTGTTTGTGTGTCTTTGTCTGTGTGCACTATTATCATTCTCTTTAGCACTTAAATGTTGTTTGCTGTGATGTCAGATGTAACCTGTGTTCCTGTTGGTTTAGACTTTGGGGGAGGAGCTTCATCTCGCAACATCTCTGACCCAGACCAGGACTTAGACCGAGAGGTAAGACAACATCTACAATGTAAAGATTTAAAGAAAAGCACAAACCTTTTTTTTAGTTTAGCAAAGATTCAGTCGACATTTGATGCTAACTCTCTCTCTCTCTCTCTCTCTCTCTCTCGCTCGCCTAGCCGGACTCCGACTCCACCAAACACTCGACCCCCTCCAATAGTTCCAACCCCAGCAGTCCCCCCAGCCCAAACTCACCCCACCGCAGCCAGCTCACCCTGGACGGTCTAGATATGGAGCCCTGAGGCCCCTCCCCCAGCTTTGAAGCCCCGCCCCCACACAGCTGGGTGAAGAGAAAGGGCTGTATTAACCAATCAGGCTGCTGGCTGAGAGTTTAGATTTTACTTGATAATTTTATTGTTGCGGGGTGAGTCTTTGCTTCCTGCTGCTTTTATATTTGTTGGATTTTACCCGCTGGGAAGCCACACCCCTGTTTTAAACCCCGCCCCTGCTGATGGCTGCTGTGTGTTTGACTTTTAGTCAGATTGGCTCTGAGGGACCAATCACCTTCTTCCTTTTAAATAACTTCCTTTTAAGCTTTAGCAGGCAGTTAGCTGCTAGGCTAACTGTGGCTAACTTCCTGTCTGAGTAGAGGATTTCACTCTGATGGAAAACCGCTCACAGACAGGAGGTCTCACTCTGATGGAGAAACACTGTATGAATAATTTTAAAGTTTTGTTAAAGTTGCACATTATCATCATCATCATCATCTTCTTCATCATCATCGTTGTTGTTGTTGTAGGAAAAGAATAATCTTTGATTTGTGTCAGTGATGATATTTCCTGTTGCGTCCCCTGACCCGAACAGGTGAGGGGGAGGGGGCACACCTGAACACTACTGCTTTGTTTATTCCAGAATCACCTGTTTAAGAAACTTTGTAATTATGAAATATGTTAGCAGCAAAACAGAAACCAATAAAAGACTCTGAAGAGAACCTGAGAGTGTGTGTGAGTCTGTGTGTGAGGAAACACACCTGGGGGATAGGAAGAGCTGTTACACCAATTTCATCAGAATTCAAAACTGAATTTGATAGTTTGCAATTTATTTAAAGTTTATATTTGATCAAGAATAGTCTAAAAACATGTTTTCAGTGGGTGCAGAAAGCGGTTTTTCAGCAAGACTCTTCTGCGACTGAGACATGCAGTTGTAACACCTGCAGTATTGTTGAGTTGAAAATATATTACAGGTTTTATTTTGCAGAATTATGTTGATGCACTCAAAAATAACCCAAAGTTAGCTAGTTTACAGTGCGGGAAACGCCAGAAAATTTATTTGATGCATTATATAAGTTGAAGGTTTAGAACGATGAAGAGATGTAGTTTGAAGGGAAGAGAAGACCTGTGGATCTGTTTAAAACAAGTTCGTAATATTCCTTTCAAATGATGTTGTATACAGAGGAACGTATTAAGGAGAGATTGGTTTTATAGATATTAAGAGTTTGAAAGCCCCTGAGGGCGGCACAGTGGTGTAGTGGTTAGTACTGACGCCTCACAGCAAGAAGGTCCTGGGTTTGTATCGGGGTCAGGGCGTTTCTGTGTGGAGTTTGCATGTGTCTGCGTTGATTTACTCCAGGTACTCCAGTTTCCTCCCACATCCCAAAAACATGCAGAAGTGGGGTTAGGTTAATTGGCCACTTTCAAATTGCCTGCAGGTGTGAATATGAGTGTTGATGGTTGTTCGTCTCTGTATGTCAGCCCTGCGATGAACTGGCGACTTGTCCAGGGTGTCCCCTGCCTTCGCCTGAAGATGCTGGGATAGGCTCCAGTCCCCCCATGACCCTGGGAACAGGAATAAGCAGTAGAAAATGGATGGAGTAGATGAGACTTATCAAAGTGTTTCTGGGGGGAGCAGATTTTCATGGAGACAAAAGAAATTCATGGTCTTCCCTGAAAAAGTCGTTTTCCTGATGGCTGCAGATGTTGCTCCTAAACCTATAGATATTGTTCAGAATCACAAATTTAGATTTGTCTGTCTCAAATATCTCTGAGCCCATGCAGTGATTTCCACTACAGAGTCCTGTAAAGCTGCCCTAGGGTCTGAGGCTAAGGACTATCTGGTCTTGGTTTTGGTCGTTGTCCCCGTGTACAGACATTTCTCCAGATTCTCTCAGTCTTTTAATATTGTCTGCTGTAGATGAATCCAATTAACTTTATTAGTAGGAAGATGTGATTTCATCAAACATTTAAACTTTTTTTTTTACTTAATGAGATCAAAATAAACATCTGTAACATTTGTAAGAGGGGTTTTAAACCATCAGTCGGGTCAGGGGGTCGGGCTCAGTAAACTCTGGTGTTTTTCTCATGTTTTATTCAGGCCTCAGGTCAGACATCAGGCACTTTTAAATGATTTAAATGGTTCCTAAGTACTGTCTGACAGGCTGATGAATTTATAATGAGGAGGCGTGGTCTGTCTGTTGACACACTGAAAGGCAGCCAATCAGACAATGCGTGTGAGAGCAAAGAAACAGCAGAGCCAATCAGGGAGCAGAATGAACCAGGTCAAAATCAAAACAGGCTTTATTTTGAAGGTTTAGTCCCAGCATGTGGTGTCTCTCTCTAAGGACGAAAAAAAAAAGATGATGATGATGTCTTTAACTTGAGTTTCCTGTTAGAGTGTTTCACACGATCCACATCCTGTTTTCACGGCTAAGGCAGGAAACAGAACAAGTGTACTCTGAAAGTGTTCTCAAGGTGCTTGTATGTGTCAAAATATGAGAAACTAAAAGATCCTGCAGGAAAAAAAATATGATGTTACTTTGTAATTTCATACATCCGTTTTGCAATGGTGCCTCTGTTTATTTCTGATGTGACAATGACAAACAACTCAAAAAACTAATAATATGAATTTCAGCAGTACAGGCTCATAGTTTTAAAAAAGAAGTGAGACAGAGGGAGTTTTATTTAATTTAGGATTTTTGTTACAATGCGAACAGTGAGTGTTAGGGCCTTTGAATCTTGTTCTGTATCATTAAAAACATAATTCAGCAGTATTGGTATGATTTTTTTCACTATTTTTCATATTAGCAACTAGGATAAACATTAATATCACTATAATATACGATTGTATTGCTATCCTTTCAAGAATAAGGCAAGAAGACAATGAAAAAAGTGGAACAAAGAAGGTAAAGATCTGAAGATGTCCTGAATTAAAGTAAAATTCAGAAATATGTTAGGTAATTTTATGATAGTCTTTCATCATATCAGTTTGCTCAATATTTCTCTATTTTTCTGCACGGTGACTGATAGCGTTTCATAATTCATGAGTGACATGATTTGACAATATTGTTACCATGGCAACCATTGGTGGCCGTCTCAGGAGCTGTGTTGTTCAAATTATTTATTTAAAAGCCATTAAACCAACTCTATTCAAAGAGTTACACTTTTAAATGAATGAATGAATGAGTGAGTGAATGCTGGGTTATTTCAGTAACCATGCTGTTGGGTTATTTGTTGGGTCCGTGGTCATTTAAACCTTTTCCTGTTCACTCGTTCGTTCGTGGTCTTTGATCATTTTGCTTTATTCTATTCTGTTGACGGCAGAAAGAGTGGGATTTAATGGAAGATAACTTAAATACTCTTCCATGTTAAATACATCAGAAAACCCGGAGGTTGCCTAATGGTCGGGCCTTTATTCAGGGACATTTAAAATTCATACATTTTTAGGACTGTTGGAAGCTAAATTATTTTTGTTAAGTCTAATAACTGTTTCAATAGTTTAATAGTTTAATAGCAGATGTGCTGTCTTACTAAGACAGCACATCTGCTGTGGATATCAGATAATTTTTCAGAGTTACCTCTGTCAGAGGAGTGTTTTTCACTTCCTCTCACTGCATTGGTGCACATCTCTAACCTAACATTTAGGTTTCATATGAGGAAATGTACAGTGTTGCAACAGGAAAGACAGGAACTGAATCATTTTTGCATTAAATGAATTAACACGGCGCTTTGCATCAGTTCAGCCCAGCCCAGTTCTATCCCATAGTGACCCAGGTACTAGGTTGAGGTTGGGTTATTTTTTTAACCCAGCATTATTTTACGACTGCCATTTTCAAATTATTGATACACGGATAAATATTAATTATAGATAACTGGACAGTGACTCAGTCCGACATCCTGTCTGTCTCTCTGTTGTCACAGCAACAAGCTGGCTGATAAGAAACTTTTAAAAAGAAGCTGCAGGGAAGTTTGTAACCCCAATAGGTCTAACAGTCTAGAAATATTTTTACCCATGTTTCAACGCTGTATTTTAACTGTGTTCATTAGGTACAGTTACTTTATCTCACTCTGTCCTTTTGAAACAGCGAGGCTTTCTTTTTTGTAAGAAAGGAACTAGAAAAAGTTTGGTATAAAATTTATTTGACTGACATTTTCTTTTTACAACAGTAGAACACATCTACAAGTTTCCTGTTCCAGGTTCCCATACTGAAGGTTCTGGTTCCTCATTGGGGTCATCAACACCTTTAAATTGAGGAAGTTTGTAGATCTCAACGGTCAGTGAGGTTGACGTCTGACTTGAAGGGGTAAATTTTAAAAGGTTGAACTCTTACTTCCTGTCTCAGCTCAGAGTTTCTACAAAAACACCACGTCTGACCATCAGCATACAAACATCATCAAAACATTAACGGGTTAAGATAATGTACACATCATCTCATACAAACATCATGTAAATATACAAATAGAATAAAAATAACAAAAAATAATGTAATAAAATTAACGTAAACATCAAGAAAATATACAAAAATACGGGAAAATCATGTCAACATCCTTTAAATATAATAAAAGCATGTAAAAGTGAGCCTTTTAGGGATGTAGTAAAAACTTCCCAATAATCGTATTAACATGTCAATACCATGTTTACATTTACACACAATATAAACATCCATACATAATTTAAACAAATATGTTAACATTACGAAGACATAAAACATCATGTAATGTACAAACCTTGGAAACGTCATAATCATGTTCATACCTCACGTTAACGTGAACATCACAATGTCATCACATTAACATGATGCAAACATGTGACCGTGTTTCCATCATGTTGACTTCTTGAAAATTTGTGAGCTTAATGCAAGGATGATGTAAATATCACAGTGATGGTTAAACTTAAAAAAAAATAAATGTATTTTTTACATTACTTTGCTTTTTACAAGCAAAACACAAAAATGTAAACATAAGCATTATGTGATCATGTCAACAATGAAACATACTGTAAACATGAACATCTAGACACCCTAACAGCATGTAAATGGCACTTAAATCACGTAGCCAATATCATATTAAAATCATGTTAATACAAGTTATTTAAACAGTATTTAAACATGTTTGTGTGAAATATTCCAAACACGTTTACATCATAATAACAACATGAAGTTTTTGAAATACTTTGAAATTTAACGTGCACAACAAGGATGGGAATTGAGGACCGGTTTCAAATGGTTCAATCCATCAACATCATTTACATCTTATCTTGACGATTCCCTTAACGATTCCTTTCTTCCAGGTGCCTTGAAAAACGGTCTTGTGAGTGCCAGTTGATGTGAGTGGGAGATAAAAAGTAGGCAGAGACGAGCTAAAGTAAGGCTTAATTTTACTAAGAAAGACGACAACAGTGCGACATTTGTCGAGCAGTGATAACATGCAAAGGTTGAAACACCAGCAAAATGATACAACAGTTGTCAATGGGGCAGGGCATCAAATATAAGGAGTCAAATGTATTTGATGCACTCCAACTTAACTGAGTTAGAAGCGCATAAAAAAACACTCAAAAGCCTCAAAATTTCACACACAAGTCTACCCTGTGTAGTAGTGTCCTCTTTTTGGGATTCAGCATATGGTCACATAAGCGTATGTCCTGTGTTAACATAAACACAATGCATGCCAGAAATGCTGTACAGATAGCATTTTGTTTGATTATTTTTAGACTCTCACTGAAGGTGGCATACATCTTTTTCTGTTATCAGAGACTTATTAAAATTTTGAGTTAACAATGAAAACCTTTAGTCTACTTTTTGTAAAAAAAAGTCAAAGACAGGCATTGATAAGGGAATCGGTAAAGAATTGAATCGATAAGCAGAACCGTTAATGGCTTCGATATCAACAAAATCTTATCAATTCCCATCCCTACGCACAAATTTAAACAAAAACAAATTCACCTGAAGGACAACCTAGGCATCTATCTCCTGCTGGTCAGAATATGAGAACTGATCAATCAAAGAGTCTAGCTCGGTCCAACAGAATCCAGTTCAGTCCGGAAGAGCCAGCCCGTCAGCTTCCTGGCGGCTTCTGGGGTCTTTGTGTTTTGGTCCCTGGGTTCATGTCTGAGGAAAACCTGGTTGGCTGGATCTTATTCTGGCTGCTGGATCGTGTTCGAAGGTGTGCTCGATCACAGGCCTGCAAGAGGCCACGGCGCAGCTCTTTGCGGATGTTGTCGCTGGACAGGACATAGAGGATGGGGTTGATGGCGCTGTTGATGGTGGACAGGCCTAATGAGATGGTGTAAGGTGTGTACAAGGTCCTTTCAAACAGGCACGTCCCGTTATCCAGCTGGGGAAAGTGGAACAGGACAGCCCGAACCAGCAGGATTATGTGGTATGGAGCAAAGCAGACCAGGAACAACACCACCACTGCCACTGCCAGCCAGCGAACACGCTCCTTTTGCTTCTGATGTAGCCCCGTACTGCGCTGCACGTTGGCCAGGACGCCACGGTTCGTCACCACCAGCACCAGCAGTGGCAGCAGGAAGCCAATAATGAAGCGGGCATAGTTAAAACCAGTTACTGTGGCGCTACTCTGACTTGGCTCAAAGCAGCGGTGCTCTCCCTCTTCAACATCCCCCTCCTGCATGGTGAAGACAGGAGTGTGACCTACAGCAACCACCAGTGTGATAGCAATGGTGATCAAGAAGGCAAAACGCCTCCTGCGAAGACCCCGGGACTCAATACTGTAGATGACGGCCACATAGCGGTCGCAGGAGATGCAGCAGAGAAGAAAGATGCTGATGTACATGTTGTTGAAGAAAATGTAGCCGGTTAGCTTACACACCATTGAGCTCCATGGCCACTCATGATTTGCACCAACGTATATCGCCCACAGTGGCAGTGTACACAGGTAGATGAGGTCACACATCGACAGGCTCCACAGGTAAACACCCAGAACATTTTTCCTCTTCATCTGCAGCCAGGTGAGGTACACTGTCAGCACGTTAGCAGGAAATCCTACAGCCAGCACAGCACTGTACAGGAACACCAGGGGCAGGCGGCCATCCTCGAACGGGAGCTCGCACGAAAACGTGTCATTCGGGACAGAAATAGTCACACTTGCCTGCTGCTCTTGCATGATGTCTGCAGAAAAACAGACAGATATGACTTATCAGATTGAATATCAGCTCAGCTATGCAAACAGTGGTTTGCAAGGTTATCAGCTAACCTTGATGATTATCACTAACATGATATCACTGTCGTTATCTCATTATCACTGAATTCTCACCCTTCAGCTCAGACTGTCTGTCTTTGTGTTTTCTACATTCAAATTAAATCTTACTTAGAAAATTTAGGAGGATTGGACATGAGGCTCCAAAATCATGATGTCAGATTAGTTTAGCCAGTTATTTCTGGTGTGTGACCTCAGATGTTCTTCACTGACTGATGTTAGTTTGAGTCTAATCATAGAGGTGTGTAAAACCACCCTAACTTTCCATCATGAGCACATTGACCACTTATTGAACTTTCAGCTTGAAGTGGCTGACGTGTCACTCGATTCAGCACTTCTCTGACTGAGATTATATCTCCTGCCTTCATACAGGAAGCCACAATAACGGTTGAACTGAGCCTTTTGAATCAATGGGTTTTCTTCATCTTACAGTTTCTCAGGAAGACCAAGTGCTAAAGTTTGAGCCGTGAGAGAGGTGAAACAGTAACACAACCCATGTTGAAAGGCATGTTTGTATTATGTCTGAAAAAAACAACAACAGCATTGTGATAGCGTGTTTAAATCAGTTAAAAAACACGTTAAAAGACTTTAAAATATTCAAAAATGTCTGATTCATTCTCCAGATATTTTAAACTCCTGTTAAAAACATATTACCATGTAATCTTTGAAAAATGTCAAAAGCATGTTAGAGAGCACGTGTTCAGTTTTAAAACAACAAAAATCTTATTTGAAACGTGTCAAAAACAGTTAAACATGTTAAAAGACATTAAAGCTAGATACTGTACACTTTTAATTTTGTTTCAAAACATTGTAAATGTGTTTTTTTTAATCTATGACATTAAAAAATGTTGAAAACACATGACAAACATTTTTTGAAAGACACCTAAAACATGTTAAAAGACATTATCAGACAAATATCAAAATCATAAGGAACAGATTCAACATGAGACATTTTTAATTATGCCATTAAAAACATGGTGGTGTTTGAGAATTAAGTCCCATGCTGCTCTCTGACTGACCGACCTCTTTGTTCCTGTGTCATTCTCTGACCTCCCTGACTCTCAATGAGCATCAATTATTGATTATATTGTGTCGCTTACTTTCTGAACAGCTGTCAATCAATCTTTAACATCTGATCAGCTGTTTAGAATGTTTGAAGTGGGCGGGGCTAAGACTTAATAATTGATTATTGACCTGTATAGCAAAATACTAATGATAAATCTTTATGTTAATATGATAAATCAACAAACTGATCAGTGATTTAGGTTAAATGACATTTGAAAACTACTTTTATATTAACACCGGGAATATTTAATGATAAATACTTTATATTATAGAAACAATTAATAGACTTATAACTGATAACTGTTCTGAAGATTTTGGATATGTTTAATATTTCAAGTATAAATGAGTTCACTGAGTTTTTAAGAAAGTAGTTTTAAAGTGAAGAATAAACTTTACCTTTTACCTCATATCTAAATTATTTCACTGTATTTATGTAAAAGTATGACTTAACAAAGCAAAGATGATCTTTAATCTCAGTAATACCTCTGATAATAGATTTTTGATCATCAGCATTTATCAGCCTGACCTCAGAAATAACTTTTTTATAACTTAATTTTTTTAAGTAGTTTGGTATGTCCTCTGATCAATGAGGTAATATAAATATTCTCTGATATCTATTTAATTAAACATTAAGTGATTATTTTACACAAAACTATCTGATCAAGTGTAAACCTCGCATACATCAGTATCTGTTGAGGCTGATCCACTCTCTGCTGTGATGTCACACAGGTAACATTTGACACGTGGTACTAAAGTCCCTCACACTGCAGTCTACTTGTAGTAATACTCATATAAAGCGGCTATATCACAGTATTTGTGTATTAACCTGACATGTTATTGAAATATTGGCGAATAAACACTCACCGTTTCACGCGCATCCTCCTTCCAGCTCCTCGTGCGCTCTGACTCTGAATGAAGCGACGTGACAGGAAGCGGGGTAGACTAACTCGACCTGCGGCAGGTGGTCACGTGGTTAGAGTAAATCCATCAGCAGCTACTGCAGAACATGCTTTATTCATCAGCTATATTTAATTTTTTATCCTTTCATTATTAATAATTCACGAGAGTACTTCACAAACAACCAGACCCGGGACACAAAAGAAAAACAACCAATCGGAGACGAGTAAACTAAAAATTCAACCAATCATCACAATCAGGCATGGCAACACGGAACCTGGTTTTGTTTTGTAATATTGAAGTGTTTGTGTGTCTGACACATCTACAATAACTATCAAAGAAATTATTAAAAATATCAATAAAGATCAGAAAGAAAGACTCGTTTCAAAGCTTCAGGTTTGATCATGAAAAAAGGGACGTCTTTAACATGCTGGTTATGCAGGTGAGGAAACAGGTGTGGCATTACAGATAAAACAAGAAAAATCAGGTTCTAGACTGACAATTAAAAACTGTTCTGGAAAACTAAAAACATTTTGACAAATACTCAACAATCCTTGTAGTTAATCTGAAAATAAGCGAAAAAATCTTCACTTAGTAAACCTTCCAGCCACAGACACAATGACACTCATAACTTTTATTTTTCATTTTATTCATTAAATCTTAGAAATCCAACATGGAGACTCCTCACTCTGGTTTAAACATGTGCACTTCAAATGAAGTTTTTTTTTTTCTTTCCCAAACTGTTCAAAAACTTAAAATATCAGACAAATCCATCTACTGCTGTTACAGTCTGGTTTAAACTGCATCACTGACAGAGCCGACCGGCCCACAAAAGCAATTTCAAAACAAACAAAGATAATATATATATATATATATATATATATATATATATATATATATATATATATATATATATATACATATATAGATATATACAGATATATATTTGCATGTATGAGTGATGCTTTCTGAATGATCATATATATATATATATATATATATATATATATATATATTATTGTAAAGAAATAGAGGGCCCCAAAATCAAATTTTGCTAAGGGCCCCATTGAGGCCTAGCTCTGATCACTGACTATTAGAAGTCTGCATTGGAGGGTCCCTGTCACTCTGCAGTGCTCCACCTAAACTCTGGCGGTTGCGTGGCTGCTACAGTATATATTATGCTAATTGATATAACAGGCTTTACTTCAGTCATTCCTTTCCTACTTCGTCCTCGTCTCCTCTTCTCAAATAAAAGCTCTACTTCTTTTTGTAAATATTATTTTTGTTTATTTGTTTACATTCATATTTACATAAACAGTTTGGAGGAATGTTCAACTGGTGACTCATCAATGGCTCAGCAGAAAAATACAAGCTCCGCCCACTCTGTGCCTTGAGGGCAGCAGCTTCAGAGCTCCTCTGAGCTGTCAGCTGGTTGGACATTCCTGCTGCCATGATGGACAGGAAACGTCCTGCCTACCTTCAAAGGAAAAGTCTTTGACCCTGGGTTCAGTTCTTCCACCTGATTTGCTGAAAGAGAAGAAGACAGGTTCAGTAAGGTCACATGATGTGGTGACTATGATAATGATGATAATGATGGGCACGGCAGTTCTTTTAGATGAACTGAATCACTAGAATCACTTCACTAAAAAGATTGGTTCAAAAGATTCGTTCACCAAATCACCGAATTATTTAGCGGGAAAAAGCCTGCGACTCCGACCTCCTGAACTGATACACAGCTGAACGTTTCAGGATTCAGTTCAATTCATAGCTTCTGGGACCGGGAGACGAGAGTGTTTGGCTGTGTTGCTTTGGCAAACACGTTTGTAAAAATGAACTTGTTTTTAAGTCATGATGTTTTAAGTGTACTGTCCTCTGGTATGCTATATATCAGGTCTGCTTGGTAAACTGGGGTCAGTGAGTGATTTGTTCACTGAATGTTTAGAAGAGTTCACACTGAACATTCACCGTTCCCTCGCAAACCGCTGCAATGACAGGATGCTGTGGGTGTTATCTACTACTTGTTACATGCTGTGTCCTATTGTATGCAGGTTGTTGTGGAGGCAATTTAGCAGTGAAAAAAAGGTAGTTTTGTCTGACAAAAATTATTCCAGAGAGTGTAGTTCAATACGTGAGTCGTTCACTAAGTAATTCAGGCGTCGTTGCATGTGGTCCCTTGTTCACCGGCTGCTGGCCTGGCAATGATGTTTCTGAATTCTGCTCAGCTTAAGTGAGAAACGAACGAATCACTCGAGGAAGTGATTTAGTTCAGTACGTTCACTCAAAAGATTTGGTTTTTTTGAATGAATCGTTCGCGAACGACACAACACTAGATGATGATGATGGTGGCGATGATGATAATGAAGCCCCCGTCCCATCCTTACTTGGTTGTTCAGCAGTTCATCGATCTTCCTCTCCTCGGCTGATCCTCTCTCCACCTTCCCTCGGTATGCTAGCAACTGTTGACGGTCCTTCAAGTCCCGGTACGTCTGATTGGACCAGAGACATGTGACATCACAGAAATGCAACATCAACAAAAGGGCTTATTTCAGTAATCAGTTACTGATCATCCAATCAGAGAGCTTCATTCAAGTAAACAATAAGTTATCATCCAGTCAGAGATAATGTATTATATATTGTAATATGTATAATGTAGAATTATATTATAATATTATGGTACTCATGTTTTATTCCTCACATTGATGACGATGTCATGACATTTATGTTTTTGAGCCAAACTGATCTTCAGGTCTGCATCATCAACCAGCGCCACGTAGTCCTGCAGCACCTGGATATCAGATTAAAAAAAAAAAACCCTTGAACAATTAGAATGTAATGATTATAACATAATCACCTGAAGCACTCCAGTTTCTTAATCATCACCCATCACTTAAATAAACACTTTATCAAAAATATACACCTGTCAATCACATGTTTACACCTGTCAGTTAAAAGCACACCTGTAAATTAAAACTACAGCTGCCAATCAAAACAAGTCAGTTGGGTATTTCTCCTCTCTGCCTCTTTCCAGCCAACACCCTCTGATATGCAATGTAGCTACACCTCCTCACCAGCGTGGGGGCGGAGTTTTTCTGCAGAATGTCGACCACTCGATGAAAACTAAGAGGGGATTTCTTCCTTGTGAAGCCGAGCCAGTTCCTGCTGGTGAACAGTGCGTCCACGTCTGACCACGCCTTTAATTTCGCCCGCGCCGACAATGCCGTCACAAAGTACTGCTTCTCTGACACCTAAGGTCGAAGGTCATTTGTAAGTAACATCAGGTTTAAAGTTTGTATGTGACTCTGACAGTGAAATAAGGTTTACCTTGAAGGTCTGGCGTATGTTTAACGGACTGCTGTAAGTTCCCTGGAAACAAAAGAGAAAGGGATTTAATTAACCTGATTAACTTATCTGGTTAACTTCAAGTGAAAATTTAATCTGGTTTAACTTTATGGGTGCAACTCATCTAAACTGATTGATTAACATATCTGGTCAGACTGGTTAAGTGATATTGACTTCTTTGGTTAACCTAAAACAGACTCCAAACTAAACTGGAAAACTTTGGACTAACTCCAGACTGGTAAAGTTTACTCGAGACTGCTTTGGTTCAGTCAACCATGGACTAACCTCAGGCTCATTGTAGTGGTAGAAACAGCAGTAGTAGAGTGTTGTGACCATGGGCATATTGAGGATTGAAGCTTTTCTTGGAAATTTCTGGAAGATTTCCACCTTACCTCCTTGCTCAGCCTGCCGGTCAGTTGCCTGACAACAGAGCAGAAGAAAACTTCGTATAAACCAGATTAAACTGGGTTTAAACTGAATTACACAAGATAAGATAAGTGGTCTTAACAGGGTTTCTTAAGTATTCAACCAGATTAAGGTGAAAAATGCTGTGACCTGACAGACCTCGATGATGATCTGTCTCTCCAGCAGCGTGTAGTGATCCTGAACATGAGCTGAGTCCTCTGTTGAGAACGGCAGACTGGACACAAAAACATACATGTAACTGCTGATATCATCAGGTGATCTGTAATCATATTATGAGTGTAGTCAGATTTAAGTACCGCTGGTACATGGCCTGCTGGACTCACTCACCTGAGACAGCTCTTCAGGAAGTCCCGCTTCTTGTTTTCATCTGAGATGCTTAGGTGTTCCTTGTACTGCAGCAACTGTAACCGTCAAAACAGAGGAGAATGACATACAGTAAGCTTCCAATCAGTAGAAGTCAATTTTGTTACTGTGTAGTACTGTGTATAGTATTAAGTGGTGTGTGGTAGTTTGTAGTAATTTGTAGTACTGAGTCCATAGTGTGTGTTACGTACAGCCATGTCTTCTGTTCTCCCAAGAGCTCTAAGGAGGAGCAGAAAGAGAAAAATCTGTGAATATGTAGTCCAGGTGAGACCAGGTGAGTCTCTATGTGACTGGATGTAAACACAGACCTGTACAGCTCAAGCAGCAGCCTCTGGTCTTTAGTCTCAGTCAGGTACTGAATAAAGTGCCTGAGGGCCGTCTGTCTGGACTCCAGCTCCTGAAACAAAATCCCTGAGAGAGAAAAACAGCAGGTCATCGCAAAGACCTGCACCCTGATCGGATTCAGTACCAGCTAGGACCAGTGGCTCACCTTTACTGAGAGTCCTCTTTAGAAAGATTAACACCTGAAAGAGAAAGCACCTGTGTTTACCTGTCTGTTATCTTGCTGGTAATAACATTTCATGGTTTCAGTTACTGTTAAAGAAAAGCTTCAATAGTTACAGCTGTGATGACATTTCCGTCGTGGGCGCTGACGGCATAATCCAGAAGGAGAAGTTTATCCTGAAGAGACCGGAACTTCTCCAGAGACACAACCTGAAACACACACACAGTGCATATACACACTGATACTGTACTGCAATACTGAATAGTTTTTGCAGACAGACAAACAGATGCATGAACAGACACACAGGTGTGTTACCTTCCCCTGTTGCATTCTCTGGACTGTTTCCTCAGGTGACCAATCACTGACATAATCCTGAAAAACATGAAACATCTTATTTTATTTAATAAGTAGATTGATCTGATTACCATTGTGTCACCAGATTTTCAATCAGATTATCATAAAGTAATCTGATTATTACTGTGTAATCAGATTAAAAATGTAAAATAAGATTATTGCTGTAATATCGGATTATTTAAATGTAACTGGACTATGAGCTCATATTCAACTACATATTATAAATATATAATCAGATTAGGAAACTGTAATCGGATTATCAGAGCATAATCAGATTATCAGCATGTAATCAGATTAATCATGTGTGTTATCAGGTCATCAGTGTGTATTTCGATTAATAATGTGCAATCAGAGATTCACACTGTAATCACATTTCAGAGTGTAACAAGATTATTATCATGTAATCAGATTATCAGCATGTTATCAGATTATCAGTGATGACTTTACCTTGTACTCAGATTTGGGTTTTCGTAGTTCTGGAGCGTAGAGTCTGAGGGATGAGTCGTTAAATGCTGAAACAAAACAAAAAGAAAAATCATTAAAAGTAGTCAGACACAGAAATGCCAGATTAGATATGAACAGATTACACAGTGTGTGTTTAAGTTATGTTTAGAGCTATGACAGCAGAGCATTTATAGAGTCATTCATTATTTGTAACTTTATTTGAATATACAGATAAACAAAATGTTAAGCATCACAGTCTTAAACTTAATACAGCCAAACTCACAGTCTGTGAGGTTTTGGAAGTTTCCTCCTTTTGTCTTTCCTGCAGAGAAACAGATTCAGGCTTCAGTTTATGACCATCAAAGAACACCTGTCTTACCTCACCTGCCTACCCATTCACCAGTCCACCTGTGTCTCTACTCCTCTTGTCTCACCTTTGAACAGCGAGCTCAGAGAGTATCCCGAGTTGCTCTTGCTGATCGTGGGCGTGTCTGTGTTGATTTTGGGGAAGGCAGGCTCTCTGTCTGTCTTTTGATTGGACGCTGCTGTCTCTCTGACGGACCAGGAAATACCTGAGGAGACACGGGTGTTAAGTGGACCCTGCAGCCATCAAAATTGAGGATTCTGCAGGTGTTTTATGGACACAGTGAGGTCTTACTCCCGACTGGTTCCCCGCTCCAGCTGACCTTCTCCACGTCATCTTCATCATCATCCTCCTCCACCAGACGGCGAATGTTGTTCACGGCCCGCTTTGACTCTTTGAGCTGTAAATTCACATCAGATGACATCACATAGATGAAACACACACCTGTCTGTGTATTTAACCAATAAAAACAGGATATAAACACGTGATGAATAAAATGACATCTCTGTTCAATAACATCCTGGAAATAACTATCACTACCTGATCTCATACCAAAATATTCTGTTTATCCACAAACCACAGACTGACATCTTGACCCAAAGAGACAAGATCCAGTGGGATTAGATCTCTGAGCATTTATGACAGACTCTGATGGTCTCTGAGGGTCTTACCCTGCTGAATTCATCGTCCTCATCGTCGAAGGTGAAAGCTTTAAACTTGGAGCTGTTCCAGTAGTCATCCTCATCAGCTCGATTCTTCATCATCTACACATAAACACACACAAAAGGATATTTTATTATATTATTTGATTTAAAATGCAACATGTTTTATCCTCCAGGACTCACATGATTAAATTACAGTCAGAAATGTGTGTCACAACCATAACTGAGAGTGAATCTGTGTCCAGATCTAACAGGTCTGACTGTAATGGTCTTTAGTTTCTGTAACTTCCCCACTAAAAGCTGAATAAAAGGCCAATATGACGTCAACTTTAACGCCATGAACAGAAATGTAAAATACAGTCAGTTTGTTTGTTTTTGTGTCTGACAGATGGGAGCTCATTAGCAAGCTATGGGAAACGTCTGCAATAAAACAGGAAAAATCAGCGTGTTACACTCTGGCAAATGCCACGTGCGATAACGTCATTAAACGTATCAATATCAGTTAATCGATCGAACTGATTTTATTTTAAATCAAACACATATTCAACCTGAATTGATCAGCTGTTTTTACCTTCTTCTGCTCTTCTTCTTCTTTGGTAAAGGCCGCTTAGCTTCCGGCTGCGCAAAGTCTGCTGGGAATTGTAGTCTAAATAGCAAGGGCGGAATCAAACGGAAACGCTGTTCTAAATACATTTTTAACTATGTCAAAAGTCCTTTGATATGATTCAGTGATCGGAAATGAATTTTTAAAAAGTTTTTTTATCCTAATAACTTAATCTGTGAGCCAAATACATACGAACTTTGAATGAATAAAATTTCAATTCCAGTGAAAGAGCCTATGAAATATTCCTGGGAACCAATAAAAAACATCTCTTTAGAAAGTCAGATGGATTCTTTATAAAACATGAGATAATTAGCGGATTTATTTTTTATAACTTTTTGTTTAAAAAATATGCCAATGAATCTTAACTGGAGTTCGAGGTCCTTATCCAAAGATTTTTAAGATAGAATAAAAATTTAAAGGTTATTACTTTCATGATCTTGGAATAAAAAACGGTATTCATTCAAACCTTAATAAATACATATTTGTTTATGGATTTATCACATAGATAACAATATCACTAACCCTTTACAATAAAAGCCTCAGTCTCTCTCTGAATGGAATCCAAAGTGTTCCAGAAATATTAACAATTATTCATACAGTCACTTTAAATGTGCTTTAATCACCTGAAGTTTAGCTTAATAAGATTACTCAAAATTCCCTTCATTAAAGATAAAATATTATTAATTTCACTACTGTGTAAAATGGTCAGATATAAGTTATTATAAAGTATAGATTAGTATGTAAAAGTTTGGATCATGTTGCAAAGTTCAAAGGCGAAAATGTATGTTTTTCTTTTTATTTATGTATTTTATTATTATTATTATTATTATTATTATTATTATTATTATTATTATTATTATTATTATTATTATTATTATTATTAATAATAATAATGACCATTTCCTGCTTTACTTTGAAACTCACCACAGGAAGTAACGCATTGATGTGGCGCTGGGGTTGGTTTTAAGTTTCACTTGAACGGACAGACCAAGAAGAGAAACACTGACCCCAACTTCTGAGAGTATCGCAGTAATACTTCAGAGAATATGCAGTAAATACAGGAAAACAGTTGTAAAAACGTGTACTGTGTAAGCAGGATTACTATTGGAGTACTAGTGTTAGTGTAAGTAGTAGTATTGGTAGTGAGTTATAGTGGTACTTTATACTCAGATGGCCAAATGGGGAGAAGGAGATCCTCGATGGATTGTGGAGCAGAGAGCTGATGGAACAAATGTCAACAACTGGCACTGGTCTGTTTATTATTATTATTATTATTATTATTATTATTATTATTATTATTATTATTATTATTATTGTTGTTGTTGTTGTTGTTGGTATAAGTAGTGCTGGCTATCTCTTATAAAAACTACTCTGTTTTGTTGAATGTTTTTGTTCTGTTTATTCAAATGTTTTGTTTTATCTTTACAGTGTAAGTGTTTTGTTTTATCTTTACAGTGTAAGTGTTTTATATTTATCCCCCCAGCTGCTTCAGCACATGTTTAGTTATTTTTAAACTGGATGACACTTGGTACGTCAGAGATGGGCGGGTCAGCTCTCTAAGTTTGGACAGCTGTTGATTCCTTTCCTCTGCCATCTGTGTGTCTCTGTCTCTGTGTCTGTGTCTTTACGGCCTTCTCAGGACAGAGCGTGATGTAAGCGGCTGGTCCTCAGACCGTCTCCGTCAGCTGTTGGAGGGAGTCCGGGTGGAGGGGCCGGAGGGGGTGTGTCAGCTGACGGACATCTCCAAACTGGACGGGGAAGCCTCCATCAACAACCGGAAAGGGAAACTTTTCTACTTCTACGAGTGGCAGCTCAAAGCTAATTGGCTGGGTCAGTGATGATGTCACCGTGTGCCCCAATCTTTAAAAATGTGACTGTCAGCTCAAAATAAAAATGAAAAAAATGAGAAATGTCCTCAAAACAGATATAGTACAGATATAGTAAGAACGGAGGGTTAATAAGGCTCCATCAGCTTTCTGCTGTAGTGAGTACCTTTTGCTTTGTTTCTTGTCTGCAGGGACGTCAAGCAAGGGTCTGAAGTACAGAGGTACTGTTGAAGTGGCCAACCTGTCAGACGAGAACGACATGGACGATCTTGATGTGCGTCATCACCTCCTGACCACACTGATCCTGGTGTAAATATTTTAACTTTGATTGGTTATTGATCTTATTGATGACAGATCACAGCGTCCCTGTGTAAAGACCAGCCCAGCACGCCACTCCTTGACCTCATGAAGAAGAAAGGCATCCAGGAGGTGCGGAGGGTTTTGGGAGAGTATGTCTGCCAACTCAAGTCAGGTATGTCACCTACAATGCATGACAGCGAGCCAATCAGTGATTCTTGTGGTAACCTGAGTGACCTGTGACCTCACAGAGTTCAGCCAGGGGATGATCCTGCCCACCGCCAATGAAGCGAAACCTCAAACCCAGAAGAAGACTCAATCCCAGACCAGTAAAACACAGGTGAAGTTTAGTTTAGCTAACTAAATCCAAAACTTAACGTCACCCTATTTAAATAATGGCCGAAGTTATTATTTTAATGAAAATGAGTCCTTGGTCTAAATCATCTCTTGATAATGCTCGCCATCTCTGGTAAAATCCCCTTAAGGATCAAAGGATCATGGCATGATCCTTCCAACTAAAGATTTAGGCAATTCTACTAGAGATAGCAAGCATTATCAAGAGATGATTTAGACCAAGAACTCATTTTCGTCAAAAAATGACATAGGCCATTATTTATTTTAATAGGGTGATAAGTCTTTTAACTGACCTCTAATTTCTCCAACAGATTAGCTCCGCCCCCAAATGCTCTCCTAGCCCCACCTCCTGCTCCACAGGCGTTCGGATCTCAACCTGCAACTTCAGCCTGAATGAAACCTTCCAGACATCTGCTGACGAGCTCTACAGGACTTTCATCAACCAGGAGGTACCAAACCAAGACGTAGCTAAGACTGAACTAGAATGTTCCCGACTCCACTAAATGGAAGCTAGGATCTAGTAGACAGACCAAGATGAATCAAATCTAGTCCCTCTGTCCCAGGAACCATTAAACCAGGACAAACATGAGAAAAAGAGCTTGCATCCAAAAATCACTTCATCAAACGAGGTCACATTAAAGGATTAACTAAATATCAGCAGGTCCCGGGCTCATCAATGCAGAATCACCACAAAAGGTCAAACCAGGATACAGACCAGAGCCAGGTTTCTGCTACACATGCTCACTGTCTAATTAGCCCCTCTCAAAACCTAGACCAGAACCCCTGATATTACTGACAGGAACCTTTACAAACTCAAACCAAAATCTTTCCGAAAGACAACCTGAACCTCACAAGTGCAAACCAAGACCAAGGCAGATTAGAGCCCCCCCAAAGTGAGACCTAAACCATTTCAAACTGACCAGAACCTCTTACAGCCTAGAACCTTTTTATAATCTCAGACCAGAACCTGTCCCATGAATAGAGACCCCTCCTGAAAAAAAAAAGAGCCAGAAACTTGAAAAACCAAAACCCCTCCAAACCCAGACAAGAACCCCTCCAAATACAAACCAGATTTTCTACAAACTTTTATCAGAATCTCTCAACACCTGGACCTGGAACTGCCTAAACCAGACCAGAACCTTTACATCACGGAGACCTAAACCTTTACTCGATAAGCACAGACCAGATCCTCTTCAAACACAGACCACAACACCTCAGAAACAGACTGCAGCAAAACTGTAGCATTCCGTACTTCTGCCTCATTACTTCACAATTACTCCAGTGTTATTGCAGTAATACTGCAGTAACTTGTACCTGTCTGCAGTTTGTACAGGTGTTTACACGCTCAGTGGCGGTGGTGGATGGACGTCGCGGTGGGAAGTTCCAGCTGTTAGATGGGAGCGTCAGCGGAGAGTTCACACAGCTGGTGAGGTTACAGATGCTCCTCAATCAGTGATGAGTCATCACATTACCATGGTAACCAGACTGTTGATAATCCCTGTAGGTACCGGACCAGAGGATTGAGATGAGGTGGCGGTTCAGGACGTGGCCTAACGGTGAGTCCACTTGGTGTGGTAGATTGTACTGCAGGCTGTGTTCAGGAACAGTCGGAATTCTGAGCACTATATTCTTGACCCTCCAATAGAACATTACGCCACCATCAGTCTGGATCTGCAGGACCAAGGAGATGAAACCGAGCTGAGGATGGAGTGTCGAGGAGTTCCAGCTGGGGAGGAGGACTCCACTAGAGAGGGCTGGACCCGGTTTTACTTCCAGGCCATCAAGCAGACATTTGGATACTGACAGACTATGGAGCAGTAAAGACTGAGAGAGGGAGGGGGCCTTCAGATCCAGATTTCTGAGGAGACACACTCTGGTTTACTGTCTCCTTCAGGGTCAGATCAGAGTCATCCCTGTGAACTCTACAGAGACAGGAAAAGGTTTGCCTGGCGTGACATAAAGAGTTCAGTCTGATGGAAACTGCTGAAGTCTATGAGACGAAAACCCGCTGAGCTGCGTTCACTTTTGGACTGTACCTTTAAAGATTGACATGACTGAAGCAGCATTTCAATATAAGAGTCAACAAGCTGAATACTGAAGTTTCCTCAGGCTGTCAGGATCAGGATGTCAGAGTCAGGATCAGGACTACAGGCAGTGGAACAAAAAATAAAATGATTTGTTTTGACTTTTTTCTCTTTATTCTTTCAGCTTTGGTTCCTTTCATCTTTTTTCACTTCATTATTAATTCTTTTTAAACATCTCATCATAAAAAACAGAAAAAAACATAATCAGTTTTTCCAGAATCTTCAGACGATTAAAATGCTTTCTGTGATATTTTACAGGAATGTGATTTAAATATTTACATTTAAAGACTACAAACACATATAAAAAATACACAAACATCCAAAATCTGCAGCTTTCCTTTAAAAACAACAATAAAAACTGACTTTACAAACAGGAGATGCTCATTTCCTAAAGTGTCAAATTAAGAGGACGGTAAAAAATCTACAGACATGATATGACAAATAAAAACATCACCATGGTTACAAATTTTTACACAATGGTTTACAACTGGTGCTGGTTTTTGATTTCTGTAACATCGACCCTCTTAAGGGATGGACAGGAGTTCATCGATCTGGAGGCCATTTAGAAAACTTCCTCTTCCTCACAGCCGTAATCTGAAAAAACAATCAGAAACATAGATATTATTTCGTTTTCATTAACTGTCCTTTCAAAATAAAAGCCCAAATTCAATCTAAAAATCAAAATAAAAGTCTGGTCTGACCTCCAACAAGCTGCAGGGCAGAGACACACTCCTCCTCCCCCTCCCCCTCCCCCTCCTCCTCTTCCTCCTCCTCCTCTTCTTCTCCTGCAGCAGGGGGCGCTGTGGGAGTAGGTCCAGTTTGTGGTTTAGGGTCAGGGGTTGCTTCAGGTGGGGTCTCTGTTGTTGTGTCAGTTGCCATAGTAACTAGGTTTTCTTCCTAAGGTGTTAAAGACAGTTTGAGGTTAGAGAGCCCTCACCTGTAGGCGGGGAGGCGGGGTCGCCTGGACCTTTGTGATGTCAAAAACAGCTGTTTATTTCTAACCGCTAATCTTGCACCTGGGACTGTAGCTCACCTGATTGGTCGCCTTGTTTGGTACTTCGTCAGTCACCTGGTCAGTCACCTGGTCGGTCGCCTGGTTGGCTGCTTTCTTCTTCTTTGGTGTGGAGGAAATGAGGAGGCGGACCCTGGGAACAGGAAGTGATTGATCTCAAATAATTAACTCTGTAATCCACTGAACATAAAAAACACCACAATCAACAGATTTGCATTACAGGTCAAATATTTCTAATAAAATCTAAATAATGAGGAGTTTCGACCAATAAGAATCAAGAACTTTACCAATCTCAATAATGAGAAAAAACTGAGGTATATATAGATTACATACAAATAAGTAGATTACACACAAAGAGTAGATTTAAAATAACATATTAAACATATTTGACACAAATTTAAGACAGATTTTACATCTATAGATAGACATTTGTTGTGTATAAATGTAATAGAACTCAAATACAGATGTAACAGATTTTCAGAGGTTTACATATCTTTCACACTGATTATCAATCAATCAATCAATCAAATTTTATTTATATAGCGCCAATTCACAACAGTCGTCATCTCAAGACGCTTTTCAAGGAACAAGAGCAGGTCTGGACCACGCTCATTGTTTGATGATCAAGAACCAACCTAAGATGGGTTTTGGCCCATCTCAACTAACATGAGTTACAGTGGCAAGGAAAAACTTCCTTTTAACAGGCAGAAACCTTGGGCAGGACCAGCCTCATGTTAGACAGCCACCATGCCGCTGCTGGGTTGAGGAGGGATGATTATTAAAGGACTGCATTTTCATCTTATATTACTGGCGATTTTATAAAGCTAAGATATGTTCGTACCTCTTTCCCATTAAGCTGGCGTTAGCAGCGAGGTCTCGGTTAGCGTCGCTGGTCTTTCTGCGGCGGCGGCGGTTGAGTTTCTTGCGTGCATCAGGGGGCCCAGCAGAGGGGGGTCTGTTGGGACTGCTGCCTCCCCCACTTCCTGTCCCCCTGCTGTTCAGGTCTCTGAGGACATCGTAGTTGATCTTACTGGAGATCTTCTTTTTCTCAAGCATGCGCTCGATGGCCTCGCCTGCTGACGACGCCTCCACCAGCTCCTTCTTCTTCTTCTTGGACTTCTTTGGCTGAAAAAGTGAACGTTGTAAGAACTCTGACAGGTGAGACCCTGAGTGTCACAGCTGTCCTGACTTCAGCCCTTGCACATCAGGCTGGGGAACCCTGTTCACCACTCACCTTCTCTTTGTAGGTACCCTGCTCTTTCTCTTTCTTGATCCGCTCCTCTTTCTCTGTAACACACACACACACACACACACACACACACACACACACACACACACACACACACACACACACACACACACACACCTGTGTTAAAGACCACATAGACTCGGTGAAGATGAGGATGATGGTGAAGAGTCCTGCTCACCTTTCTGCTCCTGCAGGTACTCAGCGTTCTGTTTCATCCACAGGTCTGTCTTCACCTGAACTTCTCTCTCGTTCAGGATGTACTGCGACACAAACACATCACATCCTGTTTGCTACCTATTACAATAAAAGCAGCCTCTAACGTTCAGAGAGACTGGAGCGATACAACAGCGAGTTTTAAATTTACCCACCTTCTCGATCTCCTGATCATCAATACCGTCCAGGTCTAGTTCCCCGCTCTCTGACTGCTCATCTGTGAATAAACACAGACAGCTTTTTAACTACCTGTCCCACCTCTGATGATGTCATACAGGTGTGTCCACTCTTACCATCAGGTTTGTCACTGCTCTCAGACTCGATGAAGGTCTGCTGGAGGCTGGCTGCTGTCGGCAGCTTCCCAAGAATGATGTCTAACGAGGCGACTTGACGTTGATGTACACTGCCCTCTTTGACTGCCCCCGCCTCCTCCTCCTTCCCCACATCTGTCTTGCTGCCCAGACCCTCCTCTTCCTGGATCACCTGACCTAGGAATTCCTGGGTGAGGTGTTGGGCAGCAGCCTGGAGCTCGTTCTCCTCAACATCTGGATCTTCAGGCTCAGAGGCAACAGACAACACCTCAGAGTCTTCTGGATCTAGAGTCAGAAAGAAAAGTTTAGTGCTGCACTCTGATCTGAGGATCAAGGCTGACTCCTATCAAGACTAACTCTGACTTAATTCAGGACTGACCCAGTTCCTTGGCATAGGCAGCGTAAATTCCCCTCAGTTTGGGTCGACTCTTTTCCAACTCAGACTCAATTTCATCTTTGTAACAGCTGATCTCTCCTAAGAGACAAAGAGGACAGTTTAAGTCTACTAGTTAAAATAAATTCATTTTTTAAAGTGCCTGTAACCCATCCAGCGTTCATTACAGTTATCATCATAAACAGACATTTATAAAGGAGTGTTCTTGTAGATCTATATAAGTCCTATAAAATAGCCTTGGGTAATGAGCAGAGTAGTATTCTGACCTTCAACATCATCCAGTTTTCTTGACAGCTCCTGTTCCAGCTGTAAGAGAATCAGACAGTAAAATGATTTATTTCCACTTTTAATCAAAGTGCAACCAATCTGCAACTAATCTGAGATAAAACCACCTGCCTATAGCGGTAAAATTGAGATACCGTGTTCTACCTGCTCCAGCCAATCATAATCTGGTAACCGACCTGCCTCAGCATCAGGATGAAGATAATTACCTGCTGCATCTTTGCTTTGTGTTGAGATGCAGTGAAGGAGGGTGGATCACATTCCTGCTCCAGGTCAACTCGCATAAACTCATCAATGGTCAGTTGACTGGTGGGGGTGTCCTCAAACTCTGTTAATCTGCAGGTAGAGGAAAGACTGAGACTAGGATCCTTGGTTTAGATCTCCTATTGTTGGTTGTGATGTGGATGGTGTAACCTATCTATTAAGTAATCTTTTGTAATCTAATCTGTTGTAAATATAATCTGACCTTTTCCTCAGGGTGGTTTGACACACTTTTACCACACTGATCACGTCCTTCACTGTGCGACGAAACTTGTGCATCCGAGCAGCAACCAGGAGAGCTGAGGAGTAGAAGAAGAAGAAGAAGAAGAAGAGAGAAAGGGTCACTAACAGACATCAGAGATATGGTCTAGTCTTGGTTAAAGGAACCATGTTGTACCCGCTCCACATAGTCCAGAGGGTCGGCGGCCTGTGTGCATCCAGTCCCTCTTCATCCTCTGAACCAAACGGAGAGCTGTCATGGAAACCTCATGAGTCTTTGCCCCAAACTCTAGCATGTGAGCAAACCTAGGGATATACAAACAGGGGTCTGAGGAAGATGAGGGGGAGCAGGATTGGAGGGAAGAATAAATGAAAGATAGTTAATGACTTGAATGTAGCTAAAAAAAACAACAATTGTTTTATAGTGAATTAATTGTGACTAGTGTGTGTGTAGCCTGTTGAAATTAATTTGTGAGTGGTTATGGTAAATGTGTTAATGTGGGAGTATTAATGTGAGTTCTGGTGTGTAATAAAAATCAATGTATTAAGTGTGTCTAACCAAAGTAAATGTGTGTGTTATTGAAAAAAAAAAAAACAACAACTTGTATTTCTCTTCATAAATAAGGGGCGGGTTTGCTTGGTCAAATCATTTATTTTCTTTTTACAATATTTTATACTTTTCCCGCGCTCTGTCGCCATCTTGTGGAGTCACTCGGTGAAGGCGGATGTGGCAACGGAGGCAAAATGGCGCCTGGAGAAACAAACACAGGCTGGTGTCGAGGTGTATTTACAGTTAACGGCAGGACAAACGGCGGCGGGGTGTGTGACAGGTAAACACGCACAGACACGCACACACTATCGCACACATTTCTCCGTCTGTGGTCGCTGTCGATGCGGGTTCGCTCCGGTTACGTGCGCGCTGCATGACTAGGGGAAGAAACCGACGGAATCATTGGAACGACAGCAGCAAACTCAGTCTGATTAATAGCTTAGCCGAGGTCTGTTTATCTAGCCGTCTGGATCATTATTAATGATTGATTATCGATTTAAAACAGACTCCAGTAACCTGACCGTAACCACAGAACCTTGAGTATATTATCCCAAACCAGACCACCTGGTGCTGGGTTAGTTCTGAGTGATCCCTACAGATCCACCTTCAACTGCACTGCAAAATTTACCATCAAATTTACCGTACACTGGCAAATCTGCGAATGTACTGCATTACTGCAAATATTACATCTTATGTATTGCACTACAAACTGCATTTATCATATCTAATGTACCGAACTGCTGCATAAATACAGTAAAAAACATTTTCTCCTGCTCTGTTGCGTATAAATACTGAATCTAACATCTAATCTGTCACTGCAATACTATACATAATATTATCTAATATTACTACATTATGTACTGTTAACCAGTTACTGCTTTGTGTACTGCAACTAAATTGCCAAATATTTCTGTATTATATGTACACTTCATATCCATAAACATAGACGTCACTTTCCTGCATTACATAATGCAAAACCCTAATGTTACTGCTTGTTGATATTACTCTTTAAAATATGTTCTGTGTTACTGCACAGCAAATATAACTACTGCTATTATATAAAACTGATTGTCTTGCACTTTTGTATTGCAAATTTAGAATTTACTTTATCCTAATCTATAAATCTGCAAAAAAAAAAACTTAAGTATGTTAAACCCTTAATGCACAAAAAAACTGTACTAGTGTAGCAGCTTCAAGTACAGCATTATAATAATTCAAGTAGCACTTAATGTACTACATAAAATTACTGCAAATTTAACCCTATATGTTCTGTGACTATGTACTTAAGATTAAAAAAAATTAAGCATTTAGTTATAAAACTGCAAATGGAACAATTAACGACCAAATTAATACTGTAAATGTAACACTTAGTCTACCTGCATTACTGAACTGCATATAGAGCACTGAATGAACTGTGTTACTGCACAATAAAAGAGAAGTTTGATGGATTTGGTTACTGTTCTGTGAATTTAATGATACTACAATAGTGAAAATATACTGCAAATATATAGACTATAAATATAGACAGGAAGAAATATTTTTTTAATACTTAGAAAATTATTTCATAAATAAGGAGGAATGTATGGATTATAATCTCAGTAATGTGTATTCGGCTGAATTACAATCTTGCTAATCTCTCCCAGGAATTCAACCTCTTGTGAGTTAGTGACCTCCCCTGCTCTGTGACCAAGGAGAGGGGAGATTTTGAAGGGGGAGGAGTCAGGCAAGCAGGAGGAGGAGTCAGGGAGCAATGGCGGCCGAGCTGTTCCCCACCAATCTCCCTCATGGTAATGAGGTGGAGGTGAAAAAGTCTTTGATACAGCCCAGCCAATCACAGCCACCAGACAGTAACCATGACAACTTCTACAGAGATGAAGTTCAACTCAATGCCAGTGACGACGGGGAGGAGAGAGAAAACCGACAGGAAGTTCAGCCCACCCTCAGAGAGAGGTTAGTGATGGTAGGGCAGCTCGGTGGGGGTCAGTTCTGATTTGGATGGCAACTAGGGGGAGGATTCAGGCCCAGAATTTGCTCAATCATGTTGGTATGAAATGATACTATGTAAAAATGATGGTCTTTGTTGTTTTTGTTAATGTGTCTATTAGAAACGCTCTGATGTTCAACAATGAGCTCATGGCCGATGTTCACTTTATCGTCGGACCTCCAGGAGAGACTCAGAAAGTCCCTGCTCATAAGGTACACCTGGACCAGCACTCATCTGGCCCATACCTCTGATTTCCCCCTGCCTCTAACTTGTCCCCATTCATGTGTTGCAGTATGTCCTTGCAGTGGGCAGCTCAGTCTTTGGAGCCATGTTTTACGGAGATCTGGCAGAAGGACAATCCGAAATCCAAATCCCTGATGTGGAGCCAGCAGCTTTCCTCATCCTGTTAAAGTATGTCCTGGAGTTTAGATTTTGAATTTCTCACAAAGGTTCTGATCCTGCGTGTCCCCATCTAAGGTCTTGACCTTGTCTATCTCTGTCCTAGGTATATGTACAGCGATGAGATCCAGATGGAGGCGGACACAGTGCTTGCCACACTTTATGCTGCTAAGAAGTACATCGTTCCTGCTCTGGCAAAAGCCTGCGTGTCATTCTTGGAGACAAGTCTAGAGGCAAGGAATGCCTGTGTCCTGCTGTCCCAGAGCCGGCTTTTTGAGGAGCCAGAGCTCACAGAGCGCTGCTGGGAGGTGATTGATGCTCAGGCTGACCTTGCTTTGCGCTCTGAGGGATTCTGTGAGATTGATCGACCCACACTCGAAATAATTCTGCAAAGAGACTCGCTCAATATCCGCGAGGTTGCAATCTTTCAAGCTGTGCTGAACTGGGCAGCTGCAGAGTGTCGGCGCCAGGGTCTTGTAGTGAATCCTAGGAATCAGCGAACGGTCCTTGGTAAGGCCCTTTACCTGGTCCGGATCCCCTCCATGACCCTACAGGAGTTTGCTGATGGGGCAGCGCAGTCGGATGTCCTGACACTTAAAGAAACTCGTGATGTCTTTCTGTGGTTCACTGCCTCCAACAAACCCAGATTGGAGTTCCCTCTTGTGAAGCGGACTGGCTTAGTACCTCAGAGGTGCCACCGCTTTCAGTCTTCAGCCTACCGTAGCAACCAGTGGCGCTACAGGGGGCGCTGTGACAGCATCCAGTTTGCCGTGGACCGGCGGATCTTCATGGCAGGACTCGGACTGTATGGCTCAAGTGGTGGGAAGGCTGAGTACAGCGTAAAGATTGAACTGAAGAGGCAGGGTACAGTCCTGGCTCAGAATTTCACCAAGTTCATGTCGGATGGGTCCAGCAGTACCTTTCCGGTGTGGTTTGAACACCCAGTCCAGGTGGAACAGGACACGTTCTACACAGTCAGCGCTGTCCTCGACGGGAATGAGCTAAGCTACTTCGGTCAGGAGGGGATGACAGAGGTGCAGTGTGGAAAAGTGACCTTCCAGTTTCAGTGTTCCTCAGACAGCACCAACGGGACTGGAGTGCAGGGGGGGCAGATCCCCGAGGTGGTCTTTTACTGCTGAACCAGAGCCTGCTGCCCCCCAGGCAACTGACCAATCAGAAAACATGTCAGAGATACAACCAGCAGCATAGCAAGGTGCTCTGACAAGACTGCTGCCCTGAACTGGAAGCTGATTGGCAGCTGGAGTAGAACTGGAAGCTGATTGATTAGCTGGTTAACTGGAGCTGAAAGCTGATTGGCCTGTCTGTGCTTCTGTGATTTGATCATTAAAGTTGAAGTAAACAGTAAAATGTGTTGCAGCTTTATAATAAACCTGTAGTTTCTTTAAATAGCCACTAGGGTTCACTGAAGAGCGCAGTGAGTATTTACAACCGTTAAAGCTGTGACAGAGATGCTCATTGGAAGTGTTATTTTAAAAACAAAATAAAGCTTATTCAAAACTAGCATGACACATAAGAATGTAAACAGTCCCCTCTTTAAGATTTATTCTCTGAGCGAATAAAGTCAATAAACTTAATGTTGTACAGAATCAGGGGAGGGTTCAGCTGTCTGTCAAATTTTGACAAATAATGACAGAAATGCACACAGTGTCAGTTTATATTCTGGATAAACATGGCTCTACTTATACAGCTATAAGATGAGCTGAAGTCAAAGTTTCAGAAACTTATAAAAAGTTCCTTACCTATAGCTGGAGCGTTGATGCAGAGTTCACGAGCCAGTAGGAGGAAGGTTTTACCCAAAATGTAAACGTTCACCTGGAAAGAAAACACACAGTTACACCAACAATACTCACAATTGTCTCTGTGGGCTCTCATTCATATTCAGCAAAGAATCAGATAATACTGACAGTTAAAAAACACAATACAGAGATAGTGTGGCATACCACACATGGTATGTCTGAGGTCAGTCTTACCTGCAGCAGGTCACTCAAGTCCAGTAACATGTCTGGAACAAGGTAATCTTAAGGAGGTCAAAGGTCACAGTGAGGGTTTCTGTTCTTTCTGTGGAAAAGGACTGTTTACAGTATTGAACACATGTTCCTACTTGATGCACTGTACCAGAGTCAGCTTAAGCTAATTTGAAGTGTCAGTAGGTGCTTTGCTGGTTGCTAGGATACGTGGCGTCCCCTCAGTGCGGCACACCAAGTAGAGGCATGCAGCAATGACGTGCTCTGTTTTGCGTCCTCTGGTTAGATGCTTACTGACGACCATCTTGAAGAAGTTGAAGGCCGTGTCGAGACAGTGCTGATTCAGCTGTAGCTGACTGCCCAGCTGTTGGATCTGACGCTTACCTGAAACACGGGGGGGTTAATGATACTGTACATGACACATACTGGAGACGTAAATAGGTGGAAGAAGCCCAATAGATAGATTAGAATAAATGTGCTTACCACTCTGCAGAGTTTGAGCTCTGGACTCTTTCCCTACACTGGTATGAAAACCAGAACCAAGAAGAGGAGCTTTAACTGGACCTACAAACAGACAGACAGACAGTTTAATAACATAGATTGGTGTATGGTCTCTGATCAGCTGTTTTATTTGTTTATTTGTTATTTGTCTGTCTTAATAAAACTTCTGGACTAAATGATCCGTTCGGGAGTGTTTTGATCACATGTTTCACAGCCACACTGAGCTCTCTGGACCTCCTAAGGAGCTCCTGCTGTAATCAGACTCAACTACAGTCAGCTGTGACTGCCCCCTTCTGTTTCCATGACAACCAGGTGATCAGCTCACCTGGTTGCAAAGGTGAATCTTCCCCTCTACAGACCAAGAGAGGACACACACAGTTTCAACATGAAAACTGTTGCTGTCATCATCGGGTGAGTCTCTCTAATCTCACCTGAACAGGTAACAAAAAAGCTCACCTGATGAGGCAAAAACTGAACTTTACTGTCACTCTGTTGCAGACTGATCTTGGTTTGCAGTGACTTCATAGAAAAATCAGCTGGAAGTCAACTGCAGGGTAAAAACTTTTTTTACTGTTTTATATAAAAAGTGACTTGGTCCGAAATGTTCGTTGTCTGGTTTGTGATTGTGTGAGACAATTTGAGCAAAAAGTTCCAAATTTCATTGAACAGTTTAAAATATTAAATGGTTGATTGCAACACATACACTATTGCTGCAACCACTACTACTAAGAATCATCTCAAAGAATGCTAAATAGTTATGTTAACTTGATGTTGAGGCACAAAGAACTGTCCCAAAAATGGACTTTGTCTCCATTATGGTAATCCGACAAGCATTTATTTTCCTGGTTACCTGGCTTTTTTACTAGGTGACCAGTCTTGCCTTATCCAGTTTATGATTGGCTGGCTGGAGCAGCAAAACTAGCACACTGTGCAACACTGTGAGTGCTTGTGAAAGACTCCGGGCACACTTATTATGTTCTCTCCTTTTTGGGAACCACTCCACAAAAAGTGAAGTGAATTTCAGTGATCACGCCATACCTTATCTTTACTGGTTCATGTAGAGGGTGTCCTCAACCTGCACAGGTTTTTGTACCGCTTCTTTTAGTGGACCATATTTCTTTGCTTATCCTCACAGCCCCACGACTCTCCTGAATCTGAGAGCCTCGTTTCTTGGTGACCTTTGACCTGTTTGTGCTCTCAGGTTCCACAGAGCCTGCTGTTCAGTCAGAGTGTCGAGATCGTTACCTTTGGGTCCGTGCTGTCTCTACACAGGCACCGCAATTTGAAGCTGTTGGTGAGTCTTGACACAAGTGTAGACTTCTACCTGCTCACCTGATACATGTCTTCCACCTGGTTACTGATCCTCTCTCATCTGGCATGTCACAGATGAAAATGGCGTCCACCCCATTAGTGCACAGCTGGCCCCGCTCTGTGGTTACACCATCAGCAGTTTTAAGATGGATGGTTCCACAACCTTCAGGGCCTCATACTACTCCTGCTTCACACAAAACCAGGTAGATCTACACCCAACCAAGTCACTCTGCCTCAATGCAGTCTACAGCCAGTTGGCTCAGCTTCTTACCAACCCACAACCAGGCATGAGTGGCCCTACCTCATGACAACTCACAACCAGTTGGCCTTCCTCTTTCTGGTTGTGTTCTTGATGAGGTTTTGTGTTTTTCAGAATGACGAGGTGTTCACGTTCAGACTGAATGTGATGATAAGTGACGCCATGGGCCATTGGATCAGCCATCCTGTGTCTGCAGTCTGTTCTGGTCTGACCTGGACTCATAGAGAGATCACTTGTGAGGAGGACTACATGGAGGTCAGAATAATACCAACTTGTGTGACGTGGATGAGGAGTGGTTAAGCTGATGTGGTTTAACAGCTGTCTGGTGTTGTCCAACAGGTAAACGTTAACAGGGACCCTTCATGTGGAGGACTCCGAGGGGACACTGGACAGGTGTGGCAGGCAGCCCTGTCTCAGGTATCCCACAAAAACTTAGGACATCACAGCATCCAGATTGTACTTTACATTTTTTAACCTGATGATACCTCTTCCCCGTGATTTAATATCAAGTTTCACATAATAACATGAAAAATACTCCAGTTTTAGGGGAACAGTTGGAGTCTGTTTTAGTCCAATACAGAGGAAACAGTTGCAGTCTGTAGTTTTGTAGTATGAGTCTGTGAATTTTTGTGAACACTGTGAAGTGTTTGCAGTTTGTGGAACATACTCCAGTATTGAGGGTACAGTGGCAATCTGGGACAACCTTGTTGCTTTGTTGGTGTCCTCTGCGCCTGGTCTCTTTACAGTTTATACATGTCGGTAGGCCTTGGTAAGCGCCTTTCTATCTTCATCAGCAAATTTAATTCCTTCCTCTAATCTCACTTCAATCCTGAAGTTCTTTTCGTGTGATGACAAGCCCTCCAAAAAAGACCCACATTTTCCTTTGTAAACCTTGGTTTATATGGTTTTGATGATTTCAGGCGCAGAGGACTGCAAGTTCTGTCTGGCAGCTGATGATCCTGAAGAGTGATGGGCAGGTGTCCTCCATGTCTGTCAGCGAAGCTGAGAGGTGGGGCTTCAGTCTAAGCACCTCTGCTCAGCGGATAGTTCTTCGTTCTCTGTACAAGCAGTCGCATGCTGAGCTGACCATGGTATGTAGAGGAGAGAGTGAGGAGCCTTTCTGCAATCACACCTCCCTAAAGTATCAAGTACTTAAATACAGTAACCATGGTGCATTCCCTGTCATGTCTGCCACAGTGCTGAACTACAAACAGAAGAAATGTGTGTCATCATTATACCCAAGTCCTTTATTTTTTTCCATGGGTACTGAGTGAATTCTGTAGTGTGTGGTACCTGCAAGATGTGGCAGTGATACTGGGAATAATCGCTACCAGGCGGACCAGTCACAGGGCTTGCAAACTGCGCTCTTTCAATGCCTAGTTACATTTTTATGAGGGTGTGTGTTGGGCAGGGTACTCTGCCTAGAGTACAGGGCTTCACATATCATTGGTGTGCTACTGCATAGGTCTGACGCAGAAGCAAAAAACAGGCCTAAACGTCATCCTATCATCAAACATGACCTCAAAAATAAACTAAAGGCAGAGTCAGATTAAGTCTCCAGACTATCCTGACTAACATCTGCAGTCATTTGGATTCACTTGTTCATGTGATAAGTGTCTTTGACTTGTTAGCAATACATTTCTGTGACTCAAATTGTTCAAAATCTGAGCCAAAATATCTGTTTTCTTGGTTCTTGGTCAGGTGGATGGCATCTCTGTGGAGGTTGTGCGGGTCTCTCTCTTCAGTAAGCAGAAGCTGACAGTGGTTATGATTGATGTGTCCATGGCCTGCACAGTGAGTAAGTCCTCCACACAAACACACACCTGAGGGGGCCAGTATTTAAATTTTGCTAACAGTGAGCTTGATCATTTTCCTCAGATCCTGGTTCTTTCGATGGCGCCCAGCTTCTCTGGGATATCCCGCTGGCCATGTCCCCTCTAATAGGAGAGGGACCTGGGTTTGAAAGTCAAAGCTTCAGGGTTGGGGTGGAGGGGGTGCTATTGGATGAATCCACTTCAACCACAAGAGGAATCGGTCTGGTTCAAGACAGAAATGTGGTCCAGATAAGGGTGCCTTTTGGGGCAGAGGGAGGCTACAGAAAGGTAAAGTTCGCTCTGTCCAAACCTGTGAACGGCACAACAGATGTCATGATCCCCGACACATGTACTGTACACTGTTGTTTTGTCATCTTTCTTCAGAGTTTGGTAGTGAACAATGTGTACAAGGAGATGTACGTGATCTTCCTGCTGTACGAACACATCTTCTCACTGCTGTTTGAGGATGGCAGCAGCATTGAAACCAAACACAGGATGCTCAGAGTACTTGACACACCACTGCTTTGCCGCCAGCCTTTCAGCTTGGACCGTGAGTGTCTAAGATATTTAGCTCTGGGTTTCTAGCAGCGAGTAGAACAAAAACTTCAGAATGACTGAATAATATTTTTCCTGGCTGTTGTTCAACCCTCTCTGTTTCTTCTTGTAGAAACCTCCAATGATGACCAAGGGTTCAGGGTCTACCTGGGGAACATTCCTGCTGATGTTGTACTACAGGAAGTCTGGATCAATGAAAAGCAGCTTATACCTCAGAGTGCAGGACAAGGCCTCAGCATCAAACCTGTTGTTAACACCAACGGCAGCCGAGCCTACGAACTCCAGCTGCCTTTCGAAGACCCTGCCGTTCACTGGACGGTGAGGAGTCCTCAGAAGAAACCTTGACTGTCTTTGTTTATTTATTGGTTTGTCTTGTTCCATTGGGTTCGTTATAGTTGTCTGACTTGTGAGATGACCAATGCTCATTTTTTCTTTTCACAGTACCTGGGTCAAGGAGTGGTGCAGTACTCCATAAACATAAACTTCAACCTGACTATCATGCCTCAGAGAGACTTTTACTACCACCATACATCCCTGACAGCACGAGTTTCCAATTCTTGTAAGAACATCTAAAATGGATTCACCTTTGCAGTTACCGCAGATTTATAGAGGGGTATTTAATTCAGCCACACTCCCTTAGTCCCTCCAGAGATCACAGCGCAGTGTTCAGATGGAGGGATCAGCTTCAGTGTGGTCCGACCACTGCGAGCGGAGAGCTTTTGGGAAGTGGGCATTGACCATGAGCCTCTAACATCAGAGCTGGCGGCTCAAAGAGGGTATCGCCTCTACACTGACAACCACAAAATCACCCTGGAAGTCCCTGTGTTCTCAGTTGGATACACCTATGAGGTTAGCCACGTTGTGCTGAGGTTTTCCACTATGTTATGCTACAGAAACTGTCACAGTATTGCATATGAGCAGTGATTTTTAATGTTTAATTCTGTAATTAGTTAATGGGGGTGTGAACGATGCAAACCCTGAGGTAAGTCTCTGAATGTGGAATGAGGCAAGAATGAAAAACTAATTCAAGTATCAAGAGACTAGGTGTTGCCAGCAGGAGCCTGTCCTGGTCTAACTTGTCTACAATGAGGAGACTGTGTTCAGATCTTAGACCAGTTTTTCCCTTTATGTCAAGCCCCTGACTGGGACACTCATCTTAATATGAAAACGGATTAAACCTTTATTTGAATCTTCACATATACAACATTCATCAACAGTGAAAAAGTGGAAAATATTAGAGTCCCACTGTCAGTAATGCCTCTGTATTTTTCTCTCCAGGACATCAACCTGTTAAACTTTTATGGAACCTTTCAGCTGCTTCTCAGAGACTCCAAAACTTTGGAGGTCCAGACATCCACCTCCAAACGCTGCCTCTTCAAAACACAGGACATGATAGGTAACCTTTATTTGTTTAAGCCAAGTAGTGTTGCCTTTATTTGTCCCAAGTGCATCAACAAACTCAGGATCAACCTCTGTGCGGGTCACTTTAGTGGGTGCACATAAGGGACCCTGAAATTCCAGTGAATTTAATCAGCGTGAAAACTGAATCAAAAGTTAACTACTTTTACACCACATGTTTAAGTGTGTGTGTTTTTTTTATCAGTGAGCTTTATACAGACATATCAGCACTAAAGTGTTCATCAAGAGTACTCCAATGTGTTCTCAGTTTTTGTTTTTGGGTTTTATTCTTGGCTAAAAACAGTTTTAAGAGAAGTAGAAAGCTTCATTTATTTTGTATTTCTGGAAAATGAGTTCCAGCGTTTCTCTGTGGTGTCAGTCTGTTCCAAGGATGAGACCATGACAGTGGTGACCACTCCGACTTCCACCTGGCCTGCAGTACAGCCTGAAAGAACCACTCTTCTAGACCCTAGCTGCGGACCCAAAATGACAGATGGATCCAGAGCGTTGTTTGAATTCAAGTTGAATTCATGTGGAACCAGAGCCATGGTACAACTCAGCAATACCAAAAACTGATAAGAATCTAATCTTGATGGGTTTCCTGAAAGGCCCCAGTAAACAACAGTTTGGGCAACAACCTTTTTGAAGATTATATCCATTATGATTTAAATTACAGAAATATCTTCAGTTTATATTTCCTGTAGATAATATAAGAATAAGTTGTATGAATGAAAAGGTTTGTAATTGAGGTTGTTTAACAGGTCGGGGAATCGTACATAGTTTATGAAAATGAAATCCTCCATGACAGACAGCTGATCACTGATGGACCGAACTTCATCTCCAGAGGATCTCAGTTTAAGTAAGACAAAACTTAGACCTGAAACAAAGGGTTATAGTCTGAGAAAACCCCTCCTGTTAATGAAATTCCTGCTTCTTAAACAGGTTGACTGTGAGGTGCTTCTATCCGCTCAGTGGAGTCGGAAGACTTTCTGTGGACAGGAGGTTCAGATCAGACACTCCTGGAATCGGTTCAGTCAAAGTCTTCAAGAACCTGAAAGGTCAAGGCCTGAGTCATCAGTTATTAACCAGATTACCCTGGATGACAGTTATAATATGTCATTTTTTTCTTCCCAGCAGATTCAGATAGTGAAATCCTTTCACAAGACTGTTTGCAACCAAGTTCTGGAACTGCTGCCAACACCCCCACAATCCAGGCCCACCAAACTCCTGACGCCGTTAGTATCCCGCCACAGTTTGCTGTAAGGCCTTGGCTAAAACCCGGACCCAGTCGCTACATCACAATGCCTGGAAGATTCAACAAGCTGCTCCACTTCCCCCCAAATTTTCCAAAGCTCCAATTGCTCCCTCCTCCAAAAGTCCCTCTGCTGGTCTCATCTCCTGCAGGAAATCTCATGGTCCAGACTACAGAACAACATCATTTCGTATCACCGACTGAAAACCCACTCCACCACAGGTATGGGAAGTCTACAGACGGCAGCGTCCAGCTGTCAAACCTTAATACACAAAGCCCCAGCTTTGCAGAAGCAAGACAAGAAAATCCAGGTCTGATCAAGGACCACCTTGGCTTAGGTTCAAGTCCTTTTGACATGAATCCTGAAAGATTTGCAGGCAACCAGGGAAGCTCTGGGCAGAGTCTCCATCAGAATGTGTGGCCCTCTGGCCTGGCACGGGACCAGCCTACTCAAAACAATTTAATACAGGAAGTGGCTAAAACTGAAGAGGTACCAGGTTATCAGCTTTACAGACCAAATTATTCTTTTCAAGCAACTCAACTCCATCCAGTGCTTGAACCCTCAGATTATTACAACACAGAAAATACCAGAGACAAAGGGGGGTCTGTCAGGGTGGCACTGACTGGCCAGCATAACCAAAGCCCTGGAAGACCAGGATCTGTTGAGAGAAGAAACATCGATATGGATCGGTCGAGAGTGCAGAATGTCAGAGTTAAACCTCAGAGCAAATTTTTCCCCTCTGGACACAATGTCAGCTTCAAGCCTGTGATCAAACAACCAGACAGGCAAGTATCCAATACCTCCCATTATGCCACTGGTCTAAATGTTGACAAGAGTGATGGGAACCACTGGACAGCTAAGCGTCCTTCTAATCACAGAGGTTCAAGTACAAAAGAACACGTGCCTGACAGAACACAAACGCAGGAACTGGTTCATCCAGTGCCAAACCAACGCCAACCAGAGCAGGAACTGGTCAATCTAGTCCCAAACCAACCAGAACCCCAGCAGAAACTGCACTATCCAGTCCTAAACCAACCACAACCCCAGCAGACACTCATCCAACCCACAGGTGTTTATCATTTCTTGTTGCCTTTACAAAGTAATTTTTAGAGGACAGTTTTGGACATTTTTAGCTCAGCATATTACCCAGACAGAGCCAGATTTGCTCAAACAAAAATATTCAGTGTACCATAAAGTCAGATGACAAGATTTGCAAATTTCCAAACAATCTTCTTGGTCAATGTCATTTATCTATGTGTCCTGAGAGACTACTTATGTTCTGTTTCTTCCACTCATCTTAACTTCTAGGAGTGTCCCACATCAGAGTCAGACCTGTTTCTGGTCTTCAGGAAAGCTCCCCAACTCCACATGAGCCCAAACGACAGAACCTTCAGAACCCCAGCGCTCAGGCTAACACCAGAGGAGACACCAGTAGGACCTCCACCTCCAGCTTAGCTCCTCAGAGTGTTCCAAACACTCCAACCAAAACCAGAAAGTACCAGCCACACTACCCCAGGCAGTCAGAGAGGAGTCCTGCTGCAAGCACAGCTGGGAGCCCTGGTTCCTATTCAGGCCATAATGGTTCTGTTAGTCCAGGTTCAGACCTGAAAATACACACCAGGTCTGACTGCAGCCGGGCCAGTCAGTATGGGGCCAATGTTCACCAAGGTCTCATGAGAGGTACCCAAAAAAGATTTACACAAACCTGAACCTGGTCTGTTAGAGATCACCCAGGGGAAAGGTGGGTTTTTAAGGTCCCAGCACATACTTCAGCTTCTCAACGGCCGCCTCAAACCAAAGTGAACTTTCTCTCATTATTCAACCACACAGTAAATAGAGGTATAGTCAGTGTCTTATCATGTTGCTTGGATGTTACTTCAGAGCTTAGACTCAGTGATCCACCAGTTTCTGAAGTGATTAGTTTCAGAAGATGCCATCTGAACACCATTAGTCCTCTTGGGTAAACAGATCAGCTGGTGAAGAACAGTAACTTCCAGAATTGAACATGTTCTTCACAGTTTGGTTGAATAAAGTTTGTTGCCATCCAGCTGTTTGAGTCAAAAATGTCTACTTGGATGTCTAGAAGGACCTGCTCTCTATATTTGTGGTAAGATTTTTTATTATGAAGGTAACTTCAGGGTTAAGAGTTTTTGGTTATAATGGTGGTTTACTTTTTTTTTACCAAGGTAGCTCACCATGGTAATTGATCCTGAACACCTGGGACCTATACTGTGATGTGAGTTCAGTGTACCCTGGGCATCTTTCAGTTATCTGTCCTCTCCAGCCTTAAGTGAGGAGCTGGAACTAACCAGTGTCATGAAGTTGGTTGTCCACTTGATAGTCAAAGTGATGAATGTTTTACAAACTTTTTGAATCAATGGATGTTCTCCAAATGAGCTCTGAAAGGTATGGTGCTGCACATTCTACTGAATTTCAATTGCAATTATGGTTTTGACCTTCACATGATCAGAAAAAAACATAACAATTTATAAGCTTGTTGATAGCTCATTGTGGTTGCTGACTGAAAATGGTATTTTAAGGAAGGCCTCATTTATATTATATTTCACATTTTTTATGTAAATTCAGTTACATAATTGGTTTATCCCACACACAGAGATAATGCACACACACATAGCCTGCCCCTAATGCTGCAGCTTCTCTAAAGCCTGCCTTGTTCTTCTTTCTTTGCTTGATATGTGTCTGCTTTGTTAACCATATTCATCAGCAGTTACCAAAAACACAGCTCACATATTAGCAAGTGCAACTCTCTATTCTGTCACGACAACAGGTGAGCGTTGTTTCTCAAGACGAAGGATGTCTTAACTATAAAACTGAGTGCAGAAAAACAGACTGAGAATCAAGGGTGTGTTAGTAAAGCAGAGGGACAGCAATGATGTAAATAAGTCAACAACTGCATGACTACACAATGAGAGAATTTTCGGTCCTTCTGATAAATATGAAATTAAAAGCCCAAGTCTTCCCTTTAAAAAAAAAAGTTAATAAGTATTTGATATGTAACACCTGTAACTGTTCTGAGATAAAATGTATACATGTTAAGATACTTGACTATTTAAACCATACTGCAAGTAAACACCTTAAGGACATCTACGTACATGCCTTAAATCAGTGGTTCTCAACTGGTCTCACTCTGGGACCCACATTTTCCCATGGTCCTTAAGTTGTGACCCACTTTTATAGAACTCAAACCAAGCAAATTTATTTTTTATAAAATATTTTTTTTTTTTTAAAAACAAACAATACAGATTTTTATCTTTAACATAAATCAACTTGTTTTATTGAGTAAAGTGAATTTCAGAGCACATAAAGGGGACAACATGAGGACGACAACTACCGAAGTTGCGTGTACAGAAAATATCAAATATCTAATAAATATCGCATTAAATGTTTACTTTTTTGACCAGCTGTTTGTGACCCATCCAGAACGTGTCCGCGACCCACTTTTGGGTCGGGACCCACCAGTTGAGAACCACTGCCTTAAACTAACCAACAAACAATAGGCTAAAAATATAATCTTCGTAAGTTTTAATACATGCTTTCGCTACAGATGAAAATAACCTTGTCGCCCTGGGTGGATGTTCAGTAAATATCCTTTATCTTACCATCAGCTGAGACAAACTGTCCCACAGCAGAGGACACTCCTCCACTGCCCTCCACAAACTGGACCTCAGAGACGATGATATTGTCCTCCAGAACAGAACCGCAGCCGGTACACACCGCGCTGCCCCGAGCCTGATCCACATCGATATCCGACCCCCCGCAGGTCTTGCACACCCTGGAGCTCATGATTGACGGGTCAGGGGTCACTAACAACCTGCAGGACAAAAACGCATCAGCTCAGAGGTGATACCAGTACAGTCTCCAGATCCTCTAACACATCTGTCTGTGGATCTCTCGGATGTTTACATGTGAGTTGTGACAGTTTATTAGTTTTCTTGCATGTTAACGTCCCCTTCACCTACCTGGTAAACAAACGGACAGTACAACAATAGAAACAGTGTAGTCCAGCTCCTTATTTCTTCATCTTCATGTATTTATTCCTGTTTGAATCATCTTATTCCTTTACTGTGAATATGGTTTATCTTTTTATAATATAATTTTATCAGGTTACATTCAGTTGTTTAGCTTTAGTTATCATTTATCTCAGAACCATCAAACTCCGACCACTGACAGAAATGGTTTGTTGTTTTGTTTTGCGCAGAATAATGACGTCACTCTGTTTGGAGTCGGCGGGGGCGGGGTTGGTCGATAGAGGAAAGTATTACTCTCGCTCTGTGAAAAAACGAATAGTTTGACTTAGTCGGCGTTCGGAATTAAATGAATTTATATTAGACATCTAGAGTTTTATTTCATCCAAAGATTACTCTGGTTAAACATTTGAGGCAGGACCGTCCACACCTTTTTTTCCTTGTGATGGTCTCGGCCGACGCCTGGTGATGACGTCTTGTGTTTGAGCGGGTGTTTTGGGGGGTAACCATAGACTGAGTAACACTAAAACAAAAAAAATCTCGGAGAAAAACAAAATATTTTTGATCATTTGTACGTTTTTTGCTGGCTGCGTGTCTCTGTCTGTGACTGCAGCGGGGCCGCGGACAGTCATGTCCTCGGGGGGATGGACTGCGAGCAGCTGGAGCTGAACCCGCGAATCAGAGCCGCTCTGAGGAGAGGTATGAGCCGACCAAATCTCATTCAGAAATCAGTCACTTTTTTACCTGGAACATTTAACTCGTAGACGCCAAAAACATGAAGTTAAAGAACGATGTTTGACATTATTTGTTCTGTTGATATTTTCGGCTAATTTTTTATAATTTCAGTATTTTTGTTTTGTTGTAAGACTGTTGTTCAGTGATAGATTACTAGAACAATTAGGTTTAGAGTGAGGGGCAGGTAATATAAGATGTTTCTTCTCCCTGCTCCCTTCCAACCAATGGATAAGAAATGTTGCAATGTGACATTATATTGTCAACCTGAGAAACTGCCTTGGCTGGAATGAATGAATAAATAAATAAATAATTAAAGTATTAAAACATGTCAAACGGAGGCATTAAAGTTTTCTCTAGAACAGAGAAATTGAGGATAGCGCACAAATTACTCTATGCAAGATAACTCATGTGGCTACAGAAGAAGAAGTAGAAGACGTTTATTGCCATCACATGCAAACATGTTAGGAATTTGTTTTGGTATTATTAGGGTGCAGTTTCAGACAACATGACAAGTGTAAGACAAAAACAAGACAGTGCATAACCAACAATTTAAAGTGCAATAAATACAAAGTGCAGTGATATTCACAAGTAGAGTTCAGTTCAGATAAATTCGTTTGCACTAGATAATAACATTGTGCACACAAGAAAAAAATGTATGTGCACAAATTAACTGTGTTTTGCATATATATTTTGCACAACATAATTTGTATGTACAAGATAATAGCCTTTTTCAATAATCTGGTGTGCACATTGGTTGATGAGTTTTAATAATATTGTGTGTGAGAGAAAGTAGCCTGTGCACAAAAGGTAATTATTGTTTACCCTTAAGGTATTAACTTCTACATATTGTGCACACAAACCTCTGTTAATTTGTTCATTGTACCATGGCATGTTATTGCCATGGTAACCTGTTGATTTGTTGTCATTGATGTTGTCCAGCTGACCTGCGGACAGTCCAGGACATCTTGTGTTCCAGTCAGGATCTGCATACGCTCGGTTTGTCCCGCTCAGACGTCCAGCTGCTGCTCAGAGCCGCCGCACAGGCATACAGACCACAATGTCAGATCACAGGTCAGAGCAGGGTGATGGCTGATTTGATACCTCAGATTTTTGTCACAGTAAATATAAACTTCTGTTTGTGTGTTTAGCCCTGGCGCTCCGTGGTGAACAGTCCTCTCTCAGGCTCAGTACGGGCTGTGTGGTGCTGAACGAGCTACTGAGGGGGGGTCTTCCCGTGGGGCGTGTCACTGAACTGTCAGGAGAGAGCGGTGCGGGGAAAACTCAGCTGGCTCTACAGTTCTGCCTGTCTGTACAATACCCCGTCCAACATGGGGGACTGGACTCAGGTCAGTCAATGCATAACAGTCAGAACAACATGTGATCAATGTTGCTATAAATGTTCAGGTTCTCTTGTGGTCCTGGTTCTGATGGTTCTTTGTTTACTGTAGGTGCTGTGTTTATCAGCACTGAGGACTCATTCCCAAGTCGCCGCCTGCAGCAGCTGATCCGAGAGCAGCCGAATTTGCGCTCAGACGTCCCCAAATCACTGATCGATTCCATCGAGTTCAGCAACAACATCTACATTGAACACGCCGCTGACCTGGTGAGCTGCTGACCTCTGATCTATATCACGTGACTGACTTACAGAGTCAAAACCTTCATCATGTGGTTAATCATTCATTTATGGCGGGGGGGGGGGGGGGGACACTTCCCTGACACTGGCCCTTTTGTCCAAGCTCTAAATGGATGAAAAACCATAGACTGTATATACTGTGGACAACTTGGTTCCGCCTTCCGCCAGCATACAGATTTGAAGCCGAAAAGCTCTCGGTAATTCTGCATTTTCTCCCCATTTCCTGAAACCAACATTGCGCAGTGGCGTTGTACGCACTCCACCACTTGCGCAGTAGCATTGTGCACATTCGGCGGGAGAGTCGCCGAGAGCCGCTGTGACGATGCTCGGCTCAAACAGTGTATCCCCCAGATGCTATGCAATCTTTGTACGCCCATAGGCTGTCTCATGTGTCAATCATAGAAAACATGAACCAATAACTTTTAAAAATGGAGCTGCACAGAAAAAAGAGGACTTGAGCACAAACCAGTCTTACAAAAACTACACGTCAACATCGCAAGCAGGCGGGATTTATGACTTTTACTGCGGCCCTTTACCAGAGGGTGCTGTTCTCAGAGTGACTTCACACAGTGAGGAGGCAGACGGCGTCCATTCTCTATACAGTCTATGTAAAAAACCACCTGAAAATAGAAAGACAGTGATTAAAAGTCTGCTCACCTGTCTTTACCTTCATGTACCTGCAGGACTCACTGCAGGTGTGTTTGACTCGGCGGGTGCCCCTCCTCCTGGCTCGGGGGAAGGCCCGGCTCCTGGTGGTAGACTCGGTGGCCGCTCTGTTCAGGTCAGAGTTCCAGCCGTCTGATTGGCTGGAGAGAAACAAACAACTCATTCGCTTCTCCTCCAAACTACATCAGCTGGGCCGGGAGTACAACACACCTGTGTTGTGTGTAAACCAGGTAACAGAAACACACACACACACACACACACACCTGTGCTATCAACCAGGTCACATGTTACACCTGTTGTTTTCTGTTTCAGGTGACTGATGTTTTCGGCAGCTCAGACGACAGTTTGGGGTAAAATTTCATAAAATATTTTGTTTCATCATGTTTTATTTTCAACTATCAGCTGTTTTTTAAATTTATTTTCCAAACAGACAATGTGAGCTCTCTGGAGTTTAAAATACTGTGAAAACAGAGTTTAATTTAAATATCTGATCTCTTGTTCAGCCCTCTGTCCTCCAGTGTCTCACCTGCTCTGGGCTTGGCCTGGGCCAATCAGGTGATGGTTCGCCTAATGATGCATCGTCTTCAGGGGACAGTCTCCCAGGGTGACCAGTCCAGTGCCCTCCGCAGGCTGGAGGTGGTGTTTGCTCCTCACTTGGCCCGAGGTGATCGTAATGCAGCCATTTGGAGGGAGGGGGTCCGAGGAGTCCAGACCTGAAACATAACCCCTCTCTCTCTCTTCAGTGTATAAGTGTAAATATTATTCAGACAGATATTTGTAATGAAATAAAAACACTAAAGTTTATAAATGAATCCTATAAAGCTTCTGCTTTTTTTTTTATTAACACCTCAGTGTGCTGCCTTGTTTTAACCATCTAATCTGTTTTACTGATTATATTTCTGTTGATTTTCTCTCTCTTTATTTGATTTCTTTTTTAATGTTGATTTTAGTTTTTAACCATTCCATTGAAAGAAAAAAAAAATTAATCAGTAAACTGACAGCGCCATAATCTCGCATCGTACAGCGCCTCTTGCTGGTGTTTACGTCTAACAGCAATAAACGTCAGGCTGCTCGCACTGCGCCTGCGTGGTGTGACGACTTGTTGGGGAGACGCTTTCAAAATAAAACCGTGAAGTAAAAATGGTGTTAAATGTGAATGAATTTGGGGATTTATTTTACACACACTTAAAGAGTGAAACACTGTTTTTAATGACTGTATGAGTATCTTTGAAGTTAAACTGATAAGTAAAAAAAACCTTTTGTTTCTTCAACTAAGCAAGGAACTGGAACATTTATTTGAGTTGAATATAAAATTAGAATACATCTTTTAACAAGCTAACCTTCTAAAATTGACATTTAATAATAATAATAATAATAATAATAACTTTATTTATTTAGCACTTTTAAAAACAAAAGTTTACAAAGTGCTTTGACAACAGTTACAAAGCACAGAATACCAGCTCAGTTAACAACAGGGCCTTTGAATTGAAAGAAAAAGAAATGAAATAGAAAATGAGGGGAGAAAGCAGGAAACAGGATAGTAAGTATAAAAGAGGGTATTAATAATGATAATACAGTCATAATAAAATAATAATGATCGTAATATTAATGATAAAATGGAATAATAAAAATGAGTAGGAAAAAACAATAAAATCAATAAAGGGCCTAACAGGTTAAGAAAGGAAAGATTATAAGTAAAACAAATGCTAAAAGGATAGTAAGTCGAAATAAGTTCGAGATAAAAGAGAAAAAAGAAAGAGGAAAAAAGAAATTACGGAGTCTAACAATCAAGTTGGAAATTTATTTGATGAGCGACATTAATGTTTAATTTTAGTGTATTTTTGACGTTCACTGATTATTTAAAAATGTAACATTTGAGTTGCGAGTGTAGCATCGAACTTTAAGTGGTTTAACATATTAAATGATCTAAAACTTTAACAACTTAATATGTTTTGGTTACTTAAACGTTCAGTAATGATGTTTTTGTTCAAAGGTATATGGTCAGTTTTAGTAGCTTAGTTTTGGATCTGTACATTGTTTATTTTAGAATAAATCATATCTTTTTTCCCATTAAATTCAGACAAAAAAATCGTTTCGAAAAGACTTTAAATCGTAAATTAATTCATCATGACAGTTTTCATTCTTTTTAAGAGACCGTCATTTTTTACTTTTTTAATCTTAAATTTGGACAAAATGTTCAGCGACAACATAAACTCCCATTAATCCATTATCTGAACTTCCAGGCCTCCGTAGATTTCAGTTGTATGTCAGTGCTGAATTTTATTTTAACAGGCGCGACCGGAAGTGATGTTCCCGTTATTTTGGGTGTGATCGTACCTGATGTAGATACGCAGCTGCTGAAGCTGGACAATTGTAAACAGTAGAGACAGACAGCGGCCAGGTACGTTTTCTTTGTTTCCTTGTATTTGTTCATATTTAACGAATGTCTGTGTATGTTTGCTTAAATCGTGTTTTCACGCTGACCGTCTCACAGTTAATCATCGATTATATATCACAGGTTACTTAATCTATAGCACAGGCTGACAGGGTTTCTTCTGTGGACTGCGGGTTATTTCTGTGATCGGTTTAATATTTTAGATTGTTTGATCAGACCAATAAGAAACTGTCATAATAACTGTCAAAATAAAAGCCTGCTGTCTGTTGCAGCTGATCAATAAAAAGATGTCATCGCTCAGAGCTGATGGGGTGTGTCTTTATGAGGTCTGATCAGTGATGTAATGGACCAGATTCTCCATTACAGGCAGTTCAAACTCTTTTAAATAGCCTTGAATTTTCATTAAAGTCATCAAAGTCAAATAACTTAAATTTGATCAAACTTGATTGATTATTAAGTCAATTCCTGCTCATTACAATCCTGACTCAGCTCTGATTCATGTCAGTATGATTTCATTTTAATTCTAATGTGTGCAACCAAACCCATACTCTCTTAACTTCAGTGTTCCTTCTGCAGGGGGCACCGTGACCATGACGCACCCTATCTTTCTCTCAATGGTGGGTCTCGCCTTTGTGACTTTGGCGTCCTCTCAGGCAATTGACCTCTCACTGCAGGATCTGACCAATAGGAATGCAGACTTTGCAGCGCGGTTATACCGAACTGTCTCCAGCCGCACAGATGAGAACGTCTTCCTGTCCCCTTATACGCTGTCCATTGGACTGTCTGCACTGCTCAGTACCACCAGCGGGCCCACTCAGGAACAGCTACTTCAGGGACTCAGCCTGAATGGACTGGACCCTCAGGGCCTTCCTGGTAGGTCAGGAGTCAGAGGTCACAGGAAGGCAACATGCCATAATATTTGTGCTTAATAATGTAAGCTGTCCATCTTTGCCTACCCCAGATCTTGTTCAGAGTCTACGGACCTTAGTCCTGCAGGGGGGCCTGGCTGCAAACATGAGACTGGGTGTGGCCATCTTCCCCTCCCAGGACTTCGGGCTTTCATCATCCTACCTGGACACAGTTCACACCAAATTTGGGGGAAACGCTGAGATCCTTGACTACAAGGTGCCACAGGATGCTGCAGAAACCATCAATCGCTGGGCTCAGGACAACACAGGAGGTCAGATCCGGGAGCTGCTAACTAACCTGGACCCCCAAACCCAGCTGCTGCTCACTACCGCTGCCACCTATCAAGGTACCTTTATTATGACATTGTGTTTTGTAAAACAAGACCACACCAGTCGACGTGGACTCCAGAGGTCCTCTGCTGTGGTCTGATTGCAAAAATTCCCTCATACATTAATTACAAATACATAATTTTTTTAGCATTTTTAGTATTATGTTTATGGTATCCTTTCAGTATTATCATTTATACTAAGGTTTAGGGTTGTGTAAGTATTTTTCACTTTTAAATCCTGTCTTTGATTTATGAGTGCAGTTGACTAACTAAAGATGGAAAAGGCGAATTTTTTTCAGGGATTTTCCAGTTTTTGATTAAGTTTCCGTACATCCTGTTAGGTGTTTGTATTTCAATAAAGTTTGTCTCTTTGTGTTTTAGTCCGTTTCAACCCATCCTTTAACGCCTCCGAAACTCAGGACGATCGATTCTTTGTGGACAAATATCATGTCGTCATGGTTCCCATGATGTTCCGGGCCGACAAATACTTCCTGGCGTACGACCCCTCTCTGCAGTGCGGTGTGTTGAAACTGCCAATGTCAGACGGGGCGGCCATGTTGGTCGTGCTGCCTGATGAAGATGTGGACATTACAACAGTGGAAGAAGATTTAACCGGGGAGAAGATCCGGGCGTGGATTAGACAGCTGAAGAAGACGTGAGATGCCTTGGCTCCTTTCTTGCTGGCTTACCTCAACCCTCCTTCTTTCTTAGATTTAATTATATTACTTCAGATTTATTTTATATGTTTTATTCATTTTTCAAACTGGTGTTGAAGTTGTTTGTTTCTTTATTTTGTATACAGGAAGTTGGAGGTGCAGCTGCCACGCTTCCTGTTGGAGCGTTCGTACACTCTGCGTGACGCCCTGAAGAATCTCGGCGTAACTCAGGTGTTTCAGGATGACGCTGAAATCATTAACATGGGTGGAGCTACTGGACCAAAAGTCACAGAGGTGAGTGCTGAAGCTCAGGTGATTGGTAAAGAAACATCAGAATGATTCAGGGTCAACAAATGAAACAACATTTTAGTTTAAAAATACCATAAAGAAGGGGTGTGCAGGTGGTTGAGTGGGTAAGTGCACCCCATGTATGGGGACCATGGTCCCGGCAGCAGTCACGGGCTCGAGTCTGGCTCACTATCTTCCGACATTTTACCCTGTACTATCAATAAAAAGGCAAAAATCGCCTAAAAGAAAACTAAAAGAAAAGACCACACAATTACCTGTTCATCTGTTCACCTGTATGTTTACTTATATACACCTGCTGAGTTTGATCACCCTTATACCGCACATATATCTCTGTCTTGTTGCCATGTTGATGATCCTTCAATAATATCATGTGTAACGTTATTTTTAGGTTTATCACAAATCAGTCATGGCAGTCGATGAAAACACTGATGGCGTCACTCCTGGAGGCGCAGTTAACGCGTTCACCACTCTTCCTCCTCGTCTGACGATAAACAGACCCTTCATCTTCGTTATCTACCAGCAGACAAGCAGCAGCGTGCTGTTCATGGGCCGAGTCACTGACCCGACCAAAAAATAAAATGTTTACCCGACAGGTGACTAAGCCCCGCCCACCTGTGTCTCACTCACTGCACCTGTTAAAATGTACTCTAATCTATGTATATGATGCTGTGGCCTGTTAGCTACAAGTTTATGTAGTTTATCACTCTAAATACAAACAACTTTTGCAGTGTTCAACCTGAGGCTGGAGACCCTGAAGTGTTGTGGGATAACTCTGAGGGGTCCTGAGACGATGGCACAACAAATCAAAGCAACATGACGATGTGGAGCGGTCCATACACAGCTAATAGGCTAATGTGACAATATGATACAAGTTAGCTTATTTTAGCCTACATTATAAAAACAACCTATACTAAATGCTGTAGTTCACCAGTACTAGCATGTTTTTTGGAAACATTAACATATATTAAGTGCTATAGTTAGCAAATGTTAGCATGTGGCTTTTGACACATATGAAGGCTATAAAAGATGTACTACCTAAGGTAAAGCTGCACTGCATTCAGTCATCCTAAGTATGACCCACTGTTATTGTTTTGTAACATTATTATAGTTCTATGGTTTGATTCTACCTGTTATTTTGGGTTTATTATCCTCTATTTTCTTGATGTGAATATAAATATTTTGACTTCAAATATGTGTTTCATGTTAAAGCCCTGTGTAAATTAATGCACTGTAAAAATGTGTGTACTGTATGAGTAAACCTTATCTATAATACTGTCGTCTGCTGTTTCGTCCCTGCTGTTCACCAAAATGACACGTTGTCATCAAACACCATCACAAACCAATCACACTTCAAGAGATAAACCACAACCAGAAAATGCAGCATTAGTTAGTATGTCAGGATTTACTGAGCCAATCAGGTGACAGGAACAGCTCATTACAGTACAGAGTTTTCAAAATAAAAGCAGCTCAGTGGTTACAAACTGTCTCCTTTCACGACCACCAGGTGCATTCTTCGTTATGTTCCAAGTCGTTCTTTTACTTGTGAAGCTAACTGCTGATTGACTGATGGCCTGGTAGCTTAAAGATGACATAAGTCTTCAGTCTCGTGCTGATTGGACACTGAAAGAGTTTGACTTCCTGTTTCTGGAAACAAACAAACAAACAAAAATGAAATAGCAGAGAGAAAATGGTTAAATTCATTACCACCAGAGCTCTTTGATAAACCAAGCTGATTCATAACTCGCCTGGCCAGGCTAATTCATAACAGGCACAGGTCTATCCTTGACACTATCTTTACTCACATGGAAAGCTTCCTGGATTGACTATCCTTGATCCCGCAGCCTCGGTCCATCGTTTTACTGCGCTGGTCCAAGGTACTGGTCCTGTGTTCTCTCTGTTCCATAGTACTAGTTTTGTGGTCTCTGTGGTCCAAAGTACTAGTTCTATAGTCTCTCTGGTCAATGGAACTGGTTCTGTGATCCAATGTACTGGTTCTGTGGTCCAAAGTACTGGTTCTGTGGTCCAAAGTACTGGTTCTGTGTTCCATGTTACTGGTTCTGTGGTCCAAAGTACTGGTTCTAAGATCTCTCTGGTCTAGAGTGCTAGTCCTGTGGTCCATGGTACTGCCTCTATGGTCTAGTGTACTGGCCCTGTCTAGGAGGCTGGTGGTGTTGCTGCGGATCAGGACCGGCATGGAGGAGGTTGACTGGGTTGCCATGGTAAAGTGGGCAGTCCTGAAGGAGTCATCTGTAAACACAAACTCTGCGTGAGTTTAAACCACTAAAGGGGGCATCCCCTCTGACAAGGGTGATTCAACAGACCTAAAACTGACTGGATCACTGTGAATCTGTGTAAGAAAGAAGTACCTTTAGCTGATATCATAGAGGACTTCCCGGTTCCAGATGAGCTGCCCAGCTCTTTTACTTTCCTGCAACACAAATCCAAAGAAAAGATGGCTCAATACAGCAACTTCATGAAGCCAAACCTGCATCTGAAACCAGACCCAGGACTACCACAAGAAATTGATTTTTTTGTATTGTGCTAATATACAGACCCACAATCGAAGAGCAAGAAGGTTTTAAACATCACTGAACAAAGTAAAGCCAAAGGCACCATCAAAAAACAGGTCCACAGTGGATCTGCACAGGTATGGACCACAAATGTTTCAAAGAGGCAAGGACCATAGGTAAACCACAGAGGCCACAAACACCGCATGTCCACAGTGGCAAGTACCACTACTGATCCAAGGATAGGAACTGTTGATCATCCACGGAAACTAGATTACAACATGTTGCTCTTCTACAAATCACAGTAAAACTGCTGATCCACCAACACCTGGATCTGAGCCAGTTAACAGAGGCCCAAGCAATAGCTAATCCACAAAGGTTGGGACCTCGGCTGATCTACAGAAATCAGGACCCTCAGCCAATTTGCAGAGGTCCAGGACCACAGCTCATTCACTTAGCCACTATTGTATCCATTTTAGGTGTTCAGTATCAGCTCTGACCCATAGTGGTCCAGGGCAGTGCTTGCTGACAGTCTTGTGGTTGATTTAAGGGTTCACACTCAGACCCCTGAAAACTCATTGGGGTATTTGATGTGAGACTAGTATGGCATACTTACAGAGGTCTTTCTGAGTTGGTAACTTTAGACGAGGTTGGCTGACTGCTGAGGGATCGACTTCGTGACAGTTTTGCCTTCCTCACCTCTTTACCTGCAAGAAGAAAAAACATCACCATCACTATCATCACCATCATCACCATCACCCTCTTCTTGAGTTTGAAGCATCCACAGAAGAATATCGCTGTCACATTTATCAGCCCCACTCATCTTCATCATAATTCATTCTTACCAGAGAAGGTGGCTCCAGACGAGGACACGGACATGGATTTGGTAGCAGATAGACTGGTCTTACTGTCTCTCCCTGGCAAAGAAAAAGACTTTACAGGGCTGGACTTCACTCTCTTTGGGGTTCATGAACTCTGCTCTTACTTTTTAAACTCTCCCCTCTCTGCAGAAATAAAGTGTGCTCACGTTTCCTCTCTGTGTGTTTTTCAGAGTTCAGTTTCCCATCAGTCTGCTGGCGCTCCAGCTGCTCCTGACAAACAGACGATTCATCATTAAAACCAAACTAACTGATTCAGGGTGAAAATGATGCTGCAGGTTCAGACTCACCATCTCCAGCAGCAACGTCTCCTCCTTCTCTTTCTTCTGGTCCAATAAATCCCTCTCCTGCCTTTTGTGAAACTGCAACACAAAGTGGGAGTAGGTTATAGAGGGTATTTCAATCCCTGTTCTGTTATTTTACATGTTGGTCCGTCATAAAAACACGTGGCTTACAGGCTCTGTCAGGTCCAGTTTGTCCAGTTCTAACACTGTCTGAAAGACATCATGGACACAATTCACTTACTACGAGTCCTCTGACAGCAGGTCATGAATGGTATCTCTGGACTACATTTATGTGGTCTGGACTGATCTCTCCGGTATGACAGTGGTACCTTGCGGATGGTAGCAACCACATCCTTGTCTTTCTCCCTGCAGAGGAGCTTTTGGACGCAGAAGTCGAGCTGCTGCAGCAGCTGTTTGTCAGCTGGCAGATGAAGAGATGATCGCAGTCTGGGTAACAACTGGCAGAGCTTGTACCTGACAGACAGGTGAAAGAGAGACAGAACCACAGACAGACAGACAGATGGGTAACATGCTTTACCATTCTCACAAGGTAAGGAGCTGAGTGAGGGTTCTACCTGACGTTGGCAACAGGGTCATGGACCAGCTCAAGTGCTGGGATCAGAAAGTGTTTGTTGAAGTACTTCCTGGAAAAGATCTCTGTTGCTGTTTCACATACATCCAGAAACCTCAGACGGTTCCAGTAGCTCCGTCCCTGAGCCAGATCTGAGGATCATGATCAGATGATAAAAATCAGCATTCTGATTGACAGACTGATCTACTTTCCCAAGCCAACCAGACTCTAACCCCAAAAGGCACCTCAATGCAACCTGTAAACAAAGACGAAACATGAGTCCTTAAGTTTTTAATGGTCAATACATCATCTGTGTCAGATGCTGACTTCTGGGTCACAACAAAGACTGACGAACCCCTCTGTGCAGGATAGGAAAAAGAAAGCTCTAGGAAAAAGACTGAAACAGGGGAGTGGGTCGGACAGGAGACTCAGGACTGCATGTTTAGAGGATGCCCTGGGAATGTCTGCTGGAGTGAGAACATGCAGGTAAAGTCTGTCTGTAGATTTCACTGGGGCAGTCACAAATAAGGCTACACAGGATGCAGGTGCAGGTAGGCTTGGTTTAACACTTTCTAAAGCTAACTATGTTCTGCAGGAGTTGGGTTAGAGGGGTTGACAGGATGGCGAGGAGGTGGATACCAAGTGATGACCAGGCAGAACTTCTTCCACCCCTGACAAATCAAGAGGTTTTCCCTATTTTAAACACAGTATTACCTCCTCACCTACTATTTTAAAGGACAGAACAGTATTTCAGTTACATCCTTGTTTGATCATTTTTTGTCACTTGAACCACATGTCATTCCCTTTTATCACTATTAGGAGTATTTTTCCTTACATCCAGAGGGACTCCCCTGACACACCGTTCAAGTCACTTGGGTTAAAGAAATGCAGTATTCTGACCTTGGATCAGTCGCTCCATCATTTCCTGTCGCTGCTCCTGTTTGCGGTTATAGCGCAGGAACGTGCAGAACGTCCGAGCAGCCTCCCTCTGAACAGGCAACACTTTCTGCAACAACAATGAGCAGGGGGGGGTTACGTGTCTGAATGATTCACCTGTTGTACTGTGGCATTGTCTGCAGTATGGTGTGCTGCTGTGCTAACATTGGTGGTGAGGATGATGAAGATGCGAGGGGAGAAGCTCTTGTGCAGCACTTCTCCAGGTAGAAGTCTGGCCAGGTAGCTGTAACGCTGCAGCAGCTTCTCGTGCAGCCGCCAGCGCAGGGAACATCCAACCTTCTGCTCTGCTAACAACAAAGCTGCCAGCAGCTCTGGGAGCTGATTGGAAACCAGTGGAGGCAAAGACAGAGATGATTAGGTCGAATCAAAGAAAGGAGTAAATGTCACAGAGATATAATAAAAGACAGAGGAGATGATCACAAATCCAGGTTTAGTGCTGCAGCCTTGGGGCTCTACCTTGTTGTCCAGCGTCAGGTTTTCTCCTCTGGAAAGGACCGCCTCCAAAGTGTCCTCAAGGTGATTCATTAGAGCGTCCAACACCTAAGAACCAAAACAACCAGAGCTTCAGCACAGACACTTGGAGACCTATCACATGAAGCTAAAAGCTTTAAAACCTTGTCCAAATGCCCTGGACCCTTTCTGGAGTCTGAGTGGTGTTCATCTCTGACAGCAGAATAAATCTGATTAAAGTGGGTATCAATGAAAACTTTCAGAGCAAACAGAACCAGAATTCAATCCCTGATTGGTGGAAAAGATGTGGCCTCTCACCTCCAGAGCATCGTCCTGCAGGAGAGCCAGGAGCTCCTTGTGGACCAGCTGGGCGTCCGAACCAAGCAGCTTCACCACCTGACAGGAAGGGGCGAGGCATGGTGTGAGATCAGGAGATTTTTTCAGTTGCTTTAACTGGATTATACTGATATTTTAGTCTGACGGACTGCAAATTAAGCTCAACAGCTTGTTCACAAGGATCTTGTTCCTACTCCTGAATCTCATGGACTTATGATGTTATCTGACCTGGTGGAAACTGGCTGCAGCACTGCGCCGGACGCTGACCTCAGGGTCACAACACAGACTTGAGAAAGGTGGGTAGAGCTCTGACCGGAAATGAGCTGGATCTGCAAACACCACCATAGCCTGGAGAGTGAGAGAGAGAAAAGAGGAATTTAAATCGTGTGTGAAGGATTAAAGCATGAACCAAGCTCTCGGTGTCTGAGTGTCTGTCTCTGTGTTTACAGGCAGGTTGTAGCAGCAGTTACAGCGAATCAGGGTGGACTCGTTGTTGCCCTCAGTCTGGTTACCCTCAGTCTGCAGACCAGCAACACTCAACTCCTTGAACTTCTGCAGCAACCGGCCCTTCTGCTCATCTGAGAGAGAACCTGAAACATAACATTGGCTGGTCAGAGGTTACGAACACTGAGCATGTGCAAAAGGAATGACATCTGAGAATATGTTTGACGCCCTGCTGAGAAAAGACATTAAACAAAGGCTAAAGACTCCAGTCTTCGTCTGTTTCAACTTTAGATCAAAACAGCTGTGCTTGAAAGACTTGGTGGCACAAGTCATCAAATTTCAGTGCAGCTTGAGTTTCCTGCCTGAAATAGCTCTGGGGCATCACCTCATGGTCTAAAAACATGTTGACTGTTCCTTACTATGTTTCTGGAGAATTTGACTGTTTATACTCGAGGGTTTCGGAGCTGAATCTCACCTTCCAGTCCACTGCAGAGCTTCCCAAACTGGAACGACAGTGACACCAGGACGACGTCATCTGCTGGCGTAACTGTGTCACACACTGACATCACCATGGGAACCACGATATGGACTCTGTCATCTGAGAGAGAGAGGGAGACTCTAAACGTTGGCTGGGCAACTTTTTGAAGTTGCCACATGTGCCATGTTAACAATCCTGAATTGATCCTTCTACAAGAACCATCTGTTGGCCAAACAGCTGACTACTCGCTAAACTACATCCAGTGACTTTTTCTTTCATAGATTTCAATAAAAAAAATACATATAAGAAGTTATGACCCTCTTTCCCTGAATTTTTTAGAAGAACTCGTAGAAAACAGAAAACTATAAACTAAACAGGATCTGGCAAAGTGATGATGATAACAGACAATACAAAATTGATCAAAGCAACTCATGACACAAGGTTGAGGGAACTTTCTGAGGACACCGGCTCCAGTTCTCCTTCAGTCTTATCAAAGTTGGAGAGGAGCTGGTTCAACTCAGTGTGAATGTCTGTGAAGGGAGTTGTGTATTTCACATCCAGGAAATGTCTGGAGTACATGTTGGTCATTCGTCTGGGAAAACAGAGCCAGATTGGCTTTGAACGCTCACATGTATGAAAACAGCTCATGTGCGAACACATTCTCCCTCTTCAACTTCAGATTGAGGTCATCCAGATGGTCCTTTACATCCACACCGTCTGCCAAGTCGCACACCCACACTGAGTCTTATAACTCAGCAAACTCGTCAGCTTTACCGCCAGTCACCAGAAGCGTCCCTTTCTCTCCTCTCAACTCCTACACACAGCAGAACACCTTCCTCAGGCTCAGCCAGTGAATATTTGAGAGGTACATCATGTCTCCATGTTCTGCATTGCTTTCCTCTGATAGATGGGTGAGCTGTTGATGGTTAAGCCCCCAAGCCTAGACGAAGTCCCCAAGTCTTACCATCACTTTAGAGCGATGTTCGGGTTGAAACACAGATTTATATAAAGTGCAGACAGACCGTATCTGAGCTGGGGCTTTCCTCTCCTATCTAATCCTGTACAGTATGCAGCAGCTTGATGTTGTTGACGGTCACATTAAGAGATACATTGGTGGTTTTGACAAGCTGTCCATGATAGCGTCGGTCTCCCCAAACTATTGTTGTCCCCTTGAATGACCCTGTGGCATGAAATCAATTCTCAACCTCATCACCTGGGTATCTTAAGACCACCAGCTTCATCACTGGGCCAAAGCAAAAAAGCGTCTCTCAATCAGAGGGTTGGGGGTTTGATCCCAGGTCTTGTTATTCATATGGCAAAGTGTCTTTGGATAAGACAATTGACCCCAAAACCACCCCCGTTGGCTGTGCCCAAAACTGAATGGTGCTTTGTGAATGGGTGACTGCCCCCTGATTGGGGGGAGATCATAGAAAGAGTTCATTTACTGGTCCATTCACTTATTCATGCTTTATATTATGCTATGGATATGGACCAAACTGAGTCAAGTCGACTGGCACCAAAAGGAGAAATATGCTCTGAGTGCCAAGCTTTCAGTTCATGGTATTAATTTAACTGCTCTGTTGAAGGAAAACATGTCAGCTTTAATCAATAACCGCCTTCTGAAGACTCACCGCTGTCCAACATCTCCATCAGGTTGATGATAGTGTCGAAGGCAGCAAGGCGGACATTGCTCTCCTCGTCTTCAGCGAGCTCCACCAGTTCAGGCAGCAGCTCTGTCCTGGTGTCATCCACCCTGCAGGAAAAACAGACAGAACGTCTGACAGCAGTCAAATGTTGAATTTGTGTCAATTCACAATCTGATGGTGTTTACCCCGTTGCCCTGGCGATGTTCTCTAGTTGATGGCACATACAGGCTCGCACCTCGAATTCCACGTCCTGACACAGAGAACGAGCTAATGGCAGCAGCTCCTTCTTCACTCTGATTCACAGAGAACAGTCAAAACCTGAGCAGGTGTGTCATCACACCTGGGCTCGGACTGTACTATTAACTGTCCTGATACATCTGAAGTTATAGTTTAACATTATCAAACCACAAAAATACTGCTAACAGAAAGTATTAGTACAACACAATAAATGCTTCCACTGCAGCGTGTGTATTTGTATCACTGAATGTGTATTAGTACTGCAGAGTGTGTATTTGTACGCTCACAGTTGGGAGTCAAACTTGCTGGCCACTTTCCCTAATATACGGCAGCTGGAGAGCCGTGCCTGAAGAGAGTGAGACAGCTGGGACTGATAGAGGAGAGGGTTCAGGACCTGCACAAACACAGACAGGTGCAGGCAGAGCGACACAGAAGGTAGGTAGGTAGGTAGGTAAACTGAGTCAAACACCCGAAACCATGAGCAGAGACCGACAGACACATAAAAAATCTAAAAGAAGCAGGTTACGTTTTAAAGACACCTCAAAGGACAGATAGACAGGTAAGAAGAAGGAGAAAGACAGGCATGTGAAGACAAAAACCATGAGAGGGCTCAGAAGAAGGAAGGTTGATAGTTAAAGATGAAACCAGAATAAAGACAGGCAGAGCAAGAAAGCCAACAGAAACAGTAAGAGGACACACAAAGGGAAACATGCTCTGGGGAGGACAGGTGGGAGGAGACAAAAGAGACAGGTAGGCTGATAACTAGAGAAACAGGGAGGAATATAAATAGATTAAAAGACATAGACAAACTTAGTGCTAGACTGGTAAGCAGGAAGAGAGACAGGAAGAAATGAATTCAAGGAAAGTAGAGACAGGTAACAGACAATAAGAAGGGCAAGTAGACAGCCAGAGATAAAGAGAGGCAGAAAACAAGAAGACAGACAGGTAGGGATAAATAGGAAGACGGACAGATGGAAATGAAGACAGGAAGGTAGATAGACAGGTAGACATTCAGTTAGATAATGAGGCAGGTAGACATTCAGGAAACAAAAAGACATGTAGACAGTTATGTGGGGATTAGGAAGGGTACAATTCCAAGTAGAGAAACAGAGTAGATAGGGTAAGAGACAAGTAGGAACTGGGGTAGATATGGATGGACTTTTTGCTAGAAATGGAGAAAGGTAGACATTTGTGTAGAAACAGAAAAAACATGGAGGTTAGAGACAGAGACAAGAAGGCATTTAGGTCGAGATAGAGACAGGTTAACATACAGGTAAAGAAAGAGACAGGTACACCAACTGGTAGAGAAAGACAAAGGTCTCAAGACAGGTAGAGTCAGAGACAGGTAGAGAAGAGAACTGTACCTCCTGTTTGATGGTCTCCTTCGGCAGAGAGTTGATAGCTGATAGCAATGTTTCCAACCAGGCGTTGCTCACCACTGTCAACAAACAAATCAACTTCAACGTCAACAATTTCAGTCAACATTGACATTATTCTTAAGGTGTTGGCATCTTTGTGACAGCACCACAGGTAATACCTGTGTCTCAGTGGTTCTTGGGGTTTCTACCTGGGTCTTTAGGTAGTTACCTATGTCTTGGTGGTTTAGGTTATGTTCAGTGTCAGGGATTGTGACCTTTGACCTTTATATTATCTGTTGTTACATGTGATCCAGTGGTACAGGTGCATTTTGTGTGTATCATGGATTATTACCTGTGTCACGGTGGTTCAGATGCAGCAGGACTGTTTTTAAGATGGAGTAGGTGTGGGTGTGGATCAGGATGATGTCGTCCTGAAGGATGGTTAAAAAGGAAGCTGCTGCTGCAAGCTGGATTTCTGCTCCTGCTCCATTCAGGACCTCCTGGTACACGAAGGACATGCACAGTGAGGGGTTCATCCGCCAACACAGCAGCAGCAACTGCACACCTTAGACAGCCTCCACACAGTGCAGCAACATCAGTCACTACATGCTGACTGACGACTCAGTACGTACCCGGACCTTTGGTACAACCCGACGGAAAGTCTCAGCAGGATTCTGGCGGACAAGGATCGGCAGATTACTGATGACACTTGCTCTCTGGACCTCCTGACCCACGCTGAAGACCACAGGAGGAACACAAAATGAGTCCATGAGACCCAAAACTAAACCCACTGGACTCCAAAATCTGATACTGATTCTGCTGCTGAACACCCTTTCTTTTCTAAAGAGACTCAATTACTTTCATCCGACAAGTTATATTTAGTGGTACGGCTCTGTTCACAGGGCTTCCTGCCCCTCCATATGTGTTAAGTATGTGGAATGCCAAAGCCTGAGTTTCAGACCAGATACTGATGGGTTTGGTGATCTGGTTTATCAGACTCTGGAGGATTTCTTGATTTAGCTCAGATATTCGGGTCAAAGGAAGGAGGACAGTTCAACACATATTCAACTGTTTCAGCTGAGCTGACTATGACAAACTGGAATTAACAAACAGAAAACACACAAACTTTGTTCCTCTCTAGAGGTTTGGTTTGACGTGGTGGTTTGAATTCTCCCCCTGTACATAGACTACAGTCCAGTCTACCCTATGCTGCTTGTCAATGCATGAAAGTGTTGTCCTGCTGCAGGGGAGCCTTACCTAAGCAGGTACACAGCTCTCTCGATGTCATTCAGGTCTTCATCCACTGTCAGCTGATCAATCTCCTCTGCTGTCTGATAACCAAAAACAGGCGATCACAATGGAGCCTGTATTCATTCATAAAGATGTTCAAAGATTTAAACATTAACTGATGAGAATCATACTGTCTGTTATTATTATTATTATTATTATTGTTGTTGTTGTTGTTATTATTATCTATTGTTGTGTTTTGCTGACTGCATCATCATGTATTTGACCAAACTTACTTTCAGCTGTTCCAGACACAGAGCAAGTCAGCAGTATCTGTGTGTTTGTGTGTGTTTGTGTGTGTGTGTGGGGGGGGCGTTGTTCATGTGTGCTTGCACATCACAAAATGAGGTTTCTACCACCAGCAGGAATTTCCAGACTCCTCCACTTCACATTAACTCTTTCAGTAAGCTCCGCCCCCTCCACCCACAGAGTTTAGGGAGGCAGGGAGATGACAGAGAGAAAGATGAAGGAGGAGGAGGAGGAGGAGGAGGGAGAGAGATGTCTGCTTTCTCTGGTTAGCTGATAGATAATCTACTCTGATCAAGGTCCACATTATTATAATGATAAACATTTCTATGACTAAGACTACAATTCATCAAAAAGTTCAAAGGAAAATACTTAAAATAAAGGATGAAAACATGTTGATTATGAATTATAAAGAAAAGTTTAAATATTGATTATGGAAAATCTGTTGTAAACCATTCATTACCAAATATCAAATATTGATTATTAAATGATGATATGAAGTAGACTAAAGAAAGTAAAATATTACTGATAAAGTATTGCCTTCTTGTTCTGGTCTTAGATAGCCTATTACTTATGCTGAATGAAATATTAACAGTGATATATTTAAAATATTCATTATTTGACATATCAATTAAATATTAACGTTAATAATTTATGATCAATTATTAAATATTGATTACATTAACATATTGAAACTTATCTGTGGTATATAACATTAGGCATTAAGATTTTAACATCAATTATGAAACACTGACCATTTAAATAGGCTGGATGATGAAAACAATTATTGATTTACAATTTTAATCAATTATCTTTTAAACCATGAATTGATTCACATTGATTATTGAATATCTCTCGTTTTATATGATTTATTATTCAGTCCTAAAGGTAAACATTTTGAGGACTAAAATATATTGATCATCAATACTGAATAGTGAAACTGGTGCTAATATATTGATTGAATTTTTGTAATAGGCTATCATGAAATGATCAAAGACTGATAGCTACATAATGTCTGAGAGGCCAAATAATCGATAGTCTGACAGCTTCAATTGGGGATCGATCATAAACTTAGATTGAAACTCCACCCTGATTATTAGAACTATTTAGTAATCGATCATCATTCAGTTTACAGAACACATCGAATAAAGTCTGGGTCATGTTTTATTCACTGCAGAGACCGCACACGCTTACATACGCGCGCGCACACACGCAGCAACAACCTGTGTGTGAGAGGGAGGGAGAGAGAGGGGGAGAGACAGAAAGTGCGTCACGTTGCGGGTCTCCCCTCCTGCAGTGAAGCCTCTCCTCTTCATCCCTCCCTCCTCTTCCTCACACACACACGCACACACACATTATGAAATGATGACGTACCTTGAGGCTCCTGCGGATCGGTCTCTCGATGAAGGCGAGCTCGTGCAACTCCTCCAGCTGCGCGAGTAGCAGGCTGGACTGACTTCCTGTCATCCTGCCGGAGAACATCTGGAACCGTCCCGGAGCTCAGGTGGAGTCAGTGGGAGAGCAGGCGGAGGGTCTCAGCACCAACCATCCCTGAGGGAGGCGGGGGAGGAGGGGGGAGGGGGAGGGGGAGGGGGTGGTAACTAACCGTTTCCAAGGAGATCCCGGCTCAGTCCTTGCGGGCGGAGGGACGTCACACCAGACTCCGTTTTAGAAATGTATTAAAATAAGAAGCTCTCGTAAATCTTTAATTTAAAGAGAAAGTAAAGTTTCAAAATGAAACACTTGACAAATCTACAACTTCTTCTTTTCTCTTCGGCCCACTTTAAACCGTCTCAGCTGTGATTATTTCACTCAAATCTCCACTTGAATGACGGATGGTTGTCGAAGAGTGTCAGTAAGAAAGCGGGGAACAGATCCCACCTCCAGCCGCTGTCACTGACCATGAGCTGGATCTTTTCCAAGCTGAATCCGGTCTGATGCGGATGAAACCCTGAGCCAGATTTCTTTTGAATAAAAAGCTCCTTAATATCACGTTGGTTTAATCAGGAAGTGAGCCGACATTTGATGAAACACTTTTCATATCAGCTCATTTTCTGATGGTCTGTGCGTAGGGATGTCGCGCCAGAATCCGTTTAAATCTGCGACCGTAGAACAAATTTAATAATGAATAAAGCAAAAATAAAAAAACCCTCAAACATTAGTCACTGTATAACCCACATGATCTCCTCTGTTGTTCGGCGAACACTGAAAACTCCTAAAGACTTTCATTTGGATCAAATCACCTCCTTACATCCTCCAACTCTTTGGTCCAGTGCGGTGCGGCAAGTCACGCCGATCTGCGTTAAAGTGGATCTCTAAGATGAGTCTGCGTCCTTCAGTGAGACTCACAACCAGCCTGAGCCCCCAAAAAAAGATCGCCTATTTCATAATCCCCACCGACGGTCTCTCAGCTTAAAGGAGTCCAACAGAAAGCAATCATTTCCAGAAGATGTCGATGTTCGGTCTGTCTGCTCGCTCCCACACGGAGGGCGGAACCGAACCGTGCCAAACAGCACACAAACTTCAGAGTTCACCTGTGTGTGTGTGTGTGTGTGTGTGTGTGTGTGTGTGTGTGTGTGTGTGTGTGTGTGTGTGTGTGTGTGTTCCCAGGCCAGATGTGACCCAAAGCTCCTGCAGAGATCCAGACCCAGTTTCTGGCCTCCTGCAGTGGGTCCACTTAGTGGGTCCGTTCAGTCGTTCGTCTACAAACTGAATGGGATCCTGAACCAGCCTGAGGCCGCTGCTTCTCTTGATGACAGACCTGCTGCGGGGGCGGACCAGACTGCTGACCGGGGGATAACTCCGGACCAGAGCCCGAACCAGAACCGAGAGAAGAGGCTGGATCCGGAACAGGCTATCAGCTAGCTCTAGGCTAACGCCCTGCAGTGCTGCAGCTGATGTGTTCCCATGGTAACGTCCATCAGTCTGTCCGCCGACAGACTCATTCACAAAAGTCCAGAATTATGAAACACATTCAAGGAGAGAGGGGACAGACGGCCAAACGGTCCACTTCCTCTGATAAAACAAAACATGAAAACCGAAAAGAACTTCAATCACTTCAATCACCTGACAATATTATTAGGTTTGGAAAAAAATATTTAAGTAAAATATGAGAAAAAAAAAATTGTGTTTATTAATAGCCGACATGTATTTCCAACAATGTTAATAGAAAATTTATAAGAATAGTTATAATAAATTCGTATTACTACTACTGCATTAATAACTACTTGGGGTGGCAGTAGCTCAGGAGGTAAAGTAGTCGCCCAATAACCAGAAGGTTGGCGGTACAATTCCCCCCTACCCTGAGTCTCTCTGTTGTGTCCTTGGGCAAGACACTTAACCCACCTTGCTCCCAGTGTGTGTCCCCCACTGGTGTATGATTGTGAGTGTTGTGTGGTGGTGGTCAGAGGGACTATAGGCACAAACTGGCAGCCACATTTCTGTCAGTCTGCCCTAGGGCAGCTGTGACTACTATGGTAGTTTACCACCACCAAGGTGTGACTGTGTGAGCGAATGAATGATGTATCCAATGTAAAGCGCTTTGAGGGTCTCTGATAAAGCGCTATATGAAATCTGATGCCTTATTATTTTTACTTAATAATGATAATAATCACAACAACAAAAACAATAATTATAATAACAACAACAATTATAATCAAATCTGATCAATTTACACACCCCCTTAGGTTCCTTGTCACAGGTAGGTCAGTAGGCAAGTCCAGACTTTAGTTGTAGAGCTCCACATATAGGCCAAGGTGTCACTCTGACTATGCAAAGAACTAATCCAATCTTCAAACTTGTCCAGTACCAGTTCTTGTTTGTTTGTTTTTTGAAGAAGGGTTATAGGGCACTTGTTCATAGTAAAAGCATTACCCACAGAAGAAACTGAAAGCTTGGCCTCTTTGTTAAAGGAGGCTACGCTTTCAGTTTCTGCAGACTGGGCCAGCTCTACAATGTGATTTATGATTTTAACAAACTCCAAACAAAGAACCCTTTTTGGTCCAAGTGAAAACACAATTTTTCACCACTTTGCCATCAGAAAACTGCTCTCAGCACACAGTAACAGCTGTGGATTAAGATTAAATTATGACAGAAACATGACAGTATGAATTTTGGCTACTCCACATCCAACCTTTCAGATACTGTATTTTTAATACTCTTAATGCATGTCCATATTCTCTATTGGAGTTTAGTTTCTTGATGCATGATCCGACAACAGTCAAAGATCTGGATGCATTTCCAACACGAATGAAGCACAGGTGCTACACTTGGATGAGCTTCAGGTAATCATATACTGTATGTCTGACTGGAAGCCAAAGTTAGAAGCCAAAGTAACAGACCATATAGCAAACATGAATTGGGGCAAGGTTACGGATCATGAGCCTGTAAATGTCAGGGTAGTCTTTGTGATTTTAAAACCTGAGCTCTTCAACAGTTTCATTTAGCAGTTACCCTTGACTCTCTGCTGCCCTGTGTGTTTTGTCTGTCTGTCTGTCTGTCTGTCTGCTGTTTCCTTGTTGTGTTGTTTATGTGCATCTTATTACATGTCCCGTCTGGACTTCCATGAGACTCTTCTTATGATTGCTGTCCATGTGACCAAGACTCAGCACGGATTGAGTTTCACTGGCATCGAAATGTGTCTATTTATATCTGTGTTTTTCTGATTAATGTGACACATGTGGGTCAGACACTAAGGCAGATTTTCAGCGAGGAGGTCCATTAGATAAACATCAGGTTTGTAAGACAGGGATGGAGAGCTCAGACCTCAGAGCAAAACTAGACTGCTGAAGGAGAAGAGAAGAAGCCCGTCTGTGCTGAAAACCAGGCTCAGACCGACCTTATAAGAGATTTAAACCCGATTCACCGCAAGAACATCAAGGACGCCAAGACCTGCAGAGACTCAGGTGAAATCTGTAACTGACAGAAAACAACTTTACAACATTATAATTAATGCATTACCAAAATTGAACATCATATCAACTTTACAGCACAAAAAGTTTACTACGAAACAATTTTACAACAGAGCAGCAAAACATCACTGATGTTTCTATTTCTACAATTTAACAGAACAACTTTACGTCAACTTAACTCTGTATAAACACAATTTTACATCAAAACACCTTTACCAGACAATAACGTTACAACACAACAACTTCACCTCATTACAACTGCTGTACAACACTACAATACACAACCAGAACTAATCAAAACTCAATGACACAACTTGAAATCATCACATCTTAAAAACAAAATACAAAAACTTTACATCACCACAACTTAATATCACAACGCAATCACATTACATTACAACAATTTTTACATTTTTTCAACTTAACATCTCGCAACTTAACATCACATAAACTTAACAAGACAAAAACTTTCAAAACAGAACAAATTTCTAACTAATCAGCTTAAAAGCAAAAATACAAGTAAATAACTTTGCATCATGCAGCTTTACAACAGGACAGCTTTTACACACATAACCTTAATGTTGTCATACTTTCACAACATTACAACTTTACATCAAAAAACTAAACATCATTATAACTTCACAACACAGCAATTTTACACATTCAAAACTATATATCACTGCAACTTTACATCACAACACCTTAACAACACAGTTACCATACAACACAACAACTTACCACAGTTGATGTCAACCCAACACAACTTAATCTTCTAACATCTTTACATCACCAACTTTTTCTCAGTGACACTTTGTTTCTCTGCAGGTTACTACGGGCAATATGGAGGCTGCTCTGGGGAATCATGATCATTTCTGTATTTCTGGTCACATGACTGACGAAGAGCTGGTACACGTTGCAGTAGAGCGAAGCTTTGATGATGCACGCCTGCCCAACAACTGTCAACACACCTTATCAGTTTTACCATCAGGACCATCATCAGCATTATCAGCACCTTCCTCCCTGCTGCAACCAGGAAGACAGACCTCCATCCCTTCCAGAAACATCTCTGACCCCCCACACACCTGTGCCACACCATCCCCGGCCCAGCTTTCAATCCATCCACCCCCACAGGTCCCCAACAACGCCAACCCACCAACTGCCCTGTCCCAGTTCCTGTACAGAGGCTTTGAAAGGTAGGCCAGTCCTCGTCCCTCTAACAATGTCTTCATCAAATGGGTCTGTTCTTAGCCAACTGTCTAAGTACTTTGAGTTGGGTTCAACAAAGTCCCACCTATCCAGGTCCTCAGATAGTGACAGGGACCAAAGCCATGTCTCAAATCTTGATCAGAAAATTCCTTTTATATATATCTGTGCATTTCTACATGAACTGAGTTGGACCAGACCCACCAGTCCAAGTCAGTCCTTAGCCAGCTATCAAAGTATTTATAGGCTAAGGTAGTCTAGACCCACCTGTCCAAGTTGTCATAAGAAGAGTCAGTTTCTAGCAACTAGTTTAAGTATTCATTAGCTGAGAAAGATGAAATCCCACCAGTTCAAGTCTTTTTTAAAATGATGGAGTCCAAATCTAACCCCAAAGTTTTATTCAGGGGAGTCAGCCATATACACCTTACAAGTCTTTGTGAGCTGAGTTAGCCCAAACCCACTTGTCAAAGTCTTCACAAAAAGCATGAGTACTGAGCCAGCTGTTCAAGAATTTATAGGTTGGTTTAATCCAGATCCAGCCATCAAAGTCTTAAATTGGTGAGTGAATCCTTATCTGTCTGGCTATAGCCTCATCAAGTGAGAAGACACACCTATCCACCTTTACAAGTTTACATCAGGTGAGGGAAGTGTTAATCCACCCTTTCAAGTCATTCATAGTTCAGCCAGTCCAACTGCCATTAAGAAAAACATCAAGTCATAAGTAGTTTGTGATTCAGAATCTTGGACCACTGACTCACAGATAGACAAAGACATAGATAGCCAGACTGTCTGACATTGAGACAGTCTATAGATTCTCAAGACTTTTTCAGTTGTTCAGTGGTTTTCTGTCTCTGTATTTTGTCTTAGGAAGCTCAGCCCTGTTGAGTCACTTATCGTAAATGGGGACACTGACTCCCTGAAGAATTTGGTCAGACAGGAGTCAAGCATTTTGATGGAACCAGATGATGGGGGCTGGGTTGCTCTTCATGAAGCTGCTTATTATGGACATCTGCCGTCAGTCAGAATTCTGATCGATGGTAAGGACGGATGATTTAGGGCTTGCAATTGGACCTTTAAAGTTATTGAGTTCAGCAGGTTTAGCAAGATGTTTTAATCCACTGGGTTTCATCCTGGCTCCTTTTCCCCACAACAGTATGTTTGCAGCTTTGATGGTTTTGGAAACGATTATTCTTATACCGATGACACTATTCTTAAGTATTATAGTTATGAACATTGTGAGTTTATCTCCACTCTCTGATTGAGTATTTCTGCTGTCAGTGCAGATATTTTTGTTTTTGTTTTATGGAGTTCGGTTACAAATCAATTAAACAGACCAACCACACCGACTGAACCAATCAACCAGATAAATCAATTCAAGTAACAAAATCAACCAACTTAACAGAGCCATTAAACCAACCAAAACAACCAAACATATGACCAAGCCAGGTAAACTAAACCAACTAAATTGACCCATCCAATAGGTCAACCAGACAAATCAAGATAACAAACAAAACCAAAACCCAACCAATCAATAAAACCACAAAACCAACCATTTCAACCAACCGGGGCCAACTAAACCAAGTAAACAATCCAGACAATCAGTCACACTACATGAGCTAAACTTAATGACCTTTGACCTCTGTCTCTCCTCAGCTTACCCTGACTCACTAAATAAACGCAGCTTGAGGAATCAGACTCCTCTGCTGCTGGCAGCAAGTCAGGGACAAGTTGCCTGTGTTGACTTCTTCCTGAAGCGCGGAGCAGACCCAAACATCCCTGAAAAAGACGGAGAGACACCTCTGTTTACAGGTGAGCTAAAGTAAAAGCTGTTACAGCCAGATACATAGACTGTATATAAGATGGACAGAGTCTGCCTCCTCGCTGGGTGAAGTCACTCCGAGAACACCTCTGATGGTGGGCTGCAGTACAGGTCATAAATCCTGCCTCCGCCAGCAAAGCTTATGGGACTGTGGACAAACTTTAGAAATTTATTACACAGAACATACATTTTTCTCCCCCCTGCTTGTGATGTTGACATATAGTTACAGTAAGACTGGTTTGTCTTTTTTTTCCTTTTTTTTCTGTACAGCTCCGTTTTTAAAAGTTATTAGGGGGTTCATGTTTTCTATGATTGACACCTGGTACAGCCTATGGGCGTTCAGGGATTGCGTAGCTCACCGGGGGGATACGCTGTTTGAGCCGAGCGTCATCACAGGGACTCTCGGCGACTGCACGGCCGAATGCGCGCATCGCTACTGCGCAGCTCTGGTTTTGAGGAAGTGGAGAAAAACCCGGAATTACCGAGAGCTATTTGGCTTCAAATCCGTATACAGGCGGAAGGCGGAACCAGGTTGTCCATAGTATATACAGTCTATGGTCAGATATAACAACAGTTACATCATCTATACACTTGGGAAGTGTGGGGCTGTCAGGTATTCTTTTAGTGTGTGCAGTGTTGTGTTTACAGCGGACTGAAATGAACTGATTTACACACTCAATTCACATATATTTGAATCCCTGAACATTTTGGTTGGGTTTCATCCATTTATGTGACATATCATGTCTTCTTGAATGCCCAATGTGCACATTCATGCAAGAAAGAACGGGCCTCCTTTATGCCATTTCAGTGTACTTTCATCAAATGCAGTTAAAGTTGGCTTGATTGCAAGTATTTGTTGTGGTATAATGACTTACCCAATTCTCTGACCGTCTTACTGACTTCCTCCAAGCAGGCTCTTTTTTACTTCTGTTTAAATCAAGAAAAAACAAACAAAAAGTATCAATGAGAGGAGGGTTGCTCTCATAAGGGCACAAGTTTCTTCAGTTAATGTCAAAGTACTGTTTTTGATGTTTCCAGCCTGTGACAATCTAAACTGCGCTGTTGTGGATCTATTGCTGAGATCTGGTGCCCAAGTAAACCGTTGCTCCGTTCGGGGGTTTAGTCCTCTGCATGAGGGCTGTAGACATGGAAATGTGGAGCTCTGCAAGATGTTACTGGAAGCAGGAGCACACCTAGAGACCAAAAACATCTATGGCATCACTCCATTCTTTACAGCCGCCCAGCACGGCCACGTCGACACCCTGCGCCTGCTTGCCAAGAAGGGTTAAGTATCCAGTGATTGTTCTTGCTAAAGCCAAGTTGTTGATGTTCGGGTGTTGTTAAGTTAAATCTTTGTGTTTCAGGAGCGGATATCAATAAACAGGCTTTGGATGGAGCCTCACCACTGTTTGAAGCCTGCAAGAATGGTCATATTGCAGCAGTGGAACTGCTGCTCGCCCTGAAAGCTGATGCAAACCGATCCTTGATGTCTGGCCTGCTGCCTCTCCATGTGGCTGTTCAGAACAATCACATACGGTCTGATACACCTGTTTTATAACCCTTAGTTGTTTGTACAGAAAGTAAACACTGAAGTCATGACTCAAGCATCTCCAGGGTATACCTTTTCAGCAGCTGTTCAATGGTCAGTAATCTGTTTCTACTCCCATTTAAATCCCCAGAGTGGTGACAATGCTAATTCCAGTGACAAGCAGGGTGAGGATCCGGAACTGCGGTATCAGCCCTCTGCACATTGCAGCAGATAAGAACAGGGACGACATCATGGAGCTCCTGATTGAGTCTGGTTTTGACGTCAATGCACAATTGTCAGAGGGAAACTCCAAGATGTACGAGGACCGGCGGAGTACGGCCCTCTACTTCTCTGTGTACAATGGGAACTTTGAAGCTACAGAGATGCTCCTGGAGGCAGGAGCCAACCCTAACCTGGATGTCTTCAACCCTCTGCTCATTGCTGTTAGGCTTGGCCGGATCGACATGGCGTCAATACTGCTGAAGTATGGGGCTAATGTCAATGCTCAGATTTCCACCCAGCCATCAGTGTTTCCATCGGCCTTACTTCTTCGCATTGAAAGTCTGCCAATGCTCAAACTGCTTCTGGACAACGGCTGTGATGCCTGGCCTTGCTTTTATTGCTCATATAACCAACAGCCACATCCACCAATCATGTCCACATGCCGTCTCACTGAAAGGCTGCAGGCCAGTGAAGATACACAGCCTCTGCGCCCCGTTCAGGTGAGTCAAACATATCAGTCAGTGTCTTTTAATGAACTGTAAAAGAACTGTCCTTTATCGTGTTCCAGTTCTGCGAGGTGGTCTCCAGTCCATCCTTCAGCCGTGTAAACGGCCCCTTGGTGAACATGCTGCTCGACTACGTTGACCATGTGCGACTGTGCTCCCGCCTGCTGGAGTTCTTGGAGATGTGCAGCGAATGGGAGGAAATCAAGCTGAAGGCTGGTATGAAGCAAACTGGTTTATGGGATTTTGAAAGGGGAAGGCATAGGTTACGACTAGAATCTAGATCATCATAGGATGTTGAAACCAAAATCCAGCTCCCCCAGGGTTATTTGAAAGGTTTTCCATGTTTTTCAATTCTGATCTAAGGATTTTTAGTCTTTTCTCCAGAATATTTCACTTTGTTTCATGGTTGGTCTAAGTTCTGTCGATCCAAAACTGTTTAGGGTTAATCCAGAACTGTTCTGATTTTCTCCACTGACATTAAGGTATGAAGATTAAAGTCTGATCTTGAGCTGAGTCTGGTATCCAGATCAGGTGTTGTCTTACCTGTCCTCTTTTTTTTAGCCCCACCTCGTCCTCTGATGCATCTCTGCAGGCTGAAGATAAGACATCTGATCGGGGCCCAGAGACTTCAACTGCTCCACACTCTGCCACTTCCTGGTCTACTTATCCGCTTCTTGTGCCATGACATCACCTATTCACCGCTATGAACTCACCTGTCCTACCTGCTCACACAACATTGGTATTCTCAGCTTCAAGATCTTCAAGATCAATGTTTTATTGGACACTCATTTTGGTTCTTTTATTGAACAGGTATCATGCTTTAGAAAACCATCTTTGTTATGAATTTTAGGAAAAAGCTACAGAATTTTTTGAATGCAGCAAGAAACCTGACAGCGTAGAGACGGGCAACTTTTACAGTGATGTCAGATTTGACCAATCACAGCTCTGTGACATCATTATCGTACGACTTAAGTGTGTTTTTGCCATCCTTAGAAGTTTGCTAAATCATGCAAATGCCAGCCCTTGAATAAACCTTTTCACTGTTTTTTAGTTGATGTTAAGAGAGTTGTTTATCAACAATTTCCTTTACTTTCACTTTGATCTCTGCTGTTCTGTCAATTTTAACTGTTTTAATGATCTTAAATTACACTTCAATATTTTATTGAATTTCAGTTGAAAAATGCCTCCGCTGTTCCATGCTTCTCAGACCTGTCGAGTCTTGAGACTTAGGCTATGTGCTGGGGAGCTCCGGGTCTGAAGCTTGTGACTTATTCCTTTTTTCTGGGAAACAACTATTTTCATAAATATTTAGGGTAAATACAGAACATACTAAAAATAATTATCTGTTTGTCTTGTTGATTTTAAATTGTTTCAATCTCTTTTTTATATTCCAATATGTTTCCTTGCATCTGTAAAACACTTTAAATTGCCTTGTGTATGAATGGTGCTATACAAATAAACTTGCCTTGCCTTAACTTATTGGCATTTTATCTACATTTGGGGCCTGAAGCAATGAATAGCTGAAGCAAAATGGACTACAGCAGGGTTGGGAGGTAAGCTAGCCTGACTAATTCAGTAAATAAAGCGTTAGCCCTGATTAATCTGGGACCATCTTCACATTTCTGGCACTCTGGAAACCTTACAGTCAATTTGTACAGAAGTTTCCTTTTCGGCAAGAATATCTATGATTACTCAAACAACATCTCATATCTAGGACTTCATATACCAGGCCAGATGGTGCACCTGTTGAACCACATTTGTGTGTGTCTCTCTCAGCAATCCCAGCAAGGTCTCAGATGATGAGTGTCTGACATGAGCCTGGGTTTGCACCGCCTGCTAAAAAACTGTTAGTTTTTTTTCTTGCAGCTTTCACCTCCTACAAGCTGCAAAGTGCTCAGTTTATATCGGATAAATGTTGCATGTTTGTTAGTGATATGACAGAGCGCAGTCACCACCTGCTCCTTCAGAATGTATCTTAAGAAAACATTTATTATGGCTGCAGCTATATTAAGTAAGATTTATGGATGAAGTAACCCCTATATGAACATAAGCCAAGATGAGCTGAGTGGCTCATCTTGGCTTATGTAGGGGAGATACCTGAGCTTCAGATGTATGACATACATATTTAAATATTTGGAATATATAATGCCACATTTTTGCATAAAATGTGTTCCAGGTTCACAGAGTTCTTAGTGAAAGATTGAAGTTAGGCAGCAAGCACACTGCAGGTCCTTAAAATAACCTTTAAGTAATGCCCCTCCCCCCCTTCACCCATGGAGTCATGTGCAGACCCCATTACAGACACACAGGGAGACGCACACATAGAGAGACACACTTAGGGAAGAACACACAAGGATTAACAAAGAAGACGCTTGAAACGAGGTGAGTGACACTTTTAAGTTTTATCGTTCAAAACACAATCTAGCTTCAGACCAAAACATAAACAGCTGTTTATGAGGAACAACATTAAAAAAGTTAGAGGAAACTTTACTCAACAACTCTTCCCATCATCTGTCTGTAAAAGAAAAATCACAACAAAGTCCAAATGTGTGCCTGAGCTGGTCTCCAGTCTGATTTGTTTGCTGTTTGTTGTCTCAGTATCAGCTGACCTCACATTTCCGTCATGGCAGCAGCCAGCTTTGCTGAATCTGCAGCAACAGCTCTGTCTTTTGAGGATTACTCTCTCTACAGTAACCTGAATGATGATGAACTGCTACAGCTCGCCATCGAGCGAAGTCTGACTGACACCAGTGCTGCCAGCACTGGCATAGCCACCAGCACCAGCACCTCTGTGAACTCTAGTGTGAATGCCCACAACAATGCCAACTCCACCACCACAGCCACTGCTGTTTCCACAGCCAACACAACAAGGCCTCATCAGCGACCAGCTGCTAGCATCAGCAGGCCCCAAACAAGCTCCCACAATCCACCTGAGGCTCAAAGTGGTGCACACTACAGCTCTCCAAACCCTCCAAGTGAAAAACCTCCTGACCCGTATGTAAACCCTGAGTTTGAAATTTAAAACTGCTATGACTATCTATTGAATGTTTGGTCATTTTTCTGTGCTTTGCATGGTGATGGAGTACGTTTTACTGCTAGGATCATTGTGTCACTTCCTGTGCTTTGACAGAATACTAGGTCACTGTCTTCTTTGAGTGGCTTCCAGGTTACTCTATGTCCATATCTGTGCTATAATTGGAAGCTATGCCACTGTTTATACTTTGACAGAATACTAGGTCACCTCTTGTGCTCTGGTTGCCCTCTGTGTCACCCTGTGTGCTTTGATTGGCTTCTCAATCTCTTCTTGTACTGATTCTGTGCTCTCTGTTAGGCTATCAGCACCCTGTGGTTTGCGGTTTTTGAATTACTCATCCAGAAGCCAATGATAGAGGAGCTTATCCCATCATCTCGTCTGTGATTGGCTGCTGTTTGATCTCTGCACTCTAATTTGCCTTCCTCGGTTTTTGCTCTGACAGGAAGACTTTTGATGGATATATCAGTCACTTCATGACGGGATCAGGAAAGAGGATGGTGGCATACCGCAAAACTGATGGCACTTTGGTCCACATAGGTCCAGAGCCTGAGGAGTGAGTAAAGTTTTGGCAAACATGCTTTACTTCAAATCAGCTGTTTTACAAGTTTTACCCATATCCTGTGAAACAGCTGAGACAAGTCACATAGGTTAAAAAAGAGGGGCACAGGTGACTAAAAGGTACACTTACTACAGGGAGGAGGAGCCTTTGTTTAAAGCGATACGCATTGGTGATGCTCCACGAGTGAAGGTGTTGGTAATGGGTCCAGGAACAAACCTGATGCTTCCAAGTAAACCTGGCTGGCTTGCCATTCACCAAGCTGCATGGTTCGGCCAGGACACCTGTTTGAAAGTGCTGCTGTCAGGTACACACAAACACACACATACACAAACACACATGCAAAAATGGCTGCAGAATTTTAAGACCACCACTGTGTGTGATTTCAGCCCAGCCCGGGATGATCAACAAGAGAGCAGCTCGGGGTGAGACAGCACTGCTGGTTGCTGTTGGCAAAAATCATGTGCCATGTGTTCAGATTCTCCTGGAATATGGCGCAGATGTGGACATCCCGAACTATGACAGAGAAACTCCTCTTTACAAAGGTAAGACTCTGGAGAAATGATGTCAGCTGGTGGCACAAATATGTCAGGATAAGAGCAGATGATACCTCAGTTTATGTACAGGCAGATAAGTTCGGATGCCAACAGAATTCTGGGGTCTTTATCTACCCTGGGTCTGGTTCTGGGACCAGCTGATGTCCAACTGTGTCACAACTGTCAGTTGATCTTTTGTAGTAGAAGCTAGCACCTGCTGGTAGAGCTGGTTCGGGCTGGTACCAATTATTCCCAGGTAATGACAGCTGGTTCTGGCTAGTACTGGCTTCTTCTAGCTGGTTTGGACTGTGGTCAGCTGGTTTCTGGCTGATGTCTGCTGATTCTGACTATAGTTAGCTGGTTTCACCTTGTTCTGACTGGTTCTGACCAGTGTCAGCTGGCTTTAGCTGGTTATTGTTTGCAGGTGTTGGCTGTAGGCAGCTCGTGCTTGTCTGATGTCAGCTGGTGTTGTCCTGTGTTAGCTGGTGCCAGATAGTTCTTGCAAATGTTTGCTGATGTCAGAAGGTCTTCGGCGGCATCAGCCTGGTCTTGCTGGCTTATGGCAGCCAAAGAATCAACCAGTTCGTTGAAAATGAAAAAATAAAAAGTCATATACACAAAGAGGAAAAGAAGTCATTGAAGTTAGTTTCTTTGCCTGTCACTAAACTCTGCTATCTTCTCTTTATCTGCAGCCTGTGAAAGGAACAGTGCTGAGACAGTTGCGGCTTTGTTGAACTATGGTGCCGCAGTGAATAGTCAATGCATTCAAGGATGGACCGCCTTGCAGGAGGCCGTGTGTCGGAACAACGTGGAGATCTGTGAGATGTTACTCAAGGCTGGAGCCAAACTCAGCGTGGCAAACACATATGGCATCACACCGCTTTTCACTGCTGCTCAAAGTGGGCAGGTTGCTACACTGCGCTTTTTGCTCAAACATGGTATGTTATACTTCCATACTGTGGTTTTAGTTCATGAACTGTCAAAAATGTGTGAATATCTTTTAGTAGTAAACCTGTTCAGACTTCAGTAACCATCGATATAATATAAAGACTTCTATTCTACCCAGTGTTTTTGTTACGGGAGTGTAATCACCCGAGATAATGGAGTTGTGGGGTCACACACATCACTGCCCTTTGTAATTTGAAGCGGCTACTGTGCTGCCAGCTTCACCATCATGCCACCCCCCACCCATGTGTCTGTTGGTTTAAATCTGGCCCTGATACCTGTTATACTACACCTTCCGTCACATGACAGTTTTGTAAACACCAGAACAGCTGCAGGGGTCCCATGCCCCCTATTCTCCTCAAGGGTGATAAAAATGTACCTGAGAGAAAAAGATTGACCCTAGTTTAAGGGTTTTTTTCAACCTTAACCCTTCCTTTCTCCCTACAGGGGCAGACATTAACTGTCAAGCTCCTGATGGTGCCACTGCTTTGTATGAAGCTGCCAAAAATGGACACGAGGAGATAGTGCAGTTTCTTCTCTCTCAGAATGCTGATGCTAACAAATCTGGAAAGAGAGGATTTTTACCTTTACACATAGCTGCCCAGCGAGGCAGTGAAAGGTAGGCACACAGCTGTTGTCTATAATGTTGGTTTTTGTTTTTATCATTCCTGCCATCCTATAGCCAAGAATCTGCTGAGTCTGGTCTAACTTATGTAATTTTTTCTGTTTCCAGCATTGTCCGCATGTTGATCAAGGCCACTAGTAAGGCCAGGGTCCGGAGAGCTGGCATCAGCCCGCTCCACCTTGCAGCTGAGCGAAACCGTGATGAAGTCCTGGAGATTCTGATCGAGGATGGTTTCGATGTTAACGCTCAGCTGTCAGAAGAGCGGATGAGGCTCTACGAGGACCGCCGCAGCACAGCGCTCTACTTCGCTGTCATCAACAACAACATTGACGCTGTGGAAATGCTTCTGGAAGCCGGTGCCAGCCCAAACCTGGATGTGTTCAGGCCCCAGATGGTGGCAGCGAGGATGGGATGCATTGAGATCCTCACCCTGCTGGTAGAACACGGCGCTGATGTCAATGCCTCCATCCCCACACACCCAACCACCTTTCCTGCTATCTACATGTTCTCCATGAAATACCTGTCCATGTTTAAGTACCTTCTGGACAATGGAGGACATGCCCTGCCATGCTTTGACTGTATCTATGGTAACAAACCTCATCCGCCAATCAAAACCACTCGATCACACAGGGAGGGGCTTATTGACTTTGATGGAACTATGCAACAGCCACAACAGAATAGAGGTGTTCAGGTGAGTTGATGAATTTTACTGTTTTAACAGAATTTCCAGGGACTCTGGCAGCGTTCAACAAATTCTGAGATCTTCTTGTGTTCATAAGACGTGGGACTGAAAATGAGTTCTAATGTTGATTCACAGTTCTGCGAGATGATCTCAGCCCCCAGTATTTGTCGGTGGGCAGGGCCAATCATTGATGTGCTTCTAGACTATGTCGGTCATGTGACTCTTTGCTCCAGACTGATGGAACACCTGGACAGTTACCCTGCCTGGAGTGTCATCAAGGATAAAGCAGGTAAATCAACGAGTGTTTACAGAATATGTCAATCCAGTGGTCTTCCACCAGAAAAATATTGAAATAACCACTTTGGTCAGGATCTTGAGGTGGATGTGATGTTGGTCTGGAGCCAGTGGAGGTATTGAAGGATGTGTGATGTGGTTTCCGGAGTGGGTGGGCGCAAATGGGTGACATTGCCCCTGCTGTATCCATTTTTTATACAGACTGTGGTCAGTAAAGCAGTCTGTGAGGGTGGAGAGAACAGCTGTGGTGATGTATGACCATACCCTGTTGACGATGCAGTAAATTCGTAGTCTATGGTGTTGGGGAGCATTTACAGAGTGGACACAAGGAGACCAAGCACCAACCTAGGAGAGCACCATATTCTGTCAAGCAGAAACCGTGTCTCTCAATACTTTCTCATTTTACTTTATAAGGTTTTGGAGATACAAGGTGGGATACTAAGTGTGACTGATCTGTCTTGAAGTTTTGAAGTGCTATTCTATTGTCTTATTAATATGTGTTTGCCCTGATTTTCTTGGTCATTTTGCAGCACCTCCAAGACCGTTGATGCAGCTCTGTCGGCTTCAAATCCGGAAGTTGGTTGGCCGCCGTTGTTTGAAGAAGTTGCCCCTTCCTGGATCTCTGATTCGTTTCTTGAAACATGTGGAGGACTCACCTGAGGACTTCTCATTTTAATAGGACTTTTTTAGAGTTGTGAGGTTAATTAAAGGAGGCTGTTGATGTGTTTTTAATCATGCTTTTTTAAAATCACTTTTAGCTGTTGCACGCTTTTATTTTGAAACTTAGAATGTGAATCTTTGTCTTGGAGTCTGGTTTGCACAAACTTCCATATCAGATATTAAGATAACTGAACAAACTCTTGTTTTTAAATGCTGAGTTAGGATTTTTTCAAAATAAAATGTCTTATATATGATGTTATTTATACTCTTTGTATGTGTGCACATCTTTGCTTTTTAACTTGAATTGTATTCATGGGATACCTTTGTGTTCATTTCAGAGCTTCAGGTTTTTTAAGCTGTTTTTGACTACGTTCAGGGAAATGTAATGAAAAAACCTTAGAATCCATCACCACAAAAAAACTCAAAACTTATCCTGTAACCCAAAAACAAACTGTCTAAAACTCCCATTACTAACACTGACCCGTCTATAACCAACCAACAAAAACTCATCTATAACAGATTCATCGATGATTGACTTATCTATAACCCAACTTTAACCAAAACATTCAAAACTAACCCATCTTTAACAAATGACCTGTCAATGACAACACATCTACATCCAACCCAATATAATGTACTCATCTAAAACAAGCCCATGGATAACTAACCCTTTGATATCTATCCAGTCTCTAACTAATGATTTATAAATAACTCATAATAACTATACATTTTTTATTGCTAACCAACTCGTCACTTCCTGGCATATCTGAGAGCAGCCCATTTATAACTAACCTATGCATACCAAACCTTAACCAACATGTACAAACAATTTAAAGGCAATCAGTCTTCAAACTAACTGTAACCAATTGTAAACCACAAACTAGCTGATTGTCAGCCTATTTAAAACTGACCACTCCTTCGTTCATCAGATTAATAAGTCACCCATCCATAATCAATCTATATCCCATCTCCAACCACCAATCTAACCAATTGATATGCCTTTCATAACCAACCCATCTGTAACCAAACAATCTGTACCTATCAACTTATCTTTGTCACAGCCATATACAACCAACCTATGTGTAACCAGCCCATCTACAATCAACTTTATTGTTACAAGCCCATCAATATCTAAAAGTATTAACAACCAACCAATTGATAAACTATCTGTAACCATTCCTTCTACACACTATCATTAACTTACAGTTGCTAGCAAACCAGTTTCACCAAACTGTTCATAACCAACCAATCTTCAGCATCTAAAGCCAAAAGATGTATACATCAGTATGTTAAAATCATAAATAAAGTCAGATATTTCACATTCAAACTTCTCTGTGTGGTGTGTTCAGGGTCACTATGTTACGGATGTAAGAAAATGAACTCTTTAGTGCCTCATAGAGGCCAGAGTTGAAACAGTTTATTATGTCACTGACACTCTCCTGATGCTGTTCCTCAAAATAAACATTTTTATTTTAATAAAACTTCCATCATGGCTTGAAAATATAAAATTTATTGACTTAAAAACTTAAAAATAAATTCATTAATAAAAATTTGATCTAATCCTTTGCTCATACTTTGTTTTATTCATGATATACCGTCTATACATTTTTTAAATCTGTGATTTATATAAGAAACTGAATGTCACTCCTCTTGACAGCAGGTGGAGCTGTTTGACAAATCTGTTCACTCCCACCGCTACAAACCTGAACTCCACTGAAGTTAGGCAGTGTTTAAAATGTGAATAAAAACAGGAGACAGTGATTTTTAAATCCTTCCCCAACCTACATTCAATTAAGTACTGTACAAAGACAAGATGTTAAATGTTCAAACTGATAAACTTTATGTTTCAGGGTGAACAACATTTTAGGAAAACTAGGAATGCTCTAAAACACCAGTTTGGATCATTCTAATGGTGAACAGGTTCATTGGAAACGTGTGAGGGTCATGATTGATCATAAAGGCAGCATCCCTGAAAGGCTCAGTCCTTCACAAGCAGTTGTCAACAACTGTGTTAGCAAATACTACTTCAACAGTTTAAGAACCATGTTTCTGGGTGTACAACTTCAGGAATTTTGTGATTTAATCATCTACAGTCCATAATGTTATCAAAAGATTCAGAGATTTCAGGGAAATTTCTGCATGTAAACAGCAGGGTCCAAAACCAACACTGAGTGGCTGTGACCTTTGACCCCTCAGGCAGCGCTGCATTAAAATCTCACGTCATTCTGTAAAGTAAATAACCACATGGGCTGAACACAATTCTAAGACATTATTCATGTTTTACACAAACATCCCAACTTTATTGGAATTATTACCACTACTGAAATTATTATACTTCCTGTTATGTAACGCTTTAACAAACAGGTTATAAAGCATAGAGCTAATAAAAAAGTAAATTATCAAGACAACAGTGAAGAAGCAGAGTATACATTGAAGTAAATAATCAGTAAGGTTGAATACCTCAATAATGCACTGTAAAAGTTACAAGTTCAACCAAACCAACTGCAGTGATCACAGAACAGAGCTCCATCATCGTGACGCAGATGACAGTTTTCTCCATCTCATGCCTCATTGTCTCCGTGGGAACTGATGTTCTCAGACAGGAAGTCATTAAGTCCTGCAGGACTGACTAAACAAACATAAAAAAAAAACATTTCCTGTCCAAACACAAACTGGGGCTTAATTTAAAAACACAAACACTTCCTGTTTGTATATACTGCAGGGCCACAGAAGAAGAGCATCTTCTTAACAAATTAAAAGACACAAAGGCAGGGCTTTTATTTTGTAGGGAAAGTTTTGAACAGGAGGTTTGATTATCAATAAGATTTAAATTATATGAGACAGTGAGGGTGAACTTCATGTGTGTTAGAGCTGCCAAAGAGTTGGTGTCCACATAACGGGTGTTGGTGCTGTCAGGTTGGTGTATATTTGATCAGATCTGATCTGATTGGATGACCTGGAATCCTGAACCATGATTGGCTAATTTCCAATAGTCTCTTTGTGTTTCAATGTGGCTATTTCTAAACATTTGTTTATAACTGCATTTGATTTTAATCTCTGTATATCTATGTCAGTCTTAGGGATATTACTAGAAGTTAAAAGGGTGGATGGAGCAGTGGATGCCCTCAGTACCACAGGAGTAAATCAAAAATCAATATATCCTGAAAGAATCAGACAGGTAGAAAAAGCATTTATCACTGCACCCATGATCAGGTTCCACATCATTTCTGTGTTTAAAGCTCCTGTAAGTAACTTAATTTGGCACCCTCTATGAACAAAGCAGTCTTTTCAAGTCTTTCTCATCCTGCTAACTTTTGACAGTCAAATTTGTCATGTATTGTGAGTATTTTGTATTTTTCTGTAATTTGGTGCAAAATAAATAAATATACAAATAGGAAAAAAAATAATAATCCCAATTTTTATTTTGAAAATGTTTTTATTTTGACTAAAACACGAAAAGAAGTTTTTTTTTTTTTTAAAGAAATGAAATAATTTTACCAATATTCAAGATTATATTAACAGATTAAGATATCAAAGTATTTATTATTCTGAAAGTTTGACAATAAAAAGTCTATCGGTTTGTGTTGAAGATGAAAAGGACGATGAAGAAACAGAAAAAGACCAGGATGATGAGTTGGACAAAGATGAACATGATGGTGATGACCAGGATAAAGAAGATAAAGGCGTTCAGGTCTTCGGGCTCTGTCTGTACCGCTGGCGGTACTCTGGCAGGTGATGAAGAATCCACGCAGCGGGGGTCAACATAGCAACCGCAAACACCGACATGATGAAGAGGCTTTGCTGTCAGACATAAAGAACATCCAATCAGAACTCTCCTTTTTTTAAATCATATAATCAATCAAAACTATTTTTTTAACTAATATAAGCTCTTTATTTTGATTAGACAGCCAAGTACTTGAACTTGCTTTTATTGTATAACCAATCAGAGCTCTTTATTTTACTTTGAACCAATGAGAGTGCTGTTACATCATAACAAAAAAATTCTTATCTATTGATTGTTTAGGCAATCAAAGCTCTTGCTTTAATTATATAATCAATCAGAGCTCTTCTTTTTATTAAAAACAACAAATTAGATCTCTTTTTTATATATGTAACCAATCAGATCAATTTATCTTATTTCATAACCAATAAGTGCTCTTATCTTTTCAATCTAGCCTACCCAGCTCATTTTCTTCTTATATAACCAACCAGAGCTCTCCCTGAAATTAAACAACCAATCAGAACTCTTCTTTGTTTTGTTTTATATTCTGCATTTTATCAAATCCTAACAAGACTTTTAAATAAAAGTCAATATTAAATTTGCAGGAAGTCTTTACTTGTTTGATGACAGTTGAGTTTAAAACAGATGCTGGCTGCTAACTGTCATATGACCCTTTTTCACTCTGAGATGTTTTTGGAAACAGTAGCAGGTTAGCAAATAAGGATTTTCTTTCACTACTCCTTCCCAGACATGAATGTGTTCATATATATTCATTTCTTTCCTCTTCTTTTGGTTAGTAGGCTAGTTAGTTGGTTAGTGAGTTAGTTAACTGGTGCGCTAGTTGTGTTACTGGTTATAGTTAGCTAATTAGTAGTTTTTTAGACTCACCCCAGCTCCGATGTTGTTCTTTGGAGGTTTGCTGTAAATCATCCTTGTTGTTTCTTTCATGATGAACTTGGGACGAGTCAGATTTGACACTGAAACATTTCCCATCAACCTTACCACAGTGCCCACCATCGTCAACTTGATCCTGGTGGGCTTTGGATGCGAAGAAACTGCTCTGTGTTGATTATGTGTTCCCTTTGAGCTCCTTAGAGAGAGTGAAGTCTGAGGGACCAGAGGGGATGAGGCGAGGGGGTTATGGGGGGAGGCGTCAACAATCAGCTGATCAGATTTCCTCTGCAGAACAAACAGAGAAGAAAAGAGCTGATGGCAGATAAAAGAGCTTCAATGTTTGATGTCCAGAAACAGAAACGCAGGTGGACGTCTGTTCCACACCAGAAATCCCAGGCCACACACACACACACACACACACACACACACACACACACACACACACACACACACACACACACACACACACACACACACGGTACTAATGTGTATGTGACTAGGTTAGTAACTGAGATGCATTGTGTCTAATATGGGCACCATCTTTTGTAAGGACCTACCAACGCATTCACTTCCAGGCAGTCTTGTAGAGTGGTGGCAAAAGCTGTTGCCTCCTCATAAAATGGATCTGGGTTCAGGTCCAGGACAACAACAGCAATTCATATGAGCCAAGAGGGAAAAAAAGCTGTATTCACATCTTAGAAAAAAGGGTGAGGGGTGGGAGGTGGGGGGGTTATTATGCTTTTCCACATTTACACAAAAAAATAAAGTTGCTGTTTGGTGTCCATACTAGATGTATACAAATGTTTAAATCATGAGCTTAATGCAATAATCCCAGAAAATAGATGTAAATCACTCAAATCGGTTTGTAGGGAGATCACAAGAGATCTCACTGAGACCCTATGAGCCTCACTAAACATGTCCAAATTAATTAACATCTTTTCATTTGTAGATCAATGTTATTTCAACATCACTGTCATCATTTATCATCCGTTTCCACTGTTTTTTTTTTTTTAAATCTCTACAACAACATTAAATTTGCAATGAAATTTCAATCTCAAACATATTGATGATTCTGGTGGGAAATTAACATTATTTCTATTATGTCTACCTATCTGGGTAGCAACATATGATACATTAAGATTAGATAAAAACGAGATAAAGATAATAAAAGGAAATTCTCTCCTTCTTTTTCAGGGGAGATGATTAAAAAGGCACCTCCACCTGAGAAACAGCACATCTCAATGACCATCCAGGTACAATGTAGGTCTCTAAAAGCACGTACTTCTTAATCATATTTCTCAACAGTGAAATGATTTTATAATAAAGACAGATCTCTCTCAGCTTTAATAGACGGACTCTGAATGCATCAACTGGTTTATCAGCTCTCACCACAGATGGCGCTGGAGAGTCGGCCCTTCGGGTGACGTCACCTACGCACCCACGTGACTAAACAGGAAGCGCGAGATGAAAGTACCTGGGACAGGATGCAGACTAGAATCGAGTCTTCAGCAGAAATTTAACCTGGAAAGACAGTCGCGAGGGCAGGTGAGGGAGAAGCTCGAGTCAACTAACCGACAGCAGCCGACGGTTAACTCACCGCTTACAGTTAACCGATAGCTATCGGCTAACAAAGAGCAGCTAACGGCTAACACTGAGACACACCGACAGTTCAGGGACATCCTTAACTTGACACATCATTTATTACTTTACTCATTTGATATAATATGATGTAAGTGTTCAAACCACCAAGATGTGTAACGTCGTTGTTATTTGGTATGTCCTGCCATACAGGTGAGAAAAGAATACATTCACTCACGTGACTTAGTAAAAAGCCTCGTGCACGTGCACTTCTTAACTTAGGCACTTCGAAGGTTTTTATTTTTACTTAATGTTTTTACTACCCTGCCAGAATAGTTGTACAGTTAAAGGGGATTTTGTGGAATTTATCAGCATGTTAAGCAAGAAATGTTATATTATGCATACATTTGTTAAAATCAGTTAATATTGAATGGAATATTATATAGAAAAAGCAAGAAAAGAAATTTTTCGAATGAAAATAACTGTAATTTTCAACAAACTCTGCTTTACACATCACTTCACTGTCAGCTTGTGTCACCAAAACAATAAAATACTCATCATTACCACCTCAGAGCTTAGCTATAAACCACAGGTGTCAAACTCAAGGCCCGGGGGCCAAATCTGGCCCGTGGAACAATTATAATTGGCCCACAAGATCATATCATGTTTGTATTATTATTGGCCCACCAGTATGAAGTCTGCAGATTTCCTTCAGTATAATAATGTAAACTTTAGCACCATTATTTAAAATGTCCTCAATAAGCCACGAAATCTGTGATATTAAAGAGTAAGGAAGATTTGATAAATAGTCAAGAATGGGGGGGGGGGGGGGTATTTTATTTCATGCTTTCAATTTTTCATTTCAAGATTACAAGTCAAACATGAGTGGATTTTTTATTTCATGCTTTGATTTCGTTCAACTCAGTATTTAGACATGTTTCGTTTTTATACCTTAAATCCAGTTTTAAATTTTAAGTCATATTTTAACCTTTTAAACCCGATTTCAATGTTCTCCTCGAGTATTCGCTCTTTAAATTAATTATTTTTCTATTTTTAATATCATGCTCTGGTCTTTTGAACTCACAAGTAAAAATAGGATAAAAATTCAAGTAAAATAATTTATTCTATCTCAGATTGCCTTTAAACTTATCTTTTTTGAATTTCCAAAGGATTTATAATCATTGCTGTTTTTGTTACATATTTTTTGAAAAGGAGGTTGACAGTTTTGGTGAAATGTTTATCCTCTTTGGCCCTCAGGTTAGATCTAAATCCAGATTTTGGCCCTTGCTGTGGTTGAGTGCAACACCCCTGCTATAAACTATAATTACGTAGATACAATAACTAAAAACACCACCAACTCATAGATCTAATGATCTGTGATTGATAAAGATAAGAAGAACTTTATTTATCCTAAAGCAAAATTCAATTACTCTTGTCTTTGAGTGAGAGATTAACTGATCAGTAATTGATTGCCCTGGTCTTTCAGTATGGAGGATGATGAACTTCCGTCAGAGGATGGGATGGGTTGGCGTGGCCTTCTTCTTGCTGCTCAGCGTCGTTGCGGTCTATTACGTCTTTGAGGTCCAAAGTTTCAGTTTGGAACACGTACAGAGAGGCTATTCTAGTCCATCAGCTCCGCCCCCTGCCCTCAGCTGGTCTCAGAACCTCAGCGCTCGCCTGCCGCCACTTCCTGTCTGGATATGGGTGTCAGTCTTTCTCCTGCCATACCTGCAGCTCTTCCTCTTCCTGTTCTCCTGCACCAGAGCTGACCCTCGAGCTGTTGGTTACTGCGTCCTTCCGGTCTGCCTAGCCTTGCTGTGCAGCCGCCACCAAGCTGCCCGGAAACCAGCCAACCAAAGAGGTCCACCGCTCATTGACACATAGGGAGGACAGCCAATCAGTTACTCCAGCTGTGTGGTGACACACAAAGGAGTGGGGCCATGACTTGAGGATGAACTTAAATCAAAGTGAACTGTGTGTGTTGATGTTTGTGATGTCACTCCCTGTGTGCCTTTACAGTGAAACACTCCTGTTGTGTAAACCGTCCTCTGTCCACTCTGCCCTGAGCACTGACTAACAGGCATCCACTCGTTCCTCAGTGCTGACTGTCAGGTGTCTATTCTGTCATGAGTGCTGACTGTCAAGTGTCATCTTCATCCTGAGCACTGATTAACAGGTGTCTACTGTGCCCCGAGTGCTGACTTCCAGGTGTTTACTCTGCCCTGGGTGCTGATTATCAGGCAGTTCCTCTGCCCAAGTGCTAACTGTCAAAAGTACAGCTCCATTCAATCAGGCTGTCTTCACCTTTGCATGACAGAGAATCCTGAGCTCTGATTGGTTGGATGCCCTTTACTTTGTGTGTCTGTGTTCAACATAGCATCAGCACTGTTGCTATGGTTACCTGCTGTTTGATATTGAGCGAAGTAGTTGAAAAAACTGTTTTTGACAAGATGAGTCACACGACAAACACTGGTTACCATGGTTACCTTTATGAAGATCATTAAATTAATAAAGTTTTACATATTTTAAGGTGTAACTGTTTTTTTTCCTGAGGAAAATCTTTCATAGTTTTTATACGTTTAGACTTAAGGAGAGTTTATTTTGGCCATTATTTTTTTTATTAAGAAAACATTCCAGCGGATGAAAAACAAACTAAAGTACAGCCGAACTCAACTAATCTGTACAGGCTGATCACATCACAGGTCATACACATTCACAGGTGAGCTCAGGTGTGTCAGCTCCTGGATCTTTTCACTGGAGGCTGTTCGTCAGAGTTCTGGGGCTCCTCTGACTCCTCGTCTTCCTCATCACTGTCGTCCTCCTCACCTGCAGCAGGTAAAACAGGTGCATCAGAGGAGGTTCAGGATACTCCACATGTATCTGCTAATGTTAGCCGTCAACAACAGTGCTCACCTTCTGCGCAGACCCCGTGGGATTTCTCCTGCTCCACCAGCTCTGTGAGGAGTCGCGAGACGTTCGTGTTCAGCTCGTGAATTCCGCCGATGAGAGACTTAAGATTGTTTTCTACTTTGACGCTGATATTCTCTTTCTGTCCGTCTCTGAACACCAGCTCTGCAGTCACGGCGGCCATCTTCATCACAACTTCATATGTCGTCATCATCATGTACCGTGTGCTGCCTTCATGTATCCCTCCAGAATCGGAATTTCCTTTTATAGCTAAAGAAAAGGAGCAGCAGCTGTTGAAGGAGCGGTACGAGTAGGAGCAATGATAGTATACAAAGAAGAACAAGGTTTTTTTGTGAAGATAGCTATGTATACAAATATATATGGTAAACTTCAGTGTAGTCGTTTTGGACTGATTCTTCTTTGGGGTCAGTGAATGCATCACAGAGTGGCAGCAATACGTCATTCTTCACGTCATTGTTTTCCTCTTCGTAAATAGTTGTCCATCTTTTATTCTTTTTAATTGAATAGATTATATTATTTATGTTACTTTAAGTCGATAACCCTTTAAAATGTTTATTGAAGCCTTAGCTGTTTTTATTTCAAAATCTCTTTTTTGTATTTATTTTTTATCAGTTTGTTACCTCTGACCCCGGGATGCCGCCAAATACAAAATCACCCGGAAGTAGTCCAGAGAGCTGTTGGCAGTTAGCAGTTAGAAAACAGAGATCTGATCAGACGGACAGCAGACAGAGCTGGTTTTAACATTTTAATGTTTTAATAGTTGTTTTTTCGGTGTTTGACTGCTTTACATTCACGCTAGCATATAGCATTTAATCCTTCCCGTTAAGGTTCGACTCGGTAAGTTCGCGATGTTTATTTAGCAGCTAGTATTAGCATTAGCGACCATAGGATTCACATTTACCTCTGTAAGGACGCTAACTGATGCTAAATATTGTAGTTTTTATACAATTGATTAAAACAGTAACGATTATGACAATAACAAATGAGCGGGGTACACCTGTCTGACACTGATGCACCTGTGTTAACCTGTGATGGTGGTGTCGATGGTGATGATGATAAGGAGGATGGTAAAAATGGTGATGAAGATGGAGTGTTTTTCACATAGACAGGCGGAGGATGGCAGACGGACAGGTGGAGGAGCAGATCGTGTCTCTGGTGGATGTTTTGGAGGAAGATGAAGAGTTGGAGGAAGAGGCTTCAGCTGTGTTGGCAGGGAGTGACTCTGATCACTGTTCATATCCTCAGGTAGCGGCTCAACTGTTTACCTTCATACACTGTACCTGAGTGTACTGTACATCTTTAAACATGTAATGCATTATTCTAACCTGTGTATGTTTGTGTGTATTTCAGGGCTACGTGAAGCGTCAGGCTGTGTATGCCTGTTCCACCTGTACTCCAAGAGGAGGTGAGGCAGCAGGTGTGTGTCTGGCATGTTCATACAAATGTCACGAAGGTCACCACCTCTACGAACTGTACACAAAAAGGTCAGTGCTCATATTGTTTTTTAAGGAAATTTATTGTAAAGATACATGTGTTAATACAGAGAAAAACAGAGACTGATGTTTTAAATTCAAATTCAACTTTTCAGACAAATGTAGTTCAAAGTGCCTTAGAGGCTAAAAACAACAATAACAACAATAAAACCCAACCCTTCCACCCACACACACACCCATGGACCCACATGCACACAAAGACACACACCCACCCTCACTTATCCACACATACACACACAACCTCACACAGTGTAAGAATTTAAGATATATTGTTAGAGAGACATGGCCTTACACCGAGACATTACGTGAGGAAAGAGTTACCTCTGGGAAACGCTAGAGATAAAAATAGAGATAAAAATAGTGAAAAGAAAAAGTAAAACCTGATGGACTAAAACAAGAAAATAATATTAAATGAACGGATGAGTCAAAGCTCTTTACCATATAAAAATTGGGTAAAAGAAGTAAAAACCTGTGACGGCACTTAAGAAAAAGTCTAAGAACAGAAATAATTAGTAAAATGACATAAAATAAACATTAAGAACTTTGATTAAAATGAACATTTGCGATAAGAGAAATATAAGAGGGCAATTAATGAAAAGCCTGGTTAAAAAGGTGAGTCTTGAGCCTCTTCTTCAAATATCAACAGTCTCTGCAGCCCTGAGGCTCTCCGGCAGGCTGCTCCACAACTGGGGACCATAAAAACTGAAAGCTGCCTCCCCGTGTGTTTTTGTTTTGACTTTGGTTAAGGCTAAAAGGCCTTTGCTGGAGGACCATAACTATGATTGCAGCCTGCAGCCTGCAGGCAGCAGCATTTGTTGTTCAAACTAATAAAGGGTTCCTCTTATTAAACTATTTAGTTTTTGTCCACCTGCTGCTGTGGCTGGTGAATGAAGCTAGTTTACAGTCTGACTCACCCCTCTCTTTAAATAATAAAACTGACTTTCTCATATTCTTTTCTTTTTCCAGGAACTTCCGCTGTGACTGTGGAAACAAGAAGTTCACAGACCTGCAGTGTAAACTTTTCCCTGTGAGTTCTGATGTTAAAGGGATATTTGAATATTTTTGTAGTCGGATTGAATGAGTTACATGTCACTCAGAAATCTAATAGCCACAATGAATGCCAGTCAGTTCTGCGCCTTTTAAGGGAAGCTGATGGGAGGACCGGCATGCAAGCTAGGTGAGGCTACAGTTTTCTGCAGACATGGCCAAGTTTACTGGTGACCACATGGATGCGCTCTGATGCATGCAGTGCACTGAGCTTTTTGGGTCTACAGCATAGACTGTATATAGAGTGGACGTCGTCTGCCTCCTCGCTCTGTAAAGCCACTCTGAAAACAGCACACCCTGGTGACGGGCTGCAGTATAGGTCATAAATCTCACCTCCTCCAGCCATCTTTGGAGCTGTGGACAAACTTTAAAAAAATTATTACACAGAATATACATTTTTCTCCCCCCTGGTTGCGATGTTGACATGTAGTTACTGTAAGACTGGTTTGTGCTCAAGTCCTCTTTTTTCTGTACAGCTCCATTTTTAAATGTTATTAGGGGGTTCATGTTTTCTATGATTGACACTTGATACAGCCAATGGTCGTACGAAGACTGTGTGGCTCACCCAGGGTGTATGCTGTTTCAGCTGAGCATCATCACAGCAACTCTCCCACCGTATACACACAGTGCTACTGCACAATGTTGCTTTCAGGAAATGGAGAAAAAAACGCGGAATTACTGAGAGCTTTTCGGTTTCAAATCCGTAAAATGGTGGAAGGCAAAACCAAGTTGCCCATAGTAAATACAGTCTATGGTCTGCAGGCTTCAAAGAGAGAAACATACAACCAAACTTAATCGTGAGTTATGCTGGCGGCACAGCTTACGTGCATTTTTCTGCAGACACACATGAATACTTTTATGAACCAGGGTTTACCAAGGAAAAAGATGACTCCATGCACTGAGAGAAAAAGTGGAGAAACTGGTGAACAGCAGAGATCCTGCTGTTACCTGGTGGTTTAGGTGTGAAAGTTACAAGCTAATGCTCACAAATAGTGAAAACTCCTGTGTGTCTGGATCTTTGGGAACCTGAATATAGCAGCAGTTCGTATGACGCTGCAGTCTGCAACCATAGTCACCAACCAGAGTCCACTGCTGCACAGAACGCTTCATGTTTCAACATTCATGAGTTCAATCAGAAAACCAGAAAAGCTGAGTGGAAGAGAACCTTCAGGGTGAGAGTTTAGCTCTCTCTCTCTCTTTTTTTTAAGCATAATGACACAATCCACAGTCCACAGGTACTGTGTGTTCCCCTGATCAAAATACTGGCTGTTCTCATCAGCATGCAAAGCTGAGATGTAAAATTATAAAAATTCACAATATATCAGTGAAACGTACAACATAGACTAAATAAGCTGATCCATCTGCATGTGTTAGAGTACATCTGTGTGTAGACAAAACCACATGATCTCTCATGGTAGCATGTCAACTGTCCTGTTTGTGACTCAGTTTCTCACTAAAGGGCCGGAGCAGTGACAAAAAAATTCCTAGTGACATTTAACTCATATACATATATACATATATATATACATATATATATATATATATGTATATATATATATATATGTATATATATATATATAATCCGACTTCAAAAAGACTGAGATATCCCTTTAATATAGTGACGTTTATGGTTTGGGATTGTGCTCAAGATTTCTATTCATGTGTGTTTGTGTGACATTCCCACTGTTGGTGTGTGTGTTTCAGGAGAAGGAGGAGGTGAACTCACAGAACAAATACAGTCATAACTTCTTTGGAGTTTATTGCACCTGCAGTCGACCTTACCCTGATCCAGACGACCAGGTGAGAAACACACATACACGTACCTGTCCACCAGTGGTGCTTTGGTTCCTTTTTAACCTCTGCCTCTCTGTGATTGGATGAAAACGTGTCCAGGTGGAAGACGAGATGATACAGTGTGTGGTGTGTGAGGACTGGCTGCACGGCAGGGTGAGTCCAGCAACACACCTGTCACACCTGTCTGCTGTGGTGCCCCCTGCTGGTCTCACCTGTGTGTGTTTTTCCAGCACCTGGGCTCAGAGGTACCAGACTGTGTGGAGCTACAGGAGATGATCTGTGAGGCCTGCATGAACAAAAACCTTTTCCTCTGGACCTATGCAGCTCACCTGGCAGGTAAACTTAACTGTTCTTACCACACTGCTCTCTGCCATCTGATATTTGTTCATAGATCAGTGTTAACTCTGGTTTTGCTGTCTTGTGCTGCCGTTACTTAAGAATGACTTCTTTTGTGAAATGTTAAGACATGTGCTTCCTGTTCAGTTCCAGGTACAGATGCGCAGCAGAAAGAGGAAACTGAAGCAGACAAGTCAAACACCAACAAAGAAGAAAAGGTGGGTATAAATCCAGCTGCTAGTCCAGGTGAGAACTAAACAGGTGCATCTTAACAATTGCCAATATTGTATTGAGGGACATTTCCCATCAGTTACAGAGGGAAGTGGAAATTCTGGAAACTTGATTTTCATGAGCTGTAAGCCAAATAGTCTTGAAATAATGTGGATTATATGAAAGTTTACCTTTCCAAATTAAAGTACTGTAAAAAAACCCTCTATTTTGATTTGCTCAGATACACCTGTAGATAATACTCAGAAGTATAATGAGCTACTTCAGGTCAAACTACAGAGACTTTTAGGTCATTGATTACAAGGAACAGCTGATCAGTACCTGTGAACAGGTGTGTATACTGCAGGTTGTCCATGTGTAATTTTGTTGATCACCTTTTAATAATGATCAGTTTGGTTTATTGATTACTCTTTGTGTGTATCAGGACGATGATGTCGTCGAGCCCAGCTGTAAACGGAGCCGTGAGGAGGCGGAGCCGAGCTGCAGACTGAAGGAGTTGCAGGCTTTAGATCAGAAAAGGGTCCAATCAGGGGCTGTTTTCTGGCCCTCCGGCTGGCGCTCAAAACTCTGCACCTGCATCACATGCAAGGTAACGCTCACCTGACGGTTTGTGTTGGACAAATGTTACCTTAACACACTTTAGGTTAGGTATCCAGCATCAGTCACCATCCTGACCCTAGAGGTGCACCTGCTTCGTTTGACTTTGTAGACTTAGTCCCGCCCTCCCTGAGTAACACCGCATCATGGTCTCCCCGGTTTTGTTCTGTGTATGTTCAGTCTGAGTGCCCCCTTTAAAATAACATGTTCATGTTGTCAGGAGAGTCTGAGTGAAGCAGGAGTGTCCTTCCTGTCTGATGAGTCGGACACTGTACTCGCCTACGAAAACAAAGGGAAGACCAATGAACAGACGGCAAGAGGAAACGACCCTCTGATGTCAGCGCTGGACAACCTTAACCGGGTTCAACAGCTGGAGATCATCCACGGTACTCAAACCACAAACACAACACAGAAACCTACAAGAACCACACGCAAAATCACAACCACAACTCCAAAAACCTCCAGGATGCTGTAAAATGTTGAGAGAAACAGATTTTGGTGGTTTAGGAATAACTCATAACGCTGATGTTCCTCATCGTAAAATTACCAACAATCATCGTGAATCAAAAAGTAATATTAAAAGACTCAGAGAGTCTAGAGAAATTTTTAATAAGGAAACAAGAACAACAAAGGGACACAGCCCAAAACCAGTACAAGAAGGCTTCGCTCTTCAGGCCCTCAGGCACCACTGCAATAAAAACAGACATGGCTCTGTAGTGGAATTCACTACATGGGCTCAAAATCACTTTAAAAACTTTGCCTGTGAACCGAGTTTGTTGCTGCATCCACAAATGAAGCTTGTGATCTTTCAGGATACAATGACATGAAAACCGAACTGAAGGACTTCCTGCAGAGATTTGCAGCAGAAGGAAAGGTGAGCAGAACATCCAGTTACATGTGACTGTTTTCTGATTGGCTGGTAGGCTTACGCCTAATGACTTGTGATTATCTGCTCTGTGATTGGCTGATAGGTTGTAACGCCTGATGATATTCGCCAGTTCTTCGAGCAGCAGCAGAGTCGGAAGAGGCAGCGAGTGGATGCCGGTGGCTTCTTCTCCACCTGATGAACTTTGACCTCCTGTCCTGGTCCACGCCTGTTTTGTTGCTTTTTCGTCTGTTTCTTGTTGTTTTCTTTTGAAGAGTGTCGTGGTGGATTTTTAATGTCTTCTCAGTTTTCTTTTAGTCTCTCAGACTCCTTCTTTAAAGCTGTCTCTTTGTGTGTAGAGGTCAGTGTTTAGTGTTTGTGTCGTCCTCGTTTGTTTTTTAATGAAAACTAATAAAACTGAATAAGCTGCAGAACCATGTGGAGTCTTTGTGCATCATCACTGAGAAAATGTTAAGTGCCCTCTGTGTTTTCTGAAATATCCAGAGACACAAATAATACATTTTCACTGTCACATTTACTTTTAATGAATACTAAACTAGAAAAGCACCCGGAGAGCGCAGACCTCCGCCAAGCAGCTCATGTCCCGCCTTAAACAAGAAATACCCTGACCAGGATTCAAACCCAGGACCTTCTGGTTGTGAGGAGACAGTGCTAACCACTACACCACTGTGCCGCCAAAGGTTATGTTTCAGCATTGAAAATTCCAACAACACCCTTATTTTTGTGTGTTCTGGGTCACAGTATCCAGAATTTTGTCCGAATCACCACCAAAATTTAATGGGATCCTCCTGGGACTGAGACGCACCTCTGGTGACAATTTCAGGTCAATCCGTCTGTTACTTTCTCCGTAAAGTTGCTAACAGACAAACAAACCAACAAACAAACAAACCAACGCTACCGAAAACATAACCTCCTTGGCGGAGGTAATTAGACATGTATCTTTAGGACATCTGAAAGGCCCTGGGTGGAGCATCAGCAACTCTCCCACCACATCATACATCAAATACTCGGACGACACAGCCATCCTCGCACTTCTCTCCGATGATAATCAATCAACTCTGGACTATCATGACACAGTTTCCGTTTTCACCAAGTAGTTTACAGACAATAAAACAAAGGAGCTACTGGTCAGCCCCCCCCCAGTCCCCCACCATCATAAACACCCAAACAGTTGAAACAATAGACACATGTAAATATTTAGGAATAACCTTGCTTGGACAATGAACTCTCCTTTGATCAGCACACCACGGACGTAAAAAAAGAAGTCAACAATGCCTGTCAGTCATCCGCAAACTCAAAGGACTATATGTTGCTCCACACCTCCTGTTGTTGCTATATCAAAGTATTACCCTTGGTCATCATTGGTCTACCCACACCCAACCTCACAGAACTGAACAACAGGTCCATCACATGCATAGCAAACTCCATAGCACAAGACACCACTCACCCACTCAAAAAAACATTTCAACCTCCTACCCTCAGGGCGCAGGTACGGAACCCTAAGGTTTCGCAAGGCCCACTTTAGGAAAAGCCTGGTCCTTGCAGCTATAGATGCCCTGAATAGTAGGTCCCGATGAATAATCTGTCCTGCTTGTTGCCAATTGCTGTTGTCCGGGTGTTTGTCATCAGTTGTGTGTTCCTATGTGATGTGCATTTTTGTCCTTTTTATGTAATGTACAGTTGGTGAAGACAAATTTCCCCATGAGGACCAAAACATAGATCGATCGAAACATATTTGGACCACTTCTCCACTTGAATGAATGAATTTGGGGCGTGAGCACTGAGGATGCGAGAGCCCAACTGGAATGTAAGCAATTATTTTTTTCAGGCCTACACATCCCTGAAAACTCATCCTTTTTAGCACACATATCAGGCAGGTGTGGAATGTAGATATTGTAATGGGCTCACCATAAAGAAAATATGCTCAACAGCCCCCTCTAGAGTTTTCAAATCGCCCTCCCTGGAGAGGTTTTTTTTTTTTTTAAACCTAAATGCATAAAGCTCTCAGGGTGTATGTATCATGCCAAGACCTACAAAAAGTATCTTGCATTCCCGATCTAAACCCAACAGGAGGTCACTTTCACTCGAAAGTCTAGTATGGACCAGTTTTAGAGGATTTTCAGGGTGTCTATTTGCATGCATATTGGGATGATGGTGCCTAACTGTGAAGAACTTTGGGGGTCAGAAGAGGAATTTTAAACTCTGCCCTAAATTTAAATGGAAGCCAGTGTACATGTGCTCTCTTCTCCTGGTTCTGGTTGGTTCTCAGGCAGGTGCAAGCACTGGTGACCACTGTAACTAGTGTGGTCTTGATAAGGCAGTCAGCAAAAACACATTCACAGACATCACAAACACTGTCCACCCCAAACCAACCCTGACTGACCTTCACAGTAAAAACTAGTCATCTTGTTTTCCTGCTCTTGGTTTCTCACCAGAAACATCGCTTCTTAATACACGGAATAACAAAGGGGAAATTACACAATTTCCTTTACAGTGTGAAGTGAGAAACGAAGATCACACTGTGAATGATTAGGCTGTTATTAAGGACATGTCCACTGGTAAAGGAAAAAAATAAAACTTATCTATGTGTGTCGTAAAGTTTTGTACCTTCAAACATTAAAAACAAAATGACTAATTTCCACCCCCAGCCCCACTGGCAGGTTGATGTTAAACATAAAAGCACAGAAGAAGCTAAAGTGATGTAAGTGTGAGACTGAGGGTAACAGGATGAGCTGGGTGGAGAAGGAGGCTGTTCTTCGAGTCATTTTTATCAACTCATTTAACCACGAAGAGGAAACTGCAACATCAGATATCATCACAGTCAGACCTGAACAGGTACAAAGTCTCAGCAGAATGGCTCTACTGGATTTCATGTTAATTCTTCTGCTTCTGTTTGAAGGTAAACTGGTGTCTCTTTGTGTATTTGTCAAAATTTAACTGAATGTGATATTTTTATAACTCAAACATGGAGGCCACTGAAACGCCAGTGACCTCTCTGCTCTTTAAAATGAACCATCAGTCACTTTCTGCATCACCACATCACTTTTTTAAATGTAGGCAGTTGTTGAATGAAAAAAAAAAAGATTTCCAGAGATATACTGGTATGTTTGCCGTGCTCTTATATTCAGTTCCTCTTTTCTTTGCAGTGGGCAGCAGTCAAGAACAAATCCATCGTTTCTACAAGCCTGGACAGAATGTGATCCTACCCTGTGGTCTTCAGTCATCTCGTGGACCTCAGTGCTCAAACATCAGATGGCTTTACAAAAGAGATTCATCAGAAACTAAAAATGTGGTCAGCAATGGTAAAGTTGACCAGAGTTCACAGCAAGCTGCTCGGCTGAGTGTGAACACAAATTGCTCTTTGGTTATAAGACAGGCCACTTCTGAGGACGTTGGTCTCTACACGTGTCGGCCATTTGATAATGAGCGTTTTGATGTACATGTGTATCTCAGCCGTCTGAACAGTAAGTCTCATATTTATGTGCTCTGAGTCCATAAGTTCATTTCCTTCCTCACTGCTGTTTGAGACCAAACATGAGGACCTCTCTCAGTTTGCTAATGTATCATAATGTGTTGGATTGGATCGTCCAAAGAGGCACCAATCTAATGGAGCATTTGTAGATGCACGTTTATTTCTGTTAAAAGAAATCTTTCCTTCATTTTAGTGATAGATTCATCAAGTTGTGAAAAGTCTATATTTTTAGTCTTTCTTACTTAGTTTGTTGTTTTGCAAATGAAAAATGAATGTGAAAAGACACACAGAAACACATTAGGGTCTTAAAACTCAGTGACAAACTTGCGGCAGATGTCAAACTTTTCTATAAACTCAGTTATTTTCTTCACTTTTCTTTCAGTCTTTTTGTTTGATCAAACGAGGGATGTAGTTACGTTAGAGTGCTCTCTACTGAGGTTTGAAGGTCTCCGACAGTGTCGACAAAATGCTCTCCGCTGGGTGGACGATACAGGAACAGAGCTGAGGGAAGGTGTCAAAATGCTGAACAGAGGAGCCGACTGTTTTTCCCGCCTGACTGTGAAGCGTCAGAGCGGCAACAACAGGAGATATGTCTGTCAGTATGTTAACAAGGAAAACCGTTTGGATATAGAGGCCGAGTACACACCTGTCTTCACAGGTAGGACCACTTAAAAAGACAGAACTTTGATATTTATTATTCAAAACGACATCCATTTTTATGATGTTTTCATAAGCAAAAAAAAAAAAAAACTTCACAAGTCTTCTTCCTTCTTCCTAATAGGTACATTAACCACCCAGGAACAAAACTTCACCACACCAGGCAAACTGATTTCATCCACAGGGGGAACCAAAGTCAACACAAAGAGTACATATTTAGAAGCTGCTTTGAACTTGTTGTAATAACTATATTGACATTTTCAAGAACTTTTTGTGAAGTTAAAGTGTAAGGTTTTTTAAATTTTATTTTATTTTCTATTTTTATTTATCTTTATTTATCTTTATTAAAATAAAGTCCTCTGACCACAGATCCTGGTTCTGGAACTATACCTAGGACCACTTCAGGTCAGTGACAGTCCAGTTTAAAAAAAGATATAACGACTAAATTTGACCTTAAACATTCAAACACCAACACATGACCACATGTAAACTACCTTTGGAGTGTTTCAAACTCACCTTTCAATCTATAGTTGATTTGTTTTTCTCTTAAAAAAGACAGAACTTTGATATTTGTTATTCAAAACCACATCCATTTTTATGATGTTTCCATATGCAAAAAACAACAACAACAAAAAAAACTTCATAAGTCTTCTTCCTCTTTTGTTATAGGTACATTTACCACCCAGGAACAAAACTTCACCACACCAGCCAAACTGATTTCATCCACAGGGGGAACCAAAGTCAACACAAAGAGTACGTTTTCAGAAGCTGCTTTGAACTTGTTGTAATAACTATATTGACATTTTCAAGGACTTTTTGTGAAGTTAAAGTTTTTTTTTTTTTGCGCCACCTTCAACAGATTCCTCTGAGTGGCGTCCTCTGAGCTACATCATGCTGACTCTGAGAGTGTTAGAGCTGATCTGTATAAGCATAATCATTGTTAAGGTGTACAGACTGAAAGGTGAGAAACAAACACCATCCTTTAATAGAACTAGATCATCTAAATCAGATGTGGCACATGTGAGACACTTTTGATCATTTTCTCCTCAGGGAGCATCAAACCGCTGAGGAAGGACAGCAGTGTGAGTGTAATGTACCAGCTCATGGAGTGACTTTGCTTCTGCTGTGAACTTAGACCCGACAGCTGACGCTCTTTAAACTCTTCTTTTCTGTTTTTTACAGGAGCATGACGTCATTGAATTAAACTATAAAAACATAGAAGAACGTCCGTCTGCTGCTGCTCGACACTGATCAGCTTCAACTCCAACTTTTACTCGCTGCAAAGTCAAATCTGTAAATTTGATGATCATGTTTTTTCTGCTCACTTTCACAGATTTTTACACTTTGAATTTTACTGAATTTTACCCTCTAATGGAAACATTTTAGCAAATTAGTTTGAGATCTGTCTGTTTTGTTCCAAGATTCCCTAAATGTTTGGAAGACTTGGTCTAATGTGTCTCAAGACATTCATGATTCACAGAGGATGAACCCTCATTGACATTGTCATAAACCGGACTGTAAGCAGATTTTTCATCCTGTGCTTTCAGCAGTCTTACACTTCTTGATTCAACTGTTAATTGAGAGACTTCATTGACATTTTGTAGATATTGCAGGTGCCCAGAGGATGAACCCTCATAGGACTATTCTTAAACATGATTTTTACTCCGAGCTTTGAGGACTTTTCCACTTTTTTCTCCATTAAGAAAAGCCAAAAATCTTTCTTTGTGTGGTTACATTGACGCTCAGCACTGATGTTCAGGGTCCCACACTAACATTGTTACCAGCAGTTTTTCGCTTTTGTGCATTAAGTTGTCGTACATTTTTTCTCCATTAAAGATTTTTAAAAGAATTTTATCAAAAGATTACACTCACGTTTTTTTTTTGCGTATATTCAGGGAATTCAGAGGATGAACCCTCATTAAAAATTGGTTCAAGCATGACTTTTATTTAAGTGCCATGAAATAAAATGATGGGTGCTCAAATCTGCATGGTGGTGAGTTTGTCCTCATTTATTCAGTCACTCATACCAGGCAGCCAAGGGCAGCCTGCACACTCAGCGCCAGACGTTTGGATCCTTTCTCGTTAGTTTTACTATCTCAGTCATTTAAAGCTCCTCTAAGGAGTTTTATTGATGTTTATAAAATCAACTGAAAAATATTCTGCTGCCTTTTAATGACATAGAAAAGCAAACAAAACCACCAGCAACAAGACTGACAATTTTCATGCTGCAGTTTTTACTGCCTGAAAATGGTGAGTGGAGGTATCAGCTGAGCAACTGCAGAAAGAGTCATAATTTTAGCATTTAAAATAAATTAAATGCTTCATTGTCAAATTTTTGAAGGATTGAATTTAGTTTTGAGTTAAAAAAGTAAAGACTGCTTTGTCTACTGGGGCGGGGAGCAATAATTGACTCACACTTCTAATTCCTCACAGGAACTTTATGCATTTATTTTTGAGTCGCAAGTTCTTGAGGCCCAATTATAATCTGGATTTGTCAGGTTGTTTTCTTTTTTCAAGACAAGGTTTACAAAAAATAAACAACACTTGCCTGGAAAAAACAAACAAACAAAACTAAAAACCAAAAACTGAGATTATTCACTCACCAGGAAAGTGGACTTGAAGGTAAAAGATCAGCAGAGAAATGAGAGAACTCTCTGGTAGACCTCTGTCAAACCTTATTTTGCAGCATTTCCCCCCTGCTGGCCATCTGAAGAAATGCCTCTTTAGTCTTGCCTTCCTTCTCAGTGGAAACGCGGAGTTGAGGTCATCCTCTTGGTAATTCTTGTGGTGACTGTTTTTCTCTTGAATTGTCTTGTGTTTATAAAGAAATAACTGCAGAAAGCGAAAAAAAAAACTTTTATCTCATTCTCAGCCGTGTTTTATGTTCGGGGCGAATATGTGCTGACAGGAAGTGCAGCCTTACAATACACCTAACATTCAAGTTTTTATGGCCATGGTTTTTTTGTTAAACCTGCCACCTCCTGTTTTAATCACGTCTTCTCATGGGATGTAGATGACAACATTTCCTCTACTTAATGAAATGAGAAATTGTCAATCAGTCTCGCTGCAGAGGGACAGCCTATAGAGAGGGAGCTCCCAAGTTACTGGATACATGCATGAAAACTTGTTTTCATAGCTGCTTCTCTAAAGGAGGAATCATGACAAAGTACTCTCTGGATGTCCTTTCTGTTAAAAACACACGCAATAAGCATCCTGTAAATGTCTTTTAAGCATGTAAAACATTTTAAAAGTGCCCAATGGATACCCTTTCAGCAAATAGAGGTTAAAAAGTCTCCTCTGGATGCCCTTTCCAGTGAAAGTAAGTTAAAAATTGCCCTTAAGATGCTCTTCCAGAAAATACAGCACAAAAAGTGCTTTTAGGGTGTCCTTACAGTAAAATGTAGGTAAAAAGGTGCCCTCTGATTCGTTGCTACTAAAATCAGCATCTTAAGTCCTCTCTGGATACCCTTCCAGTGCTAAAAGCAGACAAACAGCACTATTTGGTTGCTCCTTCAGCGCTTTTATACTGAATTACCCTCTCTATGCTCCTTTGGTATAAAAACGTGCAAAAAGCATCTCTGGGATTTCCCCCCTGCTGCATAAATATTGCAAAAAGTGCCACCAGGCTGCCCTTTCAGTAAAATTAGTATATAAGTATAAACATATATCTCTAGGACATCTGAAAGGCCATGGCAGGAGTACAGTTCCTTAAAGCCAAACAGACCCCACTGGTTTCCATGATAAAAGTCCATTTGTACAGCAGAATTATACCAAGTCACAGTCTGGTTAAGAAAACATTTTTGGACCACTTCTCCACTTACATTAATGAAAAAATGATATGAGGAGAGCGCTTGGAGTCCTTTGCATCTGCAGTTTACGTCATGCATAAATAAAGAGAACAGTATTTAGGGCCTGAGCACTGAGGATGCAAGAGCCCTACTGGAATGTAAGCAATTATTTTTTTCGGGCCTCAACGTCCCTGAAAACTCATCCTTTTTTGCACACATATCAGGCAGGTGTGGAATGTAGATATTGTAATAGTTCTCACAATAAAGAAATTGTGCTCAACAGCACCCTCTAGAGTTTGCAAGTCTCATTTGCAAGAGTGTCCTGGCCAAGACAGGCAGCAGTACATTAACAATTTTTTCTTGTAGCAGATTCCAGTCTGCAGGAGCAGCATATCTAAAACTTCTTTTGCTCATTTCAAGATGAACTTTGGGGACGGCTAGATTTTGTGTCAAAGGCCATAGCTTCCAGAACTTTTAACGTGAATACAATTACACAAGTATAGTGGAAGCAGGCAAAGTACAGCCTTGTAAATCAGAATGTACCAATGGGTCAGTCTATGCATGCTTAGAGAGGGCCACCCAACTTGCTCATACAGTGTACAATGATGAGTTAGAGCCTTGAGGTTTGTTATGAACCTTAGAGCTCCATAATAAACAGTATCCAAAGATTTAAGGCTTTGAGCAGATGTTTTATACATGCATGTTTAAAACGTCACCATAATCAATCAGAGGCATGAAAGCAGCAGCAACAAGATGCTTTTCTTGCAGCAAAAGAAAAACAAGAACTATTTCTGAAGTAAAAGCTCAGCCGCAACCTAAGCTTCTTACAAGCTGCTCAATATGGAGCTTAAAAGACAGAGAGTCATCTATCACAAACCCAAGGTATTTATAAGAAGGTACAGACTCAATCACGTCACCCTGAGCTGTAACAATAGACGGCAGGACCTGTGACCTGCATCCTGCAGAAGACAAAGGGCTTGATTCTGTGTGGGGGCCAAGCAATAAATAACAGTATTGTCCGCATATAAATGAAAATTTGCATTGGGAACATTATGACAGATACTGTCAATATACAGAGTAAATAAAAGCCTTGTGGTACACCATTTAAGACATTAAGGTACTCAGAGGTTAAGCCCCCAGCTTTCACACACTAAGATCTGTTTGTCAAGTAATTGCCAAACCACGAGACTGAGTGCTCAGACGGACCAATACTCTGGAGTCTTCATCATTTTTCTTCCGCTTATCTGGGTCTAGGACATGGGGGCAGCAGTTTCAGGAGAGAAGCCCAGATGGCTCTCACCTCAGTCACTTCCACCAGCTCCTCTGGGGGGATTCCCAGGCGCTCCCAGGCCAGGCGAGAGATATAATCCCTCCTTGGGACATGTCTAGAACACCTCTAATGGGAGGCATCCAGAAGGCATCCTAACCAGATACCCAAGCCACCTCAGCTGCCTCCCCTCGACCTGGAGGAGCAGCGGTTCTACTCTGATCGCCTCCCGAGTGCCCAAGCTCCTTACCCTATCTCTAAGGCTGAGCCCGGCCACACTGAAAAGGAAAGCCATTTCGGCCGCTTGTATCTGCGCTCTTGTTCTTTCAGTCATTACCCAAAGTTCATGACCATAGGTGAGGATCCGCACGTAGATTGACTGGTAAATTGAGAGTCTCGCCTTACGGCTCAACTCTTTCTTCACCACGACAGATCAGTTAAGCGTCCGCATCACTACTGATACTGCTCCAATCCACCTGTCGATCTCCTACTCCATCCTACCCTCACTTGTGAACAAGATCCCAAAATACTTAAACTCCTCCACTTGAGGCAGGACCTCCCCTCTGACCTGCAGAAGGCAATCTACTTTTTTCCGACTGAGGGCCATGGCTTCAGACTTGGAGGTGCTGATTCACATCCCAGCTGCTTCACAATTGGCTGCGAACCGCCCCAGCAAGAGCTGCAGGTCACTTCTTGACAAAGAAGAACCACATCATTCGCAAAAAGCAGCTACGCGATCCTCTGCCTGCCGAACTGGACATCCTCCATCCCCCGGCTGCGCCCAGAAATTTTGTCCATAAAGGTTATGAACAAAACGGGTGACAAAGAGCAGCCCTGGCGGAGTCCAACTCTCATCGGAAATGAATCTGACTTACAACTGGCTACACGGACCAAGCTCATGCTCCTTTGATAACGGGATTGGACGACCCTTATCCACCCCGTACTCCCGGAGGACCCCCACATGATTCCCTTAGGGACACGATCGTAGGCCTCCTCTCTAAGTCCACAAAACACATTTGGACTGGTTGGGCAAACTCCCATCTCCCCTCAAGAACCTGAGCAAGGGTGAAGAGTTGATCTGTAGTTCCGCAACCTCCTCGATCCGTGGTTCAACTATCAATTGGACCCTCTTTTTCAGCACCCTGGTGTAAGCTTTTCCAGGGAGGCTGAGGAGCGTGATCCCCTATTAGTTGGAACACACCCTCTTGTCCTCCTTCTTAAAGATAGGGACCACCAACCCGGTCTGCCAATCCAATGGCACTGCCCCCAATTTTCATGCAATTTTGTAGAGGCGCATCAGCCAGGACAGCCCCACCACATCCAGAGCCTTCAGATACCCTGGGTGGATCCTTTGCCACGGAGTTGTTTTACTACCTCTGCGACTTCTACCCCAGTGATTGGACGATCCACCTCCAGGTCCTCAAATTCTGTTTCCCCTTGGGAATGCATGACGGTTGCCATGAAGTTGCCATCTGCCACCCCTGAGGTGCCATACAGTGTGCCATAATCTTTTTGGAGCTGACCGAAAGTCTTCCTCCATGGCCTCACCAAACTCTGCAACTGCCCCAGCCATGGACCGCTTAGCCAACCAGTACCGTTCAGCTGTTTCTGGAAATCCACAGACCAACCATGACCTGTACGCCTCCTTCTTCAGCCTGACGACTCCCCTCACCTCTGGTGTCCACCATCGGTTCAGGGATTATGGTCAACAGTGTCGAAAGCCTTGGACAAATAAATAAAAAGAGCTGCACAATGTTCCTTTATACCCAAAGAATTCATAAAAAATTAATGACCACTTTAAGAGCAGCTGTGGTTGTGCTGTGTTTTTTCCTAAAACCCGACTGATATTCTGCTAAAATTGTATCAGAAATTAAAAACATGTATGTATGTATCATGCCAAGACCTACAAAAAGTATCTTTCTTTCCCACTCTCAACCTAACAGGAAGTCAATTTCACTTGAAAGTCTAGTTTGGACCAGTTTTAGAGGATTTTCAGGGCGTCTATTTGCGTGCATTTTGGGATGGACGTGTTCTGGTGGGGTTATAAGGGACTAAGAGTTCTTTAAAATATGATGGTGCCTAACCGTGAAGAACTTTGTGGGGGGCAGAGGAGGAATTTTAAACTCTGCCCTAAATTTAAATGGAAGCCAGTGTACATGTGCTCTCTTCTCCTGGTTCTGGTTGGTTCTCAGGCAGGTGCAAGCACTGGTGACCACTGTAACTAGTGTGGTCTTGATAAGGCAGTCAGCAAAAACACATTCACAGACATCACAAACACTGTCCACCCCAAACCAACTCTGACTGACCTTCACAGTAAAAACTAGTCATCTTGTTTTCCTGCTCTTGCTCTTCAGAAACATCGCTTCTTAATACACGGAATAACAAAGGGGAAATTACACAATTTCCTTTACAGTGTGAAGTGAGAAACGAAGATCACACTGTGAATGATTAGGCTGTTATTAAGGACATGTCCACTGGTAAAGGAAAAAAATAAAACTTATCTATGTGTGTCGTAAAGTTTTGTACCTTCAAACATTAAAAACAAAATGACTAATTTCCACCCCCAGCCCCACTGGCAGGTTGATGTTAAACATAAAAGCACAGAAGAAGCTAAAGTGATGTAAGTGTGAGTCTGAGGGTAACAGGATGAGCTGGGTGGAGAAGGAGGCTGTTCTTCGAGTCATTTTGAACAAGTCATTTAACCACGAAGAGGAAACTGCACCATCAGATATCATCGCAGTCAGACCTGAACAGGTACAAAGTCTCAGCAGAATGGCTCTACTGGATTTCATGTTTATTCTTCTGCTTCTGTTTGAAGGTAAACTGGTGTCTCTTTGTGTATTTGCCAAAATTTAACTGAATGTGATATTTTTATAACTCAAACATGGAGGCCACTGAAACTCCAGTGACCTCTCTGCTCTTTAAAATGAACCATCAGTCACTTTCTCCATCACCACATCACTTTTTTAAATGTAGGCAGTTGTTGAATGAAAAAAAAAAAAAAGATTTCCAGAGAGATGCTGGTATGTTTGCCGTGCTCTTATATTCAGTGCCTCTTTTCTTTGCAGTGGCCAGCAGTCGAAAAGAAATCCATCGTGTCTACCAGCCTGGACAGGATGTGATCCTACCCTGTGATTCTTATTCATCTCGTGGACCTCAGTGCTCAAACATAGAATGGCTTTACAACAAAGATTCATCAGGAACTATAAATGTGGTCAGCAATGGTAAAGTTGACCAGAGTTCACGGCGAGCTGCTCGAATGAATGTGAACACAAACTGCTCTTTAGTAATAAGACAGACCACTGCTGAGGATTTTGGTCTCTACACGTGTCGGCCATTTGATAATGATCATCGTTTTGATGTACGTGTGTATCTCAGCCATCTGAACAGTAAGTTTCATATTTACTGTCATTAACTTTGTGCTCTGAGTCCATCAAGTTGTGAAAAGTCTATATTTTTAGTCTCTATTACTTGTTTTGTAAATGAAAAATCCTGTTTGCTGTGCTCTTATATTCAGTTCCTCTTTTCTTTGCAGTGGGCAGCAGTCAAAAAGAAATCCATCGTTTCTACCAGCCTGGACAGTATGTGACCTTACCCTGTGATTCTTATTCATCTCGTGGACCTCAGTGCTCAGACATAGGATGGCTTTACAACAGAGATTCATCAGGAACTAAAAATGTGGTCAGCAATGGTAAAGTTGACAGGAGTTCACGGCGAGCTGCTCGACTGAATGTGAACACAAACTGCTCTTTAGTCATTAGACAGACCACTGCTGAGGATGTTGGTCTCTACACGTGCCGGCCATTTGATAATGATGAGCGTTTTGATGTACGTGTGTATCTCAGCCATCTGAACAGTAAGTCTCATATTTACTGTCATTAACTTTGTGCTCTGAGTCCATCAAGTTGTGAAAAGTCTATATTTTTAGTATTTCTTACTCAGTTTGTTGTTTTGTGAATGAAAAATCCTCATTTTGTTGTTAGTTGAACAATGACAACAAAAGACACAGAAACACATCAGGGTCTTGAAAATAATTGACAAACTTACAGCAGATGTCAAACTTTTCTTTTAACTCAGTATTTTCTTTGCTTTTCTTTCAGTCTTGTCTTTAGTTCAAACGAGGGATGATGAAGTTACGTTAGAGTGCTCTCTGCTGAGGTATGAACGTCTCCCAGAGTGTCGACCAAATGCTCTCCGCTGGGTGGACGATACAGGAACAGAGCTGAGGGAAGGTGTGTCAAAGCTGAACAGAGGAACCGACTGTTTTTACCGCCTGACTGTGAAGCGTCAGAGCGGCAACAACAGGAGATATGTCTGTCAGTATGTTAACAAGGAAAACCATGTGGCGATACAGGCCGAGTACACACCTGTCTTCACAGGTAGGACCACTTCAGGTCAGTGACCAACAACACATGTATGCATGTTTATCCTTTAAGTTGACTCGAATCCATGAAATAGTCATTGGATAATTAATGTCAAGAAACAAATGAACAAAATATGCTATTATTAAAATAAAGTCCTCTGACCACAGACCCTGATTCCGGAACTATACCTAGGATCACTTCAGGTCAGTGAAAGTCTAATTTAAAAAAAGATATAATGACTTAATTTGACCTTAAACATTCAAACACCAACACATGACCACATGTAAATGTCACTTTTTAGACTTATGTTGATTTGTTTATTCTCTTAAAAAGACAGAACTTTGATTAGAAACCATATTAATGTTTTATGGTGTTTTCATAAGCAAAACAAAAACAGACAAACAAAACAACAACAACAACAACAACAACAAAAAACAACTTCATAAGTCTTCTTCCATTTTCCTAATAGGTACATTAACCACCCAGGAACAAACCTTCACCACACCAGGCAAACCGATTTCATCCACAGGGGGAACCAGAGTTAACACAAAGAGTACGTTTTCAGAAGCTGCTTTGAACTTGTTGTAATAACTATATTGACATTTTCTAGGACTTTTTGTGAAGTTAAAGTTTTTTTGTTTTTTTTTTAAGCCCCAGCTTCAACAGAGTCCTCTGAGTGCCGTCCTCTGAGCTACATCATGCTGACTCTGAGAGTGTTAGAGCTGATCTGTATAAGCATAATCACTGTTAAGGTGTACAGACTGAGAGGTGAGAAAAAAACACCATCCTTTAATAGAACTAGATCATCTAAATCAGATGTGGCACATGTGAGACACTTTTGATCATTTTCTCCTCAGGGAGCATCAAACCGCTGAGGAAGGACAGCAGTGTGAGTGTAATGTACCAGCTCATGGAGTGACTTTGCTTCTGCTGTGAACTTAGACCCGACAGCGGTCGCTCTTTAAACTCTTCTTTTCTGTTTTTTACAGGAGCATGACGTCATTGAATTAAACTATGAAAACATAGAAGAACATCCGTCTGCTGCTGCTCGACACTGATCAGCTTCAACTCCAACTTTAACCCACTTCAAAGATCCGCCTGTTTTGTTCCATGATTCACAGAGGATGAACCCTCATTGACACTGTCATAAACCAGACTGTAAAGAGATTTTTCATCCTGTGCTCTCAGCAGTCTTACACTTCTTTATTTAACTGTTAATTGAGATATTTCATTGAAATTTTGTAGATATACCCAGAGGATAAACCCTAATAGACAAATTCTTAAACGTGACTTTTACTCCAAGCTGTGAGGACTTTTCCACTCTTTTCTCCATTAAAAAAATCCAAAAATCTTTCTTTGTGTGGTTACATTGACACTCGGCATTGATATTTAGGTTCCCGGAGGATGAACCCTCACTAACATTGTTACCAACAGTTTTTTGCTTTTGTGCATTAAGTTGTCTTACATTTCTTCTCCACTAAAATTTTTAAGAAGAACTATATCAAGATATTTCACTGAAGTTTTTTTTTCGCATATATTCAGGGAATTCAGAGGCTGAACTCTCATTAAATTGGTACAAGCATGACTTTAAAGGCACCAGACGTTTGGATCCTCTATTGTTGGTTTTACTTTCTCAGTCAATTAAAGCTCCTCTAAGGAGTTTTATTGATGTTCATAAAATCAACTGAAAATTATTCTGCTGCCTTTTAATGACATACAAAAGCAAACAAAACCACCAGCAACAAGACTGACAATTTTCATGCTGCAGTTTTTACTGCCTGAAAGTGGTGGGTGGAGGTATCAGCTGAGCAACTGCAGAAAGAGTCATTATTTTAGCATTTATAATAAATATTCACAATAAATTAGATGCTTTTTGTAAATTTTCTGAAGGATTACATTTTGTTTTGAGTTGAAAAAAGCAACGACTGCTATGTCTGCTGGGGGAAGCAAAAATGGACTTGTACTTCTAACTCCTCAACTGTCAACCTTAAGTCTTAATTTTTGAGTTGAAACATCTTGAGGTTCAATTTGAATCTGGATTTGTCAGGTTGTGTTTTTTTTCAAGACAAGGTTTACAAAAAATAAACTACACTGCCCTGAAAATAACAAACAAACAAAAAACCCACCACCAACAACAAAAACCCTTAAAACTAAAAACAGGTCATTTACCCACCAGAAAACTGGACTTCAAGGTAACAGATATCAGCTGAGAAATGGGAGAACCCTCTGGTAGACCTCAGTCGAACCTTATTTTGCAGCACTCGCCACAGAGGGACAGCTTAAAAAGGAGCTCCCAAGTAACTGGATACAAGCATAAAAACTTGCCGTTACATCCTGATAGGCTCGGGGTATTTAAGACTAACAAAAATGGCAATTATAAAACCAGGTAAGGATGGAAATAAAAAGAGAACGGCAAGGATATGCAATAACTCAAAAATTTGATAATGAAACTCAGGTCAGCACTACCACAAAAGTTAAACAATCCTCACAAAACTGAGGATGATAATAATTATAACAACAAAAAGCGATCCTCTCAAAACAGGGCGACTAACAAAGAACAGGTGACAGCTACAAAAACTCACCAAAGGGAAATAAAAGAGACACCATACGGTCTAAAACAAAGAGATATCACTTTTTTAATCACTATAGAAAATCACACTCAAGCTGCAACTGCTGCACTGCAGAACGTCACTCTGGGCTGAGAGTGAGAGACTGAGACGCATGTCCTCTGCTCCCTTTATTGCAGCAGCTGCAGGAGCTGAGTATCCCGCAGTTAGAGAGTGGAGCACACCCACAGACACTCTCACATAGACACTCCCACACAGGTACATCCACACAGATACATCCTAACTTTCACATGCAGACACACCCACACAGATACTCACACTTAGACACTCATACACTCTCGGACACTCACACACATGTATATTCGTAACACTCGCTTTCATAGCTGCTTCTCTTAAGGAGGAATCATGACAAAGTACCCTCTGGTCAATTCAAACAAACCAATGGAACGTACTCAAGGTTGTAATCACAAAAACACAGCTTCATCAAGATGTATACAAAGACACCAGGTAGAAAGCTGGCTTGCTTTACAAAAAACCTATATCCAAATGTGTTCTGCTAAAATATGATGTTAGTTCTTTTTAGTCAACTGGGTGTAATTTGTAGTATTAGGTGGTAGGTGGCTCTCCAGGACCAGGACTTAAGAAACTTGTTTTAATGCTTCTGCAAAAGAAAGGACTTTAGTCAGTGTTCTGCTGGTTAGATAAATAGATAGATAGATATACTTTATTGATTCCAAACTGGGAAATTCTTGAAATTTTTGATACAGATCATTGCAAATTGTTTGACGAACATGCATATCATTTCTATTTATTAAATGTAATCTACAATGTTATCAGGGTGGGGGAGATAAAAGACACAAGTTGGACATAACACACGTAACATTAACCTCAGCTGGATTTTTAGTTCGTCAATATTCCGGGCCCAGTGCTGTTCCGTTAGTTTATAACGTATTTTAACTAATTTCAGCCCCCCTTGAAGAAACGGTTCTTCACACACACACACACACACACACACACACACACACACACACACACACACACACACACACACACACACACACACACACACACACACACACACACAATCCATTGTCTCAGGACTTGTTGAAAAGTTGTTTTGAAATAAAAATAAATGAAATGTTTATGTGTTATATGTTGTCCCCATGACAAAAGTACAAAAAACAAACTAAGTAACACAAGCACATTGACATCACAACCCTCTCCATAATTTATGTCCTCTTCCTCTTTTTGACGCTGCAGCTGTGTCTTAAAAACAGACACCATATTAATAACTTCATCATTTCTGTATTGGCATCACAAACACACGGCATCACATCCATTCATTTATTCAATTTAAAACGTTGTGCACCAAACCCTTGGGGTGTCTTTGATAATCACTCTCCCTGTTTTACATTTATTGTCCATTTGATGGCACAGTAGAGCAAATGAAGCACAATAACGAAGCTTCGGCCCAGGAGTCGAGTAATTGGATGGAAAGCTTCAATGCTTCAAGAAGTTTCATCTCACCATCACTAGCAACGAACCTCTTCCTCGAGCGCATGCGTTTCATTATTTGGGTTGACTTGACATGGAAGACATACACTGACCTATAACCTTATGACCAACAACCCTTGAACAACTATGCGAAGGCTCGCAAATGTTTTGTGAGATCAAAAATTGCAAAAAATATCTTGGGTGAAAAATGACCTCTAGATGTCCTTCAAGTCTAAAATCGAAGTTAAAAAGTGCCCTCTAGATGCCCATCCAGTAAAACAAGGCACCTTTTGGATTTCTTTTTTATGTTGATTATATTACACAGGTGCCTTTCAGATGCCCATCCAGCAAAACGAAGATTAAAGTGCCCTCTGGATGCCTCTCTATTCAAATTCAGGTCAAAAGTGCCCTCTAGATTCCATCATCTGTTTACTGATGACCATGTGAAGAATGACTGATCAATTCTTACTGTGTGGATCAAGCAGAAAGTAGCACTTGAAACTTTTTATTCAGACTTTGAAAATAAAAAAGCATCACATTGTGTAAAATGCAAATAAAGAAAAGAACTGCCTTGAGCCATAAAACCCCCAAATGTAGAGCCTCCTCTCACAGCTCTGGAGATTACATTTTCATTTTTTTTTTTTACTTCATTATTCGACATTCGATCAGATCATATTTGAGTCATTCTGTTACAAAACTGTAAAAAAGGAGGAAGTTAAATCCTGTTTATCTGTTAACCAACAAACTGTTCTGTGTAACTAACCTGCATATGTTTCTAGATGGTGGGTGCCATGTGAGAAGGAACTTAAGTGATGTAAGCCTGTGGGCCCTACTGCAGGCTGGGTGGTGAGAAAACTGTTTCTCAAGTTATTTTAATCCACTTGTTAGCCCACAAAGAGGAAACTGCACCAGTGCTGAGCATCACATTCAGAGCGGCATGGACTCAAAGTCTCAGCAAACTTCTGCCTGCTGATGGAGAATGAACACAGAATGACTCTGCTGGGTTTAATACTTGTTTTGGTGACTCTGTTTGAAGGTAAGCTGACCTTCTTTAAATATTGGTCAAAATTTTACTGAAGGGGATACTTGTGAGAAACTGGTGAGAAAAACTGCTGCCAGAAACACTACTCTCCTGCCTCTTGGCTTTAAAATTGAACCCTCAGTTATGTCAGCTGGGACTCGAACTCTATCAAAGTGGATTTTTAGCACAGAAGAGTCGGATTGAAAACACCCACATGAAGAAACATTAACACATCAGATTGGTCTTTAATCCTTTGGTGGTTTTTAGAAATTCCTCAAACTTGATTAACTTTATTCTCTTTTATTTTTCAGTCTTTAGATTTATCTTCAAACAAAATCCAGGGAAATAAATTATGTTGACATATAACATATTAGAAGACTTAAAACTGGTTATTTTAACTTCACATTTCTGCTCCAGACTGTAGAACACTTCCTAAAAATAAATTACATAACATAACAGAAAAAGTCGGATGAGCTGAGATTTTGCCACATGACAGAGCTGTTATTACCGCTGACAAACCCGTCATAATCTGGCCCCTAATCTTAAAGCTGTTTCTTTACTTCAACAAAAAAAACAGTCCAAATGATGTCAGAACTGTACTTGCTCTTCAATCACATTGAGATTATTAACTCATGCTAAAATGTGACAAATTTTAATGTCAATTTAACTCAAGTTTTTCTCAACTTTATAATTTAACAAGGTTTGATAGCTTTCTCCAGAGATAACCTGAAATGAAGCTGTTAGAAACGCAGCTCTCTTGCTTTTACACCAATTGTTGTGTGATGGCTCTGTTATTACAGAAAGATGTACAGCTGAATGAGACAGACTTGAGTTTAAAAGAGTAAAATAGTGATGAACCCACGATGAAACAGCACGGCGGAAAAAAAAGAAATCCTGGCACACAGGGTCAGAAAAAGGTTTACATTCCAGTCAGCAAATGTTTGTCAGCGGACGTCCTGACATTACCTACTTGTTGCATGGTGTAATATCTCTGTCTGATATGTAACTGAACTGTACAAACAAAACAACAACAACTATAACAAAAATTGGCACCTGTATCGGTGATATAGTGCTTCGAAAGCAACATTTTTACAATGGTAGCAATTCAAACAGTCTCAGCTGATGACTGTCCAACAAGAGTGTGGTTCTGCTCAAGGTTTCTGCCTGAGTCTTTGTCCATAAGACGAGACACAGTCTCTTCTTATTTTGACATTGGGTCTTTTTAAGTTATGAAACGTACTTTTTTTTTAAAGCATCTGGAAGTATAGATAATGACTGATTAATTGATTGCTGCAGGTGACACAGTTCAAGGCTGGTGATTGTGTATGAAGGGAAAAAACAAAAAAAGCACATTTTTGAAGATCACAGACTCAAAATGAACTCTGGGTCATCAAGAAACAGGACAAAAGGAGGAGTCCAGGCCTTGCTACCTACATGCCCTTACTATATACATTTATTATTCATAACATTTAGCTTTACTGAAGTAAAAACTACCAAGTTTTAATTGCTTTACTTTCCACACAGTTTCCACAAACAAAGACTGAGGAATGGAGACTCAAACTGAAGCTAAATGCATGTTTTTTTTTTCTGCTGCTTGGCCTTCAAGCACTTTCCTTTTTGCTTCGGCAGCCCAGTGGACGTTCAAGGAACTGCAGTTTTCTGTGCTCCCACATAACCATGAGTTTTCAACACTAGATGTTGCTCCTTTGCCAAACTAAGAACTGACAGTGATTTGTATTATATTTTAAGAATAACGTTATTGTCAAAGGTATGTTTGCCGTGCTCTTATATTCAGTTCCTCTTTTCTTTGCAGTGGGCAGCAGTCAAGAACAAATCCATCGTTTCTACCAGCCTGGACAGGATGTGATCCTACCCTGTGGTCCTTATTCATCTCGTGGACCTCAGTGCTCAAACATCAGATGGCTTTACAACAGAGATTCATCAGAAACTAAAAATGTGGTCAGCAATGGTAAAGTTGACCGGAGGTCACAGCGAGCTGCTCAGCTGAGTGTGAACACTGACTGCTCTTTAGTCATTAGACAGACCACTGCTGGGGATGTTGGTTTCTTTACATGTCGGCCATATGATAATGATGATCGTTATGATGTACGTGTGTATCTCAGCCATCTGAACAGTAAGTCTCATATTTACTGTCATCAAATTTGTGCTCTGAGTCACAGACTTCATTTCCTCTCTCACTGCAGTTTGAGACCAAACATGAGGACCTCTCTCAGTTTTAACCCACATTATGGTCTTAAAATCAAGTGACAAACTTGCAGCAGATGTCAAACTTTTCTATAAACTCTGGTATTTTCTTCACTTTTCTTTTCAGTCTCTTCTTTTGGTCAAACGAGGGATGATGAAGTTACGTTAGAGTGCTCTCTACTGAGGTATGAACGTCTCCCAGAGTGTCGACCAAACCCTCTGCGCTGGGTGGACGGTACAGGAACAGAGCTGAGGGAAGGTGTCTCAAAGCTGAACAACGGAACCAACTGTTTTTACCGCCTGACTGTGAAGCGTCAGAGCGGCAACAACAGGAGATATGCCTGTCAGTATGTTAACAAGGAAAACCATGTGGCGATACAGGCCGAGTACACACCTGTCTTCACAGGTAGGACCACTTCAGGTCAGTGACCAACAACACATGTATGCATGTTTATCCTTTAAGTTGACTCGAATCCATGAAATAGTCATTGGATAATTAATGTCAAGAAACAAATGGAAAAAATATGCTATTATTAAAATAAAGTCCTCTGACCACAGACCCTGGTTCCGGAACTATACCTAGGACCACTTCAGGTCAGTGAAAGTCTAATTTAAAAAAAGATATAATGACTAAATTTGACCTTAAACATTCAAACAACAACACATGACCACATGTAAACTACCTTTAGAGTGTTTCAAACTCACCTTTCAGACTAATGTTGATTTGTTTTTCTGTTAAAAAGACAGAACTTTGATATTTATTATTCAAAACCACATCCATTTTTATGATGTTTCCATATGCAAAAACAAAAACAAAAAAAAAAAAAACAACAACTTCATAAGTCTTCTTCCTCCTTCCTAATAGGTACATTTACCACCCAGGAACAAACCTTCGCCACACCAGGCAAACCGATTTCATCCACAGGGGGAACCAAAGTCAACACATGGGGCTCTATTTTGGTGCCTCGCCGGAGACGTGCCGCAAGTGCAGCGTCAGTCAGATCCGCCGCGCTGACAAGGCGTTCCCAAGCACATTTTGGTATTTTGGTGAGCCGCGCAGCCCGGCGTAAGTATCCCCCCTCCCTAACTCAGCTCCTCCCAGCACCATAAGTCGTAACGGGGAGGAGAAAGGGCGTGAAGTCGGTTTAACACAGCCGAGACCTGTTTTCACCAATCACATAGGCTCCTCTCCTTGCCTTTAAATCCGCCAAAGGCGAGGCGTATTACTATTTTCATGAAGTAGTCAAAGAGATCAAGAGATGTCTTAAGACAGTAATGCCACAAGATGGCGACAGAGGGCAGCTCCTCAACAAGTGTCCTCCACACTCTCTCATATGAGCACAGATGGATTTAGTGTGCGTAATGTTGGACCCACTGGTAAGACAAACACCCTTTTCCACAAATAAAGACACTCACATAAAGTTGCTCATATTCAAACCTCACGTAACAAAGGTGGGTTGTGCGCACAGATCACAACATAAACTCCAAAAATGGCATTAAAATCGGAACCATCTGTGCGTAAATGACGCATCGCGCTCCGTGGCCTGGCTCTTTCTTTCATAGATGTTGGCATATAAAATAAATTTGGCTCACAAAACTGAATATTATAATATCCGTATGTCGGCTTAAAGTAGATAACGCATCTGAGCACTGAAACAAATCATCTGTTCAGCTGCAGCAGCAGCAAGACGGACAGAGGACACGGAGGCGTGTCCAGGTCGAGCTGTGCGAGAAATAAGAGGAAGAGGAAGAAAGAAAAGGAGGGAGACGAATTACATATCTAGTTAACTTCATCATGTGTGTTTATTTACTAGATATTTAATTTAATTTTATGCGGTTTCAGCTGTGTTGATTCGGTCAGGTTGTGTGTCCAAACGCGTGCCAAACGCGCTCATCAGATCACATATAGATCAGAATATATCGATATAGATCTAAATGTATGTGCTGACTCAGATTAATAGTTGATGATGATTATTTATTGCACTGAAATGTGCCTGACACTGTGGAAACCTGCCGGTGAGGCATCAGTGACGTATGTCGATACGCCGCCGGTCTACCAAAATACTACCAGACCAGCTGCGTTCCGCCTTGCGCTGAAAGCTGACCAGGTTTGAATCGGCGAGCTTTCAGCGCACTTTACACGCCGTTGGCGAGCACGAAAATGTCACTGCGCCAGCTGATTCTGTCGACACCTCCCCCTGCCACACCACCACGCCCAGCTTGGCGGATCTCCGCTCGCCTCCGTGCGGCTCATGCCACGAAAATACCAAATTGGCCTTACGCTGGGCTCCGCCAGACGAAAATACAACTGCGCGGGGCTCGCCGCCCTCCGCCGCCTCACCGGCGCGAACGAAAATAGAGCCCATGAACTACATTTTCAGAAGCTGCTTTGAACTTGTTGTAATAATTATATTGACATTTTCAAGAACTTTTTGTGAAGTTAAAGTTTTGTTGTTTCTTTTTAGCCCCAGCTTCAACAGATTCCTCTGAGTGGTGTCCTCTGAGCTACATCATGCTGACTCTGAGAGTGTTAGAGCTGATCTGTATAAGCATAATCACTGTTAAGGTGTACAGACTGAAAGGTGAGAAAAAAACACCATCCTTTAATAGAACTAGATCATCTAAATCAGATGTGGCACATGTGAGACACTTTTGATCATTTTCTCCTCAGGGAGCATCAAACCGCTGAGGAAGGACAGCAGTGTGAGTGTAATGTACCAGCTCATGGAGTGACTTTGCTTCTGCTGTGAACTTAGACCCGACAGCGGTCGCTCTTTAAACTCTTCTTTTCTGTTTTTTACAGGAGCATGACGTCATTGAATTAAACTATGAAAACATAGAAGAACGTCCGTCTGCTGCTGCTCGACACTGATCAGCTTCAACTCCAACTTTTACTCGCTGCAAAGTCAAATCTGTAAATTTGATGATCATGTTTTTTCTGCTTACTTTCACAGATTTTTACACTTTGAATTTTACAGAATTTTACTCTCTAATGGAAACATTTTAGCAAAATAGTTTGATATCTGTCCGTTTTGTTCCAGCTCAAAATTCCCTGACCGTTGGGAAGACTTGGTCTAATGTGTCTCAAGACATTCATGATTCACAGAGGATGAACCCTCATTGACATTGTCATAAACCAGACTGTAAAGAGATTTTTCATCCTGTGCTTTCAGCAGTCTTACACTTCTTAATTTAACTGTTAATTGAGAGATTTCATTGACATTTTGTAGATATTCTTGGTGCCCAGAGGATGAACCCTTATAGACATATTCTTAAACATGACTTGCACTCCAAGCTGTGAGGACTTTTCCACTTTTTTCTCCATTAAGAAAATCCAAAAGTCTTTCTTTGTGTGGTTCAATAATGCGCGGCACTGAGGAAAAACCTTTACTAACATTGTTACCAACTGTTTTTTGCTTTTGTGCATTAAGTTGACTTACATTTCTTCACCATTAAAGATTTTAAAAGAAATTTTATCTAAAGATTACACTGAAGTTTTTTTTTTTTAATGTATATTCAGGGAATTCAGAGGATGAACCCTCATTAAAAATTGGTTCAAGCATGACTTTAATTTCAGTGCCATGAAATAAAAAGAGGGGTGCTCAAATCTGCATGGTGGTGAGTTTGTCCTCATTTATTCAGTCACTCATACCAAGCAGCCAAGGGCAGCCTGCACACTCAGCGCCAGACGTCTGGATCCTCTATTGTTGGTTTTACTTTCTCAGTCAATTAAAGCTCCTCTAAGGAGTTTTATCGATGTTTATAAAATCAACTGAAAATTATTCTGCTTCCTTTTAATGACATACAAAAGCAAACAAAACCACCAGCAACAAGACTGACAATTTTCATACTGCAGTTTTTACTGCCTGAAAATGGTGGGTGGAGATAACAGCTGAGCAGCTGCAGAAAGAGTCATAATTTTAGCATTTACAATAAATTAAATGCTTCATTGTTAAATTTTTGAAAGATTGAATTTTGTTTTGAGTTAAAAAAGGAAAGACTGCTTTGTCTACTGGGGCGGGGAGCAATAATTGACTCGTACTTCTAGCTCTTCACAGGAACTTTATGGACTTATTTTTGAGTTGAAAGTTCTTGAGGCCCAATTATAATCTGGATTTGTCAGGTTGTTTTCTTTTTTCAAGACAAGGTTTACAAAAAATAAACGACACTGCCCTGGAAAAAAAAAAAAAAAAGAAAATATCAGCTGAGAAATGAGAGAACTCTCTGGTGGACCTCTGTCAAATCTTATCTTGCAGCAATCCGCCCCCCCCCCGCTGGCCATCTGAAGAAATGCCTCTTTAGCCTCGCCTTCTCGGTGGAAATTCGGAGCTGAGGTCATCCTCTTGGTAGTTCTTGTGGTGACTTTTAAATTGTCTTGTGTTTATAAAGAAATAACTGCAAAAAGAAAAAAAAACAAAACTTTTATCTCATTCTCAGCTGAGTTTTATGTTCGGGGCTAATATGTGCTGACAGGAAGTGCAGCTTTACAAAACACCTAACTCTTACATTTTGTTTTTATGGCCATGGTTTCTTCTTAAACCTGTCACTTCCTGTTTTAATCACGTCTTCTCATGGGATGTAGATGACAACATTTCCACTACTCAATGAAATGAGAAATATTCAATCAGTCTCGCTGCAGAGGGACAGCCTATAGAGAGGGAGCTCCCAAGTTACTGGATACATGCATGAAAACTTGTTTCATAGCTGCTTCTCTAAAGGAGGAATCATGACAAAGTACCCTCTGGATGTCCTTTCTGTTAAAAACACACACAATAAGCATCCTGTAAATGTCTTTTAAGCATGTAAAACATTTTAAAAGTGCCCAATGGATACCCTTTCAGCAAATAGAGGTTAAAAAGTCTCCTCTGGTTGCCCTTTCCAGTGAAAGTAAGTTAGAAATTGCCTTTAAGATGCTTTTCCAGAAAATACAACACAAAAAGTGCTTCCTGGGTGTCCCTACAGTAAAATGTAGGTAGAAAAGTGCCCTCTGACTGGTCTGCTACTATAAATAGCATCTTAAGTCCTCTCTGGATACCCTTCCAGTGTTAAAAGCAGACAAACAGCACTATTTGGTTGCTCCCTCAGCGCTTTTATACTGAATTACCCTCTTGATGCCCTTTTGGTACAAAAACATGCAAAAAGCATCTCTGAGATTTCCTCCTACTGCATAAATGTTCAAAAGCGCCCCCAGGCTTTCCTTTCAGTAAAATTAAGGATAAAGGAAATCTGACTGTCCTTTAGATAATATCAAGGTAAATCTTCCAGTAAAATTGTTTAAAAGTGTCCACTGGATGGTCTTTCAGTGGACATGTGTAAAAAAGTGCCCTCTCAATGCCTTTCAAGGACAAGTTAAAGTAAAAAAGGGCCTTTGGATGTTCCTTTGATAAAATAATCATGGACAAGTTCCCACTTGTTGCTCCCCAAGTGTATCTAGGGTTAAAAAATGACCTCTGGTTTTCTTTCCAGTCTAAAATTTGAAGTTAAACAGTGCCCTCTAGATGTCTATCTTGTAAATCAAGGCACCTTTTGGATTTCTTTTTCACGTTGATAATATTGCAAAGGTGCCTTTGGGATGCCCATCTAGCAAAATGAAGATTAAAGTGCCCTCTGGATGCCCCTCTATTAAAATTCAGGTCAAAAGTGCCCTCTAGATTCCATCATCTGTTTATTGATGACCATGTGAAGAATGACTGATTAATTCTTACTGTGTGGATCAAGCAGAAAGTAGCACTTGAAACTTTTATTCAGACTCTGAAAATAAAAAAGCATCACATTGTGTAAAATGCAAATAATGAAAAAAGAACTGCCTTGAGCCAAAAAAAAAACCCCAAATGTAGAGCCTCCTCTCACAGCTCTGGAGATTACATTTTCCTTTTTTTCATTTACTTCATTATTCAACATTCGATCAGATCATATCTGAGTCATTCTGTTACAAAACTGTATAAACAGAGGAAGTTAAATTTCCTGTTAATCTGTTAACCAACAAACTGTTCTGTGTAACTAACAGGCATATGTTTCTGGATGGTGGGTGCCATGTGAGAAGGAACTTAAGTGATGTAAGCCTGTGGGCCCTACTGCAGGCTGGGTGGTGAGAAACTGTTTCTCAAGTTATTTTAATCCACTTGTTAGCCCACAAAGAGGAAACTGCACCAGTGCTGAGCATCACATTCAGAGCGGCATGGACTCAAAGTCTCAGCAAACTTCTGCCTGCTGACAGAGAATGAACACAGAATGACTCTGCTGGGTTTAATACTTGTTTTGGTGACTCTGTTTGAAGGTAAGCTGACTTCTTTAAATATTGATCAAAATTTTACTGAAGGGGATACTTGTGAGAAACTGGTGAGAAAAACTGCCGCCAGAAACACTACTCTCCTGCCTCTTGGCTTTAAAATTGAACCCTCAGTCATGTCAGCTGGGAATCGAACTCTATTAAAGTGGATTTTTAGCACAGAAGAGTCAGATTAAAAACACCCACATGAAGAAACATTAACACATCAGATTGGTCTTTAATCCTTTGGTGGTTTTTAGAAATTCCTCAAACTTGATTTACTTTATTTTCTTCTATTTTTCAGTCTTTAGATTTATCTTCAAACAAAATCCAGGGAATTAAATTATGTTGACATATAACAACATATCGAGTGTTAGAAGACTTAAAACTGGTAAATTTAACTTCACATTTCCGCTCCAGACTGTAGAATACCTCCAGTCAGCAAATGTTTGTCAGCGGACGTCCTGACATGACCTACTTGTTACATGGTGTATTATCGCTGTATGATAAGTAACTGAACTTTACAAACAAAACAATAACAACAACTACAACAAAAATTGGCACCTGTATCTGTGATATTGTGTTTAAAAACAACATTTTCACAATGAAAACTAGAAAAGCACTCGGAGAGCGCAGACCTCCGCCAAGCAGCTCATGTCCCCCCTTATATTGTGATTCACACCAAAACTTTTACTGTTACGTGTCTTTAATTAACATTTATTTGTGTTTAAACTGGTATGTTCACTGTTCATAAAACAAGAAATGCCCTAACCCAGATTCAAACCCAAGACCTTCTGGCTGTGAGGCAACAGTGCTAACCACTACACCACTGTGCCGCCCATTGGTTATCTTTCAGCATTGAAAATTCCAACGACACCCTTATTTTTGTGTGCTCTGGATCACAGTATCCAGAATTTTGTCTGGATCAGGATCAACCTTTGACACCTCATAAAACTCATTGAGATCCTTTTGTGTAATTTTTTACTAAAGACTCTGGACATTTTTACCTCCGCCAAGGAGGTTATGTAAGCAGTAGTGTTGGTTTGTCTGACTGTTAGCAACTTTACGGATAAAGTAACAGGCGGATTGACCTGAAATTTTCACCAGAGGTGCGTCTCAGCCCCAGGACGATCCCATTAAATTTTGGTGGTGATCCAGACAAAATTCTGGATACTGTGATCAGAACACACAAAAATAAGGGTATTGTAGGAATTTTCAACGCTGAAAGATAAGCAATGGGTGGCACAATAGAGCAGATAGGTGGCACAGTGGTGTCGTGGTTTGAACTGTCGCCTTGCAACCAGAAGGTCTTGGGTTTGAATCCCGGATCAGGACATTTCTTGTTCAAGGGGGGACATGAGTTGCTTGGCGGAGGTCTGCGCTCTCCGAGTGCTTTTCTAGTTACAGAGTTAAATGCAAAAATTCCAAAATTTGCCCTATCTCACAATGATAAAGAATCCTTCAAAAAATTCCTGGATCGAGAAGGCGATCCGGATCACCATCAAAATTTAATGGGATCCTCCTGGGGCTGAGACACACCTCTGGTGAAAATCTCAGGTCAATCCGTCTGTTGCTAACAGACAAACAAACAAACAAACAAAGAAATAAACCAACGCTACCGAAAACATAACCTCCTTGGCGGAGGTAACAATTCAAACAGTCTCAGCTGATGACTGTCCAACAAGAGTATGGTTCTGCTCAAGGTTTCTGCCTGAGTCTTTGCCTGTAAGATGAGACCCAGTCTTTTCTTATTTTGATGTTAGGTCTTTGTAAATAATGAAACAGATTTTTTTTTTTTGCATTATCTTTAGCTTTACTGAAGTAAAAACTACAAAGTTTTAATTACTTTACTTTCTACACAGTTTCCACAAACAAAGACAAAGGAATTGAGACCCAAACCGCAGTTACAGTATATAATTTTGTTTTTCCACTTGGACTTTAAACACTTTCTTTTTTTGCTTTTGCAGCCCAGTGGACACTCAAGGAACTGAAGTTTTCTGCACTCCCACATAACCATCAATCAATCAATCAATCAATCAATCAATCAATGAAATTTTATTTATATAACGCCAATTCACAACAGTCGTCATCTCAAGACGCTTTTCAAAGAACAAGAGCAGGTCTAGGCCACGCTCATTGTTTGATGATGAAGAACCAACCTAAGGTGGGATTTGGCCCATCTCATCTAACATGGGGAGGAATGTAGAGAGATGGAGGGAGAGAGAGGGGAGAGGGAGAGAGAAGAGGGGAGAGGGCAGGGGGAGAGAGAGAGAACAAGATAAGGGGAAGGAGAGGGAGAATGAGTAAGGAGAGGGAGAGGGAGGGAGAGAGAGTAGAGAACAAGGGTGAGAGAGAGACAGGGGACAGCAGAAACAACAGCAACAACAACAACAGCTCATGTAATGGTGAAACAAAATGTGTTTTCAACACTAGATGTTGCTCCTTTGCCAAACTAAGAAGTGACAATGACTGTTTTAGATTTGAGGAATAAAGTTATTGTCAAAGAGGTACTGGTATGTTTGCCGTGCTCTTATATTCAGTTCCTCTTTTCTTTGCAGTGGCCAGCAGTCGAGAAGAAATCCATCGTGTCTACCAGCCTGGACAGGATGTGATCCTACCCTGTGGTCCTTATTCATCTCGCGGACCTCAGTGCTCAAACATAGGATGGCTTTACAACAGAGATTTTTCATCAGAAACTAAAAATGTGGTCAGCAATGGTAAAGTTGACCCGGAGTCACGGCGAGCTGCTCGACTGAATGTGAACACTGACTGCTCTTTAGTCATAAGACAGACCACTGCTGAGGATTTTGGTCTCTACACGTGTCGGCCATTTGATAATGATCATCGTTTTGATGTACCTGTGTATCTTAGCCATCTGAACAGTAAGTCTCATATTTACTGTGATCAACTTTGTGCTCTGAGTCCATCAAGCTGTGAAAAGTCTATATTTTTAGTCTTTCTTACTCTGTTTGTTGTTTTGTAAATGAAAAATCCTCATTTACTGTCATCAAATTTGTGCTCTGAGTCCATAAGTTCATTTCCTTTCTCACTGCTGTTTGAGACCAAACATGAGGACCTCTCTCAGTTTGCTAATGTATTATTATGTGTTGGATTGGATCGTCCAAAGAGAGACCAATATAATGGAGCATTTGTAGATGCATGTTTATTTCTGTTAAAAGCAATCTTTCCTTCATTTTAGTGATAGATTTATCAAATTGTGAAAACTTATTTTTTTCAGTCTTTCTAACTTGGTTCAAAGTTTTGCAAAATCCTGTCCATTTTGTGTTTAAGTTAAAAATGGCAGCTAAAGACACACAGAAACTCACCAGGGTCTTAAAACTCAGTGACAAACTTGCGGCAGAAAAGTTTTTTTTAAACTCAGTTATTTTCTTCGCTCTTCTTTCAGTCTCTTCTTTAGTTCAAATGAGGGATGATGAAGTTACGTTAGAGTGCTCTCTACTGAGGTATGAAGGTCTCCCAGAGTGTCGACAAAACCCTCTCCGCTGGGTGGACGATACAGGATCAGAGCTGAGTGAAGGTGTCTCAAAGCTGAACAACAGAACCAACTTATTTTCCCGACTGACTGTGAAGCGTCAGAGCGGCAACAACAGGAGATATGTCTGTCAGTATGTTAACAAGGAAAACCATGTGGCGATACAGGCCGAGTACACACCTGTCTTCACAGGTAGGACCACTTCAGATCAGTGACCAACAACACATGTATGCATGTTTATCCTTTAAGTTGACTGCGATCCATGAAATAGTCATTGGATAATTAATGTCAAGAAACAAATGGACAAAATATGTTACCACAGATCCTGGATCTACAGCATCGATCTACATCATCGTTGGTGCATTGATGGGAGTGTTGTTGCTGCTGGTCGTCATGACAACTGTCCTAATCAAATACAGGAAGAGAACCAAAGTGACTGAGGGTCAGTAACCCAAAATCTTTCTTTAGAGTCATGAGGTCTGGATCTTATTAAGAGACCCAGGTATTACAGTGAGGTGTGAAGTTCAAAATATGATGTTCCATGTAATATGTTGCTTATTTAGATGCAAGGTGTGGCTGAGGCAGGCCTTTAGATACAAGGTGTGGCTGAGGCTTCCCTTTTGCCTCCTCACCTTTAGTTTCATGAGTGTACATGTGGTTTCCGGTCAGCCTCATGTGGTCACTGAGTGAACAGAAGTTTTTAACGCTTCTGCATCAGCTTTTTTTTCTCAACACTTGAGTTGCCCATGCATGATACACTAGTAGATGTTTTGAAATGCCATGAAATGCAACATCATAGCATGCTATGCTGGGGATTTATGTATCTAAGATGTGTAAGGATTTCGTTAGCAGACGATGCCATAATGTACTTTTGGTAGCAAGAAAATGCTATTCTCTGCCGTGTTACAATCTGTAATGGTGTACAATGTTGGTAAAAGATTTGTTATCCACTGCCGAGGATTTATTTTGGTATGCTATGATTATGTAATTGGATAGTCTTCATACCACAATGTTACACACAAAGATTCAATACGATTTTTTAGTATGCCTATGCGTACTGATCAGCAGCTGGAATTTTCTCTTTAAATTCAATTTAATGAGTCCTTTAGTGATAAAAAAGAGTGATGATCAATTTCTAAAATGACACCGAAGGTTATTTCATGACTGGCTTGTGTATAATATAATTTATCAATGTATTTGGACATCTTCAATTCACTCAGGAGAAAGTGTTTTCAGATGGATCTTGCATTAGTCATAGCATGATTTGTTTAATGTACAAAAGAGTGATATGTTAAGTCTGATATTTTGGTGTTTTCTTTTTACAGATGTTCAGAAGCAGACCCAACCACCTGTAAGTATTCAAGCATATATAAATACTCCTTCAATGCTCCTCAGGCATGTATATACTTCCCAACACTGTGGCATTATTTACACACGAACCCACAGGTATTTGACCATTAAAAGGAGGCTTCTCATTGTTTGAGTTTTTTAAAAAACCACACACTGTCACACTACTGCCTCTGCTGGCAAGAATTTAAACTGCAGCTATACTTGTGTAAAGATCCACTTACACTTGAAAAAGTCTGACATGTGCACATTTCTGTGTTAAGCCTGTCTGTCTCTTAGAAAACGTTTTGTTTTGCTTTTTCTCAGGAGGAGCCCGACAGCGATGTGACCTACGTCACTGTCAGCCACAAACAGCAGGAGGCCTCCAAGAAGAAGGTGAGGGACTTGCTACAGGTGGTTCACCAATAACATAGATTATGAGACAGCAAGTCAAACAATGGAAGATGTTTAATGCCGATACAACCACACAGGTTATTTCAGGTTATTTCCAGGTGATGAAAAGCACGCTGAAATGAAAGTCAATGGCGCTCCTTCTTGATTTGTTCTGCAGCCCAAATGCCTATTTTCAAATGCATGTTTTGCATATTTAATTTGATTTTTGATGCAAAAGCTTGGAAATGTAAAGTAATATTAAGTTAGGATATTCTCAGCTTGTTCCATATTTCTCAACATGAACGGGGACTTTTCCCATTTCAGACTCAAACTATTACTCATGGTTCTGTAGATGAGGTTTGACACACTTCACAGAGGAGGTTGACTTTTGACTCGAAGTTCCTAATTTTTTTTTCCACAGATGGTCATGATTTCAAAAATTAATCAGTGACTTACCGGACAAGGAAGAAAGTTTCCCACAGACTTACTGTCATGTAGTCATTTTTGTGGTTATGAATTGTGTAAATAATAAGTTATTTTTTCATACCTCAGGCGGAGAAGGAAGAGGAAGTGACTTATTCTGCAATCAGATCTGCAGTGACGATGGAGATACATGACGATTCCAGCAGCCTCTACAGCAGTGTCAGCAAACCAAGAAGATAAATCAGAGAAGTGAAACTGCCCTCCCTGAGCAACAGCCGTCCACAGACTGTTTTTAGACTGTTAATAAGGAGACATGAAGTATTCACACCACATCCTGTGTTATTGGGTGTAGTTTTTCATTGATGCGGTTCATTTCCTCCAAATGAATTCATACTATATAAATAGTGATTATCTTGCTATGCGGACGATACTCAGGTTTACTTGCGCTGCACCAAAAGCCTCTTAATCTGAAGAGATTTTTTCAGCTTTTGCAAAAACCTGTATCATAGTTGGAGCCTATTTTTTTTATCAGGAGAAGTATTTTATAAAATGACATCTGTTTTTTGAGTTTGCATTAGCCCTTCTTGCAGGGGGTTGGTGTTACCAGGGAACCTCTGGTGATGATAATCCAGCCCAAACTGGTATTTTAATATCTTAGGGTGGTAACTGTGTTTTTAAAAAGCACTTTTGAGCATTTTGCTTTTAAATTTAGCAGGACCATTTTGCGACACAGCAGCTAAATTATCTCCACATACTGCTGTCTTGATTCATAAATATTTATAATTGAAACAACAGTAGAAACTAATCGTTTTCAGCCCCTCACAGGAATAACAAATGCATTAGAACTTCGAATGAAATGTGAAATGTTTGAGATGTTTAGACCGTTTTATTGCTCTACATGTCTGAAAGCGATGGTTGAAAATGGGTCTCTCCTTTTGGTATTATGATAGATAATGATAAAAAAACTGTAAATATTTAATTTGCTGTACTTCAGAGTTCATTTTTTGAGTTTTATTGCTGTTAAATCAAGATTTTTTGGGCAAATTTTTTTAGGCACACACACTAAAATCAAGACCGTTTCTTTAGCTGCTCTCCTGACACCGACACCATTTCCAGGCATTAAAAATTACAGCATAAAAACCGTCAGTCTCAAAGCTGATGGTCTTGTTGACTTCTGGATGTCAAAGAAAGACATCAATATGAGTATCAATCTATTTCACAACCATCAAAAAACTCAGTGAAGGAGCTTCAGGCGAAATCAACCCCCCATGTTTCAGGACACGCAGAGGCTCTCTGATGACCATAAATCAGTATCTCTACAATTCAAGTAGTTAATAATTTCAAGAAGGTCCTTGTGTGGTAATTTTCTCTTCAGAAGAAATAAACAGCAGTGTTGAAAATAAGGTTTTTATTTCCCTGTTACCAACATTATTTACATTTTCTCACCTATTTAATTCATAAATCTGGAATTTTCTTTGCTGAACCAGCTGAAAAGGTCTCCAAGTTTGTTTAAGGGACTCCTTTCCTGTGTCATTATCCAGGTAGTGAGAACTTGTATTTTGTGTTATCTGTATTGACCCACCAGCAGATGTATGCACCTTGTGTAAATTGTAAAATTGAGGCCATAGTCTTCATTGCAGACTCTTTGTTTGCTGCATTTTATTTATCTACATAGTTTATTTGATCGCAGGTCTTCCACTTCTTTCTGTCTGTCTTCACCTCTCCTTTCTGAAAGGGTGACAAAATCCACAATTTAACTCAGAATAATCGCTCATGTGTCTTGTGTTGTTGTGCAAAGAAATGATGAAAGAGATGTTTTCATCTTCCTCTCTGTTGAGTCAGAGTTGGTTCCTGTTTCTCATTAGTGCGAGACGCTTAAAAACTTCTTCAAATGCCTCAATAGACTCACAACAAAGAATAAAAGCAAATGCTCCTATTGTAAGACTTTTGTGTATTATATTATGTAAATATCCATGTTAGATAATCTTTTTATACAGTCTTTTATTCTGTTTGAAAAGTTGAACCTCCCTTAAACTTAAGTATACAGAGCTTCCTCCCAAAATATCTGAGATTGTAAATATTCAGCCTAGTGACCACACTTTTCAACCGTTTGCTTGAGTTCATGCCGTACAGGTTTATTAAAAAAAAGTATTTTTAAAACTTGTGTCTGTTGTTTTGACTCATCTATTGTTGTCTCTGTTAAAACTTGTAGTTATTCTTCTTTCTGTCTTTATATTGACCCTCTGAGCTTCTCAGCAGCTTCAAGAACTCGACATGTTTCAGGCTGCTGTCTTTGAAAACCCCCATTTTAGCCTCTGCATAATGGCACCTCACAGTGGTTTGTTGGTGTACTGATCTAGAGAACAGAGATGAAGCTTTATGAATGATCTCCTGTTCATTCTCATCATACAGGGCAGAGGACACACTATGGTCAGGGGGAACAACCACATAAAAAATGCCTGCTGTGCTTATGGACAGGGAGAACCACATACTGCTGCAGAGGGGGTGCTCATCCATCACTGTGAAAGGTAGACCATGACATCACCAGAGTGTCTCATCAGTATCTTTAAGCTTCCTGGAGGTGAAACACTTGATGCTCATCTTAGCTTTAGTCAACCAGCGTTGAGTAAGTGAACTCTGTGACTTGGTGTTGTTTAGTAAAAAATAAAACACACGATAACATCAAATCAAGAGGATTTAGGACTTTAATATCTTATCTTTGACAGGATTTATATGATTTATCCGCTTTTATATGAGACAAGTTCATATTAGACTTGTCCTGATTGACCCCCTGGTGACAGTGATTTTGGGAATACTGGTGAAATAAAGGTACATAAATGCTTTACTCTATCACAATGAACTCATCATCCGCAATTATAATTAACCAATAATTAACCAAGCACACAGCTGATCTGCAGGCACTGCTTATTTAAAAAAAAAAAAAGGCCTTTTTTAGATGTAAAATAAGAAATAGAAACATTATAAAAGGCCATGCAATATGAACTGACAGCTGTATTTATAGCAGCACAAATGTGAATTTCTTATTTCTAAAATATTTCCATATTCTCAAAATTTTTCTTTTTTTCCCCCATTTTCAGAATTTGCTCAAGATTTTTTTGTTTGAAAAATGTAAGCTTCAAAAATGTTTGTTTTAAAGATGTCTTGATGTTTCCAAAGTATTTTTATGTCATTAAAATTTGTTTTTTTTAAAAATGTTTTTGTTCATGTGAAATATTTTTGTATTTGAAAGATGTTTTTGCTATTATGATTTGTTTTGTACTCATTGCCTTCCTTTAATATTTGTGCCATTGACCTTCAGGGACACCGTAGACTGTGGATTCAAGCTAACTTCACCGCAGTGCATCAGATAGTAACACCTGTGTTCATCATGCTTTTAAAGGGGTATTCCGGAGTAAATTAATTTAAGGTCAAACACCATAACACCGAGTTAGAAACCCCCTTGAGAGATGAATGTTGCAGACCGCTTGCTTCTCTAGTTATATCAACTTTAGTAACGTTTGCACGATAGCAATACACAGCGTTGTGAGGAGCCACACAGAAACCTCAACCAAAAAGCCACTCTATAGCCACAAATAATGTTCAGAACAGCACCTAACTTCATCAACAGTACATATAGGGTCCTAGCCACAGCACTAGCCACCAAACATCTTTGCCTGATTTCTTTGGCAAAGAGACTAAACACAACTCACCTACTCTCTTCCAGCAGTCGCTTGCCAGTCCATTACGGACTGCTGCGGGGTGACACATCTCAAGGAAGAACATTTATGATCATTACTTCATGGAAATGCAATCAGACCGAGACACTAAGGCAGAAGAACTACCGCGTCTGCAGTGCAAAATGATTAATATGGTGATTATTACTTTAAGGGAATGATAAAGAAACATCTCTCGAAGGGCTGTCTAACTTGGTGCTACAATGTGTTTTACCCTAAATTAATTTTACGCCGGAATATCCCTTTAAGTCCCTGTAGAATCAAATAAAAGTAAAAATCAAAATAGTAATGAGTTAAAACATTTCAAATTTGAATTGTTTTGAGTTTTGTGAGTTCAGTTTGAATGAAAGCGTTGCTTTAGTCTTCTTTCAAATATCACTTTGTCTCGTTCTCATGAGCCTAACACCAATCATCATCCTGTCTCGTGTCCTGAGTTTATCATCACATCCCTACAACATACATTTGTTTCCATTCTCAACACTTTAATAAAAAACAACTTTACAGTCAAAGTCCTCAGTCGTTATACAACCGGGGTGTAGCACACAGTTTATGAGGCGGCGGTTCGAGGAAGAGGAGCAGCTGTGGGGTCACGTCAAATTCATCCACTGAAACTCCAGGTGGAGGAGTGAAATGAAAGTGCTGTAGGAGGGTGGTGAAGAAGAGGAACAGCTCCATCCGGGCCAGACTTTCTCCCAGACAGACTCTGGGACCTGCAGAGGAAGGAGTAAAAGCTTTATGTTGGCAGAACCACATAAAAACCAGCGGAGGTGATTTCTACGCTCACAGACCCGCAGAAAAAGGCAGGAAGGCGTCTCGTTTCACAAATTTCCCATCTTTGTCCAGGAAATGAGCAGGACTGAAGGTGTGAGGGGTTTCCCACTCATCCTCATCGAACAGGACAGATGTCAAGAGAGGGTACACCGCTGTCCCCTGTTGACCAATCAATACGTGCTTGCTTTGATACACTTGAAACAGCACCAGAGTACAAAGAAAACAAAAGCTTTATAATTTCATCAGACCTTCTTAATGAAGTGACCCTGGAAGGTCACATCCCGAGTGGTTTTGTGAGGAATAGCTATGGGTGCGATGTTAGCCATCCGCTGTGTCTCGTGAATGACGGCGTTGGTGAATGGAAGGTTCTTTCTGTCATCGAGCCGCACTTGTCGACTTCCTATAACCCTGCTGAGCTCCTCCTGGACCTGGTCTGGAGGGGCAGAAGGCTTCAGTTTCTTACTTGGTAGTAAGGGTGTGTTTTTAAATCAACATAGCTGATCTCCTCAGTTCCTTACTCTGTATTTTCGGATGCTTAGCCATTAACAGAAGTCCCCATCGTAGCGTAGTCGCTGTTGTATCGGTGCCGGCAGAAAACAGATTGGAAACAGTCATCAAAAGGTTTTCATCATGGAAGTGACTGTTGGTAATCCCGGATTCCTGCAGGAGGAGACTTGGTGGATTACATTTAATCCTAAAAGAGCAACCTGAGGGCACTCTGTTCACATCTGACAAACTGAAAGGACATCCAGAGAGTATTCAGGCATGCCCGTGTGATTTTTAACAAATGGGCACTAGAGAGGACATTTTTCTGATCTTTTATCTACTATGAAGGCGTTCAAGATGGCACTTGTGTTTTCCTCACCGATAAAACTTCTTTGTCAACTTCTAGAAATCAAAAATACCTCCTAACCTCAAGTTTTTGCTTCTTGACCAGAAAAGCATCCATGAAACCTCTGCACCTCAGTGGATTTAGGGTCTCTTTCAAATGACCGAGCAGCTTCCTGTTCTGTCACTTGGTTTAGTCACCCAACCTGTGGAATTCCTTCCTATTCGCAATCCATTTGAAGACCCATGGAAACAGGTTGTACGCCTGTGGAAACATTTCTTTTTGAAAATAATGTCTCACTCAGATAATCAAACCTCAATTCTGGAAGAGTTTGGTTACTTATCAAAGCAGTACTTTATCAAAATATTGGGATTTCTCCAGATTCTCCAAATCTTTCTATAATTTTTCTTGGTGTTTAATGACAATTAAAATTCTGCACTTTATTAGGTCCAAAAACAAAAGTTGTGTTAGCAAATTTTTCAATCGAATACAGTTCAAATCACATGCAAACAATCAAATTTTGTTTTTCTCAATAAATATTAAATATTTTCTTAACCTTCTTGGATTTAGGGCCAAAACAAGACTATTTGTGGAAACAGTTTGCGTCATATTAATAAACTGTTAGACCTCAGGGACTGTACCTTTACTGAAGGAGAGCCTAGTAGTGGACCGAGTTTGTAAATCCGACCTAACAGGGATGCCAACTCTGGACTGTCGTATTCAAATCTGCTGCCATAGACCATGGAGCAGATAATGTTGGCGACTGGATAGTAGACTGGCTGGGTTGTGTCAAAAGCTTCTCCTGCAGCGAAGGAAACGGGGAAAGAAAGTATAAAACCTTTCCTCAGATTTCCTCCCAAAATATTATTATTAAATTCTCCAATACAGAAAAAGATCTTTACCTTTGAATTGCAAAAACAGCTGAATGAGGTGCTCACACTCCTCTGTGATTTTGTCCTCACATGCCCTCTTACCCATCCCAAAGTCTTTCAGGTTCGACAAGCTGAAGCGCCTCATCTCCCTCCAAGAATCACCATTGGACCACAGGACACCTTAGGTAGAGGAGATCAGATCATCGTGAAAATACAGTTCAGGGTTGAAGGTTTTGTTTACATTTTGATAAAAAAAAGTCCCCTCTTCTTGACTTACCATGACCTTCATTTCTCTCATGCAGGAGAAGAATCGGATCTCTGCCTCCAAACTCATCAGCATGATTCACAAGAGCCTCCTTCACTGTTTTGTAACCTGCCAGGACCACCACCTTTTTCAGTCCCAAATAAACCGTAAATACAGATCCATATTCCTTTGACAGCTGGGAATCAGAGCACAAAGTCCTGAATTAGACCAGTACCAACTCGACCATCTCAGATACTGACAGGAAATATACTCCTACAGCTCTGACTTACCTGCAATAAGGTGTTGTAGGGTATTTTGGGGTCGAGTTGCAAGAGATTACCAAGTAGTGGAAGTGGTTTTGGTCCTGAAGGCTCTTTTCTGGCTTCTTTGGATCTGAAGTTGGAAAAGAAGATGAAGTAGAGGAGCAGCAGGACCACCAGAGCCTCGAGCAGAGAGGTGAGACTGGAGGACTGGAGAAACAGCTTGAAGATCTCCATGACCTGAGCAGAAAATGTGTCCATACATGCACACCTAGGTACGTTTGGCTGCTGTAACCTTTGGCTCTGTGGGTGAAGAGATATGCTACTTGCTATGGCTGCCAAGGGAAACTCAGTCAATCAATAACTCTGTATGAGCCCAATAAGTGAAGTTTAACTAAGGTCAAGGAAAAAAAGCAAAGAAAAAAGAGAACTGAAACAAATATATGTATATAGTATAAACATATATGTACACATCAATTAAACATTTATCATTTTATCTTCAAAAAAGGAAAAGGGGGGCTTGTCTTCATAGAGTCAGTAAGAAAGCTGACAGAAGGTAAAATTGGTTTAATTAGCTTTTTTCCCCCTTATAGTTACACAAGAAATAATTAAAATAAAGTTATAATTACAGAGGAATAACCAAAATTCCCACCTGGGTTTGTAGAGACTCATCAAAATCAAGTCAAAGCAAATAATGTAAAAATGAATTCCCAGTATTTGAAAACGGATTTTAACTTTTATTATGAATGAAACAGATCAGTGCTTTACTTGGCTGAAAGGCATCCATGAATGCAAGTCTGTTGAGATATCTGTCTCTATCCTTAGCCTGCAGAGTTCCTGTAAATGTCCTGTAAATGTCTGGACAGAAACAGCAGAACCCCCCCCCCCCCCCCCCCCTTATTTTCTTAAAAAAAAAATAAAAACGAAAATGTAAAAAACATTAGAATTAAAACTTTTATCTCACATTTAAAAAGAAAAGAATTCTAACTTTAATCTTATAAATCTAAAAAAGAATTCTAATATTGATCTCAGAATTCTATAAAAAAACATGAGAATTCTAACTCTGATCTCAGGATTCTAAAATTTTAACTTTATTCTTGGAATTCTAAAAATAAAAAATGAAAAAAAAACAAAAAAACAATTTCATTAAAAAAAGAAAAATCTTTTTTGGCCTTAAAAAAAAAAAACAGTCCTATTCCTTTTATAGGTTTTAATCTTGTATCGTATCTTAAAACTTTCCATTATGATAACTACACCAACAAATTGTTTCAATACTGATCAGACTCCCTAAATTTTTCATATTCTGAGGTAAACTGTTGACAGTTCTTAAGAAATTTACAGCCTACCTTAAACCACCTCAGATAGCAGACTTTTACCAAAAGTAAACCATAACGAGAGGAGAAAGGAGAATTTAGCCTTAAGATATTAATGATATATATATATATATATATATATATATATATATGTATGTATGTATGTATATATAAATATATATGTGTGTGTGTGTGTGTGTAATTTGCCTTAATTTTTATTTGTATACTGTTTTAAAAACAAAAGCCGTTCACTGCTTTATTTTCTGTTTTTACCTTATTAACTGTTGTTGATTCTAAAGCACTTTGCACCACTTGCTTTTAAAAAGTACTTTATAAAAATTAGAGTATATAATTTGATTAAATAGCTTGACTCATGTCCCATCTGTTCACATGGAGAAGGCAAACTTAGTTGGTATTCTGCAGCCAGCCAGTGGGGGGCTCTAAAAATGTTTTTACTTTACTTGGGAAAAACTCTCTTGTGTTATTCATTTTTATTTTCAGCCCATTGTTTAACTCGTGGACACCTGAACGTGTCATGAAATCAATTGCGCCCCCTGGTGGTTTGTAAAGGTCTATACCACAGGGGAAAGGAAGTGTGTTGTGGTTTTGGTTGATTTGATCGATGCAACTTTCACTTCAGAACCCCATAATTTGCTTTAACTCCCACTCTGTCATCTTCTGCACTTAATGTTTGTCACTCAGGGCCAGAGGGATGAGTAAATGGTTTTAATGTTGAAGCAAAGGTCAGTGGCAATGCTGGACTTTTGGGCAAATAACACTAATATGCTACACCGGCATGCATTTAGCGAGTCAGAGAGGAGAACAAAACCAAAATGAGGAAGGAAGGAAGATCTTTGAGCTTTGTTGCTCACAAGGAGGTCAGAGGCAAAAGACTTTGTGACATGATGACTGAAACGAGGGGGTTAAGAGGGACTATCTCTCTGTTACTGCTGCTCCAATTTACAGGTAAAGTAAACCTTATAAAATATAGACAGTCTCTTCAACACATAGTTTAATTTTAAGCTTAACTAACAGAAAACTTGACTCACTCTGTGATAATCATGCAGGACATAAGAAACAGACTTAAGTTGAAGGATGTCACAGTTTCAGCCGGTATTGTGTCAGCCCTGATGAAGTCAGGGTTAGTTTTTGTTTTTAAATTGGAGTTACATGACGTGCTTGTCAACAGTAAGGCTGCAGACGGGATCTGCTCTACTACCAAATTTGGCTAACTTCTCTATATCACAAGTTTATGTCTGGAATTGCTGCAGTGGTGTAGGTGTCAATGTGATGTGATGCAGAGACTCTTTTTGATGCATTTTGACCGTGTGAAGAAACTGGGATGAGATTTTTGTGACAGATAACACTACCTTCATGTGCAGCACATGATAAGCAAAGAAAAAAAGAGGTCCACACAAAGCACTTGCGTCTCCAACCAATCAGAAACTAATGTCTCTCCGTTGTTGGGAAATGTTGGGTAGTAGCAGAATGGCTTAATATTAAGCAAATAAAGAAAACCCATGATTTGGAAGCAGTGACTCATGCAGTTACAAGCATTTCCCCTCCCTCTGCTGGCCCCCTCAGTATTCATTTCATGCTTCCTGCAGTCTCTGTAAGTTTGTCCACAACTTTGCAAAGTATACAAAGACCACAAGGGTGCGCCACAAGGGTCATTGCTTGATCCTTTTCTTTTCACTGTGCACAATATCTCACCTTGTGCAATTATCTGCCCGTGTGGTATCAGACAGCAGATTATAATGAGGGTGCTGAACCTGCTTTTGTGCTCTCTGCTGAACTCTTAAACTGTCCAACAACAAACCATCAGCTTACAAACTTTGCTCACTCCTCTTTCCATTGAATTTCCCTTCGGGATCACTAAAGCTCCTCCTTCTTTTCTCCTCTCTCTTATACAGCAGTGACTGGGGAGCTCTATTCTGTGGTTGTCAGAAATGGAGATGATGTTACTTTGCCTTCAGCACGTGTGAGAGATGATGAGTCCCACTGTGCTGGTGTTGAATGGATCCTCATAAAAGGAAAAGAGATAGATCTAGTCAAAAATGGGCAAATTCTCCAAAATGCCAACATTAACTCTGAGAGACTGAGTCTAACAGAAAACTGCTCTCTGGAGATAAAGGGAATCACATCTGAAGATGTTGGGATTTACCACTTTGTCTTGGAAAATTCTCAACCACAGTTCCCTCTGTCTGTTGTTAGCAGTAAGTGTTTACATCATAATATCCTCAGATTTTGTGGTGCTTTAATAATCTTACTATCAAATACCACAGTAATGCTGTTGTTCTTTGTCAGTGACCAAAGATGACAACGGTGAGAAGGTGACACTGACCTGCTCGGTGTCTGTACCTGACTGGTGTAGACACACCCTGTGGTGGCTACATGAGGATAAAGATCAATCACAGACTCCAAAGTGTTCGATTACAACAACGTTTCCAACGTCTTCTTTCCAAGAGGGGTCAGAGTATCTTCATTTGTTCAGTTTTGAGTTGACAGATGGTTATAATAAAGAAAAGCATCACTTTGAATTCAGCCCTCGCTCCACTGATGAGAAACCAGGTGAGATAATGTTTGTTTGCAGTTGGACCCAGTTGATCAAAAGGTTTAAACAATACTGACTGTTGTGCACAATATCAATCAATCCATCTTGGATTGTTGGTGTTTTTCACTGGGTACCAATCCGGCACTAAAGAGTGGAGCTAGACACACAGAAATCTGTGGAGGCTGTAGGAGACTTCATACTGAGTTATGTTGTTATCTTTTGATCTTTGAATTATGACTCCATGTTATGTACGTTTTTAGTTTCATCAGGTGATGCTTTCAGGTCTTATATAAGTGTTGGGCTGGGCTTATCAGGAAACAGTCTTATCTAAAAATAGGTGCTTATTTTACACTCAGTGAAGAGTAAGAAAGGCACAGAGATGGATGCAAAGGGAGAGGGAGATCACACTATTTCCTATAACCTTATGTTAATTCCTAATTTACACGCAACCAATTGAAATTGTAACAACTTCTGAGTGAAAGTTCCTGCAAAGAGTGGTGCAAGTTGCATCTTCTACCAAACATGTCCACAAGCTCAAAGATCTTCACAAGTATTTTCAGTAGATATTTTACATTTGATAAACCAGCAGAAATTTGAGTCAGTCTATTATTTCATGGATAACCTGATCCCATTTTTTTGGATCAAAGTTCCCCAATCCTACTCAGAAGTTTTCCTCACAGATTTGAGATTTTCCAGAGATGAAAATCAACATTTGGTTCCCTGACAATGTCCTGTTTTATTATCACAGCTCCTCCAAACAACCCACTCGGTAGATTCGATCTAATAGCTTCAGTGCCATCAGTTTACATTTGGACAACTGGGCCCTTGCGCTAATTCCATGTTTATTGACTGCATGTTGTTGATTCTTTTTATTTTAGTCAGGCAAAGTTTTTACAATTTGGACTCCTTCATTTTTCCAGATATGGATACATCAAGAGCATCAACAGCAGCAACAGAAACTACAGTTACAAAAAGCCAAACACCAAAGACCAACTCAGCAAACCCTGTCACGGATGGTACCCTAGTGACACAGAAAAATTGCCTCTTTTCTTCTTTTCTCTGTGTTTTCAGGGTTTTTGGTGCCAAACTTTATTTTGAAAACTTCAGCAAACATGTTTGTAATTTGCTTTCCAGGTTGGTGGTTGTACATCATTGTTGCGGCAGGTTCATTGGCACTTCTGATCATCATTGTGCTGTTTATCACATGCAGAAGGAAAAAAGGTGAGAACATAAATGTATAAAAATATCACTGATAAAGAGTTCAAACTAAACTGTATTTAGTGGTGGAAAATTAACTTGACTTTGTTCTTTCAGGCAACAAAACAAAGATGGCCGACAGCACTGTGAGTTTACTGTCTTAACAAAGCTAATGAGGTATTTGTCTGTATGAGTGTGGCTGTGAGAAAGTTCATAAACCTTAACAAAATATCACTTCTGGTAAAGCTCTAATGAGGAGATTTTTTATGTTTATGAAATAGACTGAAATTCATATTGATGCCTTTTTGTAATACCCCGAAGTGAACAAGACCGAGGGTGACCTACATAGATTGTTTGGTTCAGATCAGAGTTTGCATGGCTGAGATAAAAACTACTTCCTGTTTCATGGTTAACACCAAACTTTGGTGTTTTGATGAAACGCCTTCGGAAAATGACTGAAACCTAAAATACATGGTCATGGCTGAGGTCTACTCTATCTGCAAAACTTCTCTGAAGTGGATCGGATGAGCTTCCCCACCTGGAGGAGTTTAAGTTTGAGGGACGCCTGGTGATGACCCAGAAAGCAGTAATTTTTACCCGACTTCCTGTTGACATTTCACCACAACATTAAGATTTTTTTTTAAGTTTTAGGAACCTGGAAATGTGTGACAAGTGTCAGGTCTTATGCTGAAAAACAGGTAACCGTGGACAGTATCTTGAAAGTTTCAAGGAGCACTATAGAGTTAATTTCAGTCCATCAGTTTATTTATATTGCACCAATTCACAAGTGTTTTCCCAAGACCCTTAACAACATCAGCTGGTCTAGACCTGACTCTATTTACGAAGACCCAGTGTAAGGATGGGATCAGACTGAGCTCCATCCTGTAAGATCAGACCCACTCAACGGGAAGAAACCTCGAGCAGAACCAGACTCATGTTTCACAGTTATTGGCAGTAGGCTCGTGGCAGCAGTAGCTCAGGAGGTAGAGCGGTTGGCCAATAACTGGAAGGTTGGTGGTTTGAGTCCCACCCAATCCCTAGTCCGTCCATTGTGTCCATGGACAAGACACTTAACCCACCTTGCTCTCAGTGTCTGTGTCCTCCACTGGTGCATGATTGTGAGTGTTGTGTGGTAGTGGTCGGAGAGGCCGTAGGTCCAAACTGGCAGCCACATCTCTGTCAGTCTGCCTCAGGGCAGCTGTGACTACTAAGGTAGTTTACCACCACCAGGGTGTGACTGTGTGAGTGAATTAATGATGTATCCAATGTCAAGTGCTTTGAGGGTCACTGACAAAAAGCGCTATAAAAAAATCTGATGTATTATTATTATTATTATTATTATTATTATTATTATTATTATTATCTACTGAGACTAAGCTGGACAGAGAAAAGATTGATGCAGCCGGAGATCAAGCAGGTCCATGGCAGCAAACCGTCTGCGATCCAGAATAACCCACAGTATGATGGCATTCAGAGACACCCTGAAAAGACTGTGTATTTGTGAATCTGTTGGGACATGATGAGGACACAGATGGATAGAGGAGGACTTTGTGAATGAACTTCTCTGTAATGTTTTGTTCAACTGGATGCAAAAACATAGTCACTTTGAGTGTAACGGTGTGTAGATTAAGCTCTAAAAGGACTGTCCTTATATTTCTGTCACAAGATGAACTTTCATGGTGGTCGACAAAAACACTCCTGAACTTTAATCATATTCCCCTCTAGTCCTCTAAAGCCTCGTCTACTTGTAGGTGGACATTTTTGAAAAGGTGCTTCTTCTGTGATTATTTTTAGCCATTTGATGAGTTGTCTGTTGTCAGGATGTTTTTTGAAATTGAAGGAGGAAAGACTGTTTTCAAAGATACATACTACACAAGGACTAGGTCTAACAAGACAAAGCAAAACAAGTAAGACAGAAAGAGATTTAATGAGTTTGGTGGGAGGTGATCAGCTCAGCTCAGCATGAAAAGTGTGGTTTTTATTTTGTTGTTTGTGTGCCTTCAGGAGCTGAGTTTGAACCCCCCTTTGGCCCCTCAGTCTGCTCCAGAAACCAGTCTAGACATGGTGAGATAACAACAGAGACTTAAACCCACATGTCTCTGAAATGGTGCTTGTGTTTAACACTTAATGTTACAAGGAAATGGAAGGCGGTCAGCTTAGATCAGTTTTATCAGATTAGAGAGAAATATGTCAGACATGAGTCAACTAATGAGTGACACACAAGTTAAAAAAAACAGAATACCACATTTTCTTTTTGTGATGCAGGTCGATCCTGAAAATGACATTTCTTACGCTGCAGTGAGCTACACCAAGAGGACCAGCAGGAAAGCACAGGTAGGCCCCGGTCCAATCAGCAGAGAAAAGCTGCAGAAGAAGAGATAAAGTGGAGCAAATGATCAGTTTGTAAATATAGTAAACAGTTTCTGCACCTCTATTTCTCCTCTGCTTCTCAGGTTCAGAGTAAAAAAAGTGAAGATGAAGATGATTCAGTGACCTACAGCGCTGTGAAAAAGTCATCGTCTCCTGCTGTGGCCTCTGCTGATCCAAGCTCTATCTACGCCACCGTCAACAAACCAAACAAATGAGGGACTTGAGCACCTGTCCGGCTCTGAGGGTGTACAGCAGCTTGTTGGCAAAGATACCAATTTATTTGCAAGTTGATTTTTTTATAGAGGGAAGCATGTGTGAAAAAATGAGGCCAGCTTGGAGACGAAGTGAAATGAATAAACCTTTCAAGTTCTTCTTGACTAAAACAATAACCCTGTGCAGCTGATGTCTTTCATGTAGAGTTCCCCCTGCTGGATAAAAACTGAATAGCTAAGAGTTAAAAAACAGTTTATTATTTTTAACCCTTTATTCTCTCTCTCAACTTTACTGAGGAAGCTAAATCCTAAATCACATTTTTTTTTAACTAGTTGGAGCTCTTCTTGACCGACTAGAGAGCATTTCTGTTATTTAAGATTCATCCTGCATTCTCTCTACAGTCCAGCAGGGGAAGAGTTTGTTTTTCTTTCTTTATCTGCTATCTTGAATTTTAACATTTTAATGTTTCCTCAATATGATCTCTTGATAGCGTTTCCTTGTTTCCTCAGTTGGGTTTCTCTGACCCTCCACTTCTGCCGGTCTGTGCACTATCAAATCCCGTTGATGGAGAAGCATCGTTTTGGTGTCTGGTGAGATACTAGAGGACAGTTGAGTGAGAGAGAGAGTTAAAGACCGGCACAGGTGGAAGGTTAAGGAAACCCTCGCCATTCTGTTCATGGGACTTGTAGTAACAATCTGAGCCTGTCAGTCTGCTTCACTCTCCCTCAGTTGTTTTCAGTTTTATGATAATCAAAATTAATCATGATCCATTCTAGTTGTTTTTGCTTCTTATAAGCTTGAGCAGTTCTGCAGCTGCTCCACACCCAAACATCTGTCCAACCCTGATGTGAAGACTAAAACTAATGCATAGAAACCCAAATAAGCCGACAACAACCGAGAAGTCAGAGTGATTCATAATCCAAAACCTGTTAACCTGTTTGACGTTATTGGGCACTAAAATGTGGGGTAAATGAAGTGCAGGTGCAAAATTGACATATTAGTGCTTGGAAACCAAATCTCTACATCTAATGAGCTGTCTGAAGAAACATCGGAAACATGCCCTTTCCTCGTCATTCTGAGGAACTGACACTTTACTGACAGGAAAGATGTGTTTCATCACACCTTATAGGAGCACTAGATATAGATCTTTGACATTTTTCAGCTGAAGAGCCAGAGCAAGAAGCAAGATGAGTCAATCTGAAGGCATTAAAACTGGATTATTCTTCATTCAGGTGCTCCTCTTTACCGGTAAGACTTCTTCTTTGTCAAAAACCTTTAAAATAAAATGCACTGAGTACTCAAACCGGTTGTAATGGTTAAATAAGGAAAGGCAAATTTTGCTTTTGTCTTGTCTTCAGAAGTCAGCGGACAAACCCCCCTCCACCTCGCTGCCCGAGAAGGAGAGGAAGTGACTTTGTTGTGTGAAAATGTTTCAATAAATCAGAACCACTGTGACAAAACCTCTTGGTTTCAAAGTAAATCTACAAGTAGTGCAGCACCAGACCTAGAGCTGGTCAGTCTTGGGCGCATAAATGCACGTGACATTTCTAAAGCCAGATCAGACAGACTGACAGTCGCAACGGACTGTTCTCTGGTCATCAAAAACTTCTCAACTGAGGATTATGGTCGCTACACCTGCAGACAGTTCAAAAGGTCAAAACGGGAATTTCAGGACTCTGTGGTTTATCTCTCTGGTATCCTCAGTGAGTATTTTTATCACCATGATTTCAGATCCAACTCTCAGATTGCATCAAAAGAACAAAAAGACGATATGTTTCAGTCATGAGATGAACTTCACCCCTGCTGTCTTTTTCTTATCTTCACCAGTGAGTGTTTACGAGGGCAAAAACGAGAGCATCTTTTGGTGCTCTGTGTTTGGGAATGCAGAGTGCTCGTACACAGTGCAGTGGTTTTATAAAGGAGCGAAGACAAATGTCACTAGGATTCCAGTGGAGAAATGTGAAGACTTTGCATCCTTTGAAACATCTCACCTGGAGGAGCTGGAGATTGAGAAGCTGTTTTGTAACTTGACAAATATCAAGAGCGGACAAACTCTTCGGTGTGGCGTTGACCCACATTCCTCATGTCAGAGAACAGGTTTGCCAGAGTTTGTTTTAAGATCTCATAATTCAGTCTCTGTCAAAGACAAATAGGATGAGTCTTTTCTGCTAACACTGGACTTTTAAAACTTGTGAAGACATCAAGTTACCTGAGATAAATCATGTGTCTCAGTTCTCTATAATGCCGTCTGTACAGTCCTCAGGCAAATCAGAATAATCATGTTACTGAGCAGGATACAGACTAAACAGACTGCAGGTTGTTCTTCCTGTCCAGGTGTTTGTCCAAAAGGTAAAATACAGAGAAAGATGTGTGGACCAAAAAAGCTGATCCAGCAGTGATCAGCTGACCTTTAGTGATGTTGGTGGGAAAAGAAAGTCACATGTCTCTCTCCTGATTCCCTCTCCTCTATTTATTTCCTTGCATCTCCTCATACGTCTCTAAAGATGGACTAAAATGAAACTTTAGGGAACTGAGACGTCCCAGTCAACTTGACACTAAGCTTATATTTTAAGTGTAGAGATTCAGATATTCTCTTTTTCCTTTCCTCTCAGTTTCACCTCTTAACAGGTTCATAACAATCTCTGACAGTAAAACATATTTTTGTTTTTTTTATCTCTAACCCTCGACAGCTGAAAGTGGACTTGAAAAGCAGTTCATCACCGTCAGAGTTGGAGATGAAGTCACTTTACCTTGTGGAGAACTAATGAAGGATCAGCGGAGCTGTGACAAAACTACTTGGCTTTACAGTCATGAAGTAGGTCTCACAGCAGAAAAGCTGGTTACACATGGAAATATCAGTAAAACTGCAATTTCAAGAGGTTATTCAGACAGACTGAGAGTCGGCGAGGACTGTTCTCTGGTTTTAGAAAATGTGGCACGAGAGGATGTTGGATGTTATGTCTGCATACAGTTCAAACCAGGAGTACCTACAAATGCTCCAGTTTTTCTCTCTGTTATCAACAGTAAGTTTGACATTTTTAAACTTAAACTGTCCAGGAAAAACAAAATATAAAACAGAAGATAAGTGATAACTTTGAGAGACTTAATGTTTCTCCTGTTCTGTTTTCTCTCACAATGTCTCCACCAGTGGTAAACCAAGAGGTCATGTTTTACTGCTCCGTGTTCACATATAGTGGTTGTCGGCACACCGTGCAGTGGCAGTACAAAGGTAGCATGACTGATGTCCACACAGTACAGAGTACCTGTTCAGCACGAGTGACATTTCCAGCTCCTCTCCAGAAGTCAAACTCTGAAGAGCAGCTGGTTTGTAACGTGACGGACAATAAAAGTGGACAGACTCATCTGTGGGACGTCAACCTTCAGTCCTCAAATGGAAATAATGGTACAAATCTTTAATAATGCCCATTTCTTTTTGTTTGCTCCAACATTTAAGCATAACTTTAAACTCAACGTATTTAACCATTACATTTTTGTTTTGTTTTTCTGTGACATTTAACAAAACCAGGAGGTCATAAACCATCAGGGAAGGAAGAGACAACAGGAGGTGAATCCTCAACAAAACCAGGTACAAATGTGACTTCTTAAATCTCTTAAAAACCAGGAAGCCTTAAATTCAAGTGTCAGGAAATAAACGTCATATCTAACCACAGGGAGTTTTTCTTGCTAAACCAGTGGTTGCTTGAAGACTGAATTAAACAGCAACGTCTCCCTGAAAACACTGTGTTTGTTTACCTGTTTTCATTGTGGGTAACTTGGGGTCTCTCACTTTTTCCCTCAGTGCATTGAGTCTCCTCTTTTCTTCTATAAATCCTGGTTCACATAAGTGTTCATGAGTGTCCTCAGTAAACTGCATGTTAATTCTGCTGTCAGCATCACTTGTTATTTAGTTTGGTTGTATTTTTGTCTCTTTGAAACGACAGACTTGAACAGCTCAGTACACCGTAGACAAAAACACGTCTCTACCAAATAATCCAAAAACAAAAGAGTTTTCTCATGGTGAGATAAAGAGATGGAAAACTCCTGAGTACACTGTCACTTCAACCCAAATGAGTGCTTGGGTCAATGTCTGTCAATGTTGGCGAGATTACTCAGTAGACTCAGCAAACTGTAGTAGTCTAGTTTGCTCACTGGGTCTCCTATCAGTTTCCCCTTAAAGGAGCAGAGCTGACCAACGTTCGCTGTAGCTAATACACTTCCATGTGACATGTAATTTGTACGACCTCACTCTAAAGTACTAAATGTGTTTTGCTATTTTTCCTGTTCCTTCCTTTTCCAGCTCTGATCAGGTCAATTATTGTGTCTGTGGGATTATTGGCTCTCATAATAACTGTGGTGATGGTCAACATCTGGACGAGAACTGAAGGTGAGAACCTTTTCAAAAATCATTTTATCAACAAGAAGAGATGACAGAGCTGTATTTCCTCTGTGGAAACTAAAGTGGACTCTTTTGTGTCTCTACAGTGAACCAAAAACTGAAGAAACATGATGCTGTGAGTTTGAAAACTTGATGAAATGTTGGGAGTGTAGTGAAAAAAATAGATTTTATTGAACGAGTTTGATTTCAGAGCATCGTGTTTGACATTTTTTCTTCTCTCAGGTGGATGAAGATGAGGGTTCAGTCCACTATGAAAACTCTGGAGCTCATGCTGCTGCCTTCAGACTCCACTGAGAATCAAACCCAGGAGGGAGAGACCACAGCAGATGGAAACAGAGAAGTCTGAATGTTTATAGTCACTTCACATATTTTAAAACTGCTTTTTAAGGTTTATCTTTAACATGATTTCAAAATCTCTTTATGCACACAGTAAAGGAGGTTTACTTTTTTGCACTGATGTAAATAATTCATTTATTCATTATTTCAAACATCCATTATGTTTGTGTAGACCTCCATTAATGAGCTCCATGTCCTCAAGTGTTTTCTTTTTATGTATAAATTATTTGGTTTTAATAAACTTTGCTTCCTAATCTCTCATGCATGGATCCTTTATTTTTGTACCCAAGCTCTCAGCCTGTACTTCATGTTTCTGAGGTTTCTGTTCACTCTCTTTTTTAAGAGGATAAACCTGCTGATGTCAAAGCCTCATGAAGCTCCTCTGCAGACACTTTAACGGGTTAATGTTGTAGCAACTATCACACTTAAAGACTTCCTTATCACCTCTCAGAAAAAAAAAAACACTGAACCACAACGAGGAACAAATATTTGTTGAGCCACATACAGAATATAGGAGTGACTGATCAGCACCTGTTCAGTCACTTTGACGTTTAAAGTCGTGAGACCAACACCCAGAAAGACAGAGTTCATCAGTTCAGGGGGATTCAGATGTCTTTATTTGTGATACTGGTGCTGCTGTTCACAGGTAAGAATATATCAATCTCTCACAAACAGATTTTTTCTTTAAAGGAGGAAGTGATGAGAAATTTGAAAAAGTCACATTAGTTGGAGTTAGACAGACATGTTAAATGTTTCCTTTAAAGACTGTCAGATTTCATGTCTTATACCATGTGTTGTCGAGTGAGTGAAACATTTTTACATCAATTAAAATACATTTTTGTTTTTTTTATCTCGATCCCTCAGAAGCTGTAAGTGGACTTGAAGAGCAGTCTGTCACTGTCAGAGTTGGAGATGAAGTCACTTTACCTTGTAAAAATGTGACAAAGGATCAGCACAGCTGTGACAAAACTGCTTGGCTTTACAGTCCTGAAGAGGGGGTCATATCAGAATGGCTGGTTACACATGGAAATATCAGTAAAACTGCAATTTCAAAAGGTTATTCAGACAGACTGAGAGTCGGTGAGGACTGTTCTCTGGTTTTAAAAAATGTGGCACGAGAGGATGTTGGTCGTTACGTCTGCAGACAGTTCAAACCAGGAGGATATACATATGCTCCAGTTTTTCTATCTGTTATTAACAGTAAGTTTTACATTTTTCAACTCAAACTGTCCAATAAAAACAAAATATAAAACAGAAAATAAATGATGATAACTTTGAGAGACTAAATGTTACTCCTGTTCTGTTTTCTCTCACGATGTCTCCACCAGTGGAAAACTATGATTTCATATTTTACTGCTTCGTGTTCACATATAATGGTTGTCGGCACATCGTGCAGTGGCAGTATAAAGGCAGCATGACTGATGTCCACACAGTACCTCGGGCCTGTTCAGCAGAAGTGACATTTCCAGCTCCTCTCCAGAAGTCAAACTCTGAAGAGCAGCTGGTTTGTAACGTGACGGACAACATAAGTGGACAGACTCATCTGTGGGACGTCAACCTTAAGTCCTCAAATAGAAATAATGGTACAAATCTTTTTTGTTTGCTCCAACATTTAAGCATAACTTCATGACAAACCTGATGTATTTAACCGTCATTTCTTTTGTTTTGTTTTTCTGTGACATTCAACAAAACCAGGAGGTCATAAACCATCAGGGGAAGAGGAGACAACAGGAGGTGAATCCTCAACAAAACCAGGTACAAAAGTGACTTCTTAAATCTCTTTATTACAGGAAGATTCAAAGTCAAGTGTCAGAGAAACTCATGACTAGGGTCAAATATATTCTCTACTTCAAGCATGCTTGAATGTCAAAAGATGATAATAATCAGCATATCAGTGAGTTTTTCATTTATCTTGCGCCATCATCAGGAGTGTAGCAAACATAAGTTGCCATCTTAGAATCCAGCAATGTTTAATCGACCATTTCTGGTTTGCACAAGTAGTAGCATCATATGGAAAGAAACATCATATTTAACCACAGGGCGTTTTTCTTGATAAACCAGCGGTGGCTTAAAGACTTGAATTAAACAGCAACATCTTCCTGAAAACAATGTGGTTGTTTATCTGTTTTCATGGAGGGTAACTTGGGGTCTCTCCTGATCTCCAGTTCATATACAAGCTTCTTCACTTTATTCTCAAGTGCATTGAGTCTCCTCTTTTCTTCTATAAATCCTGGTTCACATAAGTGTTCATGAGTGTCCTCAGTAAACTGCATGTTAATTCTGCTGTCAGCATCACTTGTTATTTAGTTTGGTTGTATTTTTGTCTCTTTGAAGCTGCAGACTTGAACAGCTCAGTACACTGTAGACAAAAACACATCTCTGCAGACACTCTAACGGGTTAATGTTGTAGCAACTACCACACTTTAAGACTTCCTCATCATCTCTCAGAAAAAAAACAAAACACTGAACCACAATGAGGAACAAATATTTGTTGAGCCACATTCAGAATATAAAAGTGACTGATCAGCACCTGTTCAGTTACTTTGATGTTTAAAGTCGTGAGACCAACACCCAGAAAGACAGAGTTAATCAGTTCAGGGGATTCAGATGTCTTTATTTGTGATACTGGTGCTGCTGGTCACAGGTAAGAATATATTAAACACTCACAAACAGATTTCGTCTTTACAAGAGCTGATGAGAAATTAAAAAGTCACATTAGTTGGAGTTAGACAGACATGTTAAATATTTCCTTTAAAAACTGTCAGATTTCCTGTCTTATACCATGTGTTGTCGAGTGAGTGAAACATTTTTACATCAATTAAAATACATTTTTGTTATTTTATCTCTAACCCTCAGCAGCTGTAAGTGGACTTGAAGAGCAGTCTGTCACCATCAGAGTTGGAGATGAAGTCACTTTACCTTGTAAAAATGTGATAAAGGATCAGCAGAGCTGTGACAAAACTGCTTGGCTTTACAGACAAGAAGAGGGGGTCATACCAGTAGAGCTGGTTACACTTGGAAATATCAGTAAATCTGCAATTTCAAGAGGTTATTCAGACAGACTGAGAGTCGGTGAGGACTGTTCTCTGGTTTTAAAAAATGTGTCACGAGAGGATGTTGGTCGTTACGCCTGCAGACAGTTCAAACCAGGAGTAACTACAGAAGCTCGAATTTTTCTGTCTGTTATTAACAGTAAGTTTGACATTTTGAAATTCAAACTGTCCAGTAAAAAACAAATATAAAACAGAAGATAAAAGATGATAACTTTGAGAGACTTAATGTTTCTCCTGTTCTGTTTTCTCTCACAATATCTCCACCAGTGGTAAACCAAGAGGTCATGTTTTACTGCTCCGTGTTCACATATAATGGTTGTCGGCACACCGTGCAGTGGCAGTACAAAGGTAGCATGACTGATGTCCACACAGTACTGCGTACCTGTTCAGCAGAAGTGACATTTCCAGCTCCTCTCCAGAAGTCAAACTCTGAAGAGCAGCTGGTTTGTAACGTGACGGACAATAAAAGTGGACAGACTCATCTGTGGGACGTCAACCTTCAGTCCTCAAATGGAAATAATGGTACAAATCTTTAATAATGCCCATTTCTTTTTATTTGCTCCAACATTTAAGCATAACTTCAAACTCAACATATTTAACCATTACATTTTTGTTTTGTTTTTCTGTGACATTTAACAAAACCAGGAGGTCGTAAACCATCAGGGAAGCAAGAGACAACAGGAGGTGAATCCTCAACAAAACCAGGTACAAATGTGACTTCTTAAATCTCTTTATTACAGGAAGATTCAAAGTCAAGTGTCAGGAAGGAAACGTCATATCTAACCACAGGGAGTTTTTCTTGCTAAACCAGTGGTTGCTTAAAGACTTGAATCAAACAGCAACGTCTTCCTGAAAACACTGTGGTTGTTTATCTGTTTTCATGGAGGGTAAATTGGGGTCTCTCCAGATCTCCAGCTTCTTCACTTTATTCTCAAGTGCATTGAGTCTCCTCTTTTCTTCTATAAATCCTGGTTCACATAAGTGTTCATGAGTGTCCTCAGTAAACTACATGTTAATTCTGCTTCCAGCATCACTTGTTATTTAGTTTGGTTGTATTTTTGTCTCTTTTAAGCTGCAGACTTGATCAGCTCAGTACACCATAGACAAAAACACGTCTCTTTAAAGTTGGCGAGATTACTTAGTAGACTCAGCAAACTGTAGTAGTCTAGCTTGCACACTAGGCCTCCTATCAGTTTCCCATTATTTGTAAAATGTCACTTTCATAACACTGAAATGTCTGAGGGTTTTTTCTGTTTCTTCTCATCTCCAGCTCTGATCAGGTCAATCATTGTGTCTGTGGGATTATTGGGTCTCATTATAACTGTGGTGACGGTCAACATCTGGACGAGAACTGAAGGTGAGAACCTTTTCAAAAATCATTTTATCAACAAGAAGTGATGACAGAACTTTATTTCCTCTGTGGAAACTAAAGTGGACTATTTTGTGTCTATGCAGTGAAACGAAAACTGAAGAAACACGACGCTGTAAGTTTGAGAACTTGAATAAATGTTGGGATTTTAAGTTGGATTTTAGGGTTTGATTTCAGAGCATCGTGTTTGATGTGTTTTCTTTTCTCAGGTGAATGAAGATGAGGGTTCAGTCCACTATGAAAACTGTGGCGCTCATGCTGCTGCTGTCAGACTCCACTGAGAATCAAACACAGGAGGGAGAGACCACAGCAGATGTTCATACTCTAGGTGGTCTCTTGTGTTTGTCTCTACTTTGTCTTTTCTGCTTGATGCATCATCCTCTGTTTACCTCTTGGTCATGTATGAGAGTTGTACAGTTATTAAAATGTGCCTCACAAAATCTCATGTATTGTATTCTTTGTATTGTGTAGAATAAGGCAATAGACTCATGTAATCACTAGGACTTGGAATCAATGGGAATCAATGGGAACTCTTGACTAAAAGAGACTCAGCAAGGACTAGGACTCAAGAAACAGGTAAATGCAAGGCTTAGGCAATGGGGCCCAATAGTATGCAGAGTCAGTTGATAAGGACATGCCCATAGACCAGAGTCAGGCAATGAGCACTTGACGAGGTCCTGGACTCAGGTATTGGAGGTCGTACTCAGACTCTGAACCAGATTATTGGGATTTAATAAAGAATTAGACCCATGTGGTTGGGGTACCACCTGGACTTGAATTTAGGCAATCAGGGCAGTATTGGGACTGAATCTCAGCAAACTAAGACCCACCTAGGAACTTGACTGAAGAAATGGAGACTCATCAAGTAGTAGAATCTAGCAATGGAAATTCAACATGGAGCTGAACTTGAGTAAGGGGGACCTTTTTTTGAACCCAGGCTCAGGTGAAAGGGGCTAGAGTGGGAACCAGATTCAGGTGAGCTGGACTTGACTCTTGACTAGACTTAAGCAATGGGGAATTGACCTAGACTGAAACTTAAGTAATGAGGGCCCTCAGGCCTCAGACTTAAGTGACAGGGACTTGCATATGGACTGGAATCATGCAATGGAGATATTCCCAGACCCTGGACTCAGGAAAAGTAGACTTGACCTGGACTAGAACTGAGATAATGGAGCTACACTAGGACTCAGACCTAGGCGATAGAGACTCAGCTAGGACCTAAAGTGATGGGGACTTGCCTAAGCTCAAGATGACTTGTACTTGTACTGGAATAAAAACATCAGGGACTCTAGACTTGCCTAAAACTGGAGGCCAGTGACCCTCCAAACAACAAGCATTACTGCAGAAAAATACAGAGCCGCAGAGAGGATCAAGCATTTCTCAGACCACCAAAAGATATTACGAACAACAACAGTCCAATAAAATCAGACAGATTAAAGGTGTCTTTCAACTTCAGGGGGTGGAGTGGGGGGTCACCTAAAGGAAGTCACACTTACTGAAGACAGGAAGCCAATGCAGCAAGCCTCTGAAAACAAAACATGAGATCATCGACTTTAGCATTTAGGTTTGTACAGAGAGGAGTTAAAGTCAGACACACAAGATGGGTCAAGAAAGGATTCAAATTTCTGTTCTTGTGTTCCTGATGTTGTTATTCTCAGGTAAAAGTCAGTATTCTTAAAATTAAAGAAATATTGCTGCTTGAATGTCGTGAGTTTGATGGATGTATTTACTGTATGTGTCCACTATTTCTACAAGAATGTGATATAACACTTTTCTTAATCTGTCTTTCATCTTCAGGAGCAGAGGCCGGACAAAATATCTCCTCCATCACTGTCAAAGCCGGAGATGAAGTCACTGTACCTTGTGGAAATGTGACTAAAGACAAGCAGAGTAGTGGCACTTTTTTTTGGCTTTTCAGTCCTCATCCTTTTGTTTCAGCAAAAGTGTTGGTTACAAGCGGAAAGATTAAAAAAAGCAGGATTTCAAACGGAAGGTTAGAGAGGCTGACAGTCGGCGAGAACTGTTCTCTGGTTATAAAAGATGTCAAACGTGCGGATGTCGGTCAATACTCCTGCAGACAGTCCAAACAAGGAGATGAACAAACTCTAGACTTCGACTATTATCTCTCTGTTATCGAAAGTAAGTATTGACTTTAAAAAATAGAGCCTCAAACATCTTGTTCCGACGATATAAAATCATTTAAAAGCTTGTTTTTGTTCCCTCACAGTGTCTACAGTTGAGAAACATGAGTCCCAGGATGCCGTCATATTTTACTGCACCGTGTTCAGGTTTGCAGAGTGCTGGCACACAGTGAAGATGCTGTATAAAGGTGACATGAATGACATGAAGACATTACAGGCTTCCTGTTCAACCAGAGTGACTTTTACAACTCCTTGTGATCTGGATCCAAATGTTGGACAAACATTGTATTGCAAAGTGACAGATCATAAGAGTGGGCAAACTCTGCTGTACGATTACAGCTCTTGGTTATCAGACAACAAACCAGGTACAATTTGATTATTTTTGTTTGTTATGGTCTTCATCATTTATTTTCATCCAAGTCAAATGTGTCATTTTTAATTTCCATTTGTTGTGTTTCGCATCTTCATCTAAAGGGGGCACATCAGCAGAGAGAAATCGAACATTAACTGTGAAGGACTATCATGGACACCACGGTACAGATTTCTCTCTCTGCTTTATTGTAACATATAAATGCAAACTGATACAAGTTAAAATACAGAGATTTTGGACCTCTTCAGAGCAGTGTAACAAAAGAAAATTTAAATGCTAATAATATTAAACTATAATAGTACATATGGAAGCACGAGCAAAAAATAAGGCTTGTAATGAGTGAAAAAAGGCCTGAATATGAAAAAATGTACATGTCAGGTTTTTTTAATGAGACATTTTCAAGCTTTTGAGGAAGTGGTGTCAAAACTTGGCCCACTGTTCGTTGGTCACTCTCTTGCTCTGGGTCTGATTTCCACCGCTATGCTGATGATCTGCGGTTTTAGTAGCCCCCCCCCCATCAAGTGTAAAAGAATCCTCATTAGACTTTTGCATTTGACCTGCACGTCAAAGAAGTGACAAAAGTTGCCCTTTTTCCACCTCAGGGGTTATTATATTTTATACTCATTACAAGCCATTCAGATCTCATTTTCGGAGTGTAACGTTGAAAAAAGCTGTTTTATCTGGACTTTTCAGGTGGATTTGCTTAATTACTGTTTACTCTACATAAGACAAAACTGTGACCAAGACTTCACAGTTTTTGTGGTGTGATATCTAGAGGATGCATGACGTGGCCACACTTTTGAGCTAAGAGCACTGCATGTGCACAGAAAACAACATCCAGGACTTTACTCATGCTGCCACCTGTTGACTCACTTCTGATTCGATGGACCCTGTTTTTTTTGCTCCCTCTCAGTTCCAGCTCTATTTAGACTGATGATCGTGACTGTGGGATTGTCAGCTCTCATAGTAACTGTGGTGACGGTCAACATATGGACGAGAACTGGAGGTGAGAACCTTTTGAATTAGACACACCCGATTCGAAAACAGCTGCCACACTGAGTTAAACATTGAAAAAGAACAGATATTAATGGTTTGTAAATCATGTAAATTATATATTTAAGTGAAAAAAGGTGCAACACCAACATATCAAGTGTTAAAAAAGAGAGTTCTTACTGTTTATGATTGCCGTATTGACCACTGTGTTGCATCGCCTCTACATTTTACACTCTGTAGATATTTGGGGACTGATTCTTAGGATTTCCCATATAGATTTTTTTGCCAAAAGCTGGAAACAGGGTCTTCATATTGTATATTTATTACAGTGTGAAACATTTTCAGTGGATGACAAGTCAGCATGGACTCTTCTACTACAGAGCCATGTTGTTGTAATCCCTGCAAAATGTGGTTTGTCATTGTCTTGCTGAAATACGAAGGTCTTCCCTGAGAAAGTCATCATCTGGATGGCATTAGATGTTTGCTACTAAAACCTGTAGATATTGTTCAGCTTCACAAATGTGGAAGATACCCATGACATGGACTCTGATAATCCCATTCCATCAGGGATGCTGGATTTGGACTGTGCACTTAAAACTAGTCCCGCCTCTCTTTACAGCAAAAACTATAACCGCCATGATTTCATGAAAGAGACTCAAATTTTTTTATTGGTTGGGATGAAATTTGATTTTCTAAATCAAGAAGAAATGATAAACTTTGGTTCACATTGTGGAAATTAAAGTAGACTCTTTTTTGTCTTCACAGCAACTAAAACAAAGGTGGATGACGATACTGTGAGTTTGAAAACTTCATTAACATCAATTTGTAATCAAAATGAAAGAACCAATTATTTTAAATCAGCCTGAATAAGTGAGATTTAAAGCTCTTTATTTTAATGTCGTGTTTGTTCTTTTTCTTTTAGCAGGACAAAAACAACGTCAGTGAAAATGAGGGTTCAGCCATCTATGAAAGCCTTGAAGATCACGCTGCTGCTGTCAGACTCCAGTGAGCAACTACTTCAGGATCAATATCAGTTATTGTAAGGAAATGAAAAAAAGCTCTTTTTTTAGTGTTATAACTTTCACATGATGCTTTTGAACATCAGCTTTGCAATAGTAATCAAACTCTTTATACAACTTGAAAGTAAAAAGCTTTTATAAGTAGCACACTGCAAAAACTCAAACTAAGGAGTTATTTTTCTTCTTTCAACCAAAAATATCTATCAAACTTATTCTAAGCCTTAACCACGAGCCCAGTCCTGATATTACAAGTTAAAAAAAACATCAGGATTTACTGTAATGAGGTACAGTGTATTATTATGTACATTTTGTTTTTTAAGCTTGAATGAACTCTCAGAACTGTGTGAGTGTTTTTATCAAACAAAAATGATTTGATTTCAATAAAACTGCTCCATGTCATTGTGTTTTATTCCTCGAGCATATTGGCTACAATAAAGAGGCCAATGCTTTTTAGAGTAGGGCTTCTGGCTGGAGGTTAAAAAAAGTATTAGGCTGAATCTTATTTTCCTTCCTAAACCCCAAAGCCGCAGAGCTTTTTTTAAAAATGATTTCCATGTCATGACGTTGTTTGTGGGTTTCATTAGCTGCATGTTTCACATCATAATGCAATGACCACTGGGTTATTCCCTCCAGCAAAGTCTGCAGAGATGCTGGCTTATGAAAAGGGTGCATACTCATCTTTTCAATGAGACCAAACCCTCCAACGATGGGCATTGATTTTTGTTACACAGCTGTTTGCTTTAAATTGAATGATTTTGGCATTATCAAGGAGAAAACCGGATAAATATTGATGCTGCCAGCTACATCCAGGATGCCAGGAATCCCAGAATGCATTGCTGGGTAAGTGCACATTGGGGCAGGACAAGTGTTGGGTTGTTGTGAAGACTTTTTAGTGTGTGACATGATGCATAAGATCAAGAAAGCACATCTTTCTCAGGAAATTGTGGTGCAGTGGCTGGTGTGGGTGCTAGAAACTGAGCAGCAAGCCCAAAACCATCAACCACACTCACATCAAATGTTTCCGGACTCCAATGGGTAACTTTCTGCCACATTTGCTGTCTACCAATAATCTAAACCCTTTAAAAACTACTTTTATTTGCTATAAGCACAGGAAATTTTGTGTAGATATGTTAATATATGGCAGAGCTAAAGCAGTTTAAAATTGTGTGGTGTGAGTTTTATCAAAATCCAAGTTTGGCACAGTGTACTGAACACGCTCACTGACAAAAAGTCACAGTTTGCGGCACACATGAAGACCAACATCTCAAGGTTATCCAGAGCAAAGTTGATGCAGATATGTTCAATGGTCTCAGAGTTAAAGTTCATAGAGTTAGGCATGACAGAGCTTGCTGCCACTGGGGTAGTGATCTGATTAAGATGAAAAATAGCCTCATGAGTGTGCTAAGGCCTGGACCCTCAGTGTGCGCGTGTGTGTGTGTAACTTGGTTGAGATTGGAGTGTTGATGGCTGAGAAAAAAACTACTTCCTGTTTTACTGTGGGACACCTATCTAGGAATAGGTTAAGCTAGCTCTTGGGGGTTGACTAGTGGCAATGAGGCCCTACGCTACTTCTCATGCCACAGGCCGGCTCTGACCTCACCCCTCAGCTCTTTATTTAGAAATCCTTTTAGTGTTTGTCACTTGGTGAGTAAGTCCACAATGACTCTGCCTACAGTAGTGTCACAAGTTTACTCTTTACAGCATTCTCATTTAACAGTGAAACATATATGAGTACAAACATGCAAATTTCTTATGAAGAAAGGAGGAAGTGGGGAGATTGAGGAAGAAGACAACATCAGAAACAAAGCTGTGTGTTATTTTTCATCTAAGTGTGTAGGATTCAAAGATGAAACATGATACTTAAAAATAATGTTTACATCTTGATTTCTAAAGATGTGTGCTGTTTACTCGCTAATCCTTAAAGGGTCAAACCTGCACAGTTGTTTAGATGTGGTTTCAGACTAGAACAGCTCCCCCTCATTTCTCAAGAGAAAAATAAAAAATAAAAAAAATAACACTCAGCCACAAACAGGAACATACATATCTTAGATCGCTAACAAACCACCACCCAAGACTGTTGTATTTTTGAGTCTCCGCGTATGATGAGGCCAGAACTTTGACTTAAGTTTATTATATTATAAGATTTTTTAAGAGGGAGAGGTTTGAACATTTTATTTTTTAGTTTAATTCTTCATTCAGGAAAATATTCACATTCACACAACCTCATGTCTGTGTCATCAAATCCTGTATGTAAGTGTTACTTTTGTTACAGGATGCCGGTGAAGCTAAAATCTTATAAAAATCCGCCAAAGGTCGAGCAGAGTGACAGCATCCACTTCATCATTTCTGCGAACATGTCAGCAGCTCATGTCCTCTTTCATCTACATGTACCCATATCTGACGTTTTAGCAGTGAGGTTATCTCCCCGAAAAAATCAGCAGAATAGCAAGAATAAGAGGAAAAACTCAAGCAAAGATGAGGAAGTAGGAGCAGCTGTATAATAACAGGAAGTTGAAACTGTAACTCTTCATTCAGAGTCTCAGAGAATAAAGAACGAGAGACAAAGATGTTCAGATTCAGAGGGAGTAAAATGTCTTTATTTGGGAAACTGATGCTTCTGCTTACAGGTAAGAATTCACATGAACATCATACACCAATGAAAGATGAGTTACTGATGTTTTTGACTTAAGTGGAACTGATTCAAGGCTCACCAACAACGCTTCACTGTGCCTTCTCTGATCGTTGTATGCTGGTGTGATTTTCTACACGGACAGACTGATGATCACTGTCAGCCTTTTGTTTTACATGAGACTACTTTTGCTCTGCCGCTGGTTAGTCCTTCTCTCTGGGTCTGCTTTCTTGTAAGCTCTGTACGACCCACATTATCTGGTTGTCTAGATGTGACACGACAGAGTTGTGTAGCTGTAGTGTAGGTGAACCTGCCACAAACTGCTCTATGTTGAATGTTTAATTGAACATTATTTAAAGATATTTCAACAAAGTTTTCTGTTTGATTTTTTGCATTTTTACTGTCAGTGCAGTTCCAAATATCAGTCTTACTATCAGCCTTGAAACACTGATATCAGTCAACCCCTACTTATAAATATTTGCTGCTTTTTGCTGCATTTACTTCAATCCTCAATTATGTTTTACTTTCATGTTTATTTTTTACCTTTCACAGCTGTATGTGGACTTGAAGAGCAGTCTGTCACCGTCAGAATTGGAGATGAAGTCACTTTACCTTGTAAAAATGTGATAAAGGATCAGCAGAGCTGTGACAAAACTACTTGGCTTTACAGTAAAAATGTGGGGGTCACATCAGAAGAGCTGGTTACACATGGAAATATCAGTAAAACTGCAATTTCAAAAGGTTATTCAGACAGACTGAGAGTCAGTGAGGACTGTTCTCTGGTTTTAAAAAATGTGATACGAGAGGATGTTGGTCGTTATGTTTGCATGCAGTTCAAACCAGGAGGATATACAGATGCTCCAGTTTTTCTCTCTGTTATTAACAGTAAGTTTGACATTTTTAAATTCAAACTGTTCAGTAAAAACAAAATATAAAACAGTAGATAAATGATGATAACTTTGAGAAAGTTAATGTTACTCCTGTTCTTTTTTCTCTCACAATGTCTCCACCAGTGGAAAAACAAGAGATCATATTTTACTGCTCCGTGTTCACATATACTGGTTGTTGGCACACTGTGCAGTGGCAGTATAAAGGTAGCATGACTGATGTCGTCACAGTACCGCGTACCTGTTCAGCAGAAGTGACATTTCCAGCTCCTCTCCAGAAGTCAAACTCTGAAGAGCAGCTGGTTTGTAACGTGACGGACAATAGAAGTGGACAGACTCATCTGTGGGACTTCAACCTTCAGTCCTCAAATGGGAATAACGGTACAACTTTTTCATTTGGCTTTCAACCTAGTTTTATGACAAACCTAGTGTATTTTACTGTTATCTCTTTTGTTTTGTTTTTCTGTGACAATCAACAAAAACAGGAGAACATAAACCTTTAGGGGAAGAAGAGACAACAGGAGGTGAATCCTCAACAAAACCAGGTACAAATGTGACTTCTTAAAGAGGAACTTTGGTATTTTCAACCTGGGCCCTATTTTCTATGTGTTTGTATGAACATCTCTGGAATCATCTACCAGTCATGGTGTTGGGGGGCAGACAGCTTACTGTTCAGGTCTGGGTCAGCTCTTAGTTATGCTGCTATAGGTTTAGACTGCCAGGGGTTCTGGCTCAATACTGGACCAATTTCAGAAATTGTTCACATCAGTCAAACACAGGAAAACATGACCCAGGTTAAAAAAATACTGAAGTTCCCCTTTAACTAGGAGATGCACACTCGCACCAATGACGCATTTCCATGTTCGGGTTACATGTAAAGTTATTTCCCTGTTTGTCTTCTCCTTACAGATTGGTGGCACTATGTCATTGTGGCTGCAGCATTAGCAGCACTCCTGATGATCCTCTCAGTCATTGTGGTGGTCATCAGGCGTAAGAAAACTAAAGGTGAGGGTGGTTAGGGATGAAACTACTGTTCTGATCAGGGCTGTGTCCAGACATTTTAGGTGAGGGGGGCCCAACTGCAGCACAGACTCATTCAAGCACTGTAAAAAGAAGGTGATTTTCCAAAATCCCAAGATAGACAACTTACCAAAAGGAGTGAGCTGAGTTTGAATGCAAAGATTGACACTGACAGTCTGGTAAAATTTATGGATTTTATGTGACAACACAGCATCCCATCATCCTGCTCTGTGACCTGTGCAGTGTTTAGGTTACATGGTCCACCTGCAGTTAACAACACATACAGTGATTTTTGCGTTTAGCTACTAAACTTAACCCACAAAGTATAACATCTACATGAGTATATCGTGTTTGCAGCTAGCTGTGTTTTTAACCAAAACTGTGGTTATGTAAGTCCATGTTAAGTTGAGCTCCAACAAGTGTCGTGATCATTGTGAAATATAAGCTACTTCCATTCGTTTAAAAAAAAAAAAAAGTTCGGTTAGAAAGTATAAATGTTCAAAAAAGATTTGTAACCTGAAGAGGCACAAACTCTGAAAATGTTTTTGGAGTGTCGTTCTTCAAAAGTGCTGTATCACCTCTCAAAGGGCTGCTACAGCTAGCTCTTAAACAGCTGCTGTTTCTTCTTCATCTCTCCTCCACTTTATGGCATATGGTAAACAAATAACTTCTGTATGCTTATTTTTGACATGATATTATTTTCAATTCTTATGAAAGGACAGTCATCGGCATAAACAGTATATTAACAAAAAACACATTTTTCAAACTTCCAGCAAACTTCGGAGGAGTCTGCGGTTCACTTAAAGTAATCAGGCCTCTAAACTTGATTGTCTTAGTCTGCTGACGGCGCTAGAATCCTAAAGTTGGTGCTACATAAAAAAAAAAAAAAGTCATATTACTGAAACACATGAATATCAACAGTTTATTGAACCACAAGTTTAATCTTTGACAAGGCAAATGGCCAATCACAGGTGAGAATTTTGGGATGCACCACCCCTAACGATCTCTGTGTGTAGTCTGTGGATCCTGGGTCATATTTTAAACCTGCAAATCCACAATTTAATCTCTCTTTTTTTGTCTTTTCAGGGAACAAAACACACAGGGATGGAAACACAGTGAGTTGTGACAAATACTTATTGTGGATGGATAAGGTGTGGATACATGCAAGCTTTTAAAGATACTCAACAAATAGCTGTTGAAATGTAGTGTCTGTGTTAAAAGAGCTGTTTCAGGAAAATGAATCAAGTATATGCAGATGTACTGTAACTGTAACTTCATGTTGGTCTTCAGGGTCAGAGCTCAGTGACTCAGGCTGGTGTGGAAACCAGTCAGGAGAAGGTGAGATCATGCTCTACGCCCAGTTTAAAGTCACACCCACAGTTTTTTTTTTTTAATCTTTTTTTTTCTGATGACATCAAAACTCACAGTCTTTTTAATAAACAGTCACACCCCACCCTCTTCTTTAGAGAAAAGGAGAAGTCAAGTTGTGAAACTTCACTAAAAAGCCCACATGCTACTGAGTACTCATTATTGTGTGTTGTCTTCATCGTGTAGGCGGACCCTGGAGATGGTGTTGCGTATGCCACTGTCAACTTCACCAAGAAGAGCAACGGCAAAACCAAGGTAAGATCTCTGATTGCATACTGTTCTGTTTCTTGGCATTAGGTTGAGTTAAATGGAACATGCTAACCACATCAATGAGGCCAGTACGCTCAAAATAGGTTTGTTAACATCAGTGGCGATTTTGGTCTGGAAGTTTAGCAGGAAGAACTCATAATGCAATCCAGAAATACCAGATATTACTGTCATACCCTCACCAAAAAACAGCAGCAAGTGAGAGAGGGGACCACAGCACCTTTGATGGCAAAACTGCTGCTGAATAATGCCATCACACAAACAATGTCAATCTGGTGACATATATTATCATATCAATGACGCCACAAAATGGCAGTGTTCAAGACCTCACAATATCAAATAGGCCTACTCAAGATCGAAACAATGTGACAATAATACAAACACAAAGGCGTGAACGGTGCACACCCAATACAATAATCAATATACAAAACCACCACACACAATATACCACAGCCAAACAGCCATTTTAGCAGCAAAGACAGGTCCCTAGGGGAGCCCACGTGTGGTTGTGTCCACCACACACACCCACACATGTTTCTTCAAACAATATGTAAACTACATTATAAATTCCATGTAGAATAATAGACTCACCGATGTGGATCCCTTTTTGAAGAGGAATGACGCTCTGCGGTCCTTGATGTGTGCAAACTTCTCTGTGACTTTTCTGTGAAAATCCAACAATCCATGGATGACTTCACTTACCATAGAAAGTACCACCAGGGCATTCAGTCTCTGTGCAGACCTGTGCAGTTCCAACTCTCTCTTCTAATCAGCCAAGGAGAAGCACTCTGGGGCCCTGAATTTCGGGCCCCACCGCCAAAACACACGCATGAACGTGCAGCCTTTCGCCATCTTGACTGTGCTCCACAAAACAGAGGCACTAATGAACACTCGACACTACAGAAAGTAGAGAAATTGGGTTCATCAAGAGAGCTGCAGACGTCTCAATATGGACAAAGTTAAATTTGAACTTGCACTCAACGACATTTTTGACACAGGAAAAAAAATAAATTAAAAAAAAAAAAAATGGTTATAATCTTCTGCTGCACAGCAGCGCCCCCTGTGGGGGCTCCTAATGCAAAGATTCTATTGGTTAACATGCTGAAGTCAGCCAGGTGTGATTTTTCTCATGATTGCGATTTTTAAGCCCAGTCTCGCATAAACTCCTGACTCCTAAATGTAAATGTTCATTTCACACCTTTATACTTCAACCACAATTTCCAAGAGCTATGTTGAACAAAGGATGTCGGTCTCTGAAGTTTTAAAAGTGGAACTGCAGTGAAAGAAAACATTTAACGCCAGGACTCTTCTACTACAGAGCCATGCTGTTGTAATCCCTGCAGAATGTAATTTAGCATCTTCTGGCTAAAATATGAAGGTCCCTGAAGTCATTGTCTGGATGGCAGCACATGTTGCTCCTAAATCCCATTTATACTGTTCAGCATGAATGATTGGAGATGGTTGTTCTGCAGATTATGAAATCCTAGAAACTCTTTGCAGTTGTAGTCTCAGGAACATTATTGTGAAATTGCTGAATTTTTAGCTGATACAGTTTCTAACAGTTACTTATACTCCCAATCTGTTCATGTGGTGTTTGATATCATGATTCTGCTTATCCATCTATCATCTCACTCTATGTAGACTAAACTGTGCTTGAGTATATCAAACCATGTCTTTTATTGTAATGTCTTTGTTTTATCTTGAAGCCCAATGAAGGTGGTGGTGATGAAGGTGAATTAGTGTTCTACAGCACTGTCAAAGTTTCTCCTCCTACAACTGAAGCTTCCATTGATCCCAGCAGCCTCTACGCCACTGTCAACAAACCAAACAAAGAAGACGGGACAGGATAATTACAGACAGAGTTATTTCATGCTATAGAGAATCATTTAATATTTATTGTTCTGTATATTGTGTCATTAGATGCAGCTGTAAATACAATTTTTAATGTTCTGATATATTATCATTATTATTATCAGACTAACTTTTGTTCATTTAAATTATATATTTGATAAGTTTTCCAGTAAATTGCTGTTAAAAGGACTCTCTAACCAGAGCAGGATCTTCTAGCCTTTTAGCCATACCACGGGTTATTTTAAGATGTTAGAAAATATGTATAATACATGAAAAATGTGTTCTAAGATGTTATTTGGCTTGTTATATAAAATCTTTCTTCATATTGACCTGGTTAAATCTCTCAAAAAATAAATGGTGCTCGTTCCTGATGTATCTAGGACATTTTCAGTTACTGAAACGCGACATTTGAATAATCAGATAATTGTGTTTATGCAGCATGAAACCCAGAGCACCGCCTCTGAAAAGACAAACATCGAATCAGAGTTTAGGATTTTTGGGGTGGCACCTGGCATAGCCAATCAGATTTTATGGGGGGCAAGTACCACCCCTAGCTGCCTCTCTGCACAAGCTGCCTATTTATGTGCACTGCTAATCCTAGAGACAAGTGTAGGTAAAACTTGACAAATTGAGGATCATACTTATGCATCACATGAGCTTTTTGTCCTTTACGGGCACTGTAGATTTACCAACATTAGGGGTGAACAAGGGAGTGAATCAATCCATAAAGATAAATGCCTTCTTTTCCCCGCTGGTTTGAAAAATGAAAACTCGTTCCAACTTTGTGTATTAATCAACTTTTTTAAGACTTTGATTTGCCCTCTTGGCTATCATAGAATGGGTTAAGATAAGATAAGATAAGATACGACAAGATATTCCTTTATTAGTCCAACTGGGGGAATTCCAAGTTTACCGCAGCATAAATACAAAAAGAGGAATTAAAGGATGATGATGGTTCATTTCTGTGTCGACTTGTTGGTGACTCCACTGACGGGTGGAAATAGGTTAAGGGTGATTATTCTGCCACCATTACAAGCAAGAAGTGACAAAGACAAAAGTTGTGGTTATGAGGAAGTGACGCTTCAGAACTGAACTTGCAGTGTTGCACTTCAAGACAGAACACAAATGTGGAAGGAATTGTGACAGCCAGTGTTAGAAAACTCAGACGGACAGCAGAATGGCTGAGTTTAAATGGATTAAAATGCTTCAATACCTGATACTTGTCCCTCAAATTGCAGGTAAGGACACAGAATTCTCATTTAGAGGGAAAAAAGTGTTATTGGCAGTCCAAAAAATATGAATTTTATCGACTTTAAAACTTTAATCTGATCTAAAATGATCAATTCTCTTGTTTATTCACAGCTAAAACTACACATTACCTCTCCGTCATTATTCGAGATGGAGCTGAAGTCACTTTGCCATGTCAAAATGTCTTAACTGATAGCAGTAACTGTGACAGCACTACATGGACCTTCAGTCAGTTGACCAGAACAGCAGCAGTAGACTTGGTAAAAGGAGGGCGGTTATGGGATCGTACAATGAACAAATCAGACAGACTGAGAGTTACAGCAAACTGTTCTCTGATTATAAAGAACGCCACACAAGAGGATGTTGGTCGATACTTCTGCATTCAGGAAAAATCAGGGCAGAGACATGCTGGAGAGGCTGTAGTTGATGTGTCTGTAGTGATCAGTAAGTATTTACTCTACAAATACACCACAATAACTGTATCAGTTATATTTTTGTCACCTTTAAAATGTCTCTCTTTTTACCAGTGACTGAAAAAAAGGAGAAGAGGGTTGTGTGGTTAAAATGCAGACTGCTGACTCGGCTTGTTTGCACACACACTGTTGAGTGGCTGCCTCCTGGTCCAGAAGTGGATCAAGATTTCAGAAACTTACAGAAGTTACAGGCCAGCTGTGTTGCCATGGTGACCTTTTTAACTTCTGATTCTGTTTATACGTCAAAGAAATATGAATCATTACAGTGTAATCTGAAGGAGCATAACAGTAATACAAGTGTGCAGTTTACCTTCAACCCTCAATCCTCAGGTAAGGGAGATACAGTATAATAAGATGAATAGATTGCTCTTTAAAATCTAACACTCTCTGTATTTCTTTGTCTAGAACGTGACACTCTACAGTTTGAGGACATAGGTACAACAACAAGGAAACCAAAAGGTATATTTTGTGTGTTTCTTATCAGTATTTTGTCCTTGTCTGTCCATTTTTATTAAAAAGAATTGAATATCAGTAAAGCCAACCAAAAGAACAAAAAAGAGTGAAGACTATGTTCATTTTTGTCCCTCATATCAAACCCTAACCTTAACCCTGGTTGTTGATAGGTTCATAAAATAAATTAACAGGTTGGTTGTTTGATTAGTTGGCTGGCCAGTTGGTTGGGTGTTTGAACAGGATTGTTGGTTGACTGACTGGTAAGCCTGCTAGTTAGATGGCTGGTTGGTGGGTTTGCTGGCTTGTCAGTTGGTTGGTTTGTTGGGTGACTGGTTGTTTGATTAGTTGGCTGGCCACTTGGTTGGGTGTTTGGACAGGATTATAGGCTGGCTGACTGGTGAGACTGCTAGTTGGTTAGCAGGTTTGTTGGCTGTTTGGTAAATTGGTTAGTTGGCTGGTTGTCTGTCAGTTTGGTTGCCTGGTTGTTGCCTACAGACCTACTGGTTTGTCTGTTGGTTGTGTTAGTCATTTAACTACCTGGTCAGTTGATTGGTTTGCTGGCTCCCTGATTAACTGGTTGGCTGGTTGGTTGTTAGTTGGTTAGTCTGTTGGGTGGTTGGTGAGTTGGCTGGCTTGTTTTTTTTTTTTCTGGTTAGTTGGTGTTTGGCTTGCAGATTGGCTGGTTGGTTAGTCAGCTGGCAGGTATGGTTGACTTTCTGGATGGCTAGTTGTTTGATTGCTTGGTCAGACTAGCTTGTTGTTTGTTTGTTTGTTTGTTTGTTTTTTTTGTTGCTATGCTGACTGGTTGACAGGCTGGTTGGTCAGTATAGGCCCTTTAAAAAAGTATGTTTTTCATATAATCTGAGCCTAGAAGGTGCCGTCAAAATTGAAACTTTATGTAGCAGTGACAAACACGAGAGGAAGGTGGTCATCAAATAGATAATAAGATAAAGTTTGAGATAAATTTTGTTGAATTCAAGTGGAAGATTATTTCATGAATAAAAGTGTTTTTTTTTTACGATGACATGAGCGGGAAGTATTACTTTTTGGATGTTGAAAAGAACATGGATCATAACTCAACTGTCCATTTATTTTCTTCCATTTCTAGATTTATGGTGGGTGTACCTTATTGTGGCTCTGGGTTTGACTGCGCTTTCTGTTACTGGTGTGGTGTTCATAAGAAGAAAGAGAAATAAAGGTGAAAACATACTTAAAAAACTTTGTCATGAAAATATTTTGAGATACCTGAAAATTGATTTAGGAACAGAACCTCACAGAGTTTCTTTTTTTATTTGTTTCAGGTAACAAAACTCATACAGACAAGAACCAGGTGAGACTTTGAATGGAAAAAGAATTATTTCTACAATTATGGTTTTACAGATCAAACAGTGATACTTGCTTTCAGAAATGTTACCGTGAATCAACAGCTGAGTAAGTTCATCAAATGTAATAAGACTGTCGTTTTGCAGGAACTAAGTCTGAACAGTGCAAAAAGTCCATCAGCTCAAAAAACAAATCTGTACACGGTAAAATCACACACTACATCATATGTTTTAACTAACACTCCTGTATGCTCGTATTACACCAGGACAGAGGCAAACCTGGACTGTCCAGGCAAAACTTTGAAAATACATCACAGACAGGGACAATATGGAAAAATCAGCCCAGTAAATTTGTGGATGAGTTTGTATGAATTAACAAGTTACTTTGTTGTTGTCCCCAAGGCTGAGCCTGATGATGGTGTTTCCTACGTCTCAATCCACCACACCAAAAAGACCAAAGGCAAAGCTCATGTAAGATGTCCTTTGAAATTTTAAGTTGAAAGTTTACCTCAGTTGTCTTTGGGTGATATAGTGCCATGTTTTTTCAGTATTCTTCATTAACTTTTTCATGTCCTACAGGTTTGGGGTGGTGAAGAAACTGTAACATACAGCACTGTAAAAGCCTCCACTGCTGCTGATCCCAGCAACCTCTATGCTACTATAAACTAAAAATCATCAGTACTGTTATTTATTTGTAGTCTATTACGATATGTGGTGTGATTACAAAGTCAAATTGTTAGTTTTGTCAGATTGAGGTGTTTAACAAGAATTTATTTGATACTTGTTCATGTTTTTGTGTAAAAATGTTATTTTATGTTCAAACCCCAATCCTCGCTCTCTACCTAAGTTGTTTGGTGTAAACATTTACTGTTTTATTTACACATTTGCACTACTGGATCCAAGTTTTATTAGTCATTTCTGTGGTACTGGGATGTTCTTTTCAACTTTGAGCTGTCCCTGTAATAAACTTTTATACCAGAGGGGGGAGTTGTAACTTAAGTTAATGCTGCAATGTAATGGGCACAGCAGGGTAGGCAGGCAGGCAGGCAGGTAGATGGATGGATGGATGGATGGATGGATGGATGGATGGATAGATAGATAGATAGATAGATAGATAGATAGATAGATAGATAGATAGATAGATAGATAGATAGATTTTATCTAGATTTTTTATAGATAGATGGGCACTGATCTTGCTGCAATGCACCTGATTTGTAATGGTAGTAAATTAGAGGATAAGAATGCAATGTGCAAAGAGATGAATGTTGTTTCCTTGCAATAAAATGCATCAATGTCTGCTTCTGTGTCATTAAAACCATATTCTCTGTGAATATTGTGAGGTGTTTAGCTGTGGATTGGAGTAAAATAGTTCTCTTCTTCTGTGCTCAATTTTTTGTATTGAGTCTAATTGAGATATAAAATACAGTTTCAAAAGCCAAAAATTGAACAAAATGTGCAAATTCAACAGTTGCAGCAAAGAGGGGAAAAAATCCCATTTGTTGCAGCTTTATCACTTGTTGACGCCTTCGTCTGTCAAAATCCACCAATAACATAGCGTCGTCAATTCCAAATATGGTGCGGCGTACTCACTATCCCGCCCCTCTTTGTTGATTCGACCAATGGGAGCTCGTCAAACGTTGGCCAGTGCCGGGGATACAACCAGTGGAGAGATACAGGGGAGCTGTAATTAGCTGGCAGGACTACGTTGTAGACAACGATTTAATCATGTAAGGACTGGAAAAAGACTCGTTTCCATCATGTGGCTGGATTTTACGGGGGAGTAGTTGATGCTGGTGCGTCGCTCATGCTTATGTGGGAGAGAAATGAACAGAGAAGGTCATTTTTCCCGGAGAAGGATGGAGGGAGGTAACGGCCCCCGCAGTGTCTGAAAAGAGTGCAGTGAGCTAGGTAGCATAAGAGGACGACTTCCGGAGGAGAATTTCAAAATAAAGGATCCCTGAGAATAAACAGGCTCCGAATCGGTGTAATTTTCCTTGTTATACTGAACCGACCTTTTGGATACTATTAAAGACGACGAAGTAACAGAGATTACCGTTTCTTGCTCTAACTGTAAGACTAAACTCTAAAATAACTATGTCGCAAATTGTGTACATTTTATTTTGTCGTCGTCAGAAGACTAACGTTCGTTGGCTCGTGTGTAGCTCAAGCTAGCTTAACGCAGAGAAAAAGACGTGAAGTTACAAAGCCTCGGACCAAAACAAGACTTCACAGCCTGGAGTGGACTACGAAGCCCTGTTATGAATGGGACCTACCTCGGCTCACTGTGTTGTTCAAGTCAAATGCCTTTAAATTTCCCGGATTGGTCGTTTATCAGAAATTGGAGCGCCGGTGGAACATAAACGGTAGGCTGTATTAATAACGGTTCAGATATTTCTGCAGAAACGAGCTTTCTCTGACATTAAACTGTACATGGTGGTTTGTTTTAAAACTAATTCAAAGTTATTCTTTCTTTGTATTCCTGGCATACATTTTGTACAACATCACTAATTTGTTGATCTTGTTATAAACCTTTTGCCCTTAGACAAGCATGTAATAATTTTGGCTGCATGTAAGATACCAAGATTTTTTTCAAACATATCTTATATTTTTTTCCCCTACCACAGTGTGTTACCAGGGAATGTTGCGTACCCCTGTTTGTGTCCCTGTAATTTTCAGAGTTTTCTTATCTTTTTTACACCCTCATAATTATATTAGGAGAGCTGGTGAAGAATCCAGTCTAGGTGGATTTCCTCTTCGCTACTTGAGAGAATTTGTTGTCATGTTGTCAAGGACTCATGCTTTGACTTTGCTGTTGCACTATAACAGGACAGACACAATTCCCTTCTGGGTGCAAACCACTAAGCAGGAACTCCCTTTTAAAAGCAGTATTTTATATTTAAGGATTTTTTTTAACTGCTTCTTTTAGAGCGGCACAATTTTAGCCAAAGCAATAGTTGTGATTACAATGTTACAGTGTCATTTAGCAGGTAGATTTTGTCCCATAGACTGTATATAGAATGGATAGCGTCTGCCTCCTTGCTGGGTGAAGCCACTCCGAAAACAGCGCACCCTGGTGACGGCCTGCAGTATAGGTCATAAACCTCGCCTCCTCCAGCAATCCCTATGGAGCTGTGGACAAACTTTAGAAATTTATTACACAGAATATAAATTTTTCTCCCCCTTGCACGCGATGTTGACATCTAATTATTGTAAGACTGGTTTGTGCTCAAGTCCTCTTTTCAGTACAGCTCAATTTTTAAAAGTTATTAGGGGGTTCATGTTTTCTATGATTGACCCTTGATACAGCCTATGGGCGCTTATCAGGGTTGCATGATACTGGATTTTTGCCAATACACAGCTGTTTCTCTTGTAACAGAACACTTGTTGCCCTTATTGTGACAGCCCATTTGATTTAGAGCCAAACAACATTTTATTCCCATCACAGGCACATATTCAACACATTGCCTTTTTGGCTGATGATTATATTCGTAGAAATCTTCATATCTGCAATACCAATAATTAACTTTCTAAGCTATGATATGTGAACACCAATGTCATGGTAGTAATTTTTCGCATCCCTTCTTGATTACACTTGATAATGCTTGTCAATGCTGCAGCATAGCTTGTTTTGCTCCCTTTGTCCCTCTGCTTCACAAACACACACACCTGATCCTCTTGTTCTCTTTCTGCTTTGCTGCTGATGCTTTTTTAGAACTCTTTGTCAATAATTTCCATCCACTATGTTTCCTTGCATGTGGGAAGGCCGAATTGTGATAGTGATTAACATTAACATATGCTGTTAACCTGTTTGAAGAGCTCATGACAGTTTGACATCATTTCAAACCTGCTTAAGGAATCAGAATATGTTCAGGAGGACTAGAGTTATTGTTTCCTTTCTTCACCTTCTCAGGTTTGCCTTCTAGAACCAACATGTACCGTCCAAAAAAACAGAGGCTCTTGTAGTGGGAGGAGGGCTGCCTGCTCCTACCGCTCCTCCTCCTCTTCCTCTGAACCCTTTTTGGTTCAATGACGGGACCCAACTCCCCGAGCCGGACCGGCACCTCCCCGGCCAAGCTGAGCAGGCATGGCCGGTCTAAGAGCACCAGCGCACACTGCCTCCTCCGCTGCAGCACCCAGGAGGAGTCATCGGCCTCTCCCCCTTACAATGGTTCCCGGTCCCCTGGGGAGGAAGAGGAGAAGGATGGAGGGGTTCTATTCTATGTGAACAGGACGGGTTTTCCCATAGAGAGTGTGACCTGGGAGAGGATGTGGTCCCATGTGGCTGCTGTGCACCCTGAAGGACAAGAGATGGTGGATAGAATACGAAATGCTGCATACCTACCCAGGGTAAGTGATTGATTTATCCCTCAGTATGTGAGGTTGTGGACTAAAACATCACTTTTAGAGTGATTGTTACTATCAGTCCCTTTTAAATGTGTCAGAGAGTATGATTAGATTCTCCTGGATTCATCTGAAAATATTTTCTCCTTTCTGCATATTTGTCTTCATTTCCCAGCACGCCCTTTGTCTTAAATCTTGCTGTGGTGATGTTATCCAAAAACCCCTGCACTTTGAATTTTAGTCTGTTGTCTCATTACCACTTTGGCACCACATTTTTTGGCTTAATCATATTTATATTTAGAGGAATAGATGGCCACTCAGTCCCCTCCACCCTTTTTTTTTACCAATATTATGTTTGTTTTTTGGCTATAATCTTTACTTTGAAGCATCCAGAGTTTATCTACTTTGATTATTTGCTGTAGTTTGTTGGTTTGAAGACTAATTAAAAGAAAATTAGCAAAAGAAATTCACAACCTCTCTTACAGTTGTGTGTAAGAGGGTTTCACATGACAGCAGAAATCCCTCAGAGGTCCAGTGATGTGCTCTCAGTGTTAACAGGCTCTTTATGAAAGGGTTTTCTTGTGGAACCCTCTAGGGTTCTCTGTGGCTGCTGCACTGCGAAGGAATCCAAAGGTCTCTGCGCTTTTAGGCATTCGAGGCAACTCTGTTGTGCTCTAATGTGACAAGACAGGATGGATGAGGGTTAGTCAGGGGTGTTCAGGTTTCTGCTGAAAGTGTAGGCATAAGTGTGACTGATGTGGGAATTTGAGAATGTAAGAGATACTGGTTTTTAAGCCACAAAAATCCACAGATTGTCAAAACTTCTGCAGATCAAAGATTTATTTTGAGTCTGGAATGAAACTGGACCATTTCTGCGTGGCATGTGCAGAAATGTGACAGTGCATTTGTAAATCACCAAAACATTATTCTCTGTGTTACATTTACTGCTAAGTGTGATCCATCTGTGATAGGCTCGTATCAGTGTAATCTGGGTGTGGTGACAAAAACATCAGTCAGGCTCCAATCCACACTCTGCAACCTCTGACAGAGCTGGGTGTGAGTTTGTGCTTATGAAACATGTTTGTTCTGTTTTCATCTGGACTTTTTCTGAACAAAACAGTAAAATAAAGTTAAAGTTTCTGCCACAGGTTAAAAAGTAAACATTAATGTGATCAGATTGAGTTGTAGAAAACTAGAACTATTGTAGAGCCAAAGTTGGTTTGCATGTTTTTGACTGACAATGAGTCAGTGATTTGTTGACCTGTAGCTGCAGCTCCTGCAACTCTCTGCTTCATGAGCACACACACTTTCAGGTGCCCCCTCTATAATCACAAACCCATAAATGCATCACATCACCATGGCAACAACTGTGCTGGATTGAGTCGCTCAATCTGTGAAGCAATGCTAACTCAGCCTTTTTAAATTTACGCTGCGTTTGTGTGACTCACATATGAACTGTCATTGCAGTATTGATGTAACACAGAATTGTGTGTCTGCTGTTAAATCTCATGTTTCATATAAAATTAGTCTCTCAAGCAAATAGAACAGAAGTTTTAGCCACAAACTCTATAATGCTTACCTCTGTGACGTATCTTTAAGGAGGACACTAAATCCTAAAAACAGCCTCAGAGGGTTGGTCTCTTCTGATCTTGATCTCTGACTGCGTAGTGCAGTCAATTTCCCCACAACAAAAACTGCTCTGTGTTTCTACTGTAGTAACTTACGATTTATGTGACACAAATATTTGATTCAACATTGAAACTTTTATCTCCTCTCAACAAAGAGAAGTGCTGCACTGAAAAAGCAAACAGCCAGTCATCAAAAAATATCGATGTAATTATTGTGAATGTTGATAATTTAATATAAAAGTAAATATAAAGCAAAAACACCACATCTTCTTTGCTGGTTTTACCTTTTTAAGTGTGTTTTTTAAATTTTACAATTGGACATAAGCAAACAGTATCAATACATCACTTTTGGCTGAAAGCAGTCGTGTTTGAACTTAAATTTAATTACAGTTTTCTAACATTCCAAACCCTTGACTGTTAATCGGAATAGTGATAATTAAATGCTTTTATTGTTAATTTTTATAAGAAATTTAAATGTGGTTTTAAGGAGACTTTGTATCCCTGGTGCAAATATTGCAGATAAATGATTGGTTAAAAAGAAAAAAAAATTGCTGTGTAACTTTTTGTCACATCTTGTTATTTACCAGGGCATGACATGAGAACTGTACTTGTCAGTTTATCTTATGTTTTGTCTCTGTTTAGTCATGGTAAAGAAGTACGTCAACTTGTTGTCAATGTTTTTGATGACACTGATTTTTGCAGAAAAGAACCACAAGCTGCTCCTTCCCCAACATACAACATAGTTGAAACATTACATGTACAAACAGACATGCAAATATGAAATAGCAACAATAGCAGCAGTTCCTTTTTCACATCAGTACTAATGACCATGATGTCAGTTAACTGAAAGGGAAACAATCGATAGACAAAAAGTCTTCAGTGTGGAAAAGTAGTCCTGACATGCATCATACACATCTTTGTCTGCTGCTGCTGCTGAGGCCCCCTCAGCTGACATTTTTCTCATTTTTTCCCATCTGTGATTTGGATGAATGATTGTTGTGGTTCAGGCTGTGGAGGAGGGAATCTGGTGGTTGTTAAGCTTTGCTAATTGGCTATGTGGTCATTAGTGACCCGCTTGGCTGGCAGTGCCACACTCCTGTACTGTTAGTGTGGACATAAGGGGGGCAGGGGGACATGATGTGTTCACACACTGATCCATCAGAGAAAGTATCCATGGAAAACAATGTTTAATTTTTATACATAAAGTAAGGACTTAATGATTCATGTATCCAACATACGTCGGCTGACATTTGCTTAAACTGAAAATAAGATGACATTAACTTGACCACTGTACTTTAAGAAAATGTTTAAATTTAAGCTAATTTGATTTTATTCATGTAACTAGGACACTGCCCTTTGGATTTTTTTCTACCATGCACCTGGAGTGCCTGTTGATTCACGTATTGGTATTGTTGTATTGTGAAAATGCAACTTGACCCTGGTGTGTGTTTGTGTGTGGAAGGTGTGGAAACAGGTGGTTACCACAGACGCAGTCGCTAACACACTGACCCGTATGTGTCTCCTGGAGAGTGAGAGAGGGACAATAAGGACAACCAGTGTTACACAAATAAAACAAAAACATTAAACTGGCAGTTTTTAACGGATTCTTTTGTGGTTTTTTTTTGTCAGATTTATCAAACAGGCGAGCTAATGAACTCTGATGGTATTGTGAAATAAATTGCTTCAGCTGTGTTTTAAAATTAAATCATAAGACAAAAATCAATAACAGAATATTCAGACGATCATTGTGGGGGAAATTCAATACCAATAGACTAATTCTCAGAAAGTAAACACACCTAGATGTGTTTATAGTGAAGCATATGATACCTGTAGGTAGACTAAACACTGAGTAAATCTGTGTTTATATCGTCTGTGATCAGAGTCAGTCCTCCTTCTGCCCTTACTGCCCTTATTTACAGGATGGAAGGCTTGGCACTGGTGCCTTTAATTCCTCTAATACTATCTGGGTACTGGATAATCTCTTGATACCAACTAGACTAGAACCCGCCTGGTGATGATCTCTGTCTCAGCTCTGGAAGCAAAATCAGCTTAATAGTACAGAGCAGGGGTGGGCAATTAATTTTTACATGGGGCCACATGAGAAACCTGAACTGTGTTGGAGGGCCGAACCAACAATAACTTTAACTTCAATTCAGGGGGGTCACACATACAGACAAGCAAGCCCAAATAAGCAACTACTAGTTAAACACAAGCCCCAAAAAAGCGCACCTGCGACTCACAAGTTTTACAAGCGACTTCTGAGAGAAACAAGCTTAAAGTCTTTTATAATAAGCAGACTGAACAAATATAAGGTGTCCACATATATTTTGCAGATGTTTAAACTTGTCTCTGTTCACGAATGCAGATCTAGAATGTACACACGTGCGCCCACATGGAAATAAAACAAAAGCTAGGTTTTCAAAATGAAAGCAACACACTTGTAAAGCATGTTGATGATTTGATTGACGGACCTCACAAAAGGTGGGGCAGGGACATCCAAAGGGCCGGATGTGGCCCTCGGGCCATGAAATGCCCAGGTCTGGAAGACGGGGCATCGTGCTCATTCTCAGGCTTGATAGCTTTCCTCTAGTAGCTTTTTTGCATACCTCTACTGGCTCTCTGGAAGCCTCCTCCTCTGTTGCCATGCTGCTAAGTGGTCATCAGAGGTTAACAGGTGTTTCACTGTTTAAATAGCTTTGAGTTTTAAACCCCAGGGATGAAAAAAAATAATAATAATAAAATAAAATAAAATAAATAAATAAAATAAAATAAAATAAAATAAACAAATAATAATAATATATAAATAAATTAAAATTAAAAATAAATTAATAAATAAATAAAATAAAAGAAAAAAATGAATGAATAAATAAAACATAAATAAAATCAAAATTAAAAAAAAGGATTGCCCAATCTGTGACGTTACTAACTGAGCAAATCTCGTGTCCCTCCAACTTAGTTTTCATGTGACTTTCTGAGTAAGCCGTAAAAGTCTGATCCCGGGGCTACTCCAGCACACACTTGCCTAACTGTTTAAAACTCTGCTCCTGTTTAGCAGCAACATCCAACATTTGAGTTAAATGTTTGTTTTGAAATATAAAAAAACACAATACCGCCTCTTTAAGTGTCGGTTACGTGTGAATAAAAGGAAGATATGTGGTCGTTAGAATATTTTCAACTCAGTGCCAAAGGTTTTTGACAACCTAGACAAATTACACTGATTACAGACCTCAGGTAGAACAGAAAGAGCTGTCTTGTTCATGCCTGTGTGCAGGACTCTGTACCTTTTCATTCAGTTTGGGAGACGTACAGTTTCCTTTGATTTAATGTTGGTTTGAATGATTCCCTGCCAGCATGGATTTGTTCAGACAGATGTGCTCAGAGGCAAAGAGATACAGCCGTCAGCACAAATCTTCAACAAGGTGATCTTTAGTGTGATTACTGCAGTCTTGAAGGCTCTCATCGCTTTTTATGTAACCAAATCAAAAAGATGAGGACTCAGGAGATGGGGAGTGTCAGGTCCAGACTTTGCTTAATCATTTGTTTCTCAGCTGTCTCTCTTGGCAAACGCACACTCTCACCCACACATTTGCACACACAGGGAGAGAGAAAGGCTTTCCTTGGGATGTCCCGCTCTAAAGATATCTCTGCAGCAGGAAATATGATCCGTGTCTCTCCCCCTCTACAGCTGCCTCAGTTGTTTCCATTTTTAATGCACACAGAGAAAAGTGCTTCAAAGGTAACAGAGGGCACTTCTATCTGCAGCATCCCTTCACCTCAGCACTCCTTTCACCTGGCGCTTTGGTCTAGTCATGAAACAGGGAGTGAATTAACCTGTGAGATGTGGATTAGTTTAATTGGCGGTGTATAATGTCTTGATTTAAAAGCTAAGTAGGCTCAATTTGCATATTAGACTGCAGATGTTTTATAGTTGAGCAGAATTTGAGGAGTGTGAGTAAGAGGAGCAAGAGATTAGAGTCAGACCAATGTTTTGCAGAAAGCTTGTTATCTATAGGGTTACTATTTCAGGAGGAAGAGGGGAGTCTTGTTGAGATCATATCCCTTAAAGGTGGGACAGGCAGGATCTGAGAGAGTGCCAGTTTCTTGGAGAAATCTTGAATGTAAACACTTCCCCTCCCAACCAGTTTTCCCCTCAGCTCCTTCTCTTCCCTCCCTCTCTGCTCCAGAAAGCCCCGCTCACAAACAGACACACCTGCTCGCTCATATCGTTCTAATTAAATTCAGATATAATGCAGATAAATACTTCAGATAATTACAAATGGGGCCCAGTAAAGGTGAAAGTAAAAATCATTGGTGCTACTGTAGATGCCAACAGACTAACAGAAAACATGATGTTTGCAGGACTTCTACAACTAGGATAAAGTGACATACTCCAGGACCCGAGGTAAACAGTTTAGCCCGGCTTTTTAAGCGCCTGTTATTCCGGTGTTTACTTCGTTTTTTTTGCTAATGTTGGCAGTCGTGGCCAAAGGAGTATTCAGACAATTTTCCGTACTCTCTGGTTGGTTTCTACTGTCTGATATTGTAGCATGCTAACTTTGTTTGGGCTTGTGAATGACATGGGGGAGCAGCATCTCACAACATGAGGGAGCAGCATCTGCCTCACAACCAATCAGGTTGGGGGAGGCAGAGAATGGCTTATTTAACAGTCAGAAAGAGCAGGCCGCTCAAAAAATGTTAAAATGTTGACTACACAGACATAAGAGAACACAGCGATATCATTATATTCCCAAATGTCATCAATAACTAATAGCTATTGACTTATATTAAAAGCTTTCTTGTATATACAGCACAAAAAAGATGCCTCTTTAACGGATTCCTGCCTACCCCACCTTTAAAGCCAATAGTGGGATTTCATTTTAGGCTGCATTGCCTCAGTTTGAATGTAAATGCAGAAATCTGGGAGGATTTGATTGTAAGGTGATTGTGAGACTGATTGATATATGATATATGAGAAACCAGCTTGTTTCTTCATTCAGGATGCAGCACCCTTTTTTACACTGAGACCCTGTTGCAACCTCATCAGGACGCTCAACCAAGACTTGGGATGACTCCAAAACTTTAACTGTAGATTAAAAAGAGGAAATAGACGTCCTGTACTCACGTCTCCCTTCAGCTGCACAGTGATTGTTCATCCCTGCATACTCCCTCACTTACATTTTGTTTTTCTTTCAGCAGCCACCCTCTGTTCACCATCCCCCACTTCCTTCCAACGGTTCCAAATCCCAAAACCAGGAAGGTCATAACCTCCCTCTCTTTCGCTCTCCCTCTTTCTCTTCTCTGTCAGTTTTTGGTTACAGTCCCTCTGGTTTTGGTCTCTGATGCTGGGTGGGTTGGATTGCCAGCTTGCCTTCTGGTTCTGGAGAGGAGAGAATATGAAGAGGAGGGGAAAGTGATGGAGAGGGGGGGACTGAAAAGAGGAGTCAACATTAGAGGAGAGGAAAGAGTGTAAAGAAAGGTTTGAGATAGCTTCAAAGGAGAACAAGCAGAGGAGGAAGAGGAGAACAGGAGATGATACCAGCTGAGGGGGGAAGGGAAGTAAAAGGATGTGAGGTAAAGGCAGATTAAATACCAGAAGGATGAAGAGCAGTCTGTCGACGCTAAATGCTTCACAAAGAAAAGACCTGTCTGCTTCACTGAATTGTTGACATGTTTATGTTTCGGCCATTCCTGTTTTCAGGGTCACGTAGGCCTTGTTAACTCTTCACCTCCACGTATTTGACACCTCATAAAACTGCCACCTCCTCGAGAGGTTCACTCACAGTTTGAGTGTGAAAAAGTGCGACAGCTGTATCCATAACTGCCTCAAATTTCGAGCAAAAAATCTAATTTCATCAGGCAGAGTGCTGACTGTCCACCACGGCTCCTCTCAGCAGCCGAGGGTTCATGAGCAGCTAAAAATGAAGCAGCTGACAGTAAATGCTCCATAAAGAGGCATTCATTAGTCATGCTATGTATTTCTATTTAAAAAGAGCTTTGGTCGTGTATCTGCTCTGACAGATAGCTGCTGGTGGCGTTCAAAACTCCATCAAAAATCAAGCACTTAGCATTTTTGAATGGAGTTCAGTGATGAATCTGACGGCAGCAGCAGAAAGATGGCAGCTCTGACCGTCATCCTTCTGTAGCTGAGAAAGAGGAGAATGATAAAAGTGAGGGATCACCAGTCATCTCACTCCCTTACCCAGCAGAAAGCAGCTTAAGAGTGTGTGTGTGTGTGTGTGTGTGTATGTCAGCTGATGCAGCCATCGTATTACGCCTTAGTGAGGATTTCACTACATGGGAGATTATGTGGCAGTAAAACTGTCTGTTTACTGGTCTTGGCAGGCTGGCAGAATGGTTTATGGACTTACTGACTGTTGATTTGCTGGAGATCTAGAAGAGAGGCCCATTGGTTTTTGTCTTACTGGCTCATTGATTCTGTGTTTGTAGAGAACAAGTGGTTGAGTGTCTAATAACAAAAAAATATATTGATTAGTCAATTAGTCTGGTTTATGGTGTTTGGAAATAATAAACATCAGGCTAATATAAAAATTAAACAACATCTGCAGACACTGCAGGCAGCCTCCTTGTAAAGTGGTGTTCTGATACTGCTGAAAGTCATAAACTTCATCATAGGACTGGGCGATTCTATGATCGTGATTAATGATCATTTAGTTTTAGTTTTAGTTTTATTTGTTGATTCAAACAGGTTAAAAGAAAAACAGAATAAATACAATGTACACTGGGCTTTGGCAGAGAAACTATTGTGATAAATTTCAGTTCGATCACTGTGATCAACTCGATCAAACATTATGAAAATATGCGTGACAACAGCTAATCAGAGTCGAGCTTTTTCTGCCCACTTCTATAAGTTGCCCGTGAAGTAAACAGGGGAAGTAAACAGAATGACCAAACGTGGAGCTAAACGCGGCGCTGAGGCAGCAAACTAAATGTCAGCCATGACTTTGACTCATCCTCCAAAGATGCCATTGTTGAGAAGAAAAGTCATTCAATGTCACTTGTGTGGCGGTGGTTCAGGTATCTCCAAAGTGACGCCAAGCAAAGACCAACAACACAACGGATCTGTTTAATGATTTGAAGAAGTACTTCCCGAGTGATTATGTGGAAAGCATGATAATGCGAGCGGAGTCTACACAGCCTGTCACTGCTGACGGCACAAGTAGCATTAGCATTTTAGCCACAACTAGCTGTGCAGCCACCAGACCGAAGTAGCAATCAATCTTAAAATCTACGTTTACATCATTTAATGTTGACATTTTAAGTCGTCTTCATTGTCCCTGAGAGGGTGATTTGTTTATTTTGGGTATTGGGTACCTGCTAAAACACTCCGGACTGTAAACTAGTTCACTGTATTGTTTAGTATTTATCTACATTTGTTGTACTGTTGAGTTAAACTGGTTTTTATATCTTTATGTTTATCTAATTGAATATGCTTTGTTATTTACTCTGTATGTTAATAAAATGTTAAACTAATCTCTAGTTTCTTTAGTTTTTAGTACAGATGTTTTAAAACTGGCAGTTACAAAAAAAAATTGTGATAATAATCGAGATCGGACAATATGACAAAATATATCGTGATCATTTTTTCGCCAAATCGCCGAGTCCTACCTCATCACATATTTGCTTAGACTTAACCCTGTTAAAAAAACAAAAGAAATTCTACAACAATTTCTTGATGGTTTAAACCTTGAATCCCTCACTGGATTTGACCCAGTTTACTGTGAGTACATCTCAAAATGTTTTCCTGTTGTTGTCGTTCTCAGCTCTCTTTTTACACCAAAAATAAACAGTAAAGGAAAAAAAAACAGGAAATGATAGGGCTGCTAATCATGGTTCACCCTTCCTGCACACACAAACACACAGGCTGCCTGTGTGTCAGAGGAAGTGTCGCTTTGAGTTTGACTCTGACTCACCCTGTGCTGATGTGGTTTCGTCCTTTCATGAAACCACATCTGTGACCTCCAGTTCCTCCCTGAAGTGCTCTGAGGTGAAGAAAGGAGTGTGTGTGTGTGTGTGAAGTGTGTGTGTGGTTTCTCACAGCTCACACTTTGGTTGTGTGTTAACCCATCAGTCCTCAGGAAGCTGGTGCTCACGTTCACCACAAAACTCCAACTCCCCTGATCAGGGACTGGCCTTTTGTTTGTGTCAATCTTCTCCTGATTTTCTGATCTAGTTTCGGCGGTTAGCCACTGTCAGCTTTCTTATATGCATGAGGTATAGTACATTTTGTGTCAGTTGCTAAAAACACTTCAATACCACATCCACCACAAGCAGACACAGCCTTGCTCAGTATTAATTGCTGTGGTAATGACTTCTTACTTAAATGCATATGTGGATGGACCTTTCTTTCACAACAACAACAACAAAACCAAAACCAATTTAACATTTATCAGAAGTATCATTAAATCTCTACAAGTATCTTAAATTTTTAAACTTTGGTATCTTGACAACACTTTTTTGTTTGATATTAAAATGATGTCTTAAACCATCTCTCTCTCTCTCTCTCTCTCTCTCTCTCTCTCTCTCTCTCTCTCTTTTAGCACACTGTTCCCCCAATCCCAACCTTCAAGCCGTCAATGTCCGTCCCTGATTGGCTGGTAGCCGTCCAGAACTTTATGAAGGCTCTGCAGTATCCTTTTTAACACGAACACAACACACACCCAACCGCACATGAAAACAGATGACATTGTCAGGGCCACACCTGTCAAGTTAACTCGAAATCAGGCTTTAAATGATCCAGACAGCAGCATCAGGAACACTCGGTGTGGAGGGAGAGAAGAACAACAATGACAGCTGCTCTGAAACATCTGTTGTCCTTGACTGTTCGACCAGATACAACCACACGGGAACCCAGTTCTTTGAAATCAAGAAGAGCCGTCCTCTCTGTGGGTGAGTAGACCACAGCTTTCACTTTCTTTACACAGGAGCACTATAAAACTTAAAAAGAGGGCGGAGGTCATAGGTTAGTCAGCAGAGCAGGAACCTTGACCATTCAAATAATCTTTATCAACCCATTTTTGACTCTTCTGACTTTTAAAGGTACCTAATGCTGGGCTTCCACCAAATAATTTTCAGTCCCAGACTAAAAACTGAAAGTCTTAAGTAAATCTTTGAGTTTTACTGGAGTCACAGCGGAGTCACAGCGTGTTTCCATCATCTCGATCATTAAGTTTTGGTGGTATCTGTGCTGTTTTATATCCTAGTCTTGGGTTAATGATAATATCAAACGTGTTGCAAGTTACAGTGACGTAACACAACCAACAACCAATAGATGAGCTCTAAAAAAAGCTGAAAAAGAAACCTGACAGTCAAAACAAGAAGGACAAGAATGTGTGAAGAGTAACTGCCGATAAAAAAGGAGCGGATAGTCGAGCTGTGGGCAGATCAGACTTGCCTACTCGACATTAACTGCAGGGTTTCCCCTACCTGTAATGGCGCACCACCATGGCTAAATAAAAGCCACCACACCTCAAAAATAAAGTTTTTTTACACGCTACCTTGGACTCGGTATGTATCAGTGTGGCGCACACGGGCTCACGTGCCGAGTATTAGCATTAACAAGTTCAGCATTGTCATACATGAAATCACAGCTGATTAATGAGCCGCCCCCCCCTTTCAAATCACACACCACCACATATAGATTCCCTACCAATGGGAAATGTCAAAAAATGCTAAAAGAATCTAGTTGTAGTCTTGTAAATAGTGACCCTGCAAGATTCAAAGTCTTTGTAAATTCTCTATCTGAGACTAGGCTGTGACTTAAAACTCTAAACACTTATCTTTAGATGTGAGCAGGTATCAGCTGATAGTTCTCCAGGAGTCCTCTGGTGGATAGCTGGCCTCAATCACAGATGATAAGATTTTGCAAAGACCAGGTATCTTCCAGAGTCAAAGCTATAACTCGACATTAGAAATCCTCCTCCTGCTTTTCTAAACTATCACTGGTTCATCAGAGCTAAGTGCCTCAGCGCCAACAGCTTGTCCTAATAATAAAGAAACATCAAACTGTCTCGACTCATTTAGTTTGGACAGTTTAAAGCGCAGCAGTCCTCCAGTGAGTGATTCATTTCTTGCTTTTGTTACTGGAGGGGAAACTCCTGCTGTAATTGTTAGAGTCACTGCACTGTTTGCAAAGAAATAAGCCGAGACTTCTGATCAGATTTAACCTGCTGGATGTCTAAAGGCGAAAAAGACCACTGAGACTGCTGAGTTTTATCGCAGCCTCAGGGCATATTAAACAAGTGACAACAGCAAAATAAACTTTGTTCTTTATTGATATTGAAATTCTTGGCGCCCCCTGTGGACAAAGTGGAAATCTTTTGTCTCTTTGCAAGTCACATCCCATCTTACATGTGCAGGTGGTGTTTTAAACCAAAAATCTCCTCCTGTTTTCTTTAACCTTTTCACTAGGAGCTTTAAATGAAGGACCACATATTCTCACCTGACTGCACTGTCCACCTCATTTCTCTGCTCACTGTGTGCTGACCTTTGCATTTGTTGATGGAAACAAAATAAATGTTATCTTGCATTTAAAGAATATGTGAAGCCAGTTAAACTGGTGATATGTTAATATGATTCCTATAGATCTATAAATCTCTGTTTTTCTACATCTTCCTGTCCTCCTCTTCCTCTGACTCTCACTTGCTCTTGACACTTGTTCTTCTCTCTTTCTCTTCCTCGACTCCCTCTCCTCCCCCCTGCTTTACTCTGCCTGTACTTACCTCCTACTCTTACACATCCTCTTTCTCTTCTCCTCATCTTCCTCTCTGTGTCACTGTCCTCCTCTTCTTCAGGTTAATGGAGACAGCAAGAGAAATGATCCGGGAGTCTCTGCCAATCAAATGTCTAGAGGCCGTCATCCTAGGAATGTATCCTTTGCCTCACACATACACACGCACACGCACAGCTCTAGGCCAGAAGGTTAGTTTTTCTTATCTGTGGATGAAATCGATAAGACATGCTGCTCTAATGTCCTAATGCCCCCCTCACCATCACCAATCTTTCCAGCTCTCACCCAGTCGTGTTGCTTGGCAACAAGCCCTCTTCAAAGTTTAACCCCCTACCGTACACACACACACACACACTCACACGCACACGCATACATTCTCTTTCCTACAAGCTTAACATGATCCTGCTGAGCTAAAATTTTGAAGCAGCAGCCTGTAGTTTCTGCAGTATTCATTCAGAGTAAATCCTCTGTGTTGTTCTGTCTAAAGAGATTTGATCAGCTACAGCCAAAGCTCTGATTGGACCACAAAGACCAGTTGAACAGATTATCGGTCACTTATCATCATTATGTTGCTGTGGCCAAACATCTGTCAAAGCAGACTCCTGATCCCTGATCCTCGATGTTAATGAAAGCTTTAAACCCTGAATGAATGTGGGGGTAAATTTATTCTGTATTAACACATAAAAATGGACACAGTTTGACTGTTGTTTTGGTTGATTTAAACAGAGCTCATTTATGAGAATATAGGAAAACCTTCATGCACTTTGCCAAAATCATCCGAGTTACAATCAAGCTGATATCTAGTATATGATCCAGTGTACAGGACACACTTTTATTCCCTCCAACAAGCGAGCTGTGTCCTATACAGCAGTGTGATCAATAGTACATTATAAAATGCAGAGGTATTACAACCTAGAGGATGATGTTATAATCCATCTAAAGCTGTCACAGGGGCAGTTGTGGTTCAGTGGTAGTCGATTGTTCCTCATACTGAAGGTTGGTGGTTTGATCCCACGGTCTTATGCTGAAGTGTCGTAGTCATACAGCGACCCTCACTGAACAATAGCGCTCAAAGGCACCTCCACCTGCTTCTGAAGTTGCCCTCTTCCAGCTACGACAGGTTATTCAGCCCAAATCTGGAACCTGAGGCACATTTGAATCCACTGCTGTTAGTAGGAATTGAATCAGTGACTGTGTGATCCTCAAGTCAAGGTTTTACCTATTGAGCCGCTACTACTGTTCAAGCTTTTATGAGTTTATGAAACAGAACCAGCAATTTGAATGTATTTTTGGTATAATTCTGCGTTAGTAAAACTCAAAGTGACAAATTAATGGAGGAAAAACTTGCAAAATTATATGGAATAGCCCTTTATTAGAGCTTCTGCTAATAAACAAGGTAACAGGACATCAAGACTTGTGCTGATATAATTATAGACCCTATAGGATATAAAGAACTTAATATGACGCTTGTGGTGCATATGTGTCAGCAGAGGACAGATTTCTCAGTTTCTCTTTGAATGTGTGTTCAAGTTTCTCATTTGCTGGCCCTTCTCCCGGGCTGTCAGGGTGGCAAGCCACAGTGACTGTAATTGAGACTGACTTCAGCCCTCAGATGAAAGGAGGAGGGCGGGGGAGAAATGGAAAAAGTGGCAGGCGTTCAAAAGAGAAAAAAAAATAATGGGTGAAGAGAAGAGGGGATCTGAGAGCCAGAGGGAGTGAGTGAAGAATGGACGAGGAAACCTGTCAGTTTGAGTGATGACACTCTTCTAAGCGTCCTTTAAACAACCTCACACCGTCACACTCTTCTCCAGGAGTGATACTGTGACTTTGCAGAGTGTCACCTTTCGCTGGCCTTGAGGTCAGCCAGTTTTAAAAGGTACTCAGGCCCCAGCGAGAATTGAACTCGCGACCCCTGGTTTACAAGACCAGTGCTCTAACCACTGAGCTATGAGGCCTTGCTTGTGAACATACCATCACAGTCAGGTATTTAATGTTCTTACAAGAGGAGCACACACCCCATTCACATAGTAACTATTGTTGGAGTAATGATACCAGCCAAACCAGTTAACCCAACAAATGATGGCCTTTAAGTCACGCTCTCAGCTCTACAATCACTTCACTATGTGTAACTGGGTTAATGTAATAATCCACTTCTGAGTAGTATGAGAAGTATTCTGCGTGTGTTAGGACAGATTAATTAATTATAACATTAATTTAAAAAAATATATTATTGTTGATTAATATCAACTTTCCAGGCATTTCAGTGTATCTATTGGTATGAATTCAACAAAGCCGAGACAAAACTTCCTGTTCCATGTTTGAGAGAGAGAGAGATAGAGAGGATAGTAGATGGAGTAGGAGGCTAGGAAGAGATACAGTGACATACAGAAAGCAGCTGTACGATCAGCTTCCACTTAAGTATCATGATACAGATTTGTAAAAAGTTAAAATCCAAGTTTTCTCAGGTCTGGATCTTGGAGATCTATACACTGGTTGGCTTTTGTGACACAGTGGTAAGGACGGTTGATGCTAAAGTTTAAATGTTTGATTTAGAAGAGATTGTTAACTACACTTGCATGGTGATACCTGTCATGGAGATAGATAAATTGTAGTCAGATTACAGCTGATGGAAGGTGGGATAAAATTACTGCTGAAGAGGAGTAGATGAGGACTTTGCAGCAACAGGGTTGGAGAGATAAACAGCATGTGTCCTCATAGGGGTTACGGCTGTCTGTCCTCCTGTCCTCGTCTCTGGCTCCGGTCTGTCCTCTGCCGCCGGTTTCTTTCCTTCCCTGTTAACGGTGATGCAAATTCTCTCCAGGATATTTTGGGTTTATCTCGGGTTGCACCAGCTCTTTGTTTGGGTTCGCCTGTTTGACTTTAAATGTCTCATTGTATCAGCCGTCACTGGCTGTTGTTCAGCAGACTCAGGCCAGAAAACAAGGCAGATACATGCTGAGTAACGATCAGAGCACAAATTTATCTCTGGGAAACTTTTTAAATTCAAGAGTATTTTATAAGGAAAAACAGCACAATAAAAATGCTGCCGTTTTCCATGACACTAGGTGCTGATCAGTATGGAAACAGTGACAGTGAGTTATAATTTGTTAGACACTCAGAGATCTGCTACATGTAACACAGAGGTAGCATTTCAGCTTCTTACCCTGAGCATGACAGTGTAATAAATAACCCACAGTGTGAATAAAGGGTTAAAAAAATGAACTGAAAAAGTTACAGCAGTTTTATGAATGAGTTATAGTTTTCAGAGAGACCTTTTTGGCAGACCGGTGAGAAGGGAGCCACAGTTATCAATGCAGCTGGTGATAAAAGCATGAATTAAAAAAGTCAAACTTTGGCAATGTGTCTTTAATGGTAAAATGAAGAATTTATACAGTTGAGTGCTTTTGGCATAAAAATGATAGTTGATGTGGTAATGAGCGATGATATTTCTAAATGGAAGTGTGTAAATTAAAACAGGCCCAAGAATGCTTCCCTGAGGAACACCATATTTAAAATCATCTGTATCTGACACGAAAGCACTGCGGCTGATAAAGGACTGTCATTGAAAAAAGTGCTAGCTATAGGTTTGCCTTGTGTAAACTTGCAGCCGGATACATTAAAAAATCTGTTCCAAAATCAATATTTCCAATTAATTCAAAACTTCAGGAATAATAATGATAGTAATCGTAATAATAGTAATAGATAACATTTTGAGACATGACAAATGAGACTACAGACCATTGAATTTCCCTTTGGGGATAAATGAAGTTATTCTTATTCTTTAAGAAAGAATTACTATTCTGGTATGGATCCACGATGCATACAAACATACATACATACATACATACATACATACATACAATGGCCAAAAATATGTGGACACCTGAACGTTTTACTCTTGAAAGAGTCTTTTGAAGACTGTTTTATTTTCAGCCACCACAGTGTTTGTGTTGTGCTGTTGTTTGATAAAACTGGTCTTTCTACTCTCTTCCTTAAAGTGCTGCATGAAGCTGAAGTCACGGCTCTGTGAAGTTTTATATCTGCTGTTATTAAAAGAAAATCACTCACAGAACTGACTTTGTGTAGTGGACCAAACAGATTAATACTGCTGCTGTTTGTTTTGTTAAGACTTTCCTTTTACTCAAATGTAAAAGTCTGACGTAAGCTTCAAGAACATCTCCAGACTTGTGTGTGTCCAGACTGGAGTTTAGTGACTCAGTGAAGAGACGGCGCAGAAAGAGAGGGTTTAATGCCTTTTCTCATCTTGAATCTTGCTTCTTTGAAAGTTAACAGGAGGAGGACATAGGGAGAAACTTGAGCAAAAGAGAGGGAGAGAACACAGTCAGCAATATGTGTAAAGTGAAGTAAAGAAAGCGAATGAAAATCGTGACAGAGAGGAGAAATATGAAATAACAATGACCTAGCTCTGCGTTATATCACTGGACAAGGTTTCCATCTTACCTGGGAGGTGAAAAGAGAAAATAGTTGGTTATTTCATGAGGTGCAAGAGATGCTGACGTCCTGTGTACTGTGAGTGTCTGTGATTTTTGGACTGTAATTATTCAAATCAGCGCAGTTTCAAAGCGGTCACATCAAAGAGAGAGGAGTTTTACTCATCGGCTACGTTGAAATTGACAAGTCTTTCATAGTGGTTTCCACGGCAACCAAAGGGGAGAAGATTTAGCAGGGGAGAGAAAGAGCTACTATTTGCAGCATCACATGTCCTCCATCACAGGAAGTGTGTTTGTTTAACGAACCATTCATTAGAGAGAAACAGTGAGCCGTGTCTTCTTTTAGAGTGACTTTTATTACAGAGGGTGAGAAGAGTCAGCTGTAGGTGGACGAGGTGAGCTCGATACAAACTCTCCAGCACCAGAACATATTTATCTCTGTTTGGAGCTCACTCAGGATTATGTCCACGTTTGCTTCCTCAGAGGATTTTTGACTTTGATGACCCTGACTCAGAAAAGCTGCTCACTAACACTCCATGTAAACAGAAAGATACCAGAAGTGCTTGAGAAACCAGCATCGGCTTAGCTGAGTGGTTTTGGTGTCACACTTTGGATATTTGTCTGAACAGTGAATTAGAGAACTGCCCCTGATCAGGTCTGTGATCTGCTTTAACACAGCAGGGGTGCGTGCCATCAGTGACCGAGCCGTGTTTGTGTCCCTCTGTGAATTCACAGCAGTAATGTGCCGGGCTGATGGGCAACTGTTTTGACCAATGACGAGGCTTCCTGGACAAAAGAGAGCAGATGGAGAGCTGGTGGCCTACAAAGATGCTGTCAAGACCTCTCTGTGTGTTTGGCTGTGTGTGTGTGTGTTTGTGTGTGTGTGGCTGCACAGATTGCTTTAGTTGGATCCTGTCAGTGTTGGACTCTGTGAAGCTGTGCACTCCACAGCGTGTGTGCTGTCTAAATTTAGACCTCATTCACCATCATTTAAATTGACTCGTATTTTTTTTCGGTCTCCATCTGAAACTTTTCATCTTGAAGTCTTGGACCATTTTTGAGCACAAACTCTCCAGACGCTTCTGTTTTATATCAACATTTTATTGAGATGAGTGCATCCATATCACCTCTTGCTTTATTTATGGGACTGTTTCCACTGACACAGTGTTTCCAAGTCTCTCTTCCGTTCTGTAAATCCTCTTTTTTTTTGTTTAAGCAAAGTTTAAAACTGAAACTGGATCATAGGGGGTCTGATTCATTCAGCTCTCTGGACCACTGCAGGATCCTGTGTGTACGAATGTGTATATTTTGGCTTATGTGTTTAGCCTGATCAGCAACAGAGTGAAAAACTTCACTTTGGTCTTAAAAACAAAGTTTGTCTCCTGTCATTTTCTTTACAATCTCCTGATAGTACCAGCTCATTGTGTCTCTGTCTCTTTGTTTCTCTGGCTAAATAATAAAAAACAAAGAGTCAGACTGATTCAGTCAGACAGGAGGAGCTGCACAAACACAGAAACACTGGCAGGCACTGAGCCTTTGTTTACCCGGTGGTATTTTCATAGTATCAGCCTTCTGAGAGTCAGACTGAGTCTCATTTCAAATGACTCAAGCTGGGATAAATCCAAACAGATACTCTCACAGTCTCACGCTAAATGCTGTTTTTTTTTATAGAAATCTAAACCCCTCCAGATTTTTCCTTTACTCTGATGTGCTGACCAGCTACCTGACCAACGGCCTGACATCTCTGGAGCGTTTCCCAATCAGCTTTAAGACTCAGTTTTCAGGCCACTGTTTCCACCACGTTGTGCTGGGTGTCTACTGCAATGGCCGCTACGGCTCTTTGGGAATGAGCCGCCGCCAAGACCTGATGGACAAACCGCTGACCCACCGCACGCTGGGGGAACTGGTGGCCGAGTTTGAGAGCTCCTACAAGAGATACCAGCACACTCTGAAGAAGGTAAGAGGAGAGAGGAAACAGGAGTAATAGTGAACCTGTCCAAGTGAACGTGTTAATTTGAACTTCTTGTTTCACTCAGGTGAAGATCGGCCTGTATGTGCCTCACGACCCCCACGTCTTCCAGCCAATCGAGTGGAAGCATTTGGTGCTGAATGCTGCAAGACTGGGACCTCAGGAGATGAGGAAGGAGCTGGAGAAACATGGACGGGACATGAGGATGAAGGTATATGATGTTCACAAGTGGACGACTTTTATAAAACCCTTACAGACAGTTTCTTGACCCTGAAATAAAGACCTGATTTCTTGTATGCACAATGTATCTCTCCCAAACTGAATTAGGTTCAGGTAAGAGAGGCTGTCTGATGATATTAAGACTTGAGTGGAAATAAAGCAGTATTTGTCTCAGCTCTAGGGCTGGGTGATATAGGAAAAAGTTTATCACAATATATTTATTTCATATCAGTCGATATCGATAAATATCACGATATAAAGAATGAAACTGAACAGTGCTTATTGGTAGCATGTCTTTTGCAATACAATAAGCTACTGCATGTGAAGTCTTTGTGTCTCTTAGATGTTTTGTCGTAAGGCGTTGCGCTAGAAAAGCAAACTGAATGGTCGGTTGTTTCGGCTGCTCAGGCGCCATGGGCTCCTTGCCACGCTCAGGGTTTGTAACCTATTAAGTTGCGCGTGTTCTGCTGCGTGGCACTGCTTCAGGTGGTGAAAAAGATTTGAGGTATTCCCTGACTTTGCGAGAACATGTACATGACATAATTGGCAGCTCACATTACTCTGCTTCATGTCCATCCTCAAAAAAACCAAAATACCTACACACCACCGACGTTTTTGTGCCAGTGTTGTTGACAATGTCGTCATCTGTTGAGCCTTCATCTGCTTTTCTGCTGGGAGTAGCACTCATTTTCTTTTTTTCTCACCAACAGTGCTGTCGGCCTCACGTGTTAAAGTGCTATGGTTGCGTGTAGCTGCAGCCTGTTACTACGCAGTTGTTTGCTACTTGGTTTTATTTCAGCACATGATTGGTTCAGCGTGAAGCGGACCCGGAGCAACTCCCCTCATTTGCTATTCATATAGTCCACCAAAACATGGCAGAATGTCGACTATCGAAAAGCATATTGACCATGTTTTATATCAATATGGAGGAAAATTAAAAAACAGAGAAACTCAAGAAAAAGAGGAAAAGAAGTCAGTCCAACAGCACTGTATTTTCCTCACATTTTTCTCCAGTACAGCAGTAACTGAGTAAATGTTAATGATAAACCAACCTTGTCTTTACTTTGTAGATAACCCCTAAATTCAAATGCACTGACCTCACACATCTTCTCCACTTAAGTGGTTATTTGTTGAGATATTAAATTGTAATTTGGCTCAAAAAGTCCCCAGATGGATGGAGGCCTTTCTCCTCCAGCAAAGATCAAAGAGAGCAGAGCCAGTAAATCTTCATCCTCTGGTGTCACAACAGTGATAGAAGATGATTCAAGGTCATCTTCTGAAAAGTTTATCATCCAAGTGTTTTGTTACTTTATCCTTGAGTAGATTTAGCAAATTAATTAACTTTACTTTAAGGAAGTCTGTCTGAAGGCTGCCAGTCACTGTTCCATCTGTCATGTAGGATTGAGTGACATCTAACTTCAGCTTTTTTTAGCAGCTGCTTGTTTCTGTTATCTCCCGAACAAAAAACTGTTAGAAGCCTAAAGCTGCGGCAGAAAGTTGGCACCAAACAGCCCGAGGGAAGAGAAACAGCCTGCACACAATCTACAGAATAAATCCTCCCGGACGTTAACAACTGAACAGAGTGAAAATGAGCCGTTTGGGAGGTGCTCGGCCCGTTTCCAGGAGCAGGACAGAAGGAAAACACGCAGTTAGCAGTACCGCTGCTGGGGAATTTATCAGCAGGAATACAATAAAAATATCTCTGGAAACATAAACACTCAAACGACTTCTAAAGTCAGAGCTGGTGGGGAAAATGACTTTTAGGAAACACAAAAAAACAAACACAGAGGCTCTTATACGTGCTGCCTCTGACTGTGACTCAGAAACTCAACTAAGGTTAGTTTATTCTTTAAACTCTGGAGATGATTAGACACACAGCGAACCCTCTGCTCTGAGGTTTTCAGCACTGCTCTCCTTTTTTATCCCCTCCACTGCAAGTCTTTGTCGTTCTTAATGTCTCCTGAAGGATTTAGACACTGCTGTCTTTTGTTTTATGTTCCTGTGTGCAGTAAAAAAAAAACAGCTGATGGATATATTTTCTATTTTCAACTGAACAAGGGAAACACCTGTTTTAATTTTCCATGAAGGCAAAGATGGATGTTTCCTTCAGGCTGAACATGGAATTCAAACTGTCAGGAATGATTTAGGCCATGATGGAGGAGGAAGGAATGTCCAAGAGTGTGTGTGTGCGTGTGTGTGTGTGAAGGAAAGAGGGCGACACAGAGAAGTGGTTTTGCGGTTGGAAAAAACACTTCTTGGATGAACCCTCTTAAGCTTCGTTTTTGTTTTCTTTTTGCAGTTTAGCATTTTTCTGCTGCAGCTATTCCCTGAAAGTATAATGTGGATCTTGGCATGTGCTTGTGTGTGTTTGTGTCTGCGTTGGATAGTGCTATATACACTGTCTGCATGTCAGCAAGATATGTAGGTCAGCGAGTTTTCAGCTGTCACGCACACACATGTAAATGAAAACACCGACACAGACAGTCCGACTCTGATCAGCTGTTCAGATGTTTGTGAGATTTACACCTAATCTCTACTGTCCTCCAGAGAATTTCAATTTATTAGAGGCCTCAGGGGGTGTGTCTGTATGTGTCTGTCTGTGTGTGTATGCCTGAATAAAATTACACAAAAAAATTACACAAAAGGATCTCAATGAGTTTTGTGAGGTGTCAAAGGTTGATCCTGATCCAGACAAAATTCTGGATACTGTGATCCAGAACACACAAAAATATGGGTGTCGTTGGAATTTTCAATGCTGAAAGATAACCAATGGGCGGCACAGTGGTGTAGATAGGCGGCACAGTGGTGTAGATAGGCGGCACAGTGGTGTAGATAGGCGGCACAGTGGTGTCATGGTTAGCACTGTCGCCTCACAGCCAGAAGGTCCTGGGTTTGAATCTGGGTCAGGGCATCTCTTGTTTTAGGAACATTATGAACAGTGAACATACCAGTTTAAACACAAATAAATGTTAATAAAAGACACGTAACAGTAAAAGTTTTGGTGTGAATCACAATATAAGGGAGGACATGAGCTCATTAAATCAATGACAGGTCTCACAAGTTAAAATCACAGACTGTATACATCCCATAGATGTTGGATATGAAAAGTGGAGCTAATGCAAAAGTGCCTTTAATTTACAGTAGGGTGACTTATGAGTTGAGGGTCCTCGTGTGCAGTGTGATGGTTCATGAATAAGTAATGCTTTCATGGGGTAAAAATAGAAATATGTAAGAAATAGCTGAGGACATGTGAGACAGGAACAACACTCACACGTACACACACTGACCCATATAACTTCACAAATCACATGACAAACACGACCAGCTGTGGAGGAGAGCTTCTTCCTGACTTCAGCTTTGTGAAAGGAAAACTTTCCGTCCATGTTCATCCTGCAGGTTTCCTCTCTGGCCGGGCGCTTAATGAGAGCGTCAAGATCCTGTTTAAAGCTTCAGAGTTTTTCCACTCACAATTTATGTGTCACAGCTGCAGCTTTTGGAGAACGAGCGAGCGCACAAACACTCTCATGCATGTGCACAGTTGGATTGTTTTCCCGGGGTCTCATTCATCAGACCTGCTCTCTCTGCCCTGCGGCAGTGAGCGCTGGCGTCATGCTAGCTTAATTTCTGTGCGTTGAAGAAGTTCAGTAGCTCTTTGTGGCAGAGTGGCAGGGTGGTAAAACAGAACAGCTTGTGTTTCTGTGGGTGAATGATTACACAGATTCAACCGCAGTTTCACTGTTCTCCGGTGACAGCTCAGACTTGAAGAATGGAGCTGAAATGTTGATGTGGAATAATGTGACAATGTTTTCTGTTTTGAATGATTCTAAACTAATAATACTGAACTAATATAACAATCTAAAGATGAAAAAGCCACTTTGATTTTTGATGTTTCATGTCACTCTGCTTTCAGATCCTAAAATCATCGAGCGCCCAGTCACCAATCAAGGAGCGGAGCAGGGGTAAATCCTTATCACCACGGCGACGACAGAGCAGCCCCCAGCGACGCTTCCCACACCGCAGAGACAAATCGTGAGTCCCCTAAAACAGTTGTAGCCCCATTAACTGAAGATGACTTTAACAAATTTGCTTCCTCCTCTGGGATCATCAGTGTTTTAACAGCGGAGGAGGGAATTTATCAACCCTGATGTGTCCCCTTCTTCTTCTTCCTCTCTTCCTCCTCCCCTCTCTCTCCTTTCTCCTCTGGGCTCTGCTCATCAGGTCAAGGAGAGTTTATAACTTAAGTCTTTGTTGCTGACAGCTCAGCGTTATCACCCATCAGACGAGTCCTTGTTCTGTTCAGCTGACACTAGGCGTTGTCATCACCGTGGCTGTGTGTGTGTGTGAGTGTGTGTGAGTGCCTTTCTTTGTCTCACTGTGAAGTAGAATGTTGGTTCACTGATTCAGCAAGAAAACACTAATCTACATTTAAGATTCAAGAGGAGACAGAACCAAATCCCACTGAGAAATTTAAAGCGTCCTTCTCCTATCCTCTGAATACATCTTTATAGAGTCATATGAAAAGTCACATTCAAATCCCCAGGAGACACTCTTTAGTTTGGCTTTGATACAGCCGTAAGATGAGTCAATATTTTCATAGGTTAGTTTGAGTATGAGGCCTTGGAATGATCAAATTCTTACTCATTATTTAAGTGATTACTTCCTAAGAAAAACTGGTAGTGTATGGTAGGGATGGGAGAATTATTGTTCACGATATATCGTCAGAAAAATCCTCCATGATAAATATTTGCCATCTCATGATAAATACAATAAATGCAAGTTGATGACGCAAGTGCAAGCAACAGACTCGCAGCCGTAGCCCACACAGAGCAGAATAACAAACATGGCTGAAGGTAACGAAGAAGACGTTTCTGAGCAGCTTGTTACTAAACAAGGCTCCACATAAGGAAATTAGTTATGCCTGACATCAGATAGTGGATCTGCTGCTGTTCACTCTGTGCAATAAGAGTTTTCAACAAATGTGAAAATGTTTTCACATTTGAGACTTTTTTGATGTCATTTGTTTTCTCCATAACCTACCGCTTAAACTTGTGGTTAAGTATCTTATTTGATGACTCCAACTGGTGTTCTCAAGACAAAATGAGTCAAAAATATAGATTGGAATTATATATATTTTTGAACTTTTATCATTATCGCTAGAATGGCAAATCTTATCGTGATAAATTTTTTTAGTCCGTATCACTCATCCCTAGTGTATGGTAACATGCAGCATCATGATGAAATGTATCCTCTTATATTCTTTCATATTGTAACTGTAAGTGCACAATGTTAAAATCAGCCTAATGTTGCAGGTTATTCCGTTTCTGATCTTTATATCGGATATAAAAAATACAGTAATTTATACAAGATAAATGCAGTTCATTTAAGTGCTTAAAATACAAAGATACTATTTATAATTTGGACCTTTCTTCTGTCAAATCAAATCCTTCTAGGAAAGAATAAAAGAGAAGGAGGAGACAGTTCAGGTGGAGCACAAAGAGCCCCATGACAGGAACTCTCTGCTCTCCTCTCTCCTCCTGCTCTCCTCTTTCTGTATATTGCATTGTTTCATAATGACAACATAAATTTACACTCACACATACATTTTTGTACAGATAGTTTTCTTAAAGTTTTGCTGAACAGGAAAAAGAGTCAGTCAAAGATGTTTTTGATGTAAAGAAATCTAACATGTACTTCCTACATGAGCTACATGTCTCGAAATTCTGCATGATGGGAAGTTTGTTGAGACTCAGTTAAAAACCAGGTGCATGAAATTCTTTCAGGGTTAGCATCAGCTCTTCAACCGTCTGACTCAACCGTCTGCTTCAACGGCAGGAGAACTTTTGACAAACACACACACACACACATACACACACATGCAGGACGCTGACTGTGTTTGTGTGCACTGTCAGCTGTGTGACGGCAAGTAACACAATCTGACAACAGCTGCAGCCCGGCTGTGCTGCAGCATCACCACCGACACACACACACAGCACCAGAATTAGCCCTCTTTAGCTGTCACCATTTGACATGGCACTGTGGTAACCTCTCTCATGAAGAGCTGAAAGAATGGAGCTGAGCTGTTCACCAGATCAGCTGAGAGAATAAATCATGAACCCCAGATACACTCAGTTATAATAACGAATAATCACATGGTGTTACCACAAGTCTCATTATTTTCTCATCTTAGAGGTCAGTATCATAAGTCAGGACAGCTCTAACTGAGGGTTTTAACAAATTTATATCTTCTTGCTTCAGTTTTGTGCAGATCAAAGTAAATAATGTAAATCTGTGTGAGTTACTGAGCGATTCCCATTCGATAAATTTGACCCTTGTAGTTTTTCATAGTTGTGCGGCCTGTTCTCAGCAAACGCCCTCCATCTGAACTCTAAAACCTGATCCTCTGCCTGTTTGCTGGTGATATTTTTATGATCCATTTTAGCGTGGAGGTGAAACCAGGTAACACTCACACACAGAAGAGGACAGACTGTTTTCCTCTTGTGCCAAATAAGGCAATAACATTTAAAAAGTTTCCTTATTAGCCTAAATGTGCTCCTCTCCCCCTCAGGGTTCAGATCGGCTCGGGGTTATTTTAATTTCTGAGGAAGTTAATGTTCTCTGCAGCTCACAGAGGCAGCTGAAAGGCAGACTAGCTCTTGAAAGCGGTTGAAAGTGGTACTTAAAAAGCTATTACAGTTATCTGCAGAGCACTTAGACACTTCAACAACATGCTGCCACTTCAGCAGAGACACACTGCAATAATCTGCAGCTGCTTTAACCAGCAACACTTCAGCAGCACAGGATCAGTAGCTGCGTTTACATGGGCACAAGTAACCAGAATAAACGCCCGATTGGAATAAAAAAGCATCAGAATCGGAAGATTCTGATCCAATTCGGCTCAATCGGAAAGAAATTTTATTCTGATCAAGAAGGATGGTTTATGCCGATCGTTATTCCGAAACACGTCCATGTAAACACTTATTCCGATCATGACTCTCTTACTCGACTCGATCTTCAATCTTTAGCCTTTGGTTTATCTATTGAGGAGGTTTCATTATTAACACTCTGGCATAAAACACAGTCCCAACAATCACAACTTTCAGGTAACTCTTTCCAGCGTGTCTTTCATTTCAACTAAAATTGTACACATCGGGACTTCTTTGCAGCAAAAGCATCTATGGTATCATCAAATGACACCTGCCTAGACACTTCACGGTTGATTCTCATCAGTGCAAGTCCATTTAACCGCTCTTGAGACATGGTGGATCTGCAACTTCTGTGTCAGTTCCTTCTAGTCCAGGTCTGACTGTCCATTACAGCTTAGGGTGTTTCTAAGTGTTTCACAATGTCTTCTTAATTCCTCATTGGGCAGGTCAGGGAAGTTGACAAGAAAGAGAACACACAAAGGAGGGTGACTGGACATAGAAAATTATTTTTATTTTTATTGTTTTTATTTATTTATTTTTCCTTGAGGCCAACAATGCCTGGCGGCACCCCTCCAGCAGATGGCGTCCTAGGCAACTGCCTATATCGCCTATGCCATGACCGCGTTTGTTGGTTTGTTGACAGCACAGGTGTAAAAATAACTCTTCTTCTGCGGTTGTTTGAGTGACAACTCTGCGCATGTCCAAGTGCTTTCAATCTGAATAAAGGTTGGTGCATGTACACCTACGTCATGATCAGATTATTTGATTTTGTGCCCATGTAAACAGTAGATTCTGATTATCCAGTCCCTTCATTTTTTATGTACATTTTTATTCACATGTAAACATTGATATTTAGTAGCAGGAGGACCATGGCAACAAGATGCATGTAAGAAAGGTAGAATATTCTCGTCGCCCTAACTGCCACTCTGTCTTTGCTTCGTCTTTGTTGTGGTTTAGCGCCCGGCTGACTGTGATTTACGTTACATTATTTTAGGAAACACTTACAGCTGAAGTGTGTGAAGTCAGAGACAAAGAGAAAAGGTTTGAAGGAAATAAAAGAAGCTTAAGATGAGCTCAGGAGAAGAGGAGAGGCTGTAAAAGTGAAGGTTGGTGGTGGAGAGTAAAGGCAAAGCAAAAGAAAGGAAAATAGAGAGAGGAAAAGAAAAGGGATAAAAAGAGCTGTCAGTGTTCCAGATTGGCTTCAACAAATCACTCTTTTTTTTCCTCGCTGTGTCAGAGAGAGATGAGAGAAGAAGTCACTGAAGAAAATAAACAGATGGATGAAGAAAAGGGTGATGAAGGAGAGAGAGAGAAAGGGATGGAATAGATGGAGAAAAGGAAAAAAGAGAGGATTAAGTCTGATGACTTTCTGGCTTCTCTCTGCGAGCTGAATCTCTTTCGCATTTTCCTTCTTCGTGCTCTAAACTTTTTCCTCTCTTCCACTTTCAAAAAGAACAACCGTTTTATTTTTATTCAGTTTTTCCATCCAAATATAGAGCAGAGACGCTCTGGATCTGATCAAACATTTAAAAGGCTGAAAGTTCAGTCCCAAAAAAAACTTACAGGCTTGAAATCTTAAAAAAGTGGACCTGAGTTGGAAATGTTTTTGTGGAAACAGCAGACGTGTTCCTTAAAGGTTTTTAAACTCCAGTCTCTCTGCATGAAGAAGTGAAAAGCAAATCTGACGGTCTGTTTTCAGCTGTTTGAAAAAACTCAAGAAACTTCCTTTTTCACTTTCACCAGTGAAGCTCAAATTCAGGGGCAGTTTTAATAATATAATAAAAAACTTCAAAACTGACAGCTGAATCCTGCTGAAATTATAACTTTATTCTTAAGAAACAACAACTTTATTCTTGTATATTTACAGCTTAACTCTTTTACAATCATAACTAATTAAATTTTTTTAAACTTTACTTAATAAACAACTTTATTTTCATAATTTCTCCCTCACATTTTCACCGTTTTTCTTCTCACGTGTCATTAGATTTTGTTCTTGACTCTGTTGGAGTTCGATCTGACACTTCATCATATAACCACAAAAGTTCACCCCCAGGCGCTCTCTTTAACCCGTTTAAAAAGCCTCCTCTGTCACACTTCAGTCACGTTCAACCCTAAAATACACCCTGATGCTCTCGGCATCAAACCTTTATCAGATGGTCCAAAGACCTCATATAACAGACTCTTTGAAAGTGACTCTCCACCAATAATAATCTCTCACAGGAGTGTGGAGTGTTGATCCTGAAGGGGGCAGATACTTTGGTTTTTGGACTGTTGGATCCTTGTTTACTGTTTCTGCACAGAAATGCAGGGTCTGTATAGGTTAGAGGTGAGATTTTGTGATCATAAAGAGTTCATTTAAAGAAAGTCTGTCCTCGTTTTATTCTGACAATGTTCAACATATACTGAGAAATAACATAACTCTCTCTGCCTCTTTTCTCTTCCAGGCCGGCGTCAGTGGAGAGGAAACCTCCGGAGCTCAGCACTCTGAACGATGGCTACCAGATCCGGATCTGACCCCCCACTGCTCCACCTCCCAATCATTGCTAAATCCGTCCGGCCTTCAAATCCACCCTGATCCAGCAGTCTCCACCTGCCGCCTGTGTTCCTGGGAGAGAGGAGTCACTGCAGCACAGAGCCACTCAGCCGGATTTAACACAGACGAGGTGGATGATGAACACATGAAGAAAAGCTTTTCTGAGCAGGAAACACGAGGAACTTCTTAGAGAGTGAGACTCAGACCAAACGTGACAGTCTGGTTTTAATTCTGCAAGGAGGGCACTGAACAGACACAAGTCTTCTTTGTTTACTCTGACATGTTTCAATCAAACTTCTGGTTCAGAAGGATGAAAATCAAAGATAATCCAGACTCAATCAGCTGGACAGGGAGAAACGAAAGTCCAACAGTCAAACGGTCTTAAGTTCACTCTTCAGTGATCCTTTAGTGAGCATGCAGCTCAGAGACACACTCAACAGATACATCTATTAGAGGCTTTTACTACTCACTGTATAAAAGGTTGGACATGCAACACATGCAAGAGTCCCAACTGCATTATTTGGGCGTGTTAGTCCAAATATACGTGCATTCATTTGAGCCCAAAGTTCAGCTTTAAAAAACAGTCAGAAAGGATCTTTAATTGACACCACTGAAGGAATATTCAGGACTCCAATCTCAGTCCCAAACTTCCCCTGAACCTGCAGAAGTTCAATTATGATGACAAAGAGGCAGACTTCCCGGATGGAGTCTATCGATCCGAGCGGACGAGGAAGGAATAAGCAGAGGACGCTCGGTGAAGTATGCAGGGATTCAAAGACTGAAAGAATCGATGGAGAGAAAAAGAAGAGGATGAAAGAGAAAGGAGGGAAGAGGAGGCGATGAAGTGAGAGGATCCACTGCAGGAGATCAGAGAGGGATCATTAGAGCACTGCGGCAAACCCCAGTCTCTCACCGTCTACTTCTCCCATCCCTCTCTTTCTCTGCCCTCTGTTGACACGTTACTGAATATATTCGCTCGCTCTGTTTCCATCAAAGCTCTTAGAAACTCCTCAGACAGGAAAATAAAACCACAGGTACTCACTAAAAGAGTCCAAATCAGACACAGATGGGCTGTACGTAAAAAACAAGAGGGCCTGAGTGGCTCATACAAGGCCAACGTTCTTATTTATTTAACGTATAAATTTCTAAAGAGATTTTAAATGAAGCTAAGAGGGAAAAACCTGTTATTGGGTAGAAAAGTGTCTAAAAGATCTGAAAGAAATAACCAGCACTGAAAACTGTAGGAAATTTTTTTTTTTAAAGTCATGTGTGAGACTTTTAGAAATCTTCTTTGTCAAACTGAAAATTTTGGAGTATTTCCATCATATTTAATTGGATTCTTTCACCTCAAATTTAATCCTCATAAGAAAAATTGTTTTTGTGGTTCAACCATCCAAGGCTTTTATCCGCACTGAACCTACAAACCTTAACCGTAACAGACATGGACTCATTTTTCAGGGGTCACCGAACAAAAAGATTTGGAACCGCTGATCCAAACCGACGATTTTTCAGAGGCCTGAAGATGTAAAAGTCTTCAGCATTAGAGAGAAAAAAGTGAACTGTAGAGATGTTTCTGCCGTGGTCTGAATAATCTGGAAATTTGAGAACTACTTTGGGAGTGAATATGCTTTTCCGTGAGAACATTCAGGTGTAGGTTTAGGGTTAGAAAATGTGGTGGCTGACAAGGGCAGACGATCTGCAAGCACCTTCTTCAACAGGCAGCAAACTGCAGAAACAATGCAACTTTAAAATCACATGCAAAAAATACACACATGCACAGAGGAACGTGTTTGCATCGAGCCAAAACATCTGCATTGCAAATTTGTGTTGTTGGAGCTCTTGCAGCACCTTCCTTCACTTAAAGATCATCCAGGCTGTAGCAGATTATCTCTCACTGTAAATATAAAGCAGAAAAAAAACATACACTGATTTTAAATCACCTCCTTTTAGTAAAAAAAACACCCAAAAGAAAAAAACTCAGACTACAATATTAAAGAAGCGTAAACCATGATCACCTGTGAAAACCTGGTTTTAGCACAACATCTAAAGAAGAGACGACAGGTTTGACCAAATCCGGCTGTAACTGATCACTTTGTTTATACATGAAATTAATAAACTGATATCCAGTCGGCTGCTGTCCTCACAGCTGGACTGAGAAATGATCCAGCTGCTCGGAGTTCAGCTGCAGCCAGTTTGTCAGATGGACAGAGAGAGAAGGCAGATGTCAGCTGAGAGCAACAAAACGCCTCACTGAAGACAGATTGAAGGAGGAGTGTAACACTCGGCAGATATTCAAATGACAGCCTGAAATTTCACAGTGGGAGGGTCCAGAGTCAGGGCAGTTGTCCAATCAGAGGCCCAGATTTCTTGTTTTCTGCAGGAGACATGAAAAGAGTCATAAGGTGCTCCAAAAGTTGCCTGTTGACATCCTCTCTTCAGTCCTGCTCGTGCTCTTTCACACTCGTTTGTATCAAAAGGATCGTCCAAAAAATCTGATCGTTTTTGGACTCTCCTGTTGAGGCCTTCAATGAATCACAGCTGAGATGCTTTAAAATCTCACATCACACAAAGATATCGAATATGAGACGGTGAACATGAACTTTAGTGACGTAAAAACACTTGAAAAAAAAAAACAGAAAAGACACTTGCAAACAGTGAAATATCACATATCAAATCATTCACATTTACTTCAGTCTAGTTAAAACATGTCTGTATATTTAAAGCCATCTTAGTGTGTTAATGTTTCATCATTCTCAGAATGTACTGTACAGTCTGAAGCCCTCAGACTGAGAACTATAAAAGTCAGATTTAAACCGTTCAACGACAGCCCTCTTCTCTGGCTCCTGACCAGCTTTGATCGCAGTATGAGGAGCTTCATCTCTCAAAGCTAGCTCTACTTTTATACAAACTGACTTCTTTAGTTTTCATCTGATGGCCTATCTTAAAGAAAACTGTGTTTCCAAATGTCAAACAGAGATACTGTAACATCTATGAAGCTGCACCAGGTCGGCCTGCAATCAGACGGCCTTTTTTAATATGCACTCCTGAGTGTTTTAATATCATTTCAGGACCGCCAGCTCGTAACATCACACACAGCATGTAAAGGAGGTAAAAACCCTTTTACTGCTCATGTGTGTGAAAGCAAACACAGAGCAAAAACAGAGCAGCAGCAAAGACTTCATTAGCAGTTTACCCTTGAACATGTGGATAGTAATGCATCAGGATTACAGGTTTATTTAAAAAATCAACGGGGTGTTTCTGTGTGTCTGTGTCATAAATCCGCCTGGTGCAGCCGTTAATGCAATGAAGCAAAGACGACCTGAAAAGCCTGTAGAGTTTCATCCAAACACAAGCAGCCTCATTTCTCTTTTCTTGTTTTTGTCACATCAATCATCAGCAGGAGGATTTCAGGAGTCTGAGTTTGGATTGTTTCTGTCTTTTGATTGTTTCATCTCTTTTCTTTGAATGTTTCACACTCACCGAACAAGGTTGTTCGCCGCCAACTTTGAGAAATCCACCGACATGTCATCCTAGCTTTTTGTTTCAACAATGAGCTATGCAGGTAACAACGAAAAACAAAATCCTTGTCTTCCACGATTCAAACCATGGAGGAGGGAGATGTCTGTGGCTGGATCTACACAATCTGTTCGGACAGAAATCGCAGCATATCTGTAAATGTGTTTGGTGGCTCACAGCTTCTCCTGATAGCAGCGTTATCTTAGATTCAGAGGTGCTGTGAGAAACAGCGGCGAGTATTTCTACATGTTTCTGATGTGTGAACCAGAGCACATCCCAGAGAGCGAGAGATCCGACCCTCACATCTCCAACTCTGGGACAAACCAACCAGCTGAACGTGATCATCTTTGTACCAGAGGTAAAGTGTTTGTCAGCCGTCAGACGAAGCACAAAGCTGCTTTTGCTTTTTCACTATTCAGAGTTTCTCACAGACAAGCGGACTCTGAATTTATGCATTTTCACACTGCAGAAGAACATATCCTGGAGTCCTTTTTTTGCAGAAAAGACATTTTCTCTCTGATGTTTGTGTATTTTTCAAGCTTGAAGTAGTTTAAAGGACCTATCATTCAAAAATTTCACATGTGGACTCAAGTTGATGTTTTAGATTTAAAGACAAACAGAAACTTCAGTTCCTGGATTTTAACCAACAACTGTGCTGAACCACCAGACTGCTCTGAGACAGACGACGCAGAAACAAAGACAATACAAATCCACTGAAATCTGCTTTTTTTTATTTTTATTGGAACCTCTGTGCTTGACAATGATCTCTGTGAATGTTTTCTTTTTGTACGTTTCTGTAAAGGATTGTTTCTGCTTTGTTGAATCTGATCCATCAGGATGTTTTACTTTGAGTCGTCGATTGTACCCGATCATTTTGAATGAGGAGGATTTGTTTGTGACAGAAGAGCATCTTGTGTTTGTAGCAGGTGTTTAATGGCCTTTGATTTCTCTCCAAAGTGCTGAAACCACATTTTTCAGTTCACGTCAGCCACTAGCTTTATGTCCAGTAACATGGACTGTAATCTGATCTGAAAGCTACAGAAGCCCTGAGTGGACAAATATCTATACATGTTATTCATACTCTGCTTTGTGCAACTCATTCATTTTAGCTGTTTGAGCTCAAGTTAATCTTCTTGTAATTCCAGGAAAAATCATCTATATTCACCAGTATGATGATGAAGAATTTAACGAGAGAAATATATTAATCTTTAATTTAGTCCAAAACTTTTTCACCGTACAGACAGGAAAGAAAATAAATGTGGTTGAACTGAAGCAGGAGGATTTACGCATTTACAAAACGAGTTTGCAAACAATTTACAAATCTCACATCAGGTCACGCTCTGTGCAGCGTGTCTGTGCCTTGTTTTCACTCTTTTATCAACCTGAACTCCATCCATGAAACCAGCACAAGAAGTCCTCACCATCCCAGTCATTAAGTCGCTTCACTCTCTTGAATCAATGGAGAGGTGTAGTCCTGCCGCCTGTCCTGATTTATGTGGCTCGGTGAACATAAATCTTACTGCTGGAAAGAAGGTCAGAAAATTAGGCCCCCAACTTCAACCAGATGAAAACCTGATGTTTGCAGATCCTGTTTTTAATAAGACCCCGACCTTCGATTGGGATCTGCATTTATGAGTTTTACTGTAAATTAAATGTATAGATTGATGTTTGCTCAGGGCTCTTGTTGAAATCAGCTCATAATGAGGACACTTTTTCCACACAAGACAGAAATCTGACGACTCTTTCCCCTTAAAGCTCCTATGAGGAGTTTTTACTGAAATTCATTCTGATGTCATTTTATGATGTCTGAAAGCAAACAAGACTGATGCTTCACATGTTGTAATTGGTTTAAAATTCAGGAGGATAGGATTCTAAGTCCATAAACTCAACTTAGGCATGTAGAGGTAGAGATAAGCAATTACTTCTCTGTCCACAGGGGGCGCTAAAGTTGACACAAACCAAAGGTTTCCCAGAAGAGCTTTAAAAATATCTCAACATGTCGCTGAAATCAACAGCAGTTTAAAGAGAAGTGTGCGGTGTATTTAAAGCTCCAGTGAGAAACTTTTGGTTTGTGTCAGTTTTGGAGCCCCCTGTGGACAAAGAAGTAATTGCTTGTCTCCTCCTCTACATGCGCAAGTGAGTGAAAAATCGTATTCCTTTGATGAGGAAATATACCATTTATTGTGAATACTTTAAGTGAATTTGACACCAACCCTCTCAGGCATGAAAGGTTACAATAAAAGAAAAATAGTTAATCTTGTGACTGATAGTTTTGTTTGCTTTTGTTCATCATAAAAAGGTATTAGCTTGAATTTTAGCCTTTTTTACAAACGTCAAGAATCTCTCGATAGAAGCTTTAAATAAATCTCTGTCCCTCTATAGTGAAAATTTAGACGCTGGCTGACTTTATGACCCCAAAAAGCAGGTAATGACAAGTTCTTTGTTGCATAATAATTTTCACAACTTTTGCTGTGGAAAAAAAACGACTTTTTCCATTCTTGTTTTGCAGTTTCTAAATTGGAAAAGTCAGTTTTTCCTCCTCTTGAAATTAAAGCAACATATCTGACGTACATATCTGACGTATTTGGTGGACATGAAAAGTGTCCGCCAAGAGCATCCAGTGCCTCTGCAGCGTGGCTTTAATCAGATGAAATATCTTGATTTGACTGTGTGTGTCTGTGTGTCGTTTGGAGGTTCTGTCTACGGGGATCGATTTATTCTGTCTGAACTGTTTGTGGTTTTAAAGTCATGACTGTTACTTTTTCATTTTTGGCCCAGATGGTTTTCTTAGAGACAAAGAAATGTTTTTATTTACCTTTTTACCAACGTTAGAGAGCAGTCAGATTTCCTCTGTACTGTGTTGAACAAAGGGACAGTCAGCCTCCGATCAAACTCTGGAGTCTGACGCTGTGTATGTTTGTATTTGTGTGCGTGTGAGTTTAGGAATTACGTCCTAAACCACTGCTACAGACTTTCGCTCAGCTCACTGGACTTCCTGGGGTCCTCTGAGTCGGGCCCTGCAAACTCTTGTATTCTTATTCAGATTATTTATTGGGTTGTTCTGTTTAAAGTGCGCTGTCAGAGTCTGTGCAGATTTCTGTGTGAGGACGTGATGTGGTTTTCTATTCCTGTGGATCGATATCAGGAGGAGACGTGTGGCCCTCCCTGAGGTTATGAGCATGGTAACTGTCCCACTGCTCAGATCTGGGTGGTTTGACAGCAGCTGTTTTTATCAACACCTGTAGCAGCATGTGTTTTAATAAAGGATCTATGTTTTTAAAGATGCCTGCTCTCGCTTTATCACCTGCTTGTCTGTCTAAGAGAGAGAGAGAGTTGGTTTATTTGAGCTTTTTATGGTTGTTTTACAGAGCTTGGTGTGTGGAAAATATGCATGTTGACCTCCATATCTAAATGCAAGACACATAAGAGGGACTTCAAGATAATGTCCACAGTAAATCACATACTGTTTCGTTTTTTTAATGCCCTAAACTGTAAAATTATCCACAAGACATTTTCATCAGAAGCATTGAAGTTTTTTGAATGTGTAGGGAGAATACTCGGATATATCTGAACTTTGCAAAACAAAATATCAAACTCTCAGAGCTCCCAGAGCGTACACACATACACATGCAAATAAAGAAATGCACCATTCTTGGAAACCTCCTGTAGAAACTGAAGGAGAGCACAGGAGGACCGACGGTCCTGCTCTGACATAACACCACAGCCTGTTTCTCATAAAATAATCTGCTTACGTCTCACTGCAGATGTGAGTGTGTGTGTGTGTGTGAGTGTGTTTTAGATGGGAACACAGAGGCAGCAGATTTATGGAAATAATCCTTCATTTCTCATCCATGCAGCAGCTTAGGGATTGGGAGGCAGTGGAGGCTCACCTCTCTCCATGACTCTGCGTGTGTGTGTGTGTGTGTGTGCAGAGCTTATTCTGCTCTCTCTCTGTGCAGCCAGGATGCAGCTGCTCACTGAGCTGTCAAGGTGAAATACAAGAAACCACCTGAGCTCATGAAGATGTCTCAATAGAGGGACAACAGTGCTGCGGAGGTTCAAATACTTCAATTGTCCTCATGGGGGCGCAATCACTGATCCCCCACCTCCTGCTGCACTTCAGAGAGAAAAAAAGGTCCCGCTGACAGAGGAGCGGGTGCCACAGGTCAGAGAAATGTGAGGTAGAACCAATAATTGTTTCCAAAAACAGAAACATTAAAAACACAATATTATCAAGTAAAAAAGGAGCAGAAAATGAGTAAAAATTGTCACAAAATAGTTCAAAAAAGTTTTGAATGCAGTAAAAAAACAAACAAAACAAAGTTCATATCAACAGAATTTGAAGGTTGCAGATAGAAGTGGCATTGTTTATTAAACTACACCCTTGTTTCAAATAAGAGCCAGTATAGGACTTTGTTCAGGGGCCATAAAACTCTAAAAAAGTCATGTGAAGAAACACATGCAGCAATATTTCCTGACCGATCAGGTTAAATTGAAACAGGTCAGTCATATGACTGAGTATAAAAGATGTTCAACAGAGGCTGAGCCTGTCAGAGGTAAAGATGGAGGAGTTCTACCACTCTGTGGGAGACCCTCCAGCAGCACTGCATCAAAAAAGACATGACTCTGTAGTGGAAATCGCTGCATAGGCAAACTTTTTCTTCTCCGACCAAGTAACAGAGAAAGAGATTGAAGTTGAAAACAGTGATGGTCTGCAGTTTTCTCTGCACACACAGCTGTCAGTGGTTTAAAAAGTCCACTGCTGCCATCTAGAGGTCATGGTCATACAGACAGACAGTTTGAAAGTCAGTTTAAACTTCTCGTAAGCTCAAACTTTTCTGCAGTGAACAGTAACAGAGTTGAAAGACTCCACTGATCTGGTTACTGCTGATCAATCCCTGAAACTGAAGACACTCTTTGAGGGCAGTTTGTCCCTGCATCCACACACGCATGTGAAATCCGTACCACCTAAAAAGGAAACATCTACAAACATGATCAAGAAACTTTGGCAACATCTCTGACCCAAGTCCATTTAGGATGAGGTAAGGTGGAAATAAATATTCAACCCCTGTCAGCAAGGTAGAGGAAAGTATTTATAAACACCATCTAGAGACCTTGCCAACATCTTTGGCCTGAGCCCCTAAGATGGACCAAGATGAGGACAGAGTCAATATCTGGCATTCTTCTGGGAATCATGGACCCATGTCTTGTTCTTGAGAAGACGGGAGCACCCAGTTTCATCTCAGTGCGTAGTTCAAAAGCCAGCATCTGTGATGGTACGAGGCTACAAAAGGGAAGACACTAGCACACCATTAAAGAAGGATGACATTTCTAACCAGCTCTTTAAATGAGCTGACCCTGTTTGCAGCAGTAGAACATCTAACTTCTAACGACGCCAAAGAGTGGACCAGATCTCCTGAGGGTAATACACCTATTACTGACAAGTACCACTTTGAAATTGAAAAACTATCCCTTTAACGTTTTCTGTTAGTCCTGAAGTCTTAATGTGCGCAGAGTGCCGGATAATGAGACAATCAGTCCTGGGTTAATGTGATTCCCTGAGCAGATGGAAAACAGATACAGAGACACTGAGATGTGTCCCATGTGGACTCTGTTATAGGAACAAACATAAGGCGGTCTGTGAGCTCTGTTGAGGAGCAGCTGGGGGTTTTGCTGCAGTACAGAGTGATGCACAGAATACCAAACGGTCTGAGTCCTGAGCGTGCAGCGTTTGTGAGGTAACTGCTGCAACCATTTGTCACCGTCTCACACACACAAACACACAATCTAACGCTGAAGATGTGGAACTAGGGTGACATATCCATCCCTGTCTGTTAGAAAACAACTCAAATTTATATAAACTGAACACAAAAACCAGCAGAACCCCATCATGTATGTAGATGAGGAAAACAAGTCCAGGACCAGAATTTGTTACAGCAGGTCCACACTGCAGCTACTTCACATGCTGTGTGCTCACAATAAGGTTGTATTACTTCGTGATGAAACAGCCATTAGCTGTAACCCTCATATGCTGCCATCTGTGAGAGACTGCGTGAGCAAATGGTTATACTGTTTCAGAATAATGTTCCGTCTTGGAGTCTGTGATCATAATACAGATAACTAGAAAATTCAAGGAAGATTTTGATATGTGCCTGCCCGCTTGCAGATTAGCTGCTGCTTGCCGCTGATTTATTCCAATTAGGCCATGTTTTGTCTCCAAAACGCCACTCTATAGCCACAAATAATGCTCAGAACAGCACCTAACTTCAACAACAGTACATATAGGGTCCTAGCCACAGTACTAGCCACCAAACATCTTTTTAACTTTGCCTAATTTTAGCAGAGACTAAACACAACTCACACACTCTCTTCCAGCAGCCGCTTGTTTGTACAGAGACCTCTGGGCGAGTCCATCAACTGCAGTGGGGTGACGCAGCTCAAGGAAGAACATTTATCATAAATGTTCTTCCTTGAGCTGCGTCACCCCACTGTAATCCGTAATGGACTGGCCCGGAGGTCTCTGTACAAATAAGCGGCTGCTGGAAGAGAGTAGGTGAGTTGTGTTTAGTCTCTTTGCTAAAGAAATCAGGCAAAGCTAAAAAGATGTTTGGTGGCTAGTACTATGGTTGGGACCAGGTTCCTTTAATGCTGAACTATATAAACCAGTTCAGGAGCAACATCTATTGCCGTCAGGGAAGACCTTCATATTTCAATAAGACAATGACAAACCACATTCTGCAGGGATTACAACAGCATGGCTCTGTGGTAGAAGAGTCCTTCTGATAAACCGGCCCTGCCTGCAGTCCTAATAACTTGTCCCCTATCACAAACAGAGTTGGCACACATAAAATAAAAATATCTATTTAACAAAAGGAGCTTCAGATTTTCTCCACATGCATGTTATTTAAACATACAACCCACATATATGCACATTAAAAAGTCCTTTATTTACAGGCTGTTAAAACGTTAAAAAAAATATTTCAGATTCTTGACGTTTCAAGATCATGTAAAAATCTGAACTTAAAACTCAGTTTTCATGAGCACACTTAAAAACTTTAATTTCATCTTCATATTTACACTTTTGACTGATGGCACTTAAGTCATACTTAAATGCCATCTGCATGATGTGCAGTACTTAAGTGCCATAAATAAAAAGCTTTTACAGGTTGAATTCATGAGTGAATGTGATGAAAAAGATCAATGATGAAGGTTTTGAAGAGGAGTTTTGAATCGTTCAGGGTTTGATGTGGATTTGTTGTGTTTTGGCACTGTGGATCAAATAAAAAAGGATGACAGAGGGGCCGGCTTCACGAATACTTACGAATATCATGAGGCTGAATTAAATCGAGGATGTATTGGGATGCTCTGCTCCCCTATCCAGACAGACTAATAAATCAAGTATTTTTCCCTCATTAGCAGCATTTTATGATTTTAAATAAGTCCTTTTATAAAGTCACAACTTCACAGAAAAGTGTTTTATGAACATTTTCTACAAGTCTGTGTTCATAATCTGTTAGGTGAAACCTTTTTTAGTTCCTGCGGGGATACAGTGAATGTTTTGATTCTCAAAAATGATGAGCTCTTTGACACAATAACAAAAAAACTTCAAAATTCAAGTACTTGTAGTTTCCGACATTCGTTTGGTTACAAACAAACTATTTGTGTTTGAAATATGATCCTTCAGCTCAGGTGATGGCATGCAAACTGGAGCTGAAAACTTCAGTAATTATGAAAGGGTAAGGACGAGAGAGTTTAGATCAAGTTTTTCGTTAACTACGTTGTATTAGGGCCACTCTAAAGTGAAAACGCAGATTTCAAGAATATAGCTGTAAAATTTTTAAAAAAAGTAAAGATAAGAAGATAAAAGTCAAAAAATTCCAAGAACAGACCTGTAACTGAGGGGAAAAGGTGAAGTTTTACAGCTAACTGAATACTTAAACTGTGGCTTATCAGTACCACATTTTCATATCCGGACTCTGAAATGATGGTGCAGCAAACTGGGTTTAAAAAAAAAAAAAAAAAAAATTTACAGAGTGTTTCTGTCTTCAGTTTTAAGCTCTTATTTTTGGTGCTTATATCTTGATATAAAATATTTTCTTGGACTCGTCAGGTCAATGCAGCTTAAATTGAACCATCTTCTAGAAATCAAACAAAAACACTGACTGAAATTTGACTTTTTGTTATGTTAACATTACCCGTACACTTTCAAAGCTCAAACCCACCAATAATTTTTTTCTCAGCTATAGTACAAATTTCTTGTTATAAAACTACAGATTTTACTTGAAAAATATAATTTTTAAATTGCTTATTATTGGCAAAAATAAAAAAGGTTTAGAAAAGTTCCTTGATCAAACTTTTTCTTAGTAGGTTTGTGACTTTTTCTCTGCTAAGTCTGTGAAACTGAAACGTAAAATCACACACTGACTGACACACCGATATGCTGCTGAGGGATCAGTTTAACCACGTTTCACTGCGGCACTTCTGCAGACCAGGCTCCAGCAAAGAAGGGCTATGGTGCACACTTCTTATATTGATATCATAACTTTAATCTCACTTTGTTACGAATTTAATCTGGAAATCTGAAGTTTTTACCTCTTGGATGTGGCCCTAATACTCCATCATACCTGTTTACCATCAGCCTCACAGAAATGCTCATAAAGAGTTTGTCCTGTGCAGATAGAAATACCATACAGATAGAAATACTGCCCATGTGCCTCTTTGTAACGTCACCTCATTTAAACTATTTGTTTAATCTGTTTTTCGACACTCCCTGAGATCTAATGTTGAGGCATCCAGACGTGCCGTCTTCCTTTTATGGTCATCGCCGTAATCGAAAGCGAGAGAGCAGAGGGAGGTGATCAGACGAGTGATGACGATTCGGGAGGCCGTTCACCTTCTTCAGCTCCGCCTTGCCGACCAATGACAGCCTGCCCAGGAGCTGGAGGCCCCACCCACCAGGAAGTGAAGGAGGTGTGGTGAGTTCTTGCAGAGGGTTATTATAACAGAGAAGGAAGCAGGAGGAAGAAAAGAAGAGAAAAATCACAGAAAAACAGTTTGTTGGTAAATTTGACCCTCACTAACGTTTAAATTACAAACATGTTCGTCAGATTCTTGTTTTTGGTTTTTGTCATTTTTTTTCTCTTTTTTATTTAATCACAACTTTGGTCAGACTGTAAGCCTTGACTGGCAGGGGATTTAGTGATTGTGTGTGTTTGTGTGTGTGTGTCAGTACCAGGTGTGTACAGGATGTAATCCACAGTCATGGCTGTGCGAGAGTGACAGGTGGTGATCTCAGGTCTCCCATCAGGCATCAGGAAGTGCTGGTAGGACGACTGCAGCTTCAGAGGGTGCTCGATCCTCCACCTGAAGAAACACACACACACACACACACACACACACACACACACACACACACAGGGTCAGAGCGTGTGTGTGTTAAAAGATTGCAGACTGTGCCTGTACAGAAAGGAGAGAGGAAAGAAAGACAGAAAAAAAGAAGAAAGAGAAAGAAGGAAAAAAGAAAGGAAGAAAGAAAAAATTAAAAAAGCAAGAAAGAAAAAGGAGGAAAAAAGAAAGAAAGACAGAAAGAAAGAAGAAAAGAGAAAGAAGAAAGAAAGAAAGAAAGAAAAAGGAGGAAAAAAGAAAGAAAGAAAGAAAGAAAGAAAGAAAAAGGAGGAAAAAAGAAAGAAAGAAAGAAAGAAAAAGGAAGAAAGAAAGAAAAAAGAAAGAAAGAAAGAAAGAAAAAAGAAGAAAGAAAGAAAGAAAGTCATTACTTGTTAGAAGCAGCAGCTGCAGCGGTGGTGGCGAGATCTTCTACCGTCAGATTGGAGATTGCTCCTTCAACCGCTGAGAGAAAGAGAGAGAGAGAGAGAGAGACAGACAGGGACCAAGATAAGGATCATTCATGTATCAGTACAGGTGAACCAAAGCTGGTCTGACTGGAGCTTGGAGGAAATCAGTCCAGTTTTTCAGATTCAGAAGGAGACTAACAAGTTTTCATTTTCAAGCCTGAACTTTTTGTGAAGTCAACTAAAAAGGGGGACAGGGATCGAGGGCCTGTTCCAGATGAGAACCAGCTCCAACTGTTGGGACACCAGATTTTCTTATCAGTTGCGGTCCAATTTGGTGTGCCACCAGCATCACAAAAGGTGATGCGCCAACAACAACCAAGGGGTTCAAGAGGTAAACATGGCGGACAGAAACAGAGCAAACGTTGTTGGTTTTGTAAACCAGGGTCTTAATAAAACTATAATAATAAAGGTCTCTGTGAGGATGGTTTAGTGGAGGTTAGTGTACCTGTAGGACTGCTGGGGGACTCAGAGGTGGGTTTGTTGTACTGACACTGATAGTCGATACCTAAACTGTGAGACCAGATTGGAGACAGGAGGAGACGCTGTCCTTTGTGGATGCTTTCCTGACCAGAAACCTGCGCACACGCACACGCACACGCACACGCACACGCACACACACACACACACACACACACACACACAGACACACACACACTGTAAGTTACCGTTTGGTGCTTTAAAGGAGCCATTATGATGGTTAAATAACTATAAAATCATTCAGGTGTCTCAGTGTCTCACCATGCTGGCCTGCATCCCTTTGTACATCAGAAAGCCGGAGGTCAGGAATCTGTACAGCGGACTCTCAGGGGTGGAGTTAAAATCCCCACAGAGAACCACCGGGTTGGTCAACCCATCTGGCTGGCAGGACAGCCGGTTTATCTCAGCCAATAGGATCGCCAGCTGGGCCAGTTTGATGTCACCCCGCCGAGGGTTGTAGAGCAGGTGAGTGTTTGCGACGCAGATGGGGGTAGGCAACTCTGATTGGCCTTCGCAGTTGTTAGGCTGCAGAAGAAGAACCAATCCTATGTTGTCCCGGTCCAGGAGGGTGTCACCAGGCCGGAAATACTCAATGGGATTGGAGGAGAGAAGCGAAAGGCGGGAGGTTTTGAAGATGATGGCACAGCCATCTGGTTTCATTCCTGTTCGCTTCTTATACTCACACTGGTAACCTGAAACACACAGACTCTTCAGAAAAGGAAGAACACGAGTGCAAACGCATTTGTTGAATAAGTCTAACGCTACTTTTAGACCTGAACCCCAGTTTGCCTAAAGATCCTACCCAGTGCTTGGAGAGCAGGTTTGATCTGGTTCTCATAATGGTTCTCTTGGACCTCTTGGAGACACAGAATCTAGAAAAGAGATTTGCATCAAATTTCAGCTCTTGGTTTCTTAAGTATGTCATCTAGAGTTTCTGGTGGTCTAATCTGCTCACATCAGCATCGTGCTCCTGGATCTCAGCCAGCAGGTTGGGCAGTCGGCGGGTCCAGGGCAGTACGTCAGGCTGACAGTGTCGGTACAGGTAGGCATTGTCATGCAGCAGGTCCTGAGACAGGATGTTGTAGGACATGACTGAGAAGTCAAACGCTGTGCTGCACCCTGGTGGTTCTGGGTCTGTACTACAGATGGGTGAGGCCTCCCAGTGTCTCTGAAGAGCTGAGAGAGGTCAGGAGGACAGGTTACAGTTTTTTATTATCACTTTCAGTCAGTTTGTCGTTCACAGAGCCTCAGAGTTTCTCATTCATTCAAGAAACTACTTGACTTTGTGAGGACCATCCTCCACAAATCTACGATCTAAACTGGAGGGCTGATTGTCTGTGAATGTCCAACTCAGGCAACAACATATTCATATGCAATCATCAACAGTAAATATCAAAACAGAACTGTAAAGTCGTCTCAGTGTGCAGCGGGTAAAATATGTAACCGCTGCAATATGTCAGTAAAGACTAAACTTACATTTTATCGGTTTTACTTCTTCCTGCTGTCTGTCAGGTGAGCAGGTTCCAGGTGGAGGAGGCTCGCTCTGAGCTCCTGCTACCTGACACGGGGTTTGAGGGAAGCCAGTTCTGCTTTCGTCTCTGGACTGTCTCTCTGGTCCTGTAGGGCTCCCCTCACTCGCTCTCCGCTCCTCTGCACAACTTTCTTTGAACCAGGGGTTTGGTTTGTGAGCAGGAGCTTTATCCTGATCAGGTTTTGACTTTGGGGGTTGAGTTCTGTATTCTTTCAGCTGTGGATCTCCCTGTCGTACCCGCTGATGTCCTCCTCTTTCTTCTTGGCTGGTACTGCCCTTCTGTTGACTGTGTTTATCCCCAGTTTGGATCCTTTCTCCAGCCTGGCTGACTCCCTTCCCAGCATCCTTACAGCGGTTATAATGTTGGTTGTAGATGTGATTCTCCCTTATTGAACCTCCATCCTTAGCCTTGCCTCTTGTGACTCCTCCTTCCTTTCCTTCAGAGCTCCTCTTCTCCTCTGTACTCTTCCTCCTCTTGTATGGAGGCCCTCGGTCTCTGTCATGCTGCTCCATCCTGAGGCCTGCTGAGGTGTGTAACGTCCTCTGAGAGCAAACCTGATGGTCTGCAGGGTGAGGGTGGAGGAGTCGAGGCGGCCAAGGGGGATATCCTTGCAGTGGCCACCGTGGACGAGGACCAGGAGGGAGGGGATAGCGGACGGAGGAGGTGTGGCTGACACTACTGCTCCTGAGGCTGGCCCTGCAGAAAGCAGGACGACTGCGGGGGACGAATGAGGAGCTCAACCGCTGAAGGAACATGGGGGGGCTGAGAGAAGAGAGGGTGAGAGTTCATAGGGGGAGTTATTTCTGATTTATCATCACATTTCTTTTCCACAACCCTACCTTTTGTCTTAGGCTATATTTTGTTAAATAGCACAGCCGTTTAAGCATGAATTTCATGTAAAAGTCACTCAGATTCGTGTAAAAGTCACTCATATTCATGTAAAAGTCACTCAAATGTGTCCTCTTTATAAGTTAGCTCACATTAACTTACTTCTCTCCGGGGCCGGAATAAGTGTCGTTTATGTTTCGTCTTGGGTGCATCTCGACAGCCTCTAGTTCGCAAGCATTTTTGATGTATCGATCAGGCTTTTATTGAAATTGGACCAAAACAAGCAAGTCCTTGGCTACCTCCATATGACGCAATCATGAGCGTCAACACGAAGCGCCGCGCAAAGCTGTGATGCCTTCAGGGTCAACGCGTTCACAGATTATTCCAGTTATTTATGAATGAGCAATAAAACTTCCTTGACAAAAGAGTAAAAATCTACTATTGACCTCGTTTTAAACGACGTAGTGACGCTTGGATTAAACGAAAAATCGTTGGCATTCGGGCAGAAAAGTGCTTAGTTTGAAAAAATATATATTTAAATACATTTTACTGGTTTTATGTTATACATTTAGGGGTCGTTTATCGATTTAATTACAACATGTCCCAGTGCCTTTAAACATAGCATTACAGTTCGTCTTGGTTGTCTCTCCTCTTGCTGGAACTTGTAGTCTCTTTCGCTCGTTCTCACGCATCAAGTGAATGCTTACTGTCGCTGTCGCGGACTACAAGCACGGCGGAAACAACCCTCCGACTAGAAACATAGCTCACAACAACATATTTTTTTATCGCAAGCATCCCGAAATGTCACGATTTCTAATTCACTGATCAAACGCCGTTAAGACTTAATAATGTAATAGCTTGGCTTACGTATTTGTGCAGTTTGAGAGAATTGTTGGCGAAATAAAATAAAAGGTCATTGTACTTACGTAAAAGTGAGCCTCTTCTAGAAGACGACGGTGCCTTTCAAAGGGTTCAAGAAGACACGATGTCAGCGTTTAACGACAGACATTTTCCGCCATATCGCACCGTTGAATGCCCTCATCCGTTTGGAGAATTAGATAATTATTCGCTGTTATTTGATTAGCAAAGAGCAGTGGTCCTACTGAGGAGGGGGACACACACATACAACCATCCCCTCTCTCTCGCGCGCGCGCGCTCTCTCTCTCTCGCTCTCTCCCTTCTGTGTTGTGTGTTTGTGTGTGTAGCCTACCTTTATGTGTGTTTAGCCTCTCTCTATCTCTAGTTTTTGACTCCCTCTCAAATTGCACAAAAGCTACAGAATAAAAGCCAGGCACCCATATGCTGTATTCCCTGGTGTGGATTTTAGGCGTTGTTGGACTTTTAAGTTTTCCATATTCTACATCCCCAAACAGACAATAAACTTAAAGTGAGCACAATATAGTTCCAGTGATATAACCTGGTATCCCTTTAATTTTTCTTTAATGAGTACAATAATTTCCTGTCTGAAGCAGACGCCCACAGGAGTCTCTGAGTAAAAAGGAGTGATCTCCTTTAATAACATGCAGTGAATTGTTTCCCTCTAGGCTTACACATAAATACAATGATCCATTATTTAGCAAAAATGAAGCTATTTAGACAGAGTAAAACAATCTTTTTGCATAGGTGAGCATTTGAGTTCTTTGGTGTATTAATTTTAAATGATATAGGTGTCTTTAGTTTTAGTGATGGCACATTTTAATTTGCCAAACTGTGTCAGGAAGTTGTAGTCACAAGTGATGGGCATGGCAGTTCTTTTAGATGTACTGAACCACTAGAATCAGTTCACTAAAAAGATTTATCCAAAAGATTCGTTCACCAAATCACTGAATCATTCAGCGCTTGGCGGGAGGAGTCTGCAACTCCTACCTCCTGAACTGATTCACAGCTGATCGGTTCAGGATTCAGTTCAGATCTCTGCTTCTGGGACCTGGAGATGAGAGTGTTTGGCTGTGTTTCTTTGACAAACAGGTTTGTAAAAATGAACTTGTTTCTAAGTCATGACGTTCTAAGTGTACTGTCCAATGGTACGCTATTTATCTACTCAGTAAATTGGGCTCAGTGAGTGATTCGTTCACTGAACGTTAAGAAGAATTCAAACTGAACATGCACCTTTCCCTCGCAAACCACTGCAATGATAGGATGCTGCAGGTTTAATGCACTACTTGCTACATGCTGTGCCCTATTGTATGCAAGTTGTTGTGGTGGCAATTTAGCAGTGAAAAAAAGAAAAAAAAGTTATTTTTGTCGTGTAGCTCAATGCGTGATTCGTTTACCAAGTGACTCAGGCGTCGGTGCATGTAGTACCTCGTTTGCCGTCTGCTCGCCTGGCAATGCTGCGTGCTATAGCAGCTGCGCTGATGACAGCTAAGTTGAAGTGAGAAACAAACTAATCACTTGAGGAAGTGATTTGGTTCAGTACGTTCACTTAAAAGATTCTGTTCTTTTGAACCAATCGTTTGCAAATGAAACAACACTAGAAGTCGCTCCTATTTTATGAAAACACAGGCAGAGGTATTAAAAGTTTTATTCTGGAGACAAACAGGATATCAAAACAATGCAGAGAAGGACATCAAACACGAAAGTGAGACACATTAGAAACCATCGTTTGAAAATCTGAGTGCCAATCATAGAAAGAGGAAGAGTAGCGTCTTCATTTGTAGGTCTGAGTTTTGACTCTGTCGGCATCTGAAATGAAAACCCAGGGTCACATGGCTGCAGGGTCACAGGTTTGACCCCTCAACAGCTGCAGTTTGTCCATCAGCTATGACCTTGTGTGCTGTCAGCATGCTCATGTTAAAATAAACAACAATCTCAGGTGTGTGAGCAGTAACAGGTTTCATTACTTTCAGGCTGGACTTCGCAGAAACAAAAGCAAGAGCAGACACTAAACCAGGAATCCACACCGAGAAATTCAAAGTATAAGTCTTTAAAGCTTGCACAAGAAGAATAAATAATGTCCACACAAATCAGGAACAGAATCAAGCAACAGAAGCGTGAATGATTAAAGCTTTTCTCCTGGTTGAATGAGTATGTGGGATAAATATGCATAAAAATCCTCTCATGCAGCAGCAACGAATCTGCACATCTGCACAGTGACAGACAATCTGAGGTGTGCTGTGTACATGCCGCCATCTTTGTGTCTTCTCTTTGTGCCTGTTTCTTTCTGTTTATACACCTGTAGCCCTTTTCTGCCTGTGATTCAGAGGATTTTTGAGTCCTGGGGCTGCTGGCTCAGTCTGACACCCGGCTTTTGTGCTGCGTCTTTGGGCTTCCTTGCTTAGTCTCATCCTTGTTCGGAACTTTGTCTTTTTCAGGTTTGTTTTCAGCCAATTACCAGTCTTGCGCATTTGCACCAGTAACAGTATGAAACTTCTGCAGTTAAAGAGAAGACAATGATTTTATTTGAAGAGAGCTTCAAGTGAATAAACCTTCTCTTACTCGTCCAGCTGGAAACTGATAACTTCACAGTCGCTCTTCCAACATTAATTTGTCATTCAGATTTTCCTCTCTGACTGCTCCCCGTTTCTTTCTCTCTCTGTCAAAACTACCACTGGGTCTGTCTCTAAAAGTACAGTCTTGTTTTTTAAATGTTGAATCTCGTAGAAGCAATTCAATTTCATGTTTTAACATTTGGTGACTTTCAATTAAAGCTCATGTAAGGAGTTTTTGGACATTAACGAAATAGACTGATATTCATACTGATGCCTTTTTATGACACATAAATGTAAACAAGGACCATCAGGTAAAGGTTTTAGATTTTTAAAGCTCCTGTGAGAAACTTTTGCTTTGTGCAGATTTTGGCGCTACCTATGTGGACAAAGTTGTGTTACTGATGTCATCCTACACATGTGTGATTAATCACACACTCACTCATGTCACTCATGGAGAATATTTGGTTTGGAAGTTAAAAGAAGGCTTTCTCTGCAGTGTGAAGTTACTCACCTGATCTGACACCCACCCCCCACCAGAGACTCCAGACCATGGGTGTCAAACTCAAGGCCCAGGGGCCAAATCTGGCCAGTGGAACAATTATATCTGGCCCACAAGATCATCTCATATTTGTATTATTATTGGCCCACCAGTATGAAGTCTGCAGATTTCCTCCAGTATAATAATGTAAACTTGAGCACTATTATTTAAAATGTCTTTTATAAGCCAAGAAAATCTGGGAAATTAAAGATTATGGAAGATTTCATAAATAGTCAAGAATTTGGGGGAAAAAATACAGGGTCAATTTTGCATTTCAAAATTACAAGTCAAACATGATTGGGTTTTTTATTTCATGCTTTGAAATACTCAGTATTTGGACTTGTGTCATTTTTATACTTAAAATATATATTTTTAAAAATTTAAGTCATATTTTGACCTTTTAAACCTGGTTTCAATGTTCTCTTTGTGTATTTGCTCTTTAAAAGCATTATTTCTCTATTTTTAATATCACACTCTGATCCTTTAAACTTTTAAATAAAAATAGAATAAAAAATTGAATAATTTCTATCTTGGATTGCTTTTAATCTTGTCTTTTTATCTTTTTTTTTGAATTTCCAAATGATTTGTAATCATTTTTGTTACATATTTTTTGAAAAGGAGGTTGACAGTTTTGGTGAAATGTTGACCCTGTTTGGCCCTCAGGTTAGACCTAAATCCAGATTGTGGCCCTTGCTGTGGTGTCAAACTCAACCACAGCAAGGGCCATCCCTTGCTGTGGTTTTCTGTCAAAGTCTGTCAGTCAAACAGCTGAAGACAGTATAATTTCCACTGACAACACTCACAATAACTATCTCATTTGACTGCCAAAAGTCTGCAGAATGAGATTTGTGTGAAGCAAGTAGAGGACAAGATAAGCAAAGACTGGTTAGGCCACAAGGGGGTGCCAAAATGGACTTAAAGTAAAAGTTACTCAGTGGAGCTTTGAAGTATGGGGTTTGTTCGGCAAGTCATTAAAATCTGATTCTTTGATATTTTGTAAAGCATCCCAACATTTTTTGGAAACAGGATTGAACATGAACTTTAACCCTGGTCTTCTCCTGAACATGAGCGTTAAGTGTTGGTGTGTGCATCCACCCAAGTATGTCCACCAAAGTCACTCAACCCTTACCTTAAAAATACTCAAATATCCCTTTAACACTGAGAAACTATGAGCGAGCTGAGGCTGTGTGCTGTTTGTTAAGCACCCAGGATGCAGGTTTGGTTCTAAGCGATGATCTTTAAA